AATCACCATTCAAGATGACGACTTCATCGACATCGATAGCAGCTCGTAAAAGCGATGATATAGGTGAAGATGTTTCCTTTCTTAGAACGGTAAGTCAATCATACCATGCCCCCTCATGATAACAATTCATTGCCCAACGATCGAGCCAATGTACGCTCGTTGAATAGATCCAGTTGTAATCTTCTACATCAAGTAGAATCATCGTCAGGCTTATTGAACATTTTCCAATGGCCTAGGATACACGAGAATAGCACCAAGTACTGTAATTGATGGCATCGATTCCATTATTATATCAACAAGATGATGATACTGTAGCAGTCAATACCATCAGGGGAAAAAGAATGATTGTAATCCGTCATTCTTTCTACAAGCGCCTTTTTTGCCATGCACTGATTGACGATGATCATGTTATAATTGAAGATTGATGAATGATGATATATTCCAGTAGGAAGTGAAGATACTGTATTACAATGGTTCATCAATCAGAGTCATTTTCCTGCTCGTGTTATTGCTGTAAAAACGGTCTTGTTTTCCCAACTTTTCAATGACAATGTCAATAATAGCGCCACTGTTTCAACCATCCATCATAATGCAATGATATTGTCGAAAGGACGTCTCTTAATCCTACATAATTCTATTTTTGCTCGTAAGCCTGCCGATTGAAATTGGGTGAGATTAAACTATGCTTTTGAAGAGAGTGTTCTTGATCGCTATTTCCAGCCATCGAGCATTCGATAAAGTAGATGAAATCGATAATTCGTGATCGGTTATTCCCAAACGTCCATCTCCCTTTATCGCTAAAAGAACAGTCTTTTTGCCATCGTCTTACCTGATTTTCTTCCTAGGCTCTCTTTTTGGGGTTCCTTGAGCACGATAAAATGGTTCATTTTCATCGGTGGGTACGAGTGTTTTCCATTTTACCACCTAAAACGAAGATATCAACCCTAGTTGAAATCCTCTATTTCCATCTTATGATGATGCGATGATAGGATTATGTTCTTCAATAACATGAACGTATGCAAATTTAGCGTTGATATACAAGGATGTATTCAAATCATGTCGTGCACTGCCTGTTTGCCAGGGCCCCCCACCATCCGTTATCCCAATTCAATATTCTAATCGACAGTTTAGTTTATGAAGCCATAGTAAATCCCTGTCATGCTCGACGACACCATTAAAGTAGAATTTACATCAAGTTATGATAAACAGGGTTGGTAATCTAGTGAATTTATCACTCGTCAACATGAAGTTGTTGTCATGAATTGAGTTGGCATCATCAGCCAGATAGGATGCGGTCATCGTTCCTTGCCAATCAAGGAATGGACAATTGGTCAGGTCAACAACCAACTGCTGAGAATTGGATTTCGCTTCCATCTGTCTTCTACACCATGTAGTATTATCCTTTAGAATAACGATGAATCACAGCAAGCATTCATGCTGTTCATTGAGTGTACAATGAAACAGCGAATTTTTATCCTCCATATTTTAGATTTAGTTCGTGTTAGCATGTTTTCTCACCATAAAATCGTTTGAATGGATTTCTTTATCCCAACAAAGTCGCCCCCTTTCTCCATCATTTTGACATTGTGCTACCTGCTTTTGCCTTCGATGTTAAAGTGGATTTACTTTACACACTGTTCATCAAGAAAATAGTCCAGTGGAATAGGCTTGCTAAGGCACCATTTGCAGTACAACAACTAATTTAGATACACTAGATATCGGTGTGACAAAGATAATATCCCATGCCCTCTCCAGTGGTATACAACTATCACCATACGACATATGCGTAGTCCCTGATTCGAGCTACTTTCCTAGGGGAAATCCTTTTTTAGATCATACCCATTCTTGGAACGATGAAAGGTTAATTAAAGCAGCGTAGTATTGCTGTTGAAAATAGATTGATTTTCTAATCAGATAGAATAGGATACATCGCTCTCCTTCATGAAAATACCTCATCTAGCCGAGATGGCATCTTTTACGACACCTTGACTTATTGTCATTATCCTCTCGATCAAGGTCATGCCATTCGTTGTGCAAATAAAAGATTCGATATCCACTTTTTTCTCTTCGTGGATAGGTATCAAGCGATGAGAGTGATGAGCAGAAATATTGCTATTACCCCACATTGATATTGTACAAGGAACAAATGTTTCTTGACCGATAGGCATAGTAGTCATCGATCTACTGTAGGATAGCCATGAAATCGACTTCAAAAGAGATGAAAGCAATGCGAACATGCTCAAATTAACTTGAATACAAGTCGCTCTGATTTACGGTATTTACAGATCAATATTATTTTTTTGGAGGGGGACATTTCTAGACCAAATCAAGAACAATGTCATGATTCGAACTTTAAATAAGAATAAATTTTGTCATTAAATGTAATTATACGTACAAGACAAGATTAGTCATAGCCTTGAAGCTTTTCTTGCCTTGATTGATGACTAATCACCAGTAATATTGTATCAGACCATACAGCACTTGAGCCACCTTACCGAATATATCTAATCCCAATTAATCCTTTAGATTAGTCATCCTTGAATGGAGGATTAGAAAGTTTTTCATCTACCTGTGTTAACGAATTGCATCATCAGTATTAATTACTTCTACCGGTATTCTGCCCAATGATTCTTTTCAATGGCTGAAGAGATTCAATTTAATTTAATTTTGTCAAGGATTGATTTCGGCGTTGATCATACTCGATCATATCATCAAAATCGCTATCGAATTGCAACTCAAAATAGGGGAAAATGATTGCCTGTGTATGCAATGTAAAACCATCCCGAACTCTACACTGTATGCTTTTGGTATTAATTAATTTTCCCTCGAAATTATAAATGACATTCATGTCTTGACGGAAGAAAATCATTTAATCGATACTACCGGACCATGGAATAGCTTGAAATAAAGGCAACTGTTATTTTACAGCATCATTATAAGCTAAAAGTTGACAATAAATTTCATCAATGCCAATTCCAGTTTTATCGTCTTCTTTCATAGTCCATCATAGAGTTCTGTTACATCAACTCAAGTCAAGAAAGAAAATTTTTTTTAGCTTTTAATTTTTGATTACACCCAAACTGACAGTCAATGATACCCCTGGATCGGGAAACACTTGTTTTCCAGTGACAGAATTCGCAAAGTAGAAGATGGATTCAGATTCAACTCGTATCGCCTTATGTACAGTAATCTCAATTCTTTTACATTTATTCGAGAATGAAGTTTACTCAAGGTAGAGCAAGTATCCTTCATGATGTCAAATAATTTCATCCATGTGTTCGAAGGTCTTTCTATTCTATTTCTTGAACTACAGCACTGTATATCTAATAACTACTGTGAATTTCGCTTTTGTGGGTTACGGATAATGACCATGTGGCACTTATTTTAATTAATAAAGCGCCAGATGAGCTAGTTTATACTGAAATGAGAGATTCCCAATCAATAAAACATATATAATGAACATTTGTCTTTAGGAGATTACGGTAGAAATGAAAACCATTCACTTTGAGGCAAGTTTCAACAACTCATTTGACATCCTCTTTTCCCTTCGGTTGATTTTCTACTTTTCATATTCTCAATAATAACTTTCTAGACGATAGACAAACTTCGAGACTACTGGACACTTTAAAGTTATTCTAATTATATAATATAATAATTTAATTTATACAACGCATGCCGCAATTTACCGGTTAATTTGTAAGCGCGTTTGAGTCAAGGGTTCATGGCTTCATTTTAAGTCGTTAATTAGCGCCATGACTTGCTATCTTGCTCAATTCCTTTTCTACCATGATACTAAATACAAGTACGGATTGTACACTACTTTCAATTTACTCAAGAGAAAAGAAAATTTGTCGCCAATAGGCTTGAATGATGGTTAGCAATGTAACCAAATCTTAATTTAATTTCAAGTATACGTACTGTAGATTAACGGTGGTGTAATATTGATCGACTTAATTTATAGCCTATCATTCAACTACTTCTACACTTTCCTAGCATTTCAACGTTATGTGAAGACTACTCTTACTAGCGTTTTAAGCGCTTGTAATGATCACAGTTGATGTCATCAAATCGCAATAGGCCTCCATAGATTCCATGGTAAGCTAACTTGATCTATGAAAAGGGTTGTCACGACTGTTTTTACCGTAGAAACATGAAATTATTTGAGAAAAAATGGGCGGTTAATTTTATCCTCCAGTGTCGTATCTACATGATGGTATCGTCATCATCATCGGCAGACGACAGAAATCGATCAATGGCATCATTACCTCATAAAGCTGACAAATTGTCCTTGATATGAATGATGTGCCTTGTACAAATATCAATTCTTGATGATCAAGCCCATGTTGCTTAGTAATGGATTGCTGCTTTCTTAATCCATTTCCGGTCTAAGACTTGCTGCAATAGTTATTGCTATCGCCGCCATTGAATACTCTGACAGATGAATAAAAGGATGGCTTTATTTTTCGGGCTTAATAAAACTAATCAATCATCATTAAAGGATTCCATTGGTAGCCCCTGGAGATACCGAAATATATCATGCATTACTTATTTCAGGATGAAAATGACGTTATTGTTCCATCTAATGGAACAATATCATATCAAGGGGATATTAATTTCTTACTACGATAATAACGTCTGATCAAACATAGTTGTTGAAAAATAACTTCAACATGGTAGATAAACTAGGAAGAGTTCAAAAAATATTCTAGAAAATAGCGATGTACTGTATCGAAGCTATTCTGTACCGAGTAGAAACAACTAGCTCTGCTTTCCCGTTGTAGAAATCTTGTATTGCCTTTGTGGACTAAATTAACATTCTAGTCAATTTCCAAACACCTCTAAAGTGGAAATGACTCCCCACAATAAAGGTTTCGCTCGTATTAATGCTTTTATAATTAATACTATTATAATACAAAATCTACCCTACATTTTCAATCTACGCGTGCCCATTGTAGTAATTGAAGCCGTATAAAGCCAAAGTAAAGTAGTGCACGCGTGATATGGAATCAGTTTTATTTTACTTGCTTGAGATAGTAAGTCACACCTGGCATTGAAACCAATCTACAAATAGGTTAAAAATTGCATTAACAGACAAAGAATGCAAAATCAGATGATTAGATGCCATGTTCAATTGTAGAATCGTCTTATATCAATAATAATTGATATTTCCATTGAAATCTCTCTTATTTAAATAATATCCCCTTTTAGAATTGTAATCTAGCCATTGGATCGAGTTGTAACACTTTCGATTTTTCAACTTTCCATCGTGTCGCCGAGCAGTACTTTCGTAAACTATTACTGATCTTGTTTTTGTTAGATAGCATTCTTTGCGATATTGCGATAATACCATTATCTATGAAAGATACATACATACATACATACTTAGATAGATAACTGCTTAGTTTTGTAATACTATCTATAAACTAATAATTATATAATGAATGCTTATGTAGATTTGTTATAAATTGGCTGACATTTTAACAAAGTTTGGATTCACTTTTGTCTAAAGAGAGACTAGTATTAGTGCTTCCTAACCACGGTGAGATCGTCAGTTATTTGAGTCGTACTGTAGGTTGATGTCGAGGAGGACAAACCTGACAATAGGCTCATAGTGTTATATTTCATGTAGTCTTTTTAATTTTCCTATTTACAATTTTACGATAAGTAACGATAGTATGATACATCAATGAATTGTCTTCTGCGGTTAATGCTTGTTACTCGAAAACTTGTTATGCAACTAGAGGAGAGTAATCATGGTTGTTAGATCTGGCTAGCCTGGACAGCATCACATTTCCCTTTGTAGAATGAATACATTCGTAAATTTTTACTAACTGCTGCCATTGCAATTTTCCTCCGGTCTTGTCAATTTAATGAATCTAGTAAAATAGATGAGCATCTTTAATTTCAAATATCTAAAAAGAGGAATCCAATGATCGCACTATCCTGATTAAGGATTACATTTAACTAGAATATTATTTGCGAATATGTTTTAGTCAAGTTGGGCTTGTTATAATTTGAACGATATGATACTAGGATAAAAAATTGCTGATGACGAATAATGTTGCTCATTTGTTTTGTATTGATTAGGAAGATTCTATTACTTTATCATGCAATCTTGCAAATAAATATGATAGTATACAACAATGTCGCGCCATATTAGCTGCGGTTGGTTTTGGAAGTAGACTATGCCATCTAGAACATTGGATTAATACGGTTAGAATAATTCCATTCCCTTTATTTCAGCAAGAAATTTACTCAAAACTTCAACTGCTCGATAAGCTTACCCTAGATTTTGTTGAATAAACTAGGAACGATTACCAAATATGTCCCTATGTGTATTTATCTTGGAACAAGCTATGTCGGTTAGAGCATTACAAGAAAGGGTCGTGGCTACTACCTCCGTTACTGGTGTAAGTAATCTCTTCTAAGCTGTGCACAATAGTAATGTCGACATTATAATTATTGTTATGAACAAGACCGTATAGAAGAAATAACGTTGATTTTCTTAATTTTATAATTGTTACAGAGTGGTAGCCAAGCTGGTAGGAGAACACTATTATATGGTCATGCAGTACTGCTACGCCATACGAGTAGTAGAAAGGTATTTATCATGTACCTACTCCCATTTTTAACTAACTTGAAATTATTATTTAATCCCAATGAATGCAATATAGTTCTGAAAATAAGTTCCTATGAGCTATCGATGTATTTTCTTAATAAACATGAAACTATTTTTTAATGGAAAGAAAGCAATTATACTTCTAAAAATGAATTCTTAATTCTATTAGTATCTATCTTGTTTGTCATCATGTTCGACTTCAGACAAATTAGCTTTTGATGTTGGTTTGGAACAGCATTCTCAAGGTTAGGATCGTTTACTTTGTTAACGAACTTATCAATAAATGATTGTACTATATATTGATCATTTATCTTTAGGTCTTGTATGCCTAATTAATAGTAGAAAAGTCTTATTACACCACATTAAACTGCCTTTAAATTACTGTATCCGATGTTTAACGATGTATTTGTCGTAGGTCTGTCATCATCATAGAAAGTTATGTTTCGGGGCATAATGTTAATTTTCCATTTTCAGATGAATCATGCTGGTGGACCATCCACCCGGCGTCACATCATCGATCCGAAGGAGAAAAAGTAATAGCTAATCAATTTTGAATATACAGATATTACAACTTCATTGTGCAACTTCTTGTTTTACTCCTTTGTCTACGGTCAATTAGCTATTGCAATTTGAAAAGCTATTTATATATTCTTAACGTCTATAAAACGTATAGGTTCGACTTGGTGATAACGTTATTTTCGTTAATGTATATTCCGAACGCTATTTGGTAACTTTTTCATACTTTGTTGCTTCTATCTGAACCTGTTGTATTGCATTAAATTAATTCATTAATTCCCTTTTCTGATTAGTATGTATCGACATCATCCAATGATTTAACCGTACAAGCATCATTTCAACAAACTGTATGGATTGTAAATCCTGTCATGAGTGGTTGGGCGTTAACAAAAAGCCGAGGTTTGAAATAACTCCTAAAAGTTATGGAAATATCTTATTTTTAAATTATTAGCTTTTGTTCGTATCCTTTCAAGGCTACTTGAACGGTGGCGATGTCATGCGCTTTATACGCGGCGGTGATGAATATTTATCGATACCTGATGATTATAAGTGCGGCTCGGAAGAACAGCATTGGTAACTCACTATGACTATACTAGATATATAGCTTGTTTATTATGCGTCTAACATACTTTGGGTAATTATTACACTGCCGATGCACTGATGATAAGCAAAGATTTAAGTGTGAGATTTTCCTTTTGTAGCCTTCTGTATTTTATGCAAGATCACTTTTGTCAAACAAAGTCTCTATGGCGAATTGAAGTTATACGACCAAGGCTCGTTAAGAAATTTAATCCAATATTTGTAACATAGACAACGCAAACTGTGCACCTTTGGGTATTTGTTTAACTTTGCGATTATGTAATTCAGGTGGAGCAGCGCATTTATCCGATGGGGACAACCATTTCGATTGCGTAACGTTATATCAGGTATAAATATATACGCTTAATTCTTTAATGATGACATTTAAATTCTTCTAGTTTGACAAATTAATACGTAATACTGTATTGCATGCTATATGTATAGGCCAATACATCGGTATGTCAGATGATAAGAAGCATTTATGTCTACTAACATCTGAGGCAGCGAAATCCGAAGATTCAGCATTATTTTGTCTGCAACCTTCTCAGGTAATTGAATAAAATATATACAATCTACCGATTTTGTCATCAATAAAAGTAGCTTACTACAATAATGTAATAGCCGAATTACACCGACTGAATTTTATTAAATCATTTTGCAAAACTAGGATAATATTTGTATTTGGGACGAAAAAGATGAAATAAACCAAGGGATGGGAATACCAGAAATAAAGTTTGGAGATTCTCTTGTATTCCTTAGACATTATAAAACCGGTTTATGGGTCGGTCCTCAGGTACGGGTATATAGCTGGTGATTCCATTAAAGTGTAGGCCATGGCATCATTAACGCATGTATTTTCCTACGAAATTTTAGACAACCCATGGTCAGCGAAAGCAAGTTATTAAAGAGGTTGATCATAAAAAATTTTAAACTTGAAAATGTTATTGCCTAAGTTTAATGCTGTTTTGATATTGTGTCCTACTTGAAATTTAGCCATTTCCTTTTAATATTATCGCTAATAAAAAATCATCCGACATTAAGGTCCACCTCTTAGTCGAAGGACATATGGACAGTGCTCTCTCTGTGACTAGGGGGGAAACTGAAGAAATTCGCACTGCTCACATAATCAAAGTTTGTTCTGAGCTTCTATATCAATTTTTAAGGTAAGAGTAAAAACATTAAAAATGTACGTAAATATTTTACATACCTACACGTATTGACTGGTAAATATTTTGCCTTATCCAACTGGCTGTTTACCTAAGCTGTCTTTGTTTGCTGTGATAGTTCCTTAGGTACTGGTAATTCCGATGATAATAATGAGTTAACAATCAAACATGAGACAGAGGATGTTGATCTCAAAGCTCTAGAATATATAGTTTTTATACTGAACGATCTTCTTGGTTACTTTGCATGGCAAAAAGAAAATTTAGGTACCAAACTTAGATTTACTTTACCGTAAAGTGATAATGTAAACTGAAATCGTTCTTCTTTACTGTTGCGATTAGCTCATGAAGTGAAGCAAAAACACAGGGTCGCATTAAAAAAGCGCCAAGAATTATTTCAAAACGAGGTAATGAATTGGCCATTAATAAAATAAATAATCTAACTGATATCATTTAACGATAAATATATATATATATATAAACCATGTTATAATTGCGCAATAATGATTCATCTCTAATTAGGGTGTTATTTCCCTGGTTCTTGATGTTATTGGAAAAATTTGTCGAGATGGCGATTCAAAGATAACTTTTCAAGACGTTCAAAATGACTCTATGTGGTTCAAAATTCACGATCTATTATTTAAATTATTAGGTAGAGAGACGATATTAGGGTATTTAAATTTTAATCCCCATACAAAAACTGCAGCCATTTTTAAACTCTTCTAATGATATACTATTTCTATACCTAAATTTTTGTAGCTGCAATGATACGTGAGAACCATACCAATTGTACTAAATTGGTAGAGGCCATATCATTAGATTGGCTACTGAAAAGGCTAGAAAGAGAACATTACATTGATGGTAACCCATGAATGCCTTTTGACTGTATAATATCACTTGCTATTGAATCAGCTAAGTAATGTTGTGTTAAAATTCTTAAACTGTAAAAATGAGACTATTTTTTGTAATGTCTAGGACTTTTACAAGTACTTTTATGTATTCTAACGGAAAGTTCGCAATCATTAAGTAGTGTAAGTTTAATTTTTCTGTAGTTTACGTATATCAAGATTTCGATTTAATTTTAGATTTACGTTGCCAATTTAGGTGAAAGAGCAACATATAAAATGTATGATCAATCTATTGGATAAACACGGTCGCGATAATAGGGTTGGTACCTTTTTTGGTGTTATTATGTCAGCCGTCGTTAGTCTATCTAATTTATTTCTCTATTCTAATCACAAAGTTGAAAATCTGTATTCGTAGATTCTAGATATGCTATCGAGGATATGCGTATGTAATGGCGTTGCTGTTCGTGCAAATCAAAATCTTATTTGTGACAATCTACTACCAAAGCAGAAGTTACTACTTCAAACAAAATTAGTAGATCAAATAACTAGGTATGATTAATTTATAAATAGAATAAACAAAGTACTATTTTACGTTTATCCCGATAACTTACTACATTACGAACGCTAAATTTTGAAAAAAATATCTATATTATGTTACCGTATATAGTGTAACTGCAAATATTTATGTTGGCTTATTCAATGGTTCTGCCCAACATTCTAAGTGGTATTTTGAAGTTGCTGTTGACCATGTTGAACCTCCATCCCAAGATTCGGTATTATGTGTTGCTAATAAAGCTGCATCTCCTATCAGTCACTTACGAATTGGTTGGAGAAATATTAAGGAAGTACATCATGCTGAAGCCGGTGAAAATTGGAGTGGTGCTGGTATAGGGGATAGTATATTTTCATATGGTTTTGATGGCGTCAACTTGTGGACGAACGGTCGATATCTATCAGTTAAAAATAAGCCGGTTTCCAAGGCTAAGCGTACAATGAAGAAAAGTGGAAGTATGTTTTGCTTCATTGGCCAGGAAAAGTTAGGATTGAATCATTCACTGAATATTGCTAAAGATGACCTTGACGATTCAATGGAAAGCTCTAGTGTGGCAGATTTTGACAGTGAAGATAACTCTTACAATGATGTAGATAACGAATTGAACCAATCTATTCAAGAAGACAAATTAAATGAAGAAGCAGCGAAAACAGCACCTCACCAGTTTCGAAATGGCGACGTTATCGGATGTTATTTAGATTTAGGCAAGCAGTCAATGACTTTCAGCATAAACGGGAAATTGATAACTGGTGAATTTAGAGATATTTCTATAGACAAACAACTTTTCTCGCCAGCTATAAGTATGTCCTCCACTGTTCGATGCCGATTACTGTTAGGAGGTGATTACGGGGAATTTAATTATAACTCAAGGCACTATGCTCCCATTTATGAAGGCTTAGACTATGGAGAATCGGTTAGAGTACAAGAATCTATGGTTCTTGGCAACCCTTACCGCTATGAAATCATCGGTCCGACAGCACAAACTGAACATAGTGTATTTATTCCAGCTCCTATCGATACTACGGACGTATCCTTACCCACTTATTTAAACGATCTTCGCGATAAATTAGCTATTAACATGCACGATATCTGGGCTAGAAATAAAATAGACGCTGGATGGAAGTTTGGAAGGGACAGAAGTGATACATTGAAAGTGCATCCTTGTTTGAGACCTTTTACTGAATTATCACAAGAAGAAAAAGAATATGACATTAAAATGGCTATGGAAACGTTAAAATCGTTGGTTGCATTAGGCTATGTTATAAACGTTGTTGGAGAAGGTAAAAATGTTACTAAATATCAACATTTACCTGATAGCAAATACCTTTTATCTAATGGATATAAGCCCCACCCGTTAGACCTAGCTCAAAAGGAAATTTTAAACGACCATTTAGAAAAGGTAGTTGAAATTTTAGCTAAAAATGCTCATGAAGTATGGGCAAAAGATCGTATCCAACAGGGTTGGTCATACGGACTTTCTAAAGATGGAGATAGAAAAAGAAATCCTATGTTAATACCATACGAAAAGCTTGATGAACAGTCTATGAAATCTAATCGCGATACTGCCCGTGAAACTATTAGAACCATTATTGGATTTGGATGTACCATTGATTCGCCTGCAGTCGATCTGAATGTTGATTCAGCTAAAAGCTTGTCACGTCAAGTTACAGATAGAGCCCAAAACGGCAGCATGAGGACCTTTCGTGTTGAAAAGATGTATGCTGTTCGTAGAGGCAAATGGTACTACGAATTTCACGTTAATAGTCCTGGTATGATGAGAGTTGGATGGTGCTCTGAGTTCTTTGAAGCCGGAAAAGAAGTTGGTGGTAGTAGTAACTCATATAGTTATGACGGATTCTTAGCTCGAAAGTGGAATCACGGTTCAGAAAGTTTTGGAAAGACTTGGAATAAAGGTGATATCGTCGGATGCTTGCTTGATTTAGATACTGGTAAAATTAGCTTTACGTTGAATGGTGAACTTTTGCAAGATGGAATGTCCTCATACGCTTTTGAAGACATCGATGTTACCGTTGGATATCTACCTGCATGTAGCTTGGCTGTTGGTCAAAGTGGTAGAATTAATTTTGGTCATGATCCAACTTCATTTAAATACTTCAACATATTTGGCTATCAAGAGAACTATGATCCATTTGGAATTGTTACATCTGATAGTATTCCGTTATGGTTTGCTAGCGGTATTGCTACATTCGAAACAATCAACGATACTCACCCTACTGTTAAAGTTACTGAATGGTTAATGCATACCCGAGATCATCCAACATTGCGAGTTAATAGTAAACCCTTGCGAAACTCCTCAGATCAAAGTCATAAGAAGTTCGATTTATTGCGCCTGAATTATCCAGTTAATTTTACTGTACCAATGGTCTCCAGTTCCCGTAGGAAAAAATCCAAATTTTTAGGAAAATATTGCTTTACATTGCGTATTTTTAAAGCACAAGATCCGTACGAAATATATGTAGGTTGGATATCATCTAAACTACATAACTACGGCAATAGCTTTGGAGATTATTCTTCGAGAAAAGCGACTATGAAGGGTTGGAAAAAACAATCGGACAACTCGGATGATCAGCTATCCTCGACTAATACTGCTACCCAAGTGCAAAAACTGCACAATGCCCTTCCATCCTACTGGAGTGATACAACTCGTGAGTGCTATATGGCCCGTGTTTCTGATTTGATTGCAGAGAGAGGGAAACGAAAGATAAGTTCAGCCGTGTTAGGTGATATTTTAATTGATTGTTACGCCAATGTTAATACGGGTAAACTTGATTTCGCATTCAATGGATCTACCTGCCAATTTACTCATTTCGACGTTGAGGAAGGAGCCAAACTTTATCCTGCAATCTATGTTCGTACTCCTAATAATGATAAAAATCTTTTTCAAATTGAATTTAGAATTTCCAAAGACTGCCTTCCTGTATGTTTTACTTCTAATTCACATAAATTATCACAAAAAAGCGATGCTACTCATCTAATTAAGCGACCGGTATTACAAGCTCTAAAAGCAAATACTTGGTGTAGAATGCAAACAAGCTCGCTAGTAACAGTCGAGAAAGCTTTGCGTCATGGATATGAAATTGAACGCGAAGATCCATCCTACAGTGTCATGATTAATATACCCGAGGAAAATCGTTGTATAAATCTACAAGAATTAATTGAAAAAGAAAAGTTAATGTATTTTCACACCCACACACTAAAATTATACAGTGCCTTGTGTTCTCATGGTAATATTTACGTTGCTGACAAAATTCGTTACTACGTCGATGAATGGCAGTTGATGTATTGTATTCAATGTTTTGATCTGCCTGATGTTGTACGCGTTGGTTACTATGATTTATTAGTATCATTACACTTAGAAGAACATGCTAAAGCTAGATTATTAACTAGAGGAGAATACATCTTACCTCTTAAAGTGGAAAAAGCAACACCAATATCTTTTACGTCCAGTAAAAGTGATAATACAACAGTAAGTAACGGCTCTTATTCCTTATCCGCAGCTCCCCTACCCGGCACGGTTTTAAGCCCACATAGGAAATCTGGTCTTACGCACGATGTTTCGTGCACAATTGAAGGCGCACAAGCGCAGTCTTATTCTATTCAGCATACTTCGTTAGATAAACCTCTTTTTCCTTTAACACCACTTAAAAAGCATGTCTTTAGAACTTTACAATATCATATGCAAGCCATTAATCGTAGTCGTAAAGAAACTCATCGTGAAAGTCGTAGTCTATTATTGGTACCGTTACTCAAAGTCGCTGATTGTTTGTTAGTTATGGGAGTACTAGATGAAAGCGACATGGAGCTATTGTTGTTACTCCTAGATCCGCAAAATTTCGGATCGAAGATGACTGTCTCTCAGGCAACCCTTGAAGTAGGGTTATTAAGAATGACTGACTTGGATGAACCCGTTAAATTGGAATTATGTCAGTTATTGGATCATTTATGTGATTGCCAGCTACGTTATAGAGTTGAATCTTTGGTTGCATACACTTCTAATTTCGTCGATGCTCTGCAAAAGGAGCAAAGACGTAGGCACAACGAAATTAGAAATAGTCAATATCCTGTTGCGGTAACTGCTAGAAAAACAAGAGAATTTCGTATTCCACCACGAACTCAACTTTTGATGTTATTGTCATTTAAGACGCGTGAAACAGCGGAAAGTAATCCTTGTAGTAAAGATTTACAAGTCTCGTTAAGAAGCTATCATAAAGACGTTCTGAAACATTGTGGTAAAGGAAATGGAATCATTAAGACTACAGAAAGTGTCGCTGTAATAGATAGATTAAAGAAATCGTTATGGTCTAGTAGCAAATCGACTAAAAATTTACAACTGACTAATGCAAATAGAGCGACATTGCAAGAAATTCTAGCTGAAGTCTTAATAGCTTGGGGTAAACAAAGTATTACAGATGTTGCTTTGATTAAAGCTATATTCCGTTTATGGTTCAGATTACATGATGGTATGGCAGAACTTGCTGAAGCTATTACAAAGACCTACACTATCAATGATGTTGGAGGTGATAATGTAACAAATCTTCTGAAAGCATTAGGTTCAGTTAGGTCGCTCTTAACGGTCAGGATGGGCGCGACTGAAGAGATGCAAATGACTAATGGATTGAAAGAACTAATGAACAATACGATTTTCTTTCAGCATCCTGATTTAATGCGTGTTTTAGGGGTACATAAAACAGTTATGGAGGTTATGGTCAACGTTTTAGGTAAGGAAGTCGAAAAACAAAAAGGTTCGCAATTTCAATCTTGGGCAGGTGCTACTATGGACCTTTCAGCATCAACTTCTCCAAAACCAGATGGACAAAGTGAGATAACTAGAAAATGCCTCTCTCCGGTTATGGTAGCTGCATGTTGTAAATTTTTATGCTTTTTTTGTCGTACCAGTCAACAAAATCAGCGTGCTATGTTCGAACATATGACTTATTTATTATCTCACAGTGATACCAGTGTTACATGCACAAGCATGGTAGGTGCAACACCTTTGGATGTTGCCGCTGCAGCTATGAAAGATAATTTAGAGCTTGTATTGGCACTTCGTAAACATCATTTAGAGCGTGTAGTATCGCTTTTAGCACTTACTGCTCCGAGTACAAAAATACAGTCAATATCAGATGCAGTTGATATGCTCACCTCTGGATCTACGAAAGCGAGGTCGTCGTCGTTACTGAATCGTTCCAATACTTGGAGTAATCGGATGCTAAGAGCTAGACGAAATAGAATTATTAGTAAGCTAGAAATGATGTTTGACGCAGGTTGGGAGCCTAAGGAAGGCGAAAGGTACCTTGATTTTCTTCGTCATGCCATTTGGGTGGACAATGAGTCTGTAGAAGAAAATGCATCATTAGTTGTGCGCTTACTAATACGACGACCTGAATGCTTGGGTCCTGCTCTGGGTAGTGAAGGAATGGGTATCTGTCAAGCATTCAGAGAAGCTATTTCGTTGTCTCTTAGCACTGACGATTCCGCTACAGTCAATGGTAAATCACGTTCAGAAGTTGGAACTCAAACTTTATCGTTTTACTCTAATCTGATAGATTTAGCTGCCAAATGTTCATCCGCTAATCCTATCGACTCGTATGTGCCTTCTGATATACGTGTTAAAGCCATTGCTGGTACGGACCATAGAAAGGTGGCTCTTAAAACTCGAGATCGAATTAAAGCTATACTTCAAAGTCTTATTCCTTTACGTGAAATCATTGGCGTTCTCAGTTTGGAATTTTCATTGCCTGTGCCAAATAAAGATAAAAATTGTATGGAATTGGAAACAAGAGGCTTGATACCATCACATAAAATCGCGATGGTAACATTTCTAGATCGTGTTTATGGTGTTGACAGTCAAGAGGTTCTATTACGTTTGCTTAATTATGCATTTTTACCTGATTTAACTAATTCAATAAGTTTGGATGAAGTTCCTTTATCGACAGAAATGATATCAGCTATTAATCGATACATAAGTGGTAGTGTTATGCGTTTACTAACTAATCACGCCCATTTATTCAATGGTGCTGATAGCCAGCCAGAATTAATGGCTAAGACTATTGACGTGTGTTATCGTTTATCAAAATGTTCATTCTTAAATGCCGCTGGTCAAGATAGTGTCAATGGATTTCTACTTGCTTTTACATGTGAATTAAAGCCTAGTCTAATGATTAAATCATTGAGAATATTAGCGCACGATATGCCGGTTTTAATCGAGGAAAATTCTGTAGGTTTATCTATACTTGCTAGCCATTTTGAGCGTTGCGGTAAATACTATAATTCATCCGGTGGTTGGTGTACCCTGGGTACCGCTTCAGCAGAAGAAAAAACGTTAACTATGGTATTGTTTACACAACTCTTAGGAGCATTGTCAAAAGGCAGTTATTCGAAAAAATTATTTTCTTGTGCTTTATCATGCTTGTTTAGTAGTGCATGTTCACTATCACCGGATTACGTCCTTTCTCAACCAGGACAAACCATTTCTCCGGCCGCATCTTTACATCGTAGCCTTAGTACCGACTTTGAGGATATTTATATACCGCAACCTGTTAATACGGTTAATGTAATTTTAACAGATGAATTAAAACACTTAATCCATTCGTACGCATGCAATAAGCACGACATTTGGGCACATAAACAATTTACGGAAGGTTGGTCCTTTGGTTTCGAATCCGATGAATATGATAAAAAAGATAGTTTACTCCTTCCATATAACTTGTTAAGTCAAAAGGACAAATATCATTTAAATAAATATATGAATGATTGCCTCAGAACAATTTTGGCCTCAGGCTGGAGTATAACAAGTCATGGAGATATCACGAAAGAAGAATTAATCCCTTACAGAAAGAGTGCCGTCAATACAAATGTATCGCAATCGCCACATGGTTATTGTCCAGCGCCACTTGACGTCTCTAGTATCGAATTAAGTGCTGAAACTGAAAATATAGCTGCATTTTTAGCTGATAATGCCCATCAATTGAAACAATTTGAGGCCTTAGAAGCATCTGGCAAAGGAGCAGTTATACTGATACCTTATCATATATTACCTGATGAAGATAAAGAGCGATACCTAAGCCAAACTCGAGACTTTCTTCGCTACATGAAATTATTCAAATTTGAATGTACTCGTGCAGATCGGTGTACATCTATATTTGGTGATACATTAACTCAATACTTTACAACGGAAAAGAGATTTGCATTTTGCCTACTACAAAGTATCATCGGTTATACTAGACCTATAGAATATGAACTAAAGCAGCGTAAAAGCCCAACCGATCCAGTAGCTAACACCGACTTTTATGCTAAAGTATGCATACCACTTGTACAGCATTACTTTGAAATACATCAGTCGTATTTTATTGCCACAGAAAATCAACAGCAGACTGTCTACGGTGCAGCAACTGCTAGAGAGAAAAAAATGGTAGCAACATTGTTTTATAAATTAGCCATGATTGCTAGAAATGATTGCAATTTATTCGGTTCTCCAGCAATCGTAGTTGATTGTATTCAAGTTATAGTAACCGTTCTAGACATTGGAGCATTAATATTTCATGGGTTTCAAGATTCAGTATCTAATCTGCAGAAATTACTATTGACAGCTGCAGAAGATTTAAATAATGTGGTAATATCTTATGAATCAAAGCTTATGCGATATATTTTTGACGTACTTCTACCTATTTTGTGTTCATTATTTCGACAAATATTTAAATACGATGTGAATGGAATTTTTTCTTACGACAAGGTGAAAACTGCATGTTTCGGCATAATTAATAGTTTATATCGACTTGGTTGTAATGACAAGATACGAGATCAGAAACATTTAGCTGATATTGGAAATTGCCTGAATTTAATATCGGCTTCATTTACTATGCCATTCTTAGAATTGAATCATACCACTGTTAATTTATCCTTATTTGTTAGACCGATTTCATCAGACCCTTTCGATATAGACGTTTTAGCTGCTGAAAGCAAACATTTATCACACCACTATAATGATATTAACATTGGTACAAATCATGGTGGTAACTTAGCAAAGTCAAGCAACGAGCAATCCCATAATGACAATATAAGACTGTCGTTGTCAGAGAGCGAAATTAGTAATAGCTACGCATTACCAACAATAGACGAGAGCCCAGAAATTCAATCTCATTCTAATTTACCGCATTTAAATGAATTACTAAATATGGTTGATGATTACGTTTATTCGAATTGTGGATTCAAAAAATCGTCTTATATTACTGATGTTATATTGCCAATGTTATGTAGTTATATATCGCATTGGATTTGTATAAATGGACGTAACAGATATACGAATTCGACAACCACTACCGATGAAGGTAGCAAAGTCAACGAGAATTATGCTAATTTCCTGCTAGGTCACATCCTGCGTATTATTAATACGAATTTTGTAACACACGATATTCCAACGATATATCGTATAGGTGATTACGCTTTACCTTTAATCAAACACTGTTCAGCGTCATTACTAGATACCCATTTCTTGCCAGTAACTAAAAAATTAACTGATTTTGCAATCGATCTATATCGACGCGAAGATAGATTAACCAAAGTGGCTGATTATGATGCTCAAGATGAGGTTGATGTTATGGAAGATTATATCAAGTTAGCTCAAAATGTAAGAACATTTTATCCAATGTTAATTAAATTAACAGATAGGCATAAGCAAACATGGATAACTGGATGCAATAAGACTGGTGAAGAATTGTTTCGATATGTTGCTGATATGTTCAGTTGTTGGCATCTGTCTCAAAATTTTCGTCGTGAAGAGCAAATATACAATTCAAGTACTATGGGTAAAAGTAATAGTGATTTAATAACTCAACTGAATGAAAGCGTATTTCAAACATTTCAAAAAGTCGGCCGAAGCAGATTTACATCTTATAATTTATTTCAAGAGAGCAGTAACGGCAATCAAAGCAACAGTAGCTTAGTTATCGTTTGTGTAAGAAAACTGTTAGCTGTTGGTCTTAACTTTATTAATTTAGCACAAAGACAATTAATGCATGAAGCTAAGTCAAAATTAATACAGAAAGAAACAGACAGCGATGTGTTGTTTTATGTAATAAATAAGGTGCGTAAGATGGGAGATGAATCAAGATGGGCTAAGCGGATTGTAACATCATCGGCTGCGTTAATATTGGGATTATCATTTGATGACGTTCAAAAAGAGCTTGCTTTAAAAATAATGGAATATTCTCGTGTACTGCATCGGTTACATATTGTGGATAATCCACAAAAAACAATCACCAAGTCATGGAAAAAAATCTTATCGCAACAACGCAAACGAGCAATTATGAAATGCTTTACTAGAGTGCCATTGTATAATCTGCCTAAATATCGAGCTGTTAATGTTTTTATTGATGTTTATCGTGAGCTATGGCTAAGTGGTGAAAAGTGTGATGGCAACGCTTTAGTTGAGACTTTAACAAGTATAAAAGTAGATGAGGACAACCCTTTAGAGTCCGATCCATTGTCGCAATTGGTATTAACGATTTGTCGTGATGCTAGCAATCACGAAGGTGACTTTAACGCTGATAGCGAATTGTATAAAATTTACGCCGATATCATGAGTGAGAGTTGTATCAAATTCAGTGAAGAGGATGACGATGATGATGTTGAAGATGGATCAGCGTCAACATTTGAAGAAAGTGAAAGAGCTAAACGACGATTAGATCAGCAGCAAAGTAGACTTGCCGAGCGCAATGCAGCACAAATGGTATTAATACTATTAACTGAAAGTAATGGTGTTGTAAGCCCTACTATACTTAGTATCTTACGGTTAGGGATATCTTTACTTCGAGGTGGTAATCAAAATGTACAAGAAATCATGTTAAAATATTTGCAATCGACACGAAATGTCAATTTCTTTACAAGTTTAGCTAAATTGACTACATCTTGTAGTGTTCTCGATTTGGATACATATGAGCGTAGCGCTAAAGCTGAAATACTAGGCTTAGGATTTAGTGATGTAGCTGCGGGTAGTGCTATCCATAATATCGAATTTATTTGTTCATTATTTCGATTTCTACAATTATTGTGCGAGGGTCATAATCTGAAATTTCAAGATTATTTGCGAACGCAGGCTGGAAATACAACTACAGTGAATATCATAGTTTGCACCGTTGATTATTTATTGCGCTTACAAGAATCTATTAGTGACTTCTATTGGCATTACTCGAGTAAAGAAATTATTGATATACAAGGAAGAGAAAATTTTAGTAAAGCTATTCGTGTAGCCAAACAGGTATTTCGGACATTAACTGAATATATACAAGGTCCATGTGTGGCTAATCAATTCACTATGTCAAATAGTCGATTATGGGATGCTGTAGGCGGTTTTTGGCATGTGTTTGCATGTTTGCAAATGAAGCTATCTAAAGAGACTTGCCATCTAGAATTATTGCGCGAATTGCTAAAATTGCATTCTGAGATGGTGATCATGTTATTGAGTATGTTAGAAGGTAGTAATGCTAATTCGGGCTCAATTGCTAAACAATTAATGGAAACGATCATAGATTCATCTGAATACATCGAAATGATATTAAAATTTTTCAACATGTTTTTAAAATTAAATGATTTGGGTAGTTCTAAATCCTTCAAAGAATTTGATATAGATGGAGATGGATGGATATCCCCAAGTGAATTTCAAAAAGCTATGGAACAACATAAAATTTATTCATCAACTGAGATTGATTATTTACTAAAATGCGCAGATACCAATCATGATGGCAAATTAGATTATATGGAATTTACTGAAAGATTTCAAAGGCCTGCTCAAGAAATTGGTTTCAATCTAGCCGTTTTAATTGCAAATCTAACTGACCATGTTCCTGATGATCCAAGGTTAGCCCACCTGGAAGACCTGATCTCAGGAATTATGACTTATTTTGAATCAAGTCTGGGGAGGATTGAAATCTTAGGTCCGAGTCAAAGAATTGAAAGAGTGTATTTCGAAATTAAAACGGAACATATTGATCAATGGCAGAAACCACAAATACAAGTGCGTATTGTGTTGCTAAAATGTTTTAATACGAACACTAAACATTACAGAAAATTTCGTGCTTTTAAAAAGAAATAACCGCTGCAAAATCATTAAGCTATAAGATTACCGACAATTATATTTCGTTAAATACAGGATTCGAAACGGACATTCTTACGTGACGTAGTGACTAATGGCAATGCGGATAAAGAGAAACTTGAAAACTTCGTTGGCTTTTGCGAAGATACTATTTTTGAGGTGTGCTGTAAAATGAAATGTTACAAAATAAAATTCGTTGCTAGCTTGTAACGAATTATTAAACTTTATATACGTAATATGTACGTCGTAAACTAGATGCAATACGGTGCTAGAATTAGTGGAACCGCTAAAGCTGAACAGATTCAACGTGCATTGGAAAAGCGAGAAAGGGATTTTGATGTTCCATCACCAAAGTATTGATACCAAAATTTTAGCTTTCTAATACTCTTATAATGAAGCTTAATCCTAATTTTTACTAGATCAAGTTACTGAAGTAATGAAAATCTTGATTTTTTCATTATGTAGACCTTTTCTATCGTCAATACGGAAAAAACTAAGTTGGAAAACCATAAAAAATTCCGTTTCTCCTCTAGCCTTTTTAAAATTAATGCTTTTTTGCGTGATCTTACCTATAAGCTTTTCAGCTCGATTTCTTATGCTTTTATGGATTTGGATCAAGTAAGTAACGTGCACATTGCATCATATTAATTATTATCGCCTATTTTTTCTTGATTACTTGACCTTCAATTCAATAAGTGTTCTAAATTTACTTTCCATTTCTTTACATTATTACAGTCACACATTAAATTTTAGTAATTTAGCTAAGAAAGATACTAAAGCTAGCCGTGTGGAATTTATATTCCCTCATCTACAAAAATTTAAAAGCCTTTTTAGCTTTACTGATGTTCGAAAAAGAAGCAAAGCGATCAGTTTTCTTTTAACTCATTTAGCCAATTTTACTATCAAATCGTTCAGTAATATAATGGGTAGTAGTAGTGAAAATGTAATGATTGAATTTGATTGGGATAACGAGGAAGATGGTGAAGGCAAACATTCTTATAAACCGAAAATAGCAGCAGCGAAACAAACGATTTTGGTAATAAGTTAAATTTTGGACTAGTACATAGTATTCATATATCTTCATAATAAGAACGTAAAACTACTAATAATGTCTACGGTGTATTCTTAGTCTTTATTTGCAAGAAGCTACTACGCATCGAGAATAATTGCTCTATTAATAGCTTTTGGAATTAATATTATCTTGCTATTTTGTAAAGTAAGTTTATAGCCATTAGGAGTAAAATGTATGATTGGTTAGGTAGGATGTAGGGTATCTGATTCTATCATCTTCCATTTTGATTTTTAGGTCACACCTGTTACTGAAAAGAATGAAACTTTGTCATCTTTGGGCAACAGTATTATTTTGGATAGTAGCAATAACTACCTAGATTTGGCATTAATCATACTACCAATTTTGCATCTTCTTGCATCCATTGCAACACTAATTGCTTATTGGAATTTAAAGGTTATACATTTTACTGGATAGCAGACAATGTAGATATTGCATACCGGCTTGAGCTACATTAAGTGATGGCCTCTGGTATATATCTTTTATCCAATTTATTTTATAATTGTGTAGGTTCCATTGGCCATATTTAAAAGAGAAAAAGAAATTGCTCGAAAGTTAGAATTTGATGGTTACTGGGTAACAAAGTCTCGTAGTCAGGATTATCGCGATTGGTGGGATGGTATAGTCATTAATTGCGGGTAGGCCCTTGGAATAATGAGTTTATCTAAACAGATAATCATTCGCAGGCTAACCTTTAGGAATTTATATGTATACCTTTATATTTAAGATCATTTCCGTCAATGTATTGGGATAAGTTTATAAAACGCAAAGTAAGTAGCTTCATGCTGTTTGTCTAGATACTGAAATATCACAAAGAAGCAATAGAGATAAATTTTTATTATTAATTGATTTGCTATTATAATACTATAGGTACGAGATAAATATAGTGAACACGATAATGATTACCATCGTATAACACAAATATTGAATATTGAAGACGACGAGAACGCTTCTGAAAAGGGGCGGATACAGAAGATGTAAGTTTGTGATTTCAATGAGCGAAAAGTAAGGCCAATATGAAGGATTTTTATCATACCACAAATACTAACATTGTACCATATAGGGCTGAATTATTGGATTTAAAATACTGGATATGGAGGATTGGAGTAATATGTACTGACAGGGTAAACGGCTAATAATGAAAATTACCTTTTAGGTATAAAAATTCCTTTTAAAATGATTAAAACTATTTTTTCGTTGCATCCTAGAATTTTATCTATCTACTCTTTTACTTGCTGTTTTCCTTACTTGGAAATTGTTTGAATAATTTCTTCTTCGCCGTGCACTTGATCGACTTTGGCTTCGGTAATAAAACTCTGAGTACCGTATTGCAATCTGTTACTCATCACGGCCGGCAGGTAATGTTAATCCGTATAGCCTACGAAATATTTTACTCATTACTAATAATTCATTACTCAAATTTTTCAACATATCTCATTTTTTTATCATCTTAGCTAATAATGACGCTGTTAATGATGGCTGTGGTGATTTATATTTACGCTGTGGTAGCATTTAACTTCTTCCGCCAGTACTACAGTAGAGAAATTAGAGGCAGACCAGAGTACAAATGTGATCACATGTTTACGGTATGCAAAAACTAGCAAGTTCCATGATACTGCTATAAGACAATTACTCAACACTATCTTGGTCCTTTATTTATTCTTCATTGTAGTGTTTTATGTTTCATCTCAATTCTGGTCTACGATCTGGCGGTGGAATTGGTAAGTTTATCTAACTGTAGATGAAATTATAATTAATTGATAAAATTACATTACAAATTTGCATCGAATTTTTACGTCTATTACACACATACCTATGCTAAATGTCTGAAAACTATAGGTGATACGATCGATCCTGCTGATGGTGACTTATACGAATATGAAAGAATCGCTTTTGATTTTACCTTCTTCTTCTTTGTAATCGTTATTCTATTAGCTATTGTGCAAGGTTAAGCAATTACGTATAAGGATGACTGAAAACTTTCATATTAAATTTCTTACGTGAGTCATATCAAGTTATTGATAATTTTTTTTATTGGAACCACATACAATTATAGGTTTAATTATTGATGCTTTTGGCGAACTTCGTGATAAACAAGAATCTGTCAAAGAAGACCTAGAGGTGCTTATTATTTCAATTACTTGTTACAATTAATGACATTTACAAGTCTGTTGACTATGTCATGGTACACACATTTTAGAATAAATGTTTCATTTGTGGAATCGGAAAAGAACACTTTGACAAAGTACCACATGGGTTTGATATTCATGTAGAGAAAGAGCACAATCTCGCTAACTATATGTAAGTGTCTTGTTACCGAATTTACTTAATTATGACATCGTTTGTTGATGTATGAGACCCCTATAGTGATATGCTTTGTTGGTTTCAGGTTTTTTTTGTTACACTTGATTGAAAAACCCGAAACGGAATATACTGGGCAGGTAAATTTATCTATGAGCAATACTTGAATAACTGTATTCTCTATTTTATTCGTAGAGAAAATAATTGTAGCTTTCTGTTGCAACTCTGATACGAACTTTTTGTGTTAGGAATCTTATGTATGGGGTTTATATCAACAGAGAAGATGGGAATTTTTCCCCGTTGGTGACTGTTTTAGAGATCAGTACCAACGAGAACAGCAACTTCTTGTAAATAATACGTAAATTTATTTATGCTCATGCTATATTTTTAAGTTGTGCAGTACTAGTATTTCTACTACTTAGCTTTAGGATAATATTACTATCAACTGGAGCACTTTTCGCAATGACAAATTAAAATTAATTATGTATTAATAACACTAAAATACACGAGCCCTTATTTTCAGTACCGATAATTGCTCACCAATACTATTATCCATTTAACTATACCTTTGTAAGTATTAACACGTGAAGTAAATAGGGAATTTCGTTTGTTGTCTTGCGATAATTCTGGCACCGACAATTGATATGCATTGCTTATATTATGTTTATTTAAAAAATGGTATTAACACAATGGTTTAATTGTATCGTATTGGATTCAATTTACTGTGCGAAATCTTATATAACATTACCTATTTTTTTCGAGCTCATAATTACCTGACCGATTTAAATCTTCGACAATCCGGTATATAATATCGATAAAAGCTTATATATCTATGATACTGAACAGGTTTTAGCTGCACTATAACGTAAAATCATATATATATATATAGATAAATCACATGTCATTGAACACATACAGTATTTGTAATATCTATTCTATGCTGATAAATGAATAAGGAGCATTAATAATAGCTGTATATGATTGTTTTAAGAAAGCCTTCCTATGAACGTAATCTTATTTTGTAAGTGATTCTTTGTAATATTTATATGACATGCATATGGTATCAAATTACAATTAGCACAGTGACGCAATATAGAAAAATTGACATGATATTAGCAAGCGCTATAAGTTAAGTTATTTAATTGGTATCATTTAGTCAGTTTTACTGTGTAATGTGTTTAAGTCGCTAGCGTGTAATATCTTCTTGTTTATTTTCAAATGTTTGTTTTATTGCATTAAAGTTGATCTTTCTACATACTGATTTTTTATATAACAATAATGAAAATGACGAAATCTTAATTACAACTTTATGCTCATAAATTGCAACTTCAACCTCGCTTTCAACTAAGGATGCGTGATAAATTGTCAAGCAAATCGTTAAACGAATAAATTTCTTGAATTCTTTTATGCTTAAAATGAAATAAAAAAATATATGATTTAATTGTAATTGGTACCTTATTGTGCATTGCATATTGCAGCTGTTATTGAATTAATTAAGACTAGTGCAAACTCCCGTCGCTTTGCCGACGGTTTACGATAATGTGCTCATTTAACAGATAGTATATTACCATTTGTCGTAGACCTGTCAGAGGTTCGGTAACTCTATACCGTGTAATAAGCGCGTTTTTGGTGTCTGAGTGTACAAGTTATTTCTTATCCGTGCTTACGATTTACTCTACATTCATATATAGACTACTGTATTTAGTTATTACGGTACTCGCTGTTTCTACAATCATCTGCTATTTTGTAACCTGTTATGGTATATGTTGTATCTAATTCCACAATCTTATTCTCTGCATGTGCTCTATCTTTAAAACTATAAATACCGGCGATTTCTACCTCAGATTTCATTAGCCTCTCAGTTAGTCTTCTAGTTAGTCTCTCACAGTCTAATACTTCTACTCGTTACTCACGACAGCTTGCACGCGATCTACCGTAACTACCTCACTGTACTTCACATTACTAACCTACAATAAGCATAACTTTTATAAACTCTTTGTTGTAATAATTGTAAATGGCGACTAAATCTCAATCCTCTGAGATATCGAACCCTCCATCACAGGCACCATATCCGTGAGCGCTAGGATTTGGTGATTATTTGTTTCTCAAAAACACTGCTACTCATAGAATTGTTCACTAGCTCGTAAGACAACACCGATGATTCAGTTTAAGTAAAAATACAACAAAAGAATGTACTAGTGCCAATTTAAAACAAGATAAATCATTTACAACCTATCATGCTTTGTTTGCTTGCAAAGAACAGCAGTTCAGTACCAAAGTTATCACACCCCACTGAAATCTAGCAGTTCACAATCTTATAAGTACCCTCACAAGCCCGCTAATTCTAGACTACAAATATGGTATTGGAAATAGCCAATCAGAGTTCTGTCTGATAACTTCTAAAATATTTTACAATTACACTATGTAAAAAAGTAAAACTGCTAGTTAGATTCACTTGTATCTAACAATTTTAGCTTTCTCCCAAATTTTCCAGTCTATAACGAAAAGCAAATAAGAAAAATTACTCTAATGAGGCCCTTATCATGCACAAAATATTTCGAATAGATTATGCGAGTACTCTTGTAAGCACTTTGTAAAATAAGGTCAAAGCTCTGTATACTTTAACCTATCAAAACAGTCATCTTATATATTACAGTAATAATTTACTTTATTTATTACCTTTTCATTTCATTAACAAAGATACTTTACAAACAAAGATACTTTAAGGAATAGAATAGTCTAAGCAGATGCAAAAATAACAAATGCAAAGGTACTTCTAATTTATTTAAAATACAAATAATTTCGATACAGATTTACGATTGAGCCTCGAAATCAAATTATTACAGTATAAACATTCGTTAAGTATACAGTAGCATTACATTTTTCAGGTGTTAATATTATTAGCAAGCCTGCGAAATGTATTCGTACACAGCCTGAATTAAGAATTGAAAATTTGGATTAAAAGACAGGTTTGCAGAAATCAGCAAATCGCTTCCTTTCAATTCATCGATCGTAGGGACAAAATCCTTTAGTGAAATTCCTATAGGCAGAAAGCGATTTTAATTTTCGAAGAACATAATTGGTTTCCAAAGTGATGTATTTAAAAATTTTTAAATTTATTCCAAAATGTCAAACATTTACACGAATACCTTGCTCATAACCAAGTTGGATTATTTTGAAGAATATTGTTTCTTGTGCAACAAGTAATGGATCACTACTTTCCATTTCCGTCCATCTGCTCAAAGGACCAAGTTAAGGAAATATTAAATACGTCGATGACTGAATAAAGCAAGTCTAAAATTACAAGTAAATATGCTGTACTTGTCTCGAAGGATAGCTTTCGACCATATATAGAGTCGTAGTTTTTGGTGGCCATCGGTATCAAGCTAAATTGACAAAAAACACCGAATGTAATTCTAACACTATCGCAAGGTATTGTTTTTTATTTTTAAAATACTGTGTAAATAATAAACCGTCACATATTGCAACTTCACAGTGTATGTGCCGAGCAAACTATAGCTACTTTAAAGTACAATATTGGCACTATGTTCACTAATATTACTGCGCGTTTGCTTTAATAACCAATACTTAAAGACAAAAATATAGAACTGACCCCGCGAAGATCCAGTAGGTCCAGTGCGTTTTTGAAGTCATATTCACTTGCATCTTCATTTTTATCTCCGACAAAACCCTGAATTAGAGATGAAATCAACATTGACCATTAAAAATCTTTTGTAGTAATGAACAACTATTTATGATAATTTTACCTCAATTATGTCTGGAACTGTTAAGGGTGGCATAGAATCTGGAGATCCGAATAATTCCTACATAGTGCGGAAATTCTACATTTAAATGCGAATATGAACAGTTCTAATTTGCAATAACATCGAAGACATACCTGGACGACCGTTTCTGGTAATACCATTTGGTAATTGACCACATCTAGCTCAGTATTTGTTGCTATAAAAATATGAAGACCGACACTTAAGAATATGCGAGCTCCTTATATTTCGAAGACAATACGTAAGATAGCAATCGATGAGAATTGATTTCCACTGATAAAGTATTAAGTAATTACCTTTCAGCCTTCCAGCTAATTCCATTGCATTATTCTCTTCCGATGATGCCAGAAGAGATAGCTTACTTAAGCTAAGAAATGTCTTTATAACATGATGAAATAGTAAGCGCACAACCATTAAGGAATTTTGAAAAGATTATTACTTACTTCTTTTCTTGACAGTAAGTCCTTTTCGTTTTCGGCTAATTCTTTTAATGTATGTGACGCCTACATTATCACGCAATCAAGGGGCCAGTAAGTTAATATACCGTGTCTATAACAGCTTTGGGAGTATCTTAGATACAGTGTAACATTTACTTACATCCGTAAATGCGCCAATTTTTACATCGTGAATCCAGCTCAAATTGGGTCGAGATCTCAAAAAGTTTTTTAAATTTACATCCTGAGAATCATGTAACTCCAGGAGCTTACGATATTCACCTATAGTATACAGTAAATACAATAAGCAATACAGTTGCTGCTAGTTGCTATTGGAATTAATAGCTATTATTTACCTCTACTCAAGTACCATTGGAAGACAAACTGTGGAAAACCCTACGAGGAGGTAGTGGGAAATAAAGAGGATTTATCGACATTTTGTAAAACATTTCGCAAAGTCAAAAATAGGCCTAAAGAATACAAATATCTTACCTGCTGTGCAAACTGTATCATATATTCTTGCAACTGATCTTTATTATTATCCTCTTCGCATAATCGAACCAACGATTCAAAATCGTAAAATTTCTCAGCCAAGGTTGCAGCTCTTACGGTTTGCTTACCATCCACTAGACGATAATATAACTAAACTATTATATTCTATAGACGGTTGCATAAGCAATAATATTTTAACTAACAAAGAGGCCTGATAAGCGTGCAACGATCCTTCTCAAAAGATTCCAGCACCTCCTTCATTCTGGTTTTATTATTGCAAAATCTACATAAATCGATCATGGAAGAAGCATTCAATACTTTTAATGCATCGCAATTTAACATTCACATAAATAAACTCACCTCAAAGAATTTAACTGATCTTCGTAACCTGTCAAAATTAGAGTAGTCAAATCCACTAAGCGAGTAAATAAGCTATCCCTAATCTGTGAATTCAATTTCAAACAAACATAAGCAATAGCATGCATAACTATTAATTTGATGATTAATACATTACTAATAAAAAACGAACTTGTGGTCCTATGTCTTGATCGAAGACTCTTTCTACTATAATTGCATGCTGAAATGCAAGTTCAATAAGTCAGTTATTAGATTTAACTATCGTTAAGTTAGAAATTTAGAAAAGATAAAAGTACCTGTTGTAAAAATGTAGTTCTAGCTCCTTTTAAACCAGTAGAAGCTAAGTTATAATAACAACAATTACTAAAGACATCCAAGAAACCAATACAATTTTACGCCAAAGCTTTGATAATATAACGTTAGCATTACCTGTCCAAGGAATATATTCTAACTGTTGATATGAAGAATCTTGAATATATTTAGCTTCAAAATTTCTACGACATCTTAAAGCATCCTGTAGCACTTCCTATAATAAATATTATTAATATGCGATAAAATAGGTTTTCAATGATAGCCGTAATAATGTGCTATCTGATGTTACCGTAATAATAAAACTTATGTCATCTACGAGCTGGCCTATTTTTTCAGGCTGCTTTAGTTGCGATTGGCACATTTCCATTTCATAATTTACTAAATATGGCAAGACGTCATCAATCATAGAAACCTAAAGAACGAAATGAGTCTTTTTGATATGATCGAAAGCGATTGAAACTAATAGTTTAAAAATATCGGTTAAATTTCTACTTATCATCGTAAGCATAACAGCATCTTAAGGAATATTTATTTATAACATGTACACTTCACGTCCGACAATCAAACACCTACATCTTTATAAAATAAATCTTGCCATGTCAAAATCACTGAAGACTTCAGACCACGATCTTGCATGATCAGCTTAATGACAGTGTCGATTAATTCGGGATTTCTATCGAATCAAGAAAGCAAATAGTTAATGCGATATCATTTTAACCAGAATGCCTTCAGAATTGTCACTACTTTACAGTACAATATTTTAAGTGATGGCTATTGTTTGTACGATCGCACTTTATATGTAAACTTCGTAGGGCAACCGCGGCACAAACTTTTTCGGCGTGCTCGCACAAACTTCGGAGGGTTGAAATTTTTCGATCATTAACATTACATACTGTGACCTGCAGTATACAATAATGAAAGTTTCTTAATATAATAAATTCATATTTTGCTTTGAAGAACTGAAATAATTCAAAATTAGCATTTTACGCAGTTACAATACCATTGACTTACTCTACTTAGAAGATTTAAATTGGACAAAAACTCCAGATAATGACTATGCGTGCGTAGTTTATCTTCTAATTGATGGATTATTATTACAGAGCTGGTAGATGTCCCTTCTATATAGTTATTGAATAGAGAAATCATAGCTCAAATATTAGGCGTTTAAGATTAAAAATCTATTGCCAACGTTAAATTATTGCATCAGTTGTGCATTATCAATGAAGCTACTCATATTTAAATTACCTGGAGTCAAAGAATGTGCCCATCTTGGATCTGCCGAAGGAGGTTCGTCGATTAATTTCCTACTGACTTCGATTATTGAATTGTCTAAAACTGGACCAACAGTAGTCGGAAAAATATCATTGCAGATTTGTTCAGCAGTATCCTGACAAGAAAATTATTAATACTTAATTTGATTAAAAATGTAAGCCGGTACAGATACATTCCATATAACATCGAGTTAGCATTGTCAAAAATATCTAATCGATAAATTTTAAAGTAAAAAAATTTGTTTATTACAAAATCGTCTCCTGTGTATTGAATAAAAGCCGCTCGCAAGATACCAGGCATATCACCCTCCGTATCGTTCAATATGGAAGAATAGTCTCCCTAAAATAACACATATACCAACAATTACAGACATTTATTACGTTTTAATGCAGAACCAAACTCAGTACACTTCTTCCGGACACTACCTTATACTTGATTGATGTTTCCACATTTGGATGCTTTGAAGCATTTTCATGTTTCGAACTTGTTAGACTAGTAAATGTCATAATTACAGCATTGTATAGTTGAACACAGGTCTATAATTTCATTTCAATGATTCTATGAATCCCCGTGCTGAAATACCTGATTAAACTTGTTGCTTTAGGAAATAAGGCATTTACTGCCCCACGGCTAGTAATATATAGCAATACACCATTTATTGCGCCTAAATGAAACAACCATCATATTACGTTATATAAATGAGGAAGGAAATACATGTAGTTTTATCAGGGTAAAGCACTTACCAGAACCAAGAATGAGTTCGTAACGCGATAAATTCACTACTGGAATGATATTGCTTTCTATCAAAGCGAATTATACGAAAATAATGATGATAAAATGTCTGTTGATGGTAATCTACCGCTTTAACTTTATTTCATTACCGAATAAATAATAAATGTCATCAATTGTCCTAATAAAAACAAATTCTCCAGCATTTCCAGTAGAAATATGTAAAGTCCATTCATTATCTTCGGAGGAAACCTATTGAATAATTTGAAGTTGTTGATAGTTTTTACTAGGAGTGTAGCATTATTAGCTACGAGAAACTAAGTATCATTGCTCCAATATAAGAATCTCTATATACCGGTTTAGGAGCATTTTCTGATAATTGCAAAGTGGAAACAATGTTGCAATCGTACGGAACATCATCCTTTAAAATTATGCGGACTATAACAATAATAAATGATATATTCAACTACTTACAAGTTTAATAGGAACATACTGTATTATGCTAGACATTGATCATTATTGACTTTTTATGAATATGACTTGTACTGATCAAGCTAATTGTTAAACTATTAACGATATGAATATAGATTAAACTTACACAATGCCAGTCCATCTTCGTAGGATATTCCATTTACAGTTGAAGTTATATGTACTAACACTAACAAACCGGAACTAGATAACGGCATACATACCACATGTAGATATATGATAACAGTAACATTGCGTATGTTACAATATCAAGTGTGATATACCAATGGATGAAAGATTACTTTTAATGTTCATTGTATACAAAGTAACAAAAATTTAAATATATACTTACCGGTATTTGCTTACATCAGTAAAGTAGATATTTGATCTATCCGTATCAGAAAAAGTACTCTAAAAACCATTTAGCACAACATACGATTTAGTAAAAATTTGAAATGTCTACAAAAGGACATTGTGATCGCTTTACGGATAGGATGAACAATGCATCGTAATTACCAAAATCTCTTTAGCCGGTCCATTAGCAAACATTTGATATAAATCGCATTCATCAATTATCTATAAACGTGATATTTCAAGGATATTGTAGATATTATTAAGACATACTTTTCAATCTAAATTAAGCTTATACCGTGTGTCGACGTTAACCTACGGTAATAAATTTACAGCATGCAGTCACATGCACGTAAGCAAGTTACAACGTAATTTTTTACCCTTTCAGTACCATCATAGAATATTCTCCATGTGAACAGTCTGCTATTTGCAATAGTATAGAAGGTACTGCAAGCACATATATTCGATCGCTGTGAGTCAATTCCAATTAAACAATATTAAGCAACAGAAAATAACTAAAAGTACCAATTATCTTTGTTTGATTGAAATCCATCCAGAATTTGAGATTTCACCTAAAAGTATAATTCGTAAAGTGTACAGTTTCTACTTGGAATGATACTTAGAGGCAACTTTACTTGCAATTGATTGCTTACCAGAGATACAGAATCATCACTTGAAGTAAAAAATGAAGAAATTCGGCGGCCAATACCAGCGAAAAGTCCAACTGATTTTCTCAACTCTTGATAAGTTACATTTAGCTACATAATATCACCCATTTCATATCTTGGTCATTGGCAGTGTGTTCAACTATTTATTCAATTCAAATATCTATTTTGCATACCTTCATACCAACAGAAGAGGGTTGTAATAGAAATAATTTGCTGGATTTCGTAGATAAAATGCATCCAAAAGGCTATACAAATAAGCAGTCATTACCATCTTGGAAAAGTTTAACTTGAGGTAATTGTTGTAAGCTTGAAATCACTCACATTAATCACAGTCATAAAGCAACAATCATTTTCACCAATTTCTACGATTTTCATTTCAAAGTAGGTCGCTTGCTGCATAAAATTAGGCCAATAGCGCACAATACCTATAAAAGTGGATTTTGAGTTAGAGGAGACTAAACCTACGAAGTGTTGGTTGATAATTTAGATTAGCGGCAGTTATACTTCAGTTACTGCCTTCTTTGGCCTAACATAGGCATTTCTCAAACACACACAAGCTAAGTCGCTTTATTGATTGTGGATAATTCATAGGCAGAAGAAACAGTATAACGGATCACTTTTATTGATGATACGGTATTACGTTGTAGCTTTATTGACTTACCATCAGGAGAAACCGCGACGATAGAAACACTGTTTTCTGTATCCACAGTAAGAATGCTAATTAAATTGGCAGAGTAAGAATAATTTGTAGGAGCCAAGGGGAATTGGTGACAAAGATTGGTTGCCTTTACCGTTGCAAAGAAAACAAAGTGTTACCATTGAAATATCTGTATCTCATTAGAAGCACTGCTATACTGCACAAAAATGATTGTCTAATGTGGATATGTTAAAAGTACTAGTCCACTTTACGAGTAAAGGTGCCAACGGTAACTGTCACTATAAACGTCGGAAAAACACACTTAAAATAGTTCAACCATTTTGATACTGTCGAAAATCTATCACCAAAATTATCTATTTTCGGTTACTGATTACACACACACATTTGGTTAAGTGAATAGGATACTTGTCAAGGAAACAAGCAGTTTATAATGTAATGGAGTAAAATATCTCATTTTTCCCCTTCCTGGAACTAAAAATGCTATTCATTATTACTGATTGATATTTACTATGATTGCAAAATTTCGCATTTTTGGAGATCTCAATATTATCATTACTCTAGTCAAGCATGCCTTATTACAGTGGTGATTCCTATTTACTCGCATGACATGATTGATTAAAACAGGAACTGAGTATCATTGTCCTTATGTCGAAGCAAAGAGAATGTAGAATGCCTAGCCAGTCTACCTGCTTGTCGATGACACTTTGCTTCCAAACAAAGAGATTATTCTTGAAGATGATGTATGACCAACCAGAAGGAGTAATCCGACCGGTAACATTTTCAGAACCTAACAACAAACGATTGCAATAGGTTACCTTGACAAGAAATCCTTCACTCATAACATCTTGTACCGTAGTCCATGTCTGCACGATCCATTGATACTGTACTGCAGGTGAATAATACTTTTATGGCCATTGATATTCATTTCGACCTACCTCTCATGGCTGTTAAACGTTCGGATAACTGTACAGGTAGTGTGCCCACATCTTCAATGGTGAATTCATTGGTTTCAAATAAAATACGTCTTTTATGTTGATTGGATGGCGTTGATCTAGGTTATTGATCAATGGTAGTCAGTATTGGGTTGCCATTGCAAGGACTGATGCTAATAACATGCCTATTCCTACTCTATCAGCATTGGACTCGACTTTATTGCAAAGGTAAAGTAGGACATAACACGTCATCCAACACTACAGCATAAAGATGCTTAATCGATTGAAATTGAACCCTTTCTCACGAGCAAGTCGAGCTTATCCCATACTATCCACGATGATCTACTTGATGAACATCATTAAGCTCAATCTGTCTGCAGTATCGGTCACTCCTGTCGACAGTAATTTCAACACATATTGATAGTACACCAATGGATAAAAAGTAAACCTATTTCTAACTACTCTTTCGACTATTCACTATCCAATAGACAAGCTGTAATCCTCCTACAATAACTCCTAACTCTTGATGCAATACAACACTAGCAAGCTGAAGACAAGCTGAAATCATTTCCAACCGTTGCGATGCCTACCGTCTACTGCTACTACGTCCCACCAACAACGACGATTTCCCCTTTCCTTTCGTATTCGATCCTCTGGAAGGCCTCAACGACGATGGAGCATCTAATTTGCGATTGCTTGAATTCAGCATGGCTAAGAAGGAAGCGATTGCAATTTTCAAGGATAGCTTCTCGATTGTGGCTAGCCAATGTTGCTAGTACTTGTTTTCGTTGCAATCTTAATTTTGCCGCTCTTGACTGCAGTCAAAACGTCTGTCCTGTGACAGTATGTCAATGCAGCGTTTTAGCCTGTCTAATCCCTATACAAGCCTTCCAATAGGACTGATTTTGACTGGATTTAGTATCAACACGTCGATAGACCACTGTAGACCTTACTGGAAACTATTTGGTAGTCGCGTGGATCGATTTCTTCCTTGCCTCTCTACTCAATGCTGAGCCAATTTTTCCCTCCCTTGACTCAGTCTAGAGTAAGTTAAGCAAGTTGAGCGCATCTATTGGCGTCTTGTCTACCAGCTTTCTCTCCAGCAGTCCATCCAACAGGATAGGATAATTTGAAGCTGCTTTTAGTCTAGAGAAAATGAAAGGATCGATTGACCCAGCTTGTATATTTTACAGCAGACGATGATTTATGGATCACTGCTGAAGAGCTTTTTACGTTGGTAAAGCGCTATTTGACATCCATTTTAATCGCTTTTACTATTACAAAAAGCAAGGGATCGATCTACCTATCTCCGTGCCGTTGAACCCTAATGTCGCTAATTTCTGCCTCCATTTTACATCCACTTTAGCGGCATGCAACATAGCGAAAGCCAAGAAATCGATAGACGCGTACACATCACTTTACTACTGAACAATTTTGCCACCTCCTAAAACTAGTCTAATTTCTTGTCTTGCCACCCAACAGCATTCATTACGCCTGTTCAAGATCTTATAATATAGTGCTATCGATATAAAGTGAACTATGCAAAGTATAAATCGAGTGAGGAGTAATAATCATCCGGCCTCCATTTTACATCCTCTTGAGCAGCATTCAAAGCCAAGAAATCGATAGACGCGTACACATCACTTTACTAATGAACAATTTTGCCACCCAACAGCATTAATTACGTCTGTTCAAGATCTTATAATGTAGTGCTATCGATATAAAGTGAACTATGCAAAGTATAAATCGAGTAAGGAGTAATTATCCGGCCTCCATTTTACATCCTCTTTAGCAGCATTCAAAGTCAAGAAATCGGTAGACGCGTACACATCACTTTACTACTGAACAGTTTTGCCACCTCCTAAAACTAGTCTAATTTCTTGTCTTGCCACCCAACAGCATTCATTACGCCTGTTCAAGATCTTATAATATAGTGCTATCGATATAAAGTGATCTATGCAAAGTATAAATCGAGTGAGGAGTAATCATCCGGCCTCCATTTTACATCCTCTTGAGCAGCATTCAAAGTCAAGAAATCGATAGACGCGTACACATCACTTTACTAATGAACAATTTTGCCACCCAACAGCATTAATTACGTCTGTTCAAGATCTTATAATATAGTGCTATCGATATAAAGTGAACTATGCAAAGTATAAATCGAGTAAGGAGTAATTATCCGGCCTCCATTTTACATCCTCTTTAGCAGCATTCAAAGCCAAGAAATCGGTAGACACGTACACATCACTTTACTACTGAACAGTTTTGCCACCTCCTAAAACTAGTCTAATTTCTTATCTTGCCACCCAACAGCATTAATTACGTCTGTTCAAGATCTTATAATATAGTGCTATCGATGTAAAGTGAAAAGTACAAGTACAGTATGCTTTGCAAAGTATAAATCGAGTGAGGAGTAATTATCCGGCCTCCATTTTACATCCTCTTTAGCAGCATTCAAAGTCAAGAAATCGGTAGACGCGTACACATCACTTTACTAATGAACAATTTTGCCACCTCCTAAAACTAGTCTAATTTCTTATCTTGCCACCCAACAGCATTAATTACGTCTGTTCAAGATCTTATAAAGTAGTGCTATCGATATAAAGTGAACTATGCAAAGTATAAATCGAGTAGGAGTAATTATCCGGCCTGCATTTTACATCTTCTTTAGCAGCATTGAACATAGCAAAAGCCGAGAAATCAATAGACGCGTACACATCACTTTACTACTGAACAATTTTGCCACAACCTAAAACTAGTCTATTTTCTTATATTGCCATCGCACAGCATTAATGAAGTCTGTTTAAGATCTCATAATACCGTGCGATTGATGTAAAAAGAAAAGTTCAAGTACAGTATATTATGCAAAGGATCGACTAGTCTTCATATACTGTATTATTGCGAAGAAATTGTTCCACTTCAAGCTGTGAAACACTTTTTGAGTTTGCTTTTCATATTGCATAAAAGCTAAAAGCTATTTGAAAATCGCCTACTATTGACAAGTCTATTGCAAGCTGCCAATAGAAATCGTTCTCCATGCGTTTTTTGCTATTGCAATTTCATGTCCGAGTAATCTACTCTCGGTACTCAATCAAACGCAATTTTCCAACCGGAGGCTGCAACAGCGTTTAGTAGAGAGAGAAATACAAGGTTCCAAGTATACTACCAAGGTGCCATAGGCTATGACAGCCTGTACTACCGTCCTGTCTGTACTAGTGCACATTGGCCAAAAGCCTCGGCAATCTTTCCACGTCCTCTTGCCTGCTGTTGCTAGTCGTCGAGTGGCGATGGCATTGGAGAGCATTTCTACCTCATAATTATCACTTATCTCTCTTTACAGTAGCTGGATAGGATGGCAGTACCAAGGATAATACGTAATCTAATCATCCGTCGGCAATCTTACTTCTCCGGACTCAAGTTGCCGGTAAGCGAATACGAGTCGTACCCCCTTATGTTGCTGATCAGCGTGATTAAAAGTCGAGCCAATAAACTAGTCTAGTAGAGCAAAATATCGACCACGAAAACAAGTCGATATTCGAAGAAACCTGCAGTAAATTGATTTAGTTTTATCATTAGACTGGTCACCACTTGCCGCTAGCTTGCTTGTCTTCTTTGTGTATCCATATCAAAAGTGACTACTGTACAGTCTACAATCATATGCTTCCATGGGCAAAATATGGCACCTTAAAGTTGTTCAACGTCTACTCTACTTGCTTGCTGTACAATTTCCATTGCACTCTATCTTGAACACAAAAACTTTAATAGGCATCCTTCTCTTTAGTGTAGATTGGATTCCATATCTGCTTTAAACGTACTGTACTATCCAACGCTAATACTGCAGCGTGCAAAGTCTACTTTGATAACATTTTAACCTATTTCGTTGTTGTTGAACGTTATTTCAATATGATAAACTCAGAAGAAAGCACCGGTAAGCTGGAATTTCCATGACGACGTCGGCCAACCAGATCCTCAATCGAATATTAGACCTTTCATTTTAAGAGAAAAGTCTCTTGAAAGCCCAAGTGAAAGATATTTAAGGCAGATGCGAAGAGATGTACAAGAATGGAATCATCAGTTCTGGCGGGAGCAAAATATAAATTTTCAACAATGCAAGAAAGAATACATTGCCAAGCGAGATGCTAATTGTAAGATGAAAGAGAGTAATGATGAAGAAACGCATTTACATGCTGATGAACTTGCAGAATTTTATGGCCAATTTTTAAACGATAATTACAAGATCCATATCAATTATAACAAGTAAGGATATTTAATGGGCGTACTGGATTTAGTATATATACAGTATATATATTTACAATACAAGCCACATCAGCTAATGTTTTCGCAGTCGCAGAGCACAATTAGTTTAGTTTATACGCATCTTTTAGCAGGCTTCCATGATAATTATTTGTAGATTATGTCATCAACCTTGGTATGCAAACATCCTACTGTATCGACTATAATTATAGAAGCTACACCAACTAACGTTACTCAAGCTTAAATGTGTTTTCCTGCCTGTCTGCATTATTCCTTGATCATGTTCTCATGCTTGCTATACAACATTCTGCTAAACACCATATGATTCATAATGAATAGAAGCTACATCAATCAAGGTTATTGCAAACTTAGATGTATTCTCCAGCCTGCCTGCATTAGTCGTAGATCATGCTTACCATTGCAAATATTTCACATATACTTGGTACTAATTTTTCAATAAGCCATCGTTTAAATCTACGCTAACCGTAACGGATTCCTAGCAACAACATCATTCATGTCCCAATCCATGAGATTTCAGTATCTTACCATGATTTTGCAATTAAAACCAGTCATCCTTAACTATACAGTCAATTTGCAATACGATTGACATTTGAGTTCATGGACATCATATAAATGTACGCTATTCTAAGTGGTAGTAAAGTAGAAAATGTTAATGTCAACCTAATGTAGCATGCTTGTGGAATTGACTTCAAAATTAATATTCTTTTTTCATCTTTTAACTGTTGAAATAGGGAATGGTACAAAAAGAATTTCTATCTACTAGCCTTAACTGTATATACGAAATTAAATACTGTATACCGCAAAATGATACCTAATAGAGCGTAATCCTCCAAAGATGTATTAGATATGAAAGCCATAAGATACAGGGAGAGTATGCCCAAACACTGTTCTGTTTTATGCTCTCGTTAGCTTATTGCTTTTGATTCTATTCTATTCCAACTTACTAAAGACTTGTGTACGCCTTACAAGCTTCTAAGCTCAGCTCTGATGTTACGCTGCAATATTCTGTAAACTCGTGATATATCAATTCTTATAGCCCTGTGTGTATATATTGTACAGTATTTTTGATGCACCCTATCAATTTCAGACCTACTGATATTAATTCATTGTTGTTTGATAAATGATATATATATTATATATATACATCATCCAAAATTTGATATATAAATTGACATAGTTTGTTTTGTGGGATAGTAAGAACCTCAAAAAGTGAAAGATAGTTCAATCATGATCTCGGAAGATTATATCGTACGAAGAAGGAATTTAAATTAAACTGGAGTCTATTTTATACTATCTAAATGTAGTACTGTACTGCCTTGATGGACCATACTGTCCATGTTTAATGACAAAATCATGTTAATATTAATTTCATTGGTATGATAATTTGTATCGAGTTAATGGAATTACCTTCACTTGTATTCATTCAATAATTCATGAAATAAGATTAAGTGCCATTATCATCATAGATATAGAAGATCGAAGAGCAATTGGCATTTATACAAAATGAATAAATAAATTTATTCACTGCATCTAGACGGGGCTTATTTGCACGGATGTATCTCCTATGAAACTCTTTCGTGTTCCATTTTTATGCTGCCATCGATGCAAAAAGATGGATTTCAAAAATAGACTACTGTATCCATCGGGTAGGTCATGCCGATTCAATCAACATTGCAAATAGCGAAATAAGCTGATACTGATTAGAAAATCTATAACATATTTACTAGTATAAGAATATGAAATAAAGGAGTATTAGGATGCATCATATCACTACGCATATAACCATTTCTGTGATCGATGATGTACTTGCCTGTTAAAAGAATGCAAGGTATTTTATTTAGTACCCTTGAAGAAGTAACCAACAACACCTGTCGCAGTTGTGGTGGTAACTTATAACGTGATATCCTCTCCTCCGTTCCGTTAATTTCCCTGTACTGTACTTTATTTTGCTACTTTCTGCAGTAAAAATTCATCCTGTATACTGCTACCCTAAAATAATCATTTGTGGTGCGGTTGGAATTTGCAATTCGACAGCCTCCTACTTTTCTACCTTATGATCACTAGAAACTATCCATTCAGTTGAGCGTTAATCCGAAAGAAAGAGTCAAGATTTCGTAACGTGACTGTAGACTAGTTTAGAGTCTACAGGAATAGTTAACATACGAGTAGCTGTCCAATGCATAACATGGAAGATTTATATAAGTCTTATCCTTAGATCGATAATTTCCGGTTAATAAACAAAATCCTCGATCGGTTGTTGTTTTCGTTTACGCAAGATTTGTCAACAGGACATACTGTCGAGTGTCGCATGAGAGAGCAGAGTCTCTATACTACAGTATCAAATCAGCCTTGATGGCTTGCACAGTATGAATGCGCTAGTATCGAGTTTGCGCCCCATGTCCTATTGGGGTCCTTCCCATTTTTATTACTGGACACCTAGAAATATTGTGCAATTTCCCAACTTGCAGACTACCAGCCATCGTCAAGTGGCATTGAAAGAAACATTTTTCAGTTCTGGAGCATTGGATCATCTTCTGATGGTTTCTAGTAGTAGTTTACGATAGATAGAGATCCAATATACAGTGCAACGACCACTTCTTGACTGAATTATACTGTATTTCCAGAAAGAATACTGCCTGTAGAGTGGATTACTTCCAAAGCATCCCGGCAAAGGAGAATATTTTTTACTTGTTACGCGTACCCAATCGTTAACAAGAATCCCAAAATCCATTATGGGTCAAGGACCGAGTAGGCAAAAGATAGTTTCCCAATATTACCGAAGTAAAGAGGAAAAAGATGCCTTAATATTCCGCGAAATGATGAAAATTAATCAAGAAAAATTATCAGGTAAGCTCAGCATAGCAGCTTGCTTGATATCTACATTTATTATGTCGGTCTCGCCGAGATGTATTCGGGAGCATTGACAGCAATCGAAACGGTACAAAATAGAGAAAATTTCATAGGACTATATGCGTCTAAATCTAATCCTTGTCTTTATCATATTGCTTATTATGTCGTCAGGTTATACAGTACAATTAATTAATTAATCGCTGTAGAAGCTCATGTCACTACCGACCGCGACGTGCGATCCAAACGATTATTTACTTCTTGATTTATAAGACCACCGTTTTACAATGGTAGGCTAGTAACTGCCTCATCTGAATTTCGACTCGATAATTCAGTTCATTTCGGAAACAGTAAACTGGAACGTAATTTTACTAACTTACAACTTGCAGTCATGCGAATAAATAATATCGTAGATGTTGTGTAACACATAATTTAGACAACCTTGCCATTGAACCGGTAACTCTTTTAAGTTTTGAAACTTGATCAAGATTGAAAGTTATAGCCATAGCTCGTGTAGAAAGTCGTACCGCATCGACAATATGCCTTGATCTATTGCAGTATGCATGTACTTATTTTCTGCTGATGTAGAAATACATTTGGAATCATAGCTTTCTTTCATCATGAACATTAAAAGGTCAACCTGTCCTGTAGTCCTAGAGAGGATTTATTGAAGTATAATGTAGAGCAAACTTAATTTACTGTATAAGGGATCGAAATAATTGCATCATCGCTTTCGAAAATTATCACAAAAGGAAGATCTTGTAGTATACACATACATTCTTAACGATTCTACTTCACAAATACGCTAGAAAGCCTGTATTCTATACCTTGGCAAGGTTAAAATAGCTATACAGAAAGTATTCATGATAAGTTCTCTACAATGATACACGAAGATACGAAGGAGGCATCATAGCCTTAACTGATTCCCAACCGCTCGATTTAGTAATAAACTAACGGCACCTGAAATTCATTTCTTAATTAGCCATTTTTGACTAAGTGTAAATAGAATAGAGTAATTCCTTGCATTTATTTTAATATGAATTAATTTCTGGCATAGGGAAAATTCCACAGATAGCAATTACATGTACAATTATCATTTCGTCAGGGAAATTAAACCATTTTTTGTCTAGTAGTACCGGTATCGCCCTTGAGATAGCAGGGTACTTTCGAATTCCTCTCTTTCACTTTGTTCAACCCAAGATACAGAAATTTATGTGTAAACTCTCACTAAAGGCCTTTTTAGCGTAATTCTTGTACGAAATCATGCTACCTGATGAATGATGTTATGTTTGATTAATCTACCAAATTATCTTTACCTTTATCCAGTATATAAATACATAGGCCGTCATTCCTTAATTAGCATCCATATTGAGAATAAACGTAATGCGCTACTGTAAATACGGAATTAACTATTTATTACACACTATACGAAGTCAATTGACTCTAAAAGAGTTCATCATTTAGTAATTAGATTAAGTAATTATCTATATAGGCCATCATGATAATCACTAAAGTATCGCATAGTCTAGAATAAATTATTTAATGTGAAGAATGATTACTTTGGAATGAATGTACAGTACTTGGTCTCTGCTTGAATATGTATCATAAATAATTAATTTATTCTAACCGCTAAATTCACTTTTGCATTTTTTTATAATGGATTCATCATCTCAAGATCGAATCAACAAGTTAAACGAAGAGTAAGTTTATCTCTCAAACTGGCGAAATTAAATTAGTTATTTGAGGTGTCAATGTTATATTGTTTTGAACACCATTCAACAAACCCATAGGCTGTAGAGCATGAAGTAAAATAGGGAGCATAATAGCAGTTGGGTAACTTATCCCTTGCATGAATCATATCAGTGATCAGTAATAGATCGAAGATATATGTGGTGTACTAGCCCCATGAGAAGTGTCATCAGTAGCCTCCATTTTATATTGTACTTTGCTCGACTGCTAACTTACTTCAGCATGACTTCTACACTACAACATGGACGACGGTTTAAGTTCATTATAGTATTTATCAAAAGTAGGCGACAACTCATAAAGATTTTAAATTAATTAATTATGGAGCATCTAATTTAAATATCGATATGTTGATATATTATGTTTCCGATCGCTTAAGTTACTGATAGGCATTTCTGAAATGGTGTTCATACGATAGATTGCAAAACTTAAAACTGAATTCTGTCTTACATGAAGTCGTATCAGTGATCAGTCATAAATCAAAGACATGCATGACTGTAATGAATAGCTAACCCTAACCCTAACTATGATTATCAACATATCGATATTTGAAACAGTCACTTTAATTAATTACTGTATATTCAATTCAAAATTGCGATAATTCGTCGACTACTCTTAATGAATACTGTAATGAGCCTTGACCGGATATCCTATGTCCGCTAATGCAATAATCATAGTTATCACTATTTTTCTGATCGCTGAAGTTGCTGATTCGTATGTTTGATGTGATGTTTATACGATAGATTACAAAACTTAGCCGACGAAGGCGGGAAGCAGTTAATGTTTTACCAAGTAGAAAAAGAAAACAGCGGCGATGATGATGACACCTCGACCACGTGTGGAGCTGGTACGATTTCAAAGTCTAGAATACAAATAATTTGTAATAAGGTATGCTTAAATGTATATAATGCGCATAACATTCGAAATGCAACATGACATCGATATGCTATAGTTGATAAGTTGTCATTTGCGTGACCAGTTCTTTTACTATTTCCTAAATTCATATTATTCACTAGCGATGATGATAGCATTGAAATAACCAACACTATCTAATCAAAGATAACTCAACAATGCGATGATACTCATATTTCAGCGTTATCGATTAGATAGTGAATTACATGGAGTTATAACTTATACATAGTATTTATTATATACTGTACACATTTACAATGATATCGTGTTGCAATAGTCAAGATTATAAACACTCTTAGCCTTTTTTCAGAGTAACACTGATCGCCTGCTACTTGATGGATATAACTTCAAGTGCATTAAATCAGACTTATCTCATATTTATAGTTTACCTTTATAGTATGCCCCTTGTTCACGTGAAATCTGCTTTCTTATGTACAATTTAGTATAACAAGATTAATGGTGTGGTGGAGAGTATAAAAGAACTGAATTTGAAGCAATTTCTTTACTTAAGTCAAGATATTATGGAAAAATTGGTCCTCGCAAAGCAAGAATCTAATCAGGTAGAGTGCTGTTGGATGATAGTGAATTCGTTTGATCGATGTTATTGCCTAGTGACTTAGTTTTTGCTATCGTGCACTTTGTACGAGTATTCTGCGTATTACTGATACCTATACAATTGAAATATGTACTCATTGTTTGCTATATGTATACTAATGAAATAATAATTATGTCGGTCGATGGCGTATGCTTAAAGTTAGTTACACAGTCAGGCATGTTGTTACTACACTAAATTAGTGTTAACTATTGCATTATCAAAAAATTATTGAAATATCTATCGTTTAAAATGCTATCGATTCGATGTATTCAAGATATCTTGACTGACAATGTAAAAATTGTGATATAGAGCTAGACTTCGTATATTTTGGTGGTCTCATAATATTGCTTATTACAAAATAGCACCAAGAATTGTACTCTATACACGGTTACGACATTGCAGTGTCTAATTTATTAATTACCGCGTGAAGCCTGCTAGTCCATACAAACTGTAAATTGAATAAAAAAGGTTATCTATAATTTTATTTTAGAATGCACCTCTGGACTTGTCAGCTTCCGTTATTTTTTCGGAGTAAGTTCCATTTAATTTAAAATCCTATATCTTATCTTTGTACGTTAAATCATACTGATTGCAGTTTCAATATCACAGCTGTCACCGTGAACTCGATCAAAACAATTACAAGGATGAGTGTTGCATTTGTATGGATAGCCAATCAGACATTGCATTACCATGCATGCATAGCTATTGTCACGAATGCATTAATGCTTGGTTAGCGTTTGTAATATGGCAATAACTAATGATCGTCATCATGCTAGTCATATTGTCATTACTCGAATTAGAATATCAATGAGGTTTACATCCTGTATTATTTCAATCCTCGACCTAAAATGATTCAATTAAATTTTAAATATTGCTACTACAGGTTCGAACAAAATCAATCGTGTCCTTTATGCAGGGATTCAAGAGGAGTTGACGATTGCTGGATTTTATCGAACCCTCCAGAAACATCGGAGGTTGCGGGAATTCTAATATCTTTGGCTGAAAAGGCATTAGATCAAAGCCACGACTCGTGATATAGCGTAAATATATGTTGTTTATTACTACCTTACCAGTGTATTACTTTATCTACAAATTTTAAAAGCATCCGTCGAGAAAAAATCTACGTAATGGATTTTACTTTTAACGACTGCTTAATTTTTATTAAGGGTATCTAATTTTATATTAATCCGTTGGACAACTTACAGGTAGCATATAATTGGTATATAGATACATTTTTCGTATACTGTATACAGATATAATTATATATATATATATATTAACTGTATCAAATATATTCATCAAAATACAATCATACTTTTGTAAAATATGATAACTACTCTGTTGCTTCTACAGTAGTTTGTATCTCAATAAGTGAAATATGATATTGTAATTAAACAACGGTGTAGCATCCGGAATCTTATTGTTTGTGTAGATATTAAGGAATAGAATATGCAAATATTTTCTGTTTTGTCTATATCTGTATGGTTCTTATCCAAAAGAAAGAAGATGCCATATGCTATTACTACTAATTACGGTCAATAGCTCGAATTCTGTCTATATGTATAATAATGTATTGCGAACATGTGTAATGTCAACTATTTGCCTAGAGCTCCATCAATAGAGCGTTACAATTCGATTTCATTAAGGATTAATTACAAAGAAAATATTAATAAACTATTTTACTAGCATTGTAAGGCGCTTTTGTCTGATTGTGTTTAAAAACATTTTCTCTTCAAACTATCAGTAGGAGCGAAATATAATTAATCAATAAAAATGCCAGCACTATCACTGTTAATGAGTTGTCTTATAGCAGCATTTACCAAAGTATCTTCAATTGCTTTCACTTTTTCATCGTTACTATGTAATAACTAAGTTTAGTAGCAATATAACAAGCACTATTTTAAAAATACAGATAAGAGCACATTGACCATTAACAAATAACTTCAGGCGCAAAATAAATTTTTTAAGTGACTGCAATGTGTTACGGTCCTAGGCACTTGATATCGCAGGCTATATGCTATTCACAAAAGCACGAAGCACGTAATAAAAATACGCGTATGTATATTAGATAAACGGATTCGCACGTATCTCGTTTTCATTTACGGCCCTTCATGAGTTCTTTAAAGTTGTGGATCTCTCTTATGCTTTCTGAGAATCTAAACACAGATATGTAAGCATTGATTTACTTACAACCATTACTGTATCCTATTGATAATTGATTGCATTGCAAACGATGTCTACAGTCAATAAATTTAAAATTGCTCAGGTAGTACCTTGCTAATGTATTAATTAATGATATAATTTCAGGACGCTTCAAATGAAATTTATCTGCGTTATTTAAAGCTTCATTTTTCACTGAAAAGAGGATCTTTAATGCCGTACCGATACCACGGACCTGAATACAAGAACGAATTAGTTAGTTATCCAGGTAGTGTCACTCTATTGCGAAGAAGATACCAATAGTGAAATACAATGAAACAAATGCGACATGGCAAACCTGTATCTTTCCCCACAAGCGACATTTATTACATCCAACGCAATCCATTATCTTGGAGATATTCCGAAAGTGATCGCGAAATTCTTTCTATAATAAGATCAGACGCAAAGGTGGTTAGCTATAATGTAGATATACCGTACAAAATAGATTATACCACCTTTAACGCAAGAGCTTTTTCTGGCTCTCCAGCAAATAGCTCAGTTTCATCAAAAGATCCATTACAGTTTGATCTATAGATTTAAATGATTGGTATTAGAATTTCTTAAAATAATGGTAATGTTGTTTAACTTCTTTCAAGCAGTTAAATGATGTAAGAAATTACTTTGCTATGGATACAATATCTAGTATTATTCTTTTAACACTTTCATCTTCGGTGGTGTTGCCAGTGTAAAAATCCATTTTTTCCCAATATGGCGCAGCTTTCGTAACAGCTCTTAATAGCACCAGGTAGGCAAAATAGAGATTCTTTAATTTCAATGGACCTATTAAACGATATCAATAGTAAGATATATTTAACATTGGCTACTTCCACTAGCTGATTGATGACATAATTTATTTCTACAAATAACCTTCTCCATTGGTATTTTCAGAAGAGAAACGATTTTGAAATTCATGTACATTAGGTCCCCAACGAAAAGAACTTTTACCTCTCATAAAAGTAGCTTTTGTGTCTGTAATGGCAGTAAATATTGGCTAAAGTTATCATTGTCTTGTTTATGTCGGCGCCAATGTAAGAAATTGCCGTTACTCATATCATGGACTATTATAAAGACTATTTTATTAGTTCATGCTCATACATACGAATATAACATGTAAATAAAGACGGTAAGTTTAACAAATGTTAGTAACTGGATTATTAACCCAGTGCGAGCATTAGTTTACCTGGTAAAAGATATTTAGCTGATAAATGGATATTTACGCTGGCATGCATACCAGAAATTAATCGAAAGAAAGCTCTCTTTTCAAGACAGAGTCCTTGTAAAGCACAAAATTATTATTATCATTATCACGCCTTGCCATGTAATCTTCAAAATACAGTAGTGCGATTTGTTGATGATAATAACGTTAAAGTAAATGATCCAAATTATTTTACCTTGCGTAAATCCTGATATAGCAATGTCTTTGTAAGACTTTGCAGGACTATAGTATAACATGAAGTAAACGTGCTAATTTAAGGGATCTTGAAGAAAATGAAATAACAGGAAAAGAATGGCAACTGCATTTTTACGTTATAACAATTTTCCTGAATGATTCTTACGTAAAGCAGTTTTCGTTGTAAATAGTTTTCCAAATTCGATGAGCCGATTTGCCACCATATCCTGTGAATCGTTCAGGATTCAGTAGTAGATTGACATACTTTACGTCGGATGCATTTTCATCGTCGATATCGCAGAAATTATCCCCTGAGTCATCATGTTGTTTCCATCCTACAAATGCACGTTTGTCTTGATCGGTTAAAGTGGAGTCGATTTTGCCTAAAACATCATTTTCAGCAGCATATTTTTTACAATCGACATCATTGTCGATATCGTTAGAGCTTCCTTCTGCACTAAAAGCAAAATAATTACAATTTATTTTCATATCGATCGAATTTGTTGGTCATGAAAATAAATAAAAACCTCAATGCAATCTTTTCTATTGCTTATTGCGATGATAGTTTATGAAATTCCCTGTGAACTCAAACGTAGCATGATTGAACAATTTATCCATGTTACGAGCATTCAATTACCTTTTACTTTTATTGAGTAAGCGTGGCTTGCCTCGAAGTCCTGCTGGTAATTCAGTTTCCTTGCATTCATTGACGGAGCAATGGCGTAGTACACATCGATTATCATCATGCCAGAATGGGCAAGGTTTTATTAAATTGACCTATCAACATGACAGAATCAGTTTGACAATAGCTTTGGTAAAGTTTTATCGTATCTGCAAGTCGTGTATCAAGTTAGTTCAATGATGATAGCTAAAAATATGGAAATGGTTGTGCGTCTACGCCCAGTTGGAAATATAGTAGTGATGACTGTACAATTACGATAAATACGCGTATGGCCATTATTAGAATATCATTTCTGGATTTAGGCCATTGACGACAACTGTATCAAATAACTGTATTTATGAAAGGGCGTAGATACCGTCAATTTAGTAGACTGTCCTATTAATATCATTACCACTGCAATCAATTAAGTCATGATGATGATCAGTAAAGAAAGAATACCAGCAGAAGAATGTTTTGGTTAGCATTGCATCATGCATGACATCAACAAGTAAACTAATTGTGCACCCAGTGTACAGCCCATTCTGTATATTGTAACACTAATTGTGTTACAATATTAATTTAAGAACATGGTTATTGTTGTCACTTACCGGATAAAACTTAAAGTAATTATACTGCACCAAAGTTTGAAGTAACGGAAAGATTTTGAGATTATTGACTTTATCGACCGTTTCTACTTGACAATGACAATCTTCCACTTGGCCTTCCAACTGTAAATAAGGCAAAGATTAATTTCAAGACAAAGTAGTCAAAAAGCAATAAAAGCATCGATTGCATTCCATCTATCAACACAGTTTCATCTCTCTATTGTAGACTAATCCAAGAAACATCTATATCCTGCTTCTACTGTGTCTTGTGGAATCACAACGTCGAATGCGTATGACTAGCTATCATCATCAAAATATATTGATCATGAAAATATATTGATCATCGAGTAGCAAATCGAAATCATGTCAACAACTTGCACAGTACGTAAATAAATAATTGACGTCTGGATTGGTAATCGTTGTTGTCAACAGAAATTTATCGTTTCTTATAGTAGTGATTCACTACTGTAGTCCACTTTATCCATTGCTGTATACGATCAATCGTTGCCATGACTTAAATCAATCTGTTGCATGGCAATCAATATCATTCATCAACGAACATCAACCCAACGTACCTTGCATAAGCACCAACAGCTCGTGATCGACCACAATAATATCACCGCTACCTTGCAGTAGAGCATTTTTCATGAGCAGACGAGCTACCGAAGAAAGCAGCAAGAATGTACACAAGTCTGGCAATGCAAAGAAATGATTGCATCCACCTTAGACAGGGATAACTTGTCCGAGAATCCAAGTGTACGCGGAAAGTTCTCCAATCCTTGAGGTAGAAATCAAAGGGTCGATTCTCTTCTGCCCCTCTCAATCGACTTTTGTACTATTTTAAATTGTTACATCACGTACGTACAGTCCAGTCATTTAGAGTACTGTACTGTACACTGACACGCAACCGCTTGTGATTGGACGCATGCTGAAGCACACAATAGGAACAAGACAATAACCAAAAATATTCATACAGAAACAACAATACAGTACAGTACTGAAATGCACTGTAAAAAATCAATACTGTACAGTACAGTACTGTACTGTAGTGTGATGCACTGTACACTGTACAACACGCAAACTTGATCTCTGAATGGTGTGACTCGGATTGACGGCATGGGTACAGACAAGGTGGACGTACAGACGGTATCCACTGTTGACCGCTGAAGAATTTGTTTACATACCAATGATGCCAAAGAGGGTGGATGTCAGTCGGGTTCATGTTTACGGTCTTGGTACTATACTATACTCAATCGACGATGTGTTGATTTTCTTTTCAGACTCAGAAAAAGGGAAAAAATATTACTGAAACTACAGTATGGTAAAAGAACTAGACTTTATACCATGATGTCTCTAGAACAGTCGAAGTACATAGTCATAATTACTATGTACTTTGCCATCCAAAAGTTGGAAAGGAAAATAAACATACAGTACAGTACTGTATTGTAATGTACAGTGTACAGTACTGTACACTACTGTACTGTACACTGTACAGTACTGTCTAGGATATTACTCAGCGACTAAAATTAAAATTAATTAAGCGCAGACTCAGGCACAGGTAACTATGGGCTATGAGCCTATGACTACACATCGGTAGGAGTCTTATGACGAAATATGACTAGCCCATCGCACCAATAAGCTAGGTCTACCCTTCTGCATTTCTACCTGAGCAGAAAAACTCAAAAGGAACAGTGCCTTCAGTTAGTAGGCCAGATCGAAGAGAATAATCCAATGTGATATCTCTACGAATCGAATGGTGCCGCACGTGAAAACTGGCCAAGCGTCGCGGTTTTCTACTTTACAGTACATACAGTGTAGTACAGTACAAAGCATCGAGTAAAAAAACTACTGTACTGTACTGTACTGTATAATTACAGTACAGTAAACAGGTGTACTGTACTGTACAGTACTGTACTGTACTGTATAATTACAGTACAGTAAACAGGTGTACGTACTGTACGGTACAGTACAAAGTACAATACTGTACTGAACTGGACTGGACGTACTGTAGAACTGTTCAAGTCGACTGGCCTTCCCCTTCAGTTAGAATTACCAATTGCCACCATCGGCAATGTTGATGTAAAGAAAGAAAATCAACTGCTTTTCCATCATGGCATTGCTTTCTCCTTCTACTGATTCTCCGCCTGAGCATACTACCCTACCGCATGTCGCTACAGAATTACCGGCGATACCAGCAACGGTCCATCTTGGTTTAACCGTTGGTTTTACGGTTATTTTCTCCTTGCTCTTCATCCTGATTTATATTCAGTTATTTTTCATCTTACGCTATGGCCATAAACGTTTATCATTTCAATCAGTTTTCCTCTTCTTATGTCTGATATGGGCCAGCTTACGGATCACCTTATTCTCCTTTTATTTTCGTAATTGCCAATTGGCCAATACGCTCCCCACATTTTTTTACTGGTTGCTCTATTGCTTACCAGTCTGTTTGCAATTTATAACCTTGACTTTATTGGCTTTCTACTTCGGCAAGGTAAGCTACGCGACTAGATTCAACCAGTGCAAGTGCACAGTACAGTACAGTATGTAGACGAAGGAATCGACCGTTTCGACTGAGTTAACTCCTATTGTTGGGCTCGATGTTTTCGGTAGTTTATGTATCACTCAGCGGCCTTTTTTTTCTGGCCAGTCCCCAATGACACAGCAGTGATTTGTTTTGCTCTTGATTGGTAATTCGTCTAGCATCTTTAATTGCCTTTTTTCTTTTCTTTTTTGAATTGGAACTTTAGGCTTACATAAAAGGTCGCCGCAATGTCATCAATTCCATGAGAATATCTCCAAATCATCGGTAAGAACCCGTCAAAAAGTCAACTTGTTTCTTTTTCGTAAACAATAGTAATAGAAAGTAGAGTAAAGGATCAGTTGACCACTTTGTGACCGCTGGCAGTGCAAAACTTCTTGATCGGGCTAGAATCCAATTCCCGTATCATGAGATCATGCGTAGATTATTAATAAATAAAACTTCATCCATACCCGATTACATATTGCACCTCGAGTAAACACTTCTCATTATACAGTAGTAATTCGTTCGTATCATGATAGGCCTGTTTTGATTTGTTGATAGTCGAAACACTTGACTTGATAACGATAGTTCACTTCGCAATTTGTAGATTATAGACTATTTTTGAGTATTTATTCACCCGTTTTCTCCTTATTTACTGGTGAGAATTTCCATTTTATCGCTTTAATTCACAGTCAATATTATTGACTGGTGTATGGTGCGGCAATACTATACTACTCATAGTACTGTATATAGTAATATCAACTTACTATTGACTATTTATGCCAGCACGAGTGACACTAGATAGGAGAGCTGTCTAAAGTCGAACTGTATCATTCCCATAGCTCTCCTTTAAACAGTCCGATCGTTGCTACCATCAATTATATAATATTAAATTATATGTTGTTAAATGCGGACAGCTTTTACTGAAAATAGATTAATCAAATAGTTTGTTAATTGTAGCAGATTAGATGGTGATTGGTAATTAATTTCCATCTACAGTACATATCAAATTGCGTTAATTCAAACAATGTAAAAATATTGTCGGCATGTTTATTATCAACTGATCGAGAAAGGCAATCAACTTTACTTCATGCGGTAACAATCTCGTACATGATAACTTATGCCATGTTTATTTTAATTGCGTATCCTATATATTTTTTTATCAGCTACTTGCCAACGATGGCTATTAATAAATAGATTACTGGGATTTCATAAATTAGTGACTTGAATCTGTTCTATTGTTTATTTCATAAATCATCATATATCAATTATTGTCAACACTTTACCCTGTCTGTACTAAAACAAGTATATTAATACTTGTTATCTACTGTAGTCTATATTGACGTGAAGACTAAATCTTATTAATTTGCCTTATCATGATTTGGTATGAATTTCATTATAGGCATCGAACCTTGGTTGTCTCATTCATGATTATGACCAGCGCTTTCGTCAGCGTCAACATTATCTGTGCAATATTAATTAGAAAAGTTACCGCTACTGGAAGATCACCTCCTCACTTGTTACTACTGGTACGAGTGATGATCGATGGATTACTCTTTGTGGTCATGGCTATTATTCTCTGTTACTTTTTAATTCAGGTAAATTGAATCGATAATTAAATATAACAAGAATACTCAATTGATCATCGCCATCTACTTATATGTAAATGGAACGTTTTCCCCTTTATAGATGAAAAGAGCTGGCATTTCTTCCAAGTTGCAAGTTGATGAGAACCAGGTATGTAGCGATCACTGAATTTCTTCGCCTCATAAACTACCCTTAAATAGTTATTATCCCTACAGTAACCTGTATTCGTCAAGATCTGTAAGACAGTTTCCTAGTAATGTCAATCATTAAATCGACTCCACGTAGTTAGTCTACCCAATAAGATTAAGAGTTTATACATTAAGCTTTAATATATGGAGTATGAAATTGATAGAGTTCGTTTACTCCAATTTATAGGAAATGTCCATGTTGCAAGCTGTGATTTGCAGCGGTATCATTGTTGCTTTATATGTATCCCGAGCCATCTATAACATCATAGCCATTAGTCCTACTAAAGTACCTACTTTTGGATATGGCTGGATTAACGTAACCGATCAAGTAAGCAAATAGAGTTTTGTACTTCTACGTTCAATTGTACGTTCAATTCTTAATTCTTAATTCGCCGTTCATCGCTATCATCTATTTATTATAATACGCATAGCTTAAGATCGCAACTATGACTACTAAATCTCAGCCACTAATTGATTTATTAACACCGTATAGGCTGATCTCTATGCTGCACATGGTTACGGATATATCTCATTCGTTTGCGTTTTATTGGCTTGGGAAGTTCTTCCTACGTTTATTGTGGTCTGGCTATTTAGAGTTAAAAAGCCTTACAATAAGGTTTGTTACGAAACGATGTTTTAGAAGTTGCCCCTAAGGCGTTACATTAAAATCGATTTGAGCAGCAAAAAATACTTGCAATTTCGTATTTGGATACGTGATGATGACATTAGTTAATTGCCTTCTAAAATTCACGGGATTATTACTATTAGCCTAAAATGGTATAGCCATTAACAAACATATACACACATTAATTATGAACTTATACTAATGCACACCCCTTGTACTCTAATAGAACCTCGTTATCAATTCTGCGTATGAAAATCATTACAACACATTTAATTATGACCAGCAAGCTTTTCTGGATGACGATGATTACCCTATTAACCCGTCCGTTCAGTATGCGAGGTAAGTGTATTTCGCTCTTATAGTGGCAGATATTACGTACGTATGTAGTTTACTAAAATATAAATTCACTCAATACGATTTTTACTTAAAATAGATACCAAAGCTATTTTACTGATGTACCAAGTAGTCATGGAAGAGAAAATAACGAATATGATCAATACGCCACCAGCACAATATCGAGTAAATTTTGTGAGCCAGGATCTCAATCGTAAAGTAGCGCCTGCCACAATGATAAGATATCTGTATGAGATGATTTGAGGGCCATTTAGAGAATCGTAGACTACATGCTTGGTTTTACGGGTTGCTCTACGACAACTTTTATTAATGCTATATTCACGTTTTGTAATATATTCTTGATAATCATTAGCTGGTAGAGTCAAGCTAATCTGTAAAATACAGTACAATGTAAAAATTTCAAATTCTTTCTGAATGTATCGAAGCATCCAGATAATGTCTAGATTATTACATGAATGTAAATGAGACTGTACAGGAAATAATTCTAAAATCTTAGATTCGAACTATATACGTATCGTTGACGTAATCTTTATATTAAACGGTTATTATGAGAAAGATAAAATTAGAGACCCTTAACGCTTCATCTTTCTCGATACTGTTCTAGAGAAATTACTCGATATCTAATATAAAGAATTATAATCAAACTATAAATTGCCAATAATAATTGACGATATTACAGCTCGTAGATAACTCTTTATTACTAGTTTAATCTCCTGTATTTTTAAGCAACTTTTCTCCCAATACATTTTGGATGGAAAATATTCATAGTCTACTCCATTTTCATATACGAGTATATGTTGCATAACTATTTGTTTAACATCAGTTACGTATGCTAGTGTACAAAATTTATTAAATACCAAATTTCTATCAGCTCAGCTAATAAAAAATATTAGTTTTGATCATACCAACATTTTTTAATAGAGTTCTACAAGTATTTCTGCATTGGATGTGTCGCTCTTGCGCGAATGGAGCTATTTAACTATAGGATAAACGATACTGTTATGCTGCTTTTATTTTATTTTAAGCATTTGATGGTATACCTTATGTAGATTGATAGAAATGTTTCGATGCATGCGGTACCCTGGCACCTAATTCAATATATTCAGCTCACCCAATTAAACTAGTGCGGAGTACTGCCTTAATTGTAACATAGTAGATATGCATATATATATATTTCATATCACTATCAAGTACATATATCAACTACAGTACGACAATAACTACTGCACATACACGTAATACAGCAACGGTTACAGAACACATCGTAGTTGCCGTCTTTCTAGCGTTCTTTACCCTATTAGCTTCGTTATTCAATCCAAAATACTATACGAATATTCTCAAACACTAAATCATACCAGGTGTTGCATGTTTTAATAAGATTATGATCACCATGCACCGCCAGCGAGATACTTTATCAAAAGTTAATGCGATGAAATTGCTTTTATTTCCGTTCGTCCGGATATATTAGCTTACTGGCTTCATTTATGACACAAGCTTCAGAAATTATGTTACGTGCAAAAGTGACGTTTACGGGTAATCATCTACCAGTCTCTCGCTAATTTACAATGCATTATTTGTATAATGTTTGTAAATATTTCACAATTGTTCCAAATAAGCTTTTCAAGCTACGGAATGCGAAGCGGGCATTCTAGGACAATAGCTTGCGGGAATGATGTTAATATTGTTATTATTTGCTTTAGTTACTAAGAAATATTCTATTCATTAACAAACATTATTGTAAGCATGAGATTGTTATTTAAATGTTAGGGATTATGCTCGGAACTATGAATATTACAGTACGTGCGGCAAAATCACCCTGGTAATTAATGTCTAAATCTAAACTTCGTTTTCGTAACTTTAGCAGTTAAATGATAACATTCCAAGCTATAGTACTGATCAAGATGCTCAACATTATTTCGACGATTGACTAATTTTATCTTTCAATCTTTTCATAATCAAAATGGCTTAAAATCTGTTAATCTCGATTGATCAATGAAAGAGATGAAGGAATGCTCCACCTATAATAGTAATATTGTAGTGTTTTCAGAGATGTGATGTGAAGACATACTGCAGAGTGACTATCAGCAATTTAATGATTTACTGTAGCAAATTGATACGGCTATACTTTAAATTAACTCTTCAAACACATAGGTTCATATTCTGTATCTAGAGTATCTCAAAATTCATGAACGATAGAACAAGTAAAATAGTATACAGCAAAAAATGGGTGGAGCAATTATCCCTTTATCAAATCATAATGCTCACAACTTTAACCACTAGCAATTGTAAAAGGGTTGAAGCTTTTTATACACAAGAGCAAACATTTGTTATATAATAACTAGTAACAGTGAAATATCTAGTTCAATTTATCTGATTGGTTTGACTTACTTAGAAAACTGATTGACAGAATAATTTGATCAGCAAGATAAAATAATGTTTAATCATACCCAGTTTTTTACATCGGTCAAATACCTCTTTTGTACTACTAAAGCCTCACATTCTAGTTTTAAGAAAACTTCAGGCCATCCTAGTAGTTCTTATACGTAGTTTAATTTAATATATTGCAACCTTAATAAATTGATCCAACGACATCTATTACATTCAGCTATTCCAAATAAATGTATAATAATAGTATTTGTTTATAAACCGTATCAACTATAAACAAATCTGTTCGTATTGATAGTTTTCAACTTTAAATCTTTTAATCTATACAAGAAATGTAATATATCAATATAGTGTTTACTGGTGAATTGTCAAGAAACCTTATTTGCAATTTGTAATCAGCTGATTGCATATGTATTCTAACATTATCTTATAATGCTTGATCATCAACTAATAATCACTTTACGTAATGATTCTATCAACAATCAAGAAGCGATATATAGGCTACCGTTGCATTTGATTCCATTATAACAGTTATTTTACCACTTTATCAGGGCAATAAATAGCGTGCTTTACTTCAGACTGTAGATCTTTCCTTTTTACGTTTAAATCAACTAAATTAATGGAATTTATTGCAGATGAATAAGTAATTAGGATCTAAACCTAGAAATAATATAATTACGAATTAACTTAAGCTGAAGGCTAATACGAATCCTGTGATGCTACTATCCTTCTTTTACCTAAAACAAAGTGAAATGTATATAGTAGTCTAGTATACGGGTATTTACCCAACCAACTAAACTATAATCCTGATTATAATACTAAAGCAGAAATTAAGATATTTTCGTCTTCTTGCTACATTTTAGTATTATCAAGAATAGACCACTTGTTAAAATTTTACAATCCAGCAGCTTATTCTGAATAAATGTAAAATGATAAATACGGTAATAACAATATTTTTAGGCATTTGTATGGAATTTACGTAACGCAAAATATGAAACTAACAAGCAAGGGGTTTAAATTTGAATTCACGTAGAATTTTTGTCAAATTACGAGCAACAATCCTCTCGAAATCGTGCCAATGTTTCTAACATTCGTATAAAGACTACAACTATACTATCTAAGATTTCTGCACCTTATTATTCGCTTAAATGTTATATTGCATCTCGATGTAAGTTATAGGTACGGTATTAATTAATTGTAATTAATAAGCAACTTGTTGCATGTAACAAGAACATGGATTTCGGTCAAGCCAGAATAAAGTGATTTTTATCCCAATGGAGTTTCTAAGTCTTATGCTTATTTCCATCACTTTCAATAATAGCAATCAATTCCAGCATACCGATATTTCAATCTGTCACAAAGTGTCACCAAATAAGATAGGATAGAAATATAAAATTAAGTTTTATGGCTTTATGTCCAAAATATCTATCAAAAGTAATATTTGGATTAATTGTAAAACGGTTTTTGCCAGCTTATACTGACGTGAATCACAGAAGGTCATAAAAATAAATTTTATAAATTGCTTTAGAATAATTTTGTATGCTTTGTAACCACAGGCAGGACTGCAAGTAAGCATAAATCTTGCTCAATAGATTTAGTACAGATTTAAGATATTTCATTTTGTAATTTTAACTTTAAAAATACGACTGTCTCAGCGTAACACAGTAACAATTGATCTTAATTAAATGATTAAAATTTTGATCTCGCCTAAGCCCAATTATAGGAGCTATTTTAAATATTCTAAAACGTTTTTTACCAAAATGAAACCATCAACGTCAAGAAGCAATCGTCTTATCGTCCTTATTTATAATATATTATCATTTTATACAAAGAAACTACCAAATTTTATATATAATTAATCTACTCCACAAACATTGATATAAATGATTGACTTTTCAACGAATAATCTAAGTTTGATAGTTATATCTGTTATTCATTTTGATTATAAATTTCAGAAATGGTAGTTTCATTCGTGTATATAGACCGAACCAAAATCCCGTAACTTTTTAAATACAGATGCTGCAATCATCGCAGTAGTAGGCTTTATGGTAAATTATTTTACCAGAATTATAAAAAAGTGTCTATTAATAATAATTAATGAATAGCTAAAAATCATGGTAGCGGCAATATCTAGCACGGTCATACACCATTACTGGTATCAAGAATCAATTTCAATTGTTCAAAGTTTGAGCTTCTACAACATTTAACACAGTATTACCATTTCCAACATTTAACTCCGTCATAAATACTACCAAATAATCGTTCTTTTAAAATTATTATTAATAAATTTTTCATTAAATGTAATTATTGTCAGTAAAAGGATATCGATAAAGAATTACTCTTAGCTGACTTCAAGAATAAATTAAACTACAGTACCGTACCGAATAGTGCATTTGGACACTGATTAAAGCAATTTGTTCTAATTTTTAAAAAATCATGACCAAAATAAAAGTAAATAAACAGCGATTAGTTAAATTTACAAAATATCTGAAGTAAATCTCAACGTTATTGACTATAAGGGCTTTAATAGAATGCTATAGCAATATATTTGTTGCAATTGAAATCGTTACTGCGCCGATTAATGAAAATTTAGTATCACTACAATACAGATAGATAGCGCAGCTTATCCCCTATAATCCACTGTAACTACCGGAATTGAAACAGATTAACATGGGCATAATGTTACCACCTAATAAAAGTGAACTAGCTAGGTGCCTTCTACTTCTCAAAGTAGCGTAAACTACTACACTATCGAGTCATACTCTTATGCTAGTTAAAAAACTAAGTCCTTACTAGACTGATTCATGAACATTATCATTGTTATAGATATTACGATAGATCTTAACGCTAACTTGACTGTAATCAGCGGCAACAACACTAAAGTCGATATCTAGTATAGATACACAAACAGTAATTTACTAAGCAGACGACAAATAAATTCCGGTATAAAATAGGTACAAGAAAGTTTGCAATCAAAATATCGTTATCATGTCGCTTAGATAAATAGTAGTAGAAAAATTACCTAAAACAGAATATACCGCTGCAATTATAGCTACTATTCCACTTAGAATTATTTATTAGTAGTCCCATTAGGTCAAGAGGCTCCATAATTTTAGCCATTATTAAGATATCAGCTACAACAGTTCATTTGTTGATCTTGAATAATTGTTCCTTCGGCTTTAAATCGGGATGGATTAAACATTATAGCACAAATATCAACTTACTTCTTTCGATTATCTTCGATAAAATATTCAACCGCGTCTCAAATTTTAGTTATCATGAAGATATTAGCTACGAAAATTCATTTGTCAATCTCGAATAATTGCTCCAATGACTTTACACTGAGTTAGATTAAGTATTATGGCACAAAGATCAACTAGATCCCTTCAATCATCTTCGATACTGTACGAGCCTTCCTCATCTTCTTGAAAGAATAACACATCATTCGAATTCGGTGCAGTTATGGGCTTAAAACGACGCAACCTATTGAACAATGAAGTATATCAATCAATAAACCTAGATAGTAAAATGGTTATTTCATTAAGTTTATATTTAGAAAATGAGTTTTTTTACTTGTAGCTTTGCAGTTAATGTGTCATTAAGTTGGCAGTTATCCTTGGTAATAAATGAAATAAATAATATATATGGTATCTTTATATTACCTATACTTAATACATCGTTGGTGAGCTACACCAGCGGGTGGATGCAATGGCAAACTCATCGATTTAGATAGTAGTCTCTTTGATTTGTATCGAATAATCGGAAAAGGATCATCTCCATTAGTAGTAGTAGTGCTATCTTCTGTGTCATAATTTACTAAGTGGCCATCACTTCCACTTCGCTTAAATACTTCATCTTTGTCTATCGTTGTAGGATCATTCTCACCTTCGCCTTGTTGAAAATCTGCAGCAATGGCCCTAGTGTAATCAAGAGAAAAACTACGACTACTATTTTTGGTTTTGGTTATCTGAGAATAGAATGAATTATTCGTTTTTCCATGGTCATTGGATTTGTTTTCAACGCAAAGTTTATCACTATCATTGGATACAGAGATATCATTCGACTTTTCTTGATTCTCTACATTATCAGTTTCCCTAATGCCACTTTCGACATTGATATCAATGACGCAATCAATCTTAGAAAAATTGGAATTCTTGGTTTTATCGCTAATGTTTCGCATTTTGGCTAGTTTCTCGCTTTCTTCTCCATTGTCGTCGAGTTGGCCATTTTCTCCTATATCATTCGAAATACCATTAAGTTTGCTATTGCCTTTTACAAAACCGGAATTTGCTATCTTGTAGTTATTCCGCCGTTTTACCATTTCATCAATGGCTTTATTTATGAGCTGATTAACTTTTGATGAGGAATTTAAGTTTTCAATTATTTTATTGTCCTTTGGAGCTCGGAGTACGTCATCAGCATTACTTTCAGTAGTATCTTTTACATCTAAATTACTTGAACAGAGGACTGTCTCTTTATTTTCCTGTTGGCCCTTGCTATTACTTATTTTACTACCGAGTTTTTTATTGATGTTTGATAATATAGTATCAATCATATTCTCATGCTTATCCGATTTGCTACGAGTACCACTGCCACTACCATCATTAAAAGTACTGTTAACTTTTCTTTTACCGTCTTGACTAGGTAAACTACTAACGCTGTTCGGATCTTTTGATTTATTAATCCTAGCATTTTCATCATCTGTACTATTCATCAATTTTTCATCAATATTTAGACTATATTCGCAACTTTGATTTAAATTTGCATCGGTATCGGATTGTTGGTGAGCCATAGAATTAACCTTAGAATTAAGATCCGTATTCGAGTTGAGATTTCGACTATTAGCTATTTCTGCATCATTCTTCAAATCATCAATCTTCACATGGCAAGTATCATCGCTCTTAATTACATTTTGTTCCTGATTTAAATTGGATTTAACTTTTATGGGAATATCTCCGTTGTGAACGTCCGTGTTTTTATCATAAATTCCGTTCTCTTTATCATTTAAATCACAGTTTCCTTCTTTATTATACGGACCATAGCCGTTACCGAACGTAGTAGAATTAAGCTCTTGCACCCCATTGATGTTGTCTTGCTGATCAGGTGTCTTCTTGATCTCAAGATTATAGTTAACATTTCGCTCTAAATTGATTCTATTTTCATCTTCCATTTGGTCTTGTTGGTTAGAAATAACATTTAAACGATTTTGAGTATTAATATCATCCATCTGGTCATAAGTATCCGTTGCATCCTTGTCTTGATTATCTTGGTCTTCCGATGATTGCTCTAATTCTTCATCATGTTCATCATTTGGAGTAATAACAGCAACAGTTCGATATTTTCGTGTCGATAATGTATCACCATTAGTGGAACGCCGATTTCGATGTGAAATTCCCATGCTATCCCGTAGGGCATCGAAATTTGCTAAGAGACTCCCATGACTATTACCATCATGTGCATTATTATGATCAACTGATATTCTTCTTTGAACGATAATCGTAATACCCGGATTAGATTGAATGTCTTGCTTAGAAGCCTCGATCGCAGCTTTCTTGATCTCTTTTTGGCCCTGTAGTCCATTTACTTCTCGTATATTTTCTAGATCTTCGCTTGAAGGTTCATTTATCTTACCCAGTGGCGAAAGGGCTGGATTGATTTCAGGCATATTTACCTCTTCTTCTTCAGGGTTTAAGTCATTTCCATCAGGATCATGTTCAGATACGGAAGGATCATTATCATTACCATGAGTAACTTCTCGTTCCATCATTTTCTTTTCTAATTGCTTCAATAAAACATCTCGGCCGAAATCGATTTTTGACGACTTTATTTTTAAAGCAGAAATTTTACTAGTAATAGAATCTGGATCTTTATTTCCTAGTGACGTATCGGATTTACTGTCAACTGAACTAAATGTTCGATGGGCAATTAAACTATTTACATCACTTTGACAAGCTGCACTGGTTTTCATTAAAATGGAGTGGCTGTAGGCATTGCTAATTTTGGCTTTGATTAAGTCTTGCAAGTTAGCCGGAGCCATACTAACGCAGCTACGACTACGACTTCGATCAGCGTGATCGCTAGGTCCATCATTTTGTTTGCTAATGTTGTTGGCCTTGATGCTAGGGGAAAATGAACGGGATACGAGGGTCAGAAAACTTTCATGTACTAAGAATAAATCTGATTTTAGTTAACATAGTTAAATTTTATCCTTGCCGATAGCATTATAAAATTGCGTATTTAGGGATGGAAACACGATAAGTTCTAATCATGTTCAATGACCTAAGCATATTTTTCCATTAAAATTATTCATAATCTATTTTCAAAGTTAATACCAGTTGTCACTTTATTAATTCACAGTAAAAATGCAATACTACTGACTAAGTCAATTAAGTAAGTGCACTAGATAATTATGATTATTGTATTTTTGTCGATTAAAGTTCTGTTTGATATGTATTACGCAGTTATAACAAGCGGCTTCTCAATCTGAAACTGTGATTACACAATTAATTAATCATACGCCTACAAGTACACTATCCGGATTTGTTAAATTTGTAAAAGTTATCGTAGCTAATCCAATTCTACAACATAGATCACATCCATTGCATCGCTATCGCAGATGAATTCATATATAAATCCGCTAAAGCTTTTAAAGTACAGTTCCGTAATTGATTTTAATATGACTTACCATAGGAATGAATGTTCAGAACGGTCTTTCATTTGCATTGATTTAGTCGTTAAGGTATTGGAAGATACTTCCCAATCGAAAGATTCAGTAAGTTTAATGTCTTTTCTTGCCATAGCCTTTTGAACTAAAGACTTTAACAACTAAAGTAAAGATAATTTAGAACGATGGAATCAATAAATATCTCAAAATATTAAAGTCTGAATAGAAAGGCTACAGTTATCTATTTAATAATTATAATCTACTTATCAACTCTACACCTACTTCATAATTTGGTCTATCGTAATATGTTAGTGTAGTTAAATGCTGATAAAACTCTTCAAATTCCTGTGGAAGATATCTTAAAAATTGCTTATGATCATAATTTTCTTTCATTTCGGTGACTTCATCCTATTAATTATTATTGATAATCCCGATTATCACGCTTAGAAGCCAATTTATTACAGTGTTGTACTAATTTGCTACCGTAGTATTAACCTAGAAAATTCAAATACCCGTAGATCATTTTACTCACTTTAGAACGAATCTTTCGCCAAGGTAAGTAGCCAAGCCTGAATTCGACTATCATGTAAAATAAGGACCACAGATCATCATGTCTACCCAGCTCCTATATCGATAGAAAAAAGTATAAGATCGGGTTGACGAAGATTATAGCTTCAAAATGGAAATTTGGATCTTAATAACTGTTAAATCATTTTCTTCATACTCTAAGTAAGCAAAATTTATCATCTTAGGAAAATGTACCTTTGAATGATGAGCGTTGATAGATGCGTATCGAACAGTTCCTCTAAATCCTGCTGAGGACCTCGGCCTCCTTAGTTCTCCTTTACTTGTAACATATTGTCGAGCTAATCCAAAATCAAGCATATAACACGTCTTATCCTTTTCCTGTGATTTTCCCATAGCGAAATTAGACTAAATTCAATCAAATATAAAATTAGTTAACTTTCGACACATTTAGATCTAAATACAAAATTTTGCTATAATAGAAAGATAAATCTTATTTCCCTCGTTATACTGCAGCAGAAGAAGCGACGACGTCAAAATATTAAAAAGTATACTCAGAGCGTAACGCTCTATTTGATTTTCGCCTATTTTAAGACTGAATTAATAAAAGCCAACGAATCTTACTCTATAGTTAAATATTCAAAAGCTATCCTCCTTTTCGCTTAATTAGGTTAATGAAACTAACCGGTTTTATATCACGATGGAGAAAGCCACGTTCATGAATTGTTTGAATACTTTCTATTAATTGCAGTGTTAAGCGTAATGTTGTACTAACGGAAAATATCCCTCTTGGTAGTTCACGGCGTAGCTGAGCCAAGTTATTGCCTTGCAGTGTCATTACCAAAAAACTATAGGTTGGAGTTCTTCCGCAACCAAAGTATTCGCAACAATGACTTGTTCCTAAGTTCAGGAATAATTATAATGATTTAAATTTTAATGTTTGCAGAAATTCTAATACGTCGGAAACTAGATCAACCGTGAGTTGCACAATAGCGAAAACTTAATGAAGGGCTGCCGTACCAAGAAGATTCTTCATTACTGTTACTTCCATATTGAGTAATTGCTTCGGACAGTCTCTAGGCTCAATTTTAACAGCTACTTCCTTTCCAGTAATAAGGTTAACACCTTCGTAGATTGCACCTAAAATTAAAGATAAGCCCCGTACATCTTATTAATTTTATTAAGGATATTGGATTGTTTGTTAGATAAAGACATGCAGCCTTCCTCTTAGGCTTATTTATAATTTGCTACGCCATTCTAGATCATCAAACAAAGATGAGTTAATTGTTTTAGTTGTAATAAAATACCAAGATCCTACGATATAAAACTTTGCCGGTGAAAGAAAGCTGGGGATAATTTCAAATAAATTTTGTGACGACCTAATTAAATGCTTTTCAGAATCTAGTTAAATAGTAGGCGATCATGAACATCCTCTAATTTTCATATTAAGGTTACGTGAAAGTATACGTCTGGATGATAATTCTTATAAAGCTTAGATAATAAGTAGACATGCCGGTCTAAAGTAATACGAATTACTAGCACAACAGTTTAGAAAATTAGAGAACTCAAATATGTAGTAATTCAATAATGTAAAATATAGATTGATTTTAGAGTAAAATTGATAATCTATGAACGTTTTTCCTCTCAAATTCGAAGTTAAGTTCTAGCTATCACTGCAAGCATTTGATTCAATTTCGATATTAGGTATTTAGGGCTACGATTTAAGAAACGGTGATTGGACTAGCGGGATTTATCCCTTATCGATCCGACCTAAACTTACACAAGGAGAAAAAAGCTACTCTAATTCTACTTCTGTTGAAAGACCAGCGATAACTATATGCACTCATCCGAATATGCTAGCGGTCGAATTAAGGGCCTTTTAACGCAGATCGCTGACACAGTGTAAATTACCGTATTAGCTTTACGAGAAAAATGTCTCTAAGATAATTTATTTCTTTAAATAGAACCCTGCCATCCTTGCTATTGAGTAATAAACTGGAATACTCTGAAGGCGATAAATTTTCCGTCTTCTTAAATATTAATCCAAGAAGACTGTTTATATCATGTCGGTTTATTTAACTTCACATTATAAATGTGTCTAACAATTTCAACTTACCGAAACCACCACTGCCAATCCTTCTCACCTAAAGAAAAATAAAGAATCCATAATATTAGTAAAAGCTCATACAAATCATCAATTACCGTACGGCTTACCGCATAAAAAATGAGCGTTCTCGTATGTATATTCAAAGAATAAAGTTTTAATTAATTTAATTTGTGGCCATTGTGATAAATGATGATGACAATCATCATTACTTAATTAATTATTGCCATGACGAAGTCATCACTTAAGTTGTTGCGCCATTCATGTGCGCTGTAATAACTGAAATTTGTGTCTACGGCTTCCATTTAATATCAATGAAACTTTCGAGCCATGGAGAATAATCAACGTGTTTTTATCGCTGGTAATTTAGCAGCACGCGCATAGCTATAATCATGTTAGGACAAACATTTGCAAACAGCTAGTAGTATACAGTATATTACCGCGAAATTAAAGGATTAAGATTGGAATGTAAATTTGGTTATAACATTTAAAGAAGGCTTTAAATCCGCTTGATGAACTAATAAGTTCACCAAACCGATTGAAAATTTAATACCTAATAACAGTAACAAGGTTCATAAAGGACTTGAGGCTTAATTAAAAATATTGAGGAACAAAGAAACACCATCGAGGAAGTTCACACGACTTACAATTTTCCATTTTGGCCTCAAAAATGTCCCGGGTCTCACGAGTTCCTGTTCTACATGACTTTCTCTATCTGGACCAGTATTTGTTTTTACCCGTCGATTAGAAGAATGATGTTGAGGCTTGCTTCGCACAATGTCACTATAATTATTTTGAGCAAGGCCATTGGACTCCATTGGACCAGTTTCATCGGTCTATTTGATCGCTTATCGTGAGGTTAATGTTACAGTTCAAATTCAAATGGATAAGTTGAAAGAAAATGCTATTAACGTAAAATATTCGTGATTCAACAGTAGTTCTGATCTTCTTCAATCTGAGTTGAAAAGCAGCTTTAATCGACACAAATTGTTATTTTAATTGCCAAATTAGTAAAACTGAAAACAATTTTCACGTTTTTTCAATCGCTATCGATCATCTCAAACAGCCATATAAAGCAAAACAGGTAAAATCGAATACGAAGATTAACTATATAGTAAGTATAAATCTTAAACTACGAAAACAACTGCTTTGCTCAACAGTTTTTTATCTATCAAAGGATTCAACCATCCATGAAAAAATTTAGTGATTCTTTTTACTTTATAACCAGATCATAACATTGGATTAAGCGATGAAATGAATTCACTGAAGTCAGTATCGTACACCCTAACTCAGTCTATTCTATCCGCGTTAACTCAACAAAGCCATCAGAAAAAGAGTTATCATATCACTTATAGCAAATTCTCTTATCTAAGTAGCGTATGATAATGAGTGTTTGATTTGTACATATCATAATATAATAACACTATTATTCACCTATTGTATTGATAGATTGGATCCCTTGTTCAGTCTATTGTTAGCTATCTTTTTTATCTTGATTAACATTCGTCATTCGACTAGTTGATATTGAGTTTATAATGGACAGCTTAAAGGTTGATAAGGATGACACATCGTTTGCCGTAGGGTAACGATGATAGATCAAACAAGAAGAATTTATGAATAGATCAGTGTTGCTTTTAATACAAACATCGATCACAATCAATATTGATAGCACTCTTGATAGCCTCGGCACTCACGATACCTTCATATCGGATAAGTTATAAGAAGATTCTGTAGTTTATTAGTGAGTTACTATCCATATTTAGTGACCAAGCTGTTGGGCTGTCTACTACCAAATGATATCGTAAATAGTGATTACTTCAGTTGGATGTAAGGTAAGGACTTTGAGTGTTTACATTTGCACGGGCGTATGAGATATTTATGCGTTAATTAAGAAACAATTTTGACGAATCCAGTACAGATAGCAGATCTGAAAATATAGTCGATTAATGGATGGCATGAGAATAATATGGAATATTTCCAAAAGGACCAATTCCGAAAATATTGATGATTAATTTTTATTTTACTTACTGTAAATGAATTATTGCAAAAGTTAAATAAATATAAAGTACTATACGTGCAAACTAGCAAGAATGCTAATACGAAATCAAGTTTAAGAAGATGATTGCTAAATTTTCATATTTTAAAATTTCCGGCGACCTTGAGTCTTTGCTGTAGGTAGCTTATCTTTAACGCATGCTTGCAGTAGACCAATGACAAATGGAGACTTAATTATTTCTTGTGTACTAGTATATATGTGTATATTTTGTCCTCTTTAATTTCGTTACTCTTTGCATAATTACAGTTTGAAATAAGCACCATATACAGGATCGTATCATTACCAGAAGTCAAAGTGTTGAACTATTAAATAGACGGCAAATTCGATTTCATTCTGTGAAAGACAAAAGTCCATATTTCTGTTCGCCTGCTAAACATTCGGTGGAAGTACACCCGGAACTGATTTTATATAGTGAATATGAGGGAATTTGATAGTAACTTTCTAGGCACTATAGTAATCTTTAGCATGTGAGGTAGGGCTATTACATATTTTACTCATATTCCCTTCAATTCCTAACATCAAATGACTAGTATACGAATTAATTAATTATCAACGTACAGTATCGATACAGCGGATTGAATACCTAACTTTTTGTTAGTTAATAATGTGATTTTAACTTATTTATTGAACATCAAGAAAAGTAATAGTTGAGGCGAGGTTAAGTTATTTCTTGACTCTCCTATAGGTGTTTGGGTAATTTATTCTTCAAATTGCAAATTGTAACGATAAATATGTCATACAGAATATTTGTTTTTGATTTTAGCGTATTCTGGTTACAATTTTATTTATCAAATTCTACTATTGTATATTATTCTCATAAAGCATGCCGAATACAATAGGTTCCAATGGCACATTTCAATTGCCTGCAAAGTTGTAGTAATATAAAGATGTACAGTTGCATACTAGTATGAAAAGCGATCTATGAAATATTTAAGAAATATCGTTTAAGGTAAACTAGAATTAATCTCATTTAATAAATACCATACGATCATTAACAACTTGCTCGTACCGATAATATTTCGCGTACTTGTATAATAATTCAGCGTATGTATTTAAGAATTGTAAGAAACTTGTAAGAAAAACTCTGGAATGTATACTTGTATAAAGTGCTGTAAAGATTGCCAGGTTTATATAACGATACAGAGTGGGTTGCATAGTGGCTTTATTTCAAAGCAGACAAATTAGTGCTATCAACTGGGTTTACTAAGGCATCTTTAGGGTTTGATGGATTTTTATTGCAAATCTTATTCACTCTTAAAATCTTTAAAATTTTGGTATGTCTTATTATATGTGAAATATATAGCTATATTAATTTATCAATTGTAGTCTAACTCGAGCTAATATTTTAAATTTCGAGTTGATTTACAGATTTTCATATTTTTGATTGTTATCGTGATATATCGTTAAGGAGATACCACATTATTCTATATAAATACAGTACGACTCCGAGAAATACGTACAGCCATAATTATAAGCATAACGTACAGTATAGTAAAAACAAGAAAAATGTTCGTTTGTTATTAAACTACAGTTTACGCATATGTAAAGGTACACTTTTAGAAATAATTTCAATGTTGTTGTTGTTGGCTTCTGATATTTCAACCCGGCTCAAATTAGATAATAATAATAATAATAAGCGAATGAATGCGTACTGTGCATCACCGGGTGAAATACTGTATATACCGGGTTACTTCAAGAGTAGTTTGTACTGTTTCGTGATAGCTCTGTAATACCATATTCATTGATAACATTTCAACAGAAATTTTAATGCAAGCACTTAAAAAAGTTGGTTAAACGATCTACTTGGTAGAAAAACAAAATTGTAAAATTATTAGAAAATGCCATATCATGGCAACGTATTAAATAAAGAATACATGGCAATGAAATAAGACTCTTTACTTCGTAGTGGCATACAGAATGCAGTGGATTTAGAGAAATCAAGGAGCCTTATATTAATTTCAGTTAAATACCATAGTTATACTATACAATTATACTATTGTGCATTAGGTCAGCGTCATATTTCTCATAAGTCGATTCATCCTCGATCACTCATAAAGTACATTAATTGAAGCTATGAAGGAGCTAGGGTTAATTAATTATAATTATTTATAAGTAGCATTTGAAAGAAGTAATGAACAGGCTGCATCGATCTAGGGTGATGAAAAATTTAGCCGTCACAGCGAATATTTTCATCGTTTGCCAATTTATCCAACACTGTAGCATACAAACTGTGGAGTGGCATAGCAGGAAGTGTTATTTGTTTAAGTATCATACGTAAGTTATTTGTTGACTAATGGTACTGAACGTTGTTATTACAACTATGATTGCTATATAAACGACTAACGAATGCTACGAGATCGATCACCAATCAATTTCTAAATCATTTCACTGATTGAGCTAAGCACTACAGTAGTGAACGAAGGCTGTGAGCGTTTACAAATGTCGGACAAGTACTGCATGCACTCGATCGTCTTTATTGAGACTAGTACTATCCCAAGTCTCACACAAAAACAGTCCATAGCTGTGTAATAGCACACAATGACAATTCATCTTTGATATTTCAAATACGACTCTACTTAATCTTAGTCAAAAGCAGTTCATTACTTCAATCGTACAGTATAAACATTGACAAATGGCAAAAGTATAAGCCTTTCATACTAAGTCTATGTGTAAATACATGGGCATGTTGACGATCAAAGCTTAACCGTGGCCACTGTTCGTACTAAGGTACTTGTATAAAGATAGCCAAGACAGCTGTTCACTTTTGGTGTCGCTAATTAATTAGCGAATCCAAACAGACAGACGGGATTGCGCTTGTTATGTACAATATCAGTATCGAAAATGAGATCCAATTGTAATCTTTGAATTTACTTTACTTGACTACGCGTTTGTCGATGCGCAGCATGCAGTAGCCGTCAAAAAGTCCACACATTCCGATGTAGCGTCTGTAGTCTGTACAATACTCAGTATAGTGTCATGCTGCAAAATCATCGTCCTATGTCCAACCATGATCCTGCCCGTACTGTACAGTACAGTGTACAGTACTGTAGTTAGCGTACTATAGGTTTGAAAAACGATGCTAATAGCATTGTCACGTGGGCAAGAAGCTGGCAAAGAAAAGCGTTCAACAGCATAATACAGTACTAAAAATAACAAAATGATCATCGTCATCATCATCAGCATAATAAATAATAATAAATAAATAATAATAACAATCAAGTGGACTACAGTATCTTTTCACACGGTGTACAGTACTGTACACTGTACTGTACAGTACTGTACATTTTACAGTGTACAGTACAACTATTCTGGTACAGTACACTGTGCACAGTCCATACTGTACAGCAATGTGGTTGTAACGGTTGCCAGCGGTGTTACAGTATCATGATTTTGACTGGTTTTTACTTTGATTTACTGCTGTCAGCCTCTGTTTACTGTAGTCACTAGTCTATCTCCCTAATAACACGGTAGTTACTCGACACTGACTGGATGATCTACTCTACAGACTGCAACATCCTTGTAGCTGTACTGTACAATGTAAACTTACGCCCATTTCAGTTTCTTTACGGGTGGAAACGTTTACTGTACAGTTGGAGATTCAAGATTAACTGCTTTGATTTGACTTGATTGGATTCTTTTTTCAAGGATGCCCCAATATTCAACCTGACTTACTCGCCATTCAATGAACGTTTGGAGTTTGGATTGAAGACTCTCAAGATTTATTGTATGCCAAGTTCAAGACTCTCTTCAAAAGCCCTTGCTCAAACGATACAGGCATAGCCAAGTGGTCAACATCAATCAACGCGTACGTGCGTTACCGCAAATCATAAAAAGAAAGAAAAAATTAAGCTAAAAGCGGAACGTGGAATTGCCAAGTGTCAAGAAGCAGAATCAACATCATCAAACGGTATCATCATTGGATTTTTTATCTTTCTGTTGAGTGTAGTTTTCTTTTCTTCATACTATACTTAACGATCAACAGTCGGTGACTCATTCAAGGCTAAGCATACCCGAATCGACAGGAATTAAACTAGTCTCTCTCTCTCCGCTAAAGTCTCTAACCTACAAGATCAAAAGCTAATAACCGTCATTGTACACTGTAATGTAAACTTGATATTTTATTAATTGTTAGAGAAGTGATGAAGTACTGTACTTTATCATGCGACATTAAAAAGCAAACCATAGAATAGCATCGATTATTCAATTACAATGCTTGTAAAATACTATTGATGACCGATCCAACGGATTAAATGACAAATCATCAACCGTAGTCAACGCCCTAATACAGTAAGTTACGCGTTCCTCCTGATCGACTTCACTGCAATTCAAGATGATACAAGTCGCTATTTGCTAATGTAAAATACAAGTTTTACTTACATACGGTATGAATTATCTTTCTACGCAGTTCTTCTATCAATTTTATTATACTTTGGTTGTTTTTATACTAAAACATAGAATTCCATTTGCCGCATTTACCGAGGATTATACATCTAATACATTTCCATTTGACACTTGACAAATGCATCGTAGGTTCTAGTGTACACAATCTACGTTAACATTAGATATATATTATCCTGTGGCATAATCAGTTACGCGTACAACTGGACATCTAACCCATGATTTTCTCTTATTATTCTTATTCTGTTAAATCGAAGTGTACAGTTCTAAGGTTATAATTACAGAGACGCTTGCTTGAAAGAGGATTAACAATGGGCCATCAATAACGGTAACATTACACCATTGATTCAATTCACAACTTCAGCTACGAGTTCCAAGGTGTTTCAACTTGTAAAGACCGGGACATCGACAATGTTGGCTTATGAGATCGATTATTCCTATCGTTAACGACTAGTAACCAATTGCTCTCTATAAAAGAGATATCAGCGCTGGGGATAGGTGATTTGGCTTGAATAGTCGTTTACAGTACAATCTATGATGATGTCGACCACAATTCATCAAGTTGTGCATAGAACTATTTGCCAACAAAATAATACGTAAGAGGATCCGACATGTTGCAGACTTTGCACTCAGTAACCGTGATGTATATGAGTAAACTGTAGGTGTAAAATATACCGATTACTCGTATATAATTATACAAAGTTCAGCGATTGTCAGTGTACTGGACTGCTTTATGTTTGCATTGACATCTTATACACTCTACAGCACCTGATTCATTCAATACCTCATTTAGGTTACTACAGCAACTAACGCACATCTTAAAATCAGACATTATGAGATTACGATTAATCGCATTGTGAAAATAATTACTCTACAGTACTACGTAAACATATTAGTATTTGTATCTTGCTTTGATCACTTTCGATAATATATTTTACTTGTTGGCGTGTTCTCCATAATTCGGTGGCATCCGACTAGAGAATACTTTAAACGGTGGGAATTCAACTCAGCTAATTCGTTATGGCGTATCAAAGCCAAATTAATAATACCATACTTTATTTTACATTCTATTAATACCAGTATTGAATAATAGCAACGATTCAAATATTGCATGATGAACAACCCTAATAAAAAGCGTAAATGGATAAATTGTGTTGTACAGCAATACAATACAAATTTTATTTTGCCGACGAGAATGAACAACTTGGCGATTTTACAAATTGTTAGTAGATTTAATCGGCCCTAAATTTAATACAGTAACCGCCGCTTAATAAATGCACGGATAAAAATTGATATCCCATGGTAATGATGAATTAATTCCAAGTACAAAACACTCTATAATCTGACATTAACATTGTGAATAATAACAATGTTTACCGTTACCTTATATTCTGTATTAAATCGAAACATGTACTCATAAGTAAATTCTTTCGAGATTAAAAAATTGATTTTTGTCATTGCAGATCCGTAACCAGTGTTTCGATCATTAATCGCTTCCGTAATTCTTTAGCAAGCCGACTTAAACATGGTAAGATGGCTCTTTAACGAAAACTTTGTAAACTTTGTTCTTAATTGTTTGTGAACTATCTTAACTTGGAACATTTTAATGAAAATATATCCTATCTAAACGAGTTTGTGTGTATGCATTCCACCAATCAACATTTGTTGCAACATTTATCGCTGAATCTTACAATTTATACTGATAAAGCCTTATGATGATCATAATGTTTTAGCCAACAGCCAACTTTAAAGAGTTTGACATACTGATTAGCTTGGTGGCTGATGAGGAAAGATTCGGCTTTTCTGTTACTGGCGGAATAGATAAAGGAGCAATTCCCAGAATTGGCAAAGTTGCAAATGGTAATGACTTTGTTGCGGCGTGGCTTTAACTTATAATTGTTACTTTAGAGTATAGATTTGGCCACTCTTGAGAATCTGTCAATGATATACGACGGCTACTTTTAGAAATGTTAAAGCCCATGGTCCTATTCCATCCCATCATTAACAAAAATGATTAATGATAATTTAATATTATCATATTATTTACAAAAGTAGTTTAAGCATCGATATAGTTTGTCTTCCTGGCCACTCATTAAATTGTGGATTGATAATTAAAGTTATTGGTCATTTTATTTTAGATTCTCCCGCAATTCGAGCTAAACTAAAAAGTGGTGATGAACTATTAGCCATAAATGGAAATACAGTAGCAAACGCGACATTTAGTGAAATTGTGGCAATGGTTCAAAAAGTAAAGTTATCACATAGTCTATTTAATGTGAACAGATATCAAGTTTATCGGTTTTATACATACGATTATATATATTTTAGGGTGCGAAAATGCGGTATGTCAGACTGACGGTGAAAAGAATTGACGGTAAGTTAAACAAGTTACTGCTGCTACGACAGTTAAAAAATTGTTGGATTTTGCTTTAAAGGTGACATCTAAAACTGTACTCTAAGAATAAGCATTTGAAGATAGTGATAAAGTTATAGTCAGTTATTTCTGTGTCTTAAGAATGCGTTTGCTGTAGGAGGAACTAACTTGTTTTTCTTCAATTATATATACTGTATATTGACCTGAACAGAAGTTTCTAAACCACAAACAGCTCCACCTCCTCCACCTCCAAGACGTCCCAAGACTCGTGAACAAAATGTTAATGTCAGTCAGACCCCGACTGCTAATGGCAATTATGACAGACGAAATTTAATGTTCGTGAATATTATACAAGCTGTCACTGCAATGCTACAAAGAGTATCACTCATTTAGTACATAGTAATATATATTTTGCAAAGATACAATTAACCGCGACGTTTCCAATTGCGTATCTTAAGATTTGTTTTTGAAAGCATGTGGTTAGCCTTCACGCTAATGACAGGATTTTTAATAACTGTATCTATTTAGATCCGACCAGGAACCTCAACGCGGTGTTTATCAGCAGGATCAGGAATTCTTAAATCAATTCGACCATCGGAATGTTGACAATCGTCGCTACGAAAATTCAGATAATGCTCAAAATTTTGATGGGTTTGATGAAGGTAAGAAGCCCTTATCAGCTGCTGCATGGAGTTGCAAGTAAAGCCTGCGAAGTATACGTAGAGAACTGATTCGAGTGTGCTTATTATGTGTGCGCGTACATGTACACATTTTGCGTAGATTTTGGCCATACCAATGCAGATATTCGTGATGGTACGAACTTAGAGCCAGAAAATGACACCAAAAATCAGTCTAGTAAGATTTCAATTGTGTTTGATAATTAATACTGCTTATGGTGCTTTCAAAAGCTACTGAGACCTAGTAACCGATTTTATTGTAAAAATTTAGTCTTACTAGGCGATCTTAGTGAAATTCTGGAACATTTAAAGCGGACTGTAACCGATGAAAGAGATAAACAAGATTTAAAATTTCTCTATAGCTTTTGCCAACATAAAAATTTTAAAATAGCCGCAAAGGTATAGATTTGACGACAGTAGGAATGATTCGAGAGATATACTGTATACAGTACTAGTATAGTATAGTTTAATTTTGACCGATTAAAATAATAAGGTAGTCGCGTTTAATTTCATCCTTAAATCTTTATTTTTATAAGGCACATTTTGCAATATCGAATCGTTGCAATTTGACAGCTGACACTGCAGTGTGCAGAAATGCTCGAGATCTTGCTCAAATGGTCAGGCGAATGATAGTGAAATTCTTGTTAATTATATTGCTATCCAATATTCTTACTTTATCGAACTAAGCTATATCGCAAATATTGCTACCCACAATTTTATAACCCAGGTAATAAGTGATATTAATGAAGAAGGTGGGACTTTGTCAGCTCATCTCAAGAACATATTGACACTACCTAATGTGACTGTAAGATTATTTAATATAGAGTACTATCTGTTTTAGATGACTCTTAATTTATGCTTGTTTAATTAAGAGAATATTCTACATGTCTAAAATTATTAGAGTTTGATGTATTGTCATGACGAAGTTGCATCCAAGGATTCTGTAGCAAATGGACATCTTGTGTCAGTAAAGAATGACGACTATTGTTATAGATTAGTGGAGATTCACAAGGCAGCATTTCCTCTGGTGGGTTAAATTGTTACCGATGCAACTATGATTACTCTGCAAGTCTTTGACTTTTACTAAGTAAATTTTAAAACTGGCTAGGGAGCAACAATTCGCCGCTTCGGCGATAAAGTTCTTATTAATCGCATAGCTAGACAAGGAGCCGCTGATAGATCAGGTATTAGACTATGATAATTATTATGCACGAAGAAATTTAGATTTGATTGTACGAAATTCTCATTCATTAAAATCTATTTATAACCACGAATCTAAATTAATTATATATTTTTGTTAGGGCAACTATCTGAAGGTGATGAAATAGTTGAAATAAACGGCACTAGCGTTGTTGGAATGACAGTGGCCGAGATAGTAGAACTTGTGGTAAGTTTACCTCGTACTATCCATAAGCCATGATTTTATACTATAAAAATATCACTGATTCTTCGCTTACTGATATGTTGCTTCTAAATAATTGAAATGTGTTAAATCATACGTATGGTACTTAGAAGAAAATATCTAAATAAGGCAAATTAATAATTAATATAATTTAACTTTGTTCTTACCATGGTTCTTGCTAAAATTTAACGTAATCGAAATTTCAGGAAAAACAAACAGATATAGTGGCATTTTTAACCTTGCCTGGCGATAACACAAAAACCGCAGTTAAAGACTCACATGTAAGATTTACATGTTGGTATTTTCATATTTAGAATTTCCTATATCATTGTTGTAAGAATATGTTGCTTCTTTAGTTGCTAGTTAACTATATAATTATCATTTAAAATTATCGCCATCGGATAGGTTTATGTGAAGGCATTTTGCGAATATAATCCCATAGAAGACCAATTTAATCCCTATCGAGAGTTAGGTTTAAAATTTCAATATGGAGATATTTTGCGCATCACTCCACAGGAAGACAAAAATTGGTGGCAGGTAACATTACTCGCTGCTATTTACAATTCAATAGAATTTACTATCGATACACTTTCAGTTACCAATAAATTATAGCTATCTATTAAACGATACAGAGGAACATATCACTTTATACTGTCTTAGTCGTAATTTGTTTGTGGTGGATTGTAGGCTCAGCTGATTTTCAGTAGTCAACGGAATGTGAATAATAAGTCATCGAGTGGAATAATTCCATCGAGGCATTTAATGGAACAGTAAGTAATCTTCAGGCTTTAGATCGTATATTGCCAAATATTCGAATCAATAAGAGTTCTTGTTTAAAATACTACCCGATAATCATTTGTTTATTACCTTAAATTTCAATAGCTAGATGAACATATTGTTTTGAAATTGTATCGTTATTGTCTAGCTAATTTTCTGATCTATTATTTGCAGGCGTCAATTATTGTCCAATGGAACTTCTAATACTGAAGAGTCTAACGTGTCATCCAAAGGCGCTTCTAACAAAAGTAGTATGTAATAATTAAATATTGAGTTGCCTAATAAAAAATGCAAGTTTGTAAATTTCTTGTTGATCGCTGATCATCGATATTTAATATCGCTAAAAATCCATTGATAAATTATCGATATAATTATCCAAGAAAAATGGTTGAAAATATCCGGAAAATCTAAAAAGAAGAAGAGCAATGAACCGTCGCCGAAAAGCAACTCCGGTTAGATTGAAGCACAAACCAGCAATATTAAAAGTCAGCGTTGACATTTTCCTCGTAGAATAAACTAACTAAATATATTACAGATGCCGATGCTATGATGATGCCTGCATATGAACCAGTACGGGAAATGCCGCCGACATTTAATAGAACTAGACCAATAGTACTGATTGGTAAGTTTATGTTTTATTTGCACCCTTCGCAGGTGTCCTTCGTATCTCTAAGAATTGTCGAATTTGCACTCAAATGTTCGTAGGTGCAAAATACATTGGGAGAAATGAATTAAAACACCGCTTACTTAGAGGACAGCCGGAGAGATTCGCCGCTGCCATTGAATGTAATTGTAATATTTTGGAAATTCAACGTAGCATGATTAAGTCATTGTATGAGTATGTTTGACCTATTTATTTTTCCAAGGTACAACACGCACTCCTCGACCTAACGAAGTTAACGGAGTGGACTTTCATTTTATGACTCGAGACGTTTTTGAAAGGAAGAAAGCAAATCAAGAGATGTTAGAGTATCGGGAATCAAATGGGCAGCTTTATGGTGTAGACAAGGAAGCTGTCAAAAAACTTATGTTTACGAGTAAATCATGCCTACTAATCCCTGAACCAGATGTAAGATCAAACGATAATGATGTAATGGCAAGATAAACTTTGCCTTACCTAATTTTGAAATATTTTTACTTAAACAGATCTTACCGCAAATCAAGGGCGCTGAACTTAGGCCATTCGTCATATTTATTAGAGCACCATTTATTAATGAAATTGGAAAGACTTCGAGAGGGAACTACGACTGTATCAATTTTAGCGTCAAAATGAAGGTTCTTAGTAGTCTCTAGACGCTTTCAATAGTGTTTTTATTATGCGGCATACCAAGCTATAGAGTAATTAAATATTCCCATTATATTTAATTAGAACGACGCCGTTCGAGCCATGGTTAGTGAATCGTACGAAATGGAATCGAAGTACAAGCAATATTTTGACGTCCTATTAGTCAACAATGATATGGTCAAATTAGTGGCGGAGGTTCAAGGTATTGTAGAAAGTTTAACATCTGCTCCTCAATGGGTTCCAAGCTCTTGGATGCATTAATGCAGCTTGCATAATTCATGGCAGATGCATTGATTAATCATGGACTGGTCAAACAATTGCTGTACAAATAAACGACATTCTGTCTTTAATATGTGAATATTCAGACTTTAATTGTAAACTTTTATTGTACGTGGATGGCTTTAAAAATTTTAAAATGTAAAGTTGCCGACTGTTTCACTTGGCATTTGATACGAATTATATCACAATTATCGAATAATTTTATACTTTACTCGAGGTATTATTAGCTTAAATCTCAACTATTAATTCTGTTTATCCAGAGTTAAAAATGTTTCCTCTTTCAATGAAAAAGATTATAGTACGATTATACAGTACAGTGCATTCGTATTTTTATAAGAGTTTTACGCTAACGTACATACTGTATGCATACGTATATCGAAATACAAGAAATAACTTGACTATCGTGTTGCATAGTCATTACTATTGATTCTTGTGCGTTTACAAAATCATTCTATTTTTTATACAGGTATATAATTACTCTGATGCTAGAAAGAAGTTTTGAGGGTTAATGTAATGTAGCAGGTCTAGACAGGCTGATGGTAAAATTATATATATATGTGTTCTATTTTAAGGAAACTGTAAAGGCTGTGTCTCAAAATCATATGCAGGAAGGGTTGTTTCCTTCCTTTCTAGACATATTCGACGCCACAACCAAAACTCGGAAGTTGGCGAGCGCATCTGTAAAATTTAAAATTAGTCTTAACTATGCAAAGCGGATTGTATCTATCCATCAAAAAGAGATGCTGCCTTAAATCGGTAATTATGTTTAAATTAAATCAGATCAAATAAATTTAATGAGTTCACAGCCAATGCTGGAGGTGGATATAGAGGATTAATGGCTGTTTCAATTAATGATTGCACTAATCCTGATTGCAGTTTCCTACGGATAATAAGTGCATAGCAGCTAAGTGATTCTAGTAATAAGTAATGCTACAATACCTTGGACAGTGTCGCAGATCAGAACGATGAAACTTTACATTAACTTACTCAGCGCATGCAGGAGCACCGTTTATTTCCAATAAATAAACATGACCTTTATCATCTATGATAAAGTCAAAACCAAATAATTGAAAGCTTTTGTAACTCAATCCGGAGGCATCCATTTTCTAGTTAAAAGAATCAAAGTGCAAATTTTAGTTATAATCTAATTCTTTATGTGGGCGTCTACATCCGACGCTCCTTACCATAATTATACCACTAGTAAAGTTCCCGTTCAAATAAACGGGTATACATTCTGCACAAAGCAAGACATTGAAAGGAAACTCACAGCCAGATTATTTCTTACTACTGTATATAGGCTTACGTAAATGTCAAGGTTATGATACCTCTTTTCCGGCAGCAAAACAATCCTTTATAATACGCCTAATTTGCGGTAAAATATCACTTTCAAGGCTTAGATTGTATTTCGCTTCTAAAAATCTATGTAAAAGAAAAATTTGTAATAATTACTGTTGCAAACATATTTGCATAGGTACATATCATCAGCATTATCATATGCACGTAACTTACCTATTAAACTCCTCGTAAAACATTTCGTTACCTTCTTCGTATTCTCCAAACTTATCGGCTAACTGTTGCTGTTAACAGTAAATAATATTAATTCTATACGCGTAGATGATATGTTAGATCGAATAGCCGTAATTGAATGCTGTTAGTAAAAGAACTTGGGCTATTCATTAATTTTATTAACCAGTACTGTAATAATTATACCGTATTAATAAATACCTGAAGACAATGATTTGTTAAATGGCTAGTAACTTTATCTAAATTGCTAGGATCATATGCATCCGATGCAGTCCTTACAACTCCTTCTCTGTATAGGTATATATCGTATTTGTGGTCCAATAATACCCAACACCTGTTGAATATTGTACAGCACAAGCTCATTTCCATTTAGGCACATGCACAAGGGTTTGCAGAAATTAATCTGCATCGACTTAATTTCAATTTGTAAAGTTGCTTACAAGGCATTTTAGTATTTACCGAATATCGAACTTCCGCTCTCCAGTTAATAACATAGGATTTTCTACATATTTTTGGATAACGTGGGATTGATTACTGTTGTCTACAAATTGAATGAGCTGGTCAATGTCATCAGAAATCATAATGCCTTCACCTATTGTGTAAGAGTACCGATATTTCAAGAAAATCCAGTTTAGCCTTTATGCAGCCTGATATATAACATATAACGCAGTATGTTTCAATGCAGTAATTATACCGTATAATATAACAATAGTAGTATTGTATATGAAAAGAGCGATCAACTGTTCAATTGTCAGGGTAAATGTATTGGCTAGTACATCAACAAGACCTTCAAGCAGTGTAGATGTCAGAGTAAGCACAGTAACTACAAAATCCATACTACAAATTCGGATTTATCTTAACCAACCTTTACAACCAGTGTTGGGCTTAGCAATCCAGATGCGTTGATTTCCAGAGGCTAAAGTTGCACTAGCTCGCCGAAGGTCTTCCCGGAAATCCCGTACTGGCTTCTCTAAATAAAACTCCATCCAAGGTGATTTGAGATTTTCCTTCAGCCTTTTAGAATGAAATTTAATTTCCTTCCGAATTTTTTCGGGGTTAACAACATATGCTGGAAGTATCCAATCGAAATTTCTCTCACACTTTTTAGCATAGTCCTTCAATGTACTGATAAATAACAAAGTGATGAAAAGCTATTCAAGATACTGCATACGCGTACTTTATCTTCTCTGCCAACTATCGTACTGTTGTAGTATTTGCTATTTATATTCGTATGTTACTGTAGTTCCACATTATCTTTCAAAGATATTCTTAAAGTAATATATCGTTAATTAAATTACCAAACAAGCGATGACTTTTTGCAAATGGAATCATTTCCATTAAAATAATTTACTGCCTGAGTAAAGCCAGGTTCATGTCCTAAAGGCGACAATTATGCATATAACACATACACATTATACAGTATGGTACGTAAATATGGCACAACGAACAGTGAAAGTATCTACCCTATACAAGAAAGAAGTGCGATTCAATTTTTATTTACTTTTGCAAATAGATGCTTACACTGCAGTTATTTACGTTTATTGCAGATAAGCGTGCAGAATATCCAAATTAAACAGTACTATTTCGTCAAAGTTGACGAGTATATTTTAAAATTGTTAAATTAGGTTACCCAATCGAGCAAAAGACAGTCTATTTCTTTCGCCAAATACAAGATGGAATTTGCTGCTGTCGGGATTTTTACATTGCCAATAACCAGATTTTTCCAGTATTTCAGTAACTGCCGAATAAACTGAACTACCGGTGCTACGATAGATGAAGTAGTACATTCTAGTAATTCAGTGTAATACAAAGTCTGCTGTTTATTTTTCGGGCGAAAATCGGGATTGTTGTTTTACTGAACTCACAGTTAAAGCGTTATTTAATGTGAAGTCTATTAAACGCTAGTATTTACATACGACTTTAGTATTTAAATTTCCTTATCACCGACGTACGCGTATTTTACTAGCAATGATAACTACTGTACATGATACATCATTATAAAGAACCTACAGTACGCGTGTATCAAATGACTGTATGTTACAGTACAGTATATAGAAGATAAAACATGAATAACATTACAACAGCAGCATTATTTAACCAATCTTAGACAGATGGTCGAAACAGAAAGCAGTTTCTCGATGTTAAACCAAATTTCCGCCAAATTCAAAATGCACCATTGATTGATTTTATGTTGCTGACTCGGGCTGACTGACTAACTGCAGAATGCAGAGTCCAGTGAGAACACTGTACAGTACAGTACATCACTGTCTAGCATTGACTCTGAAGTGTTCATAGTACAGGTACACTATCAGTATTCAGTACACTATGTGCTAAACTAACAAATCCTGGGGGACGGGTGATCTTTTTCTACGGTACAGTGTACAGTACATGGGCTAGAGTAAAAAAGTACTACACTGTACTGTACACTGTAAAGCTACAAAATCATTTTGATGATGCTTTTTAAATTCTCTGCTGCAGTCAGTATCGATGACAGGATCAATTAATGTCTAAAGTGTACGATGAAAGCAACATGCCTGAAAAAAGTTTGCGCTCTAGGTCCCTTCAAATAGCCACCGTGGTGTCCGCCTACTGGTATACCTCTACTAACATAGTATAATTCAATACTATAATTATTTTACTACTGTTTACTGTAAATAAGTACTGTACTGTATTATTCTTATCGTCCAAAAAATATGTATTTCTTTAGGTAATATGCGTTTTAAAGGCGATATACAGGGTGTCTCATAAGTCTTTCCTACTGTTTGAAATTATATGAAATTATAGTTTCAAGTCCTTATTAGACAACTTTGTTATCATTTGATTGGAAATAAGATGCTTTATGCGAATATGTAATTTAAATTTACATAAAATGTGTACGGTATTTTAAGAATGAAAATGCTTGTACAGTACAACGTACATACATTACCGTATCGTTCGTTATTCGTCAGCACAGTAAACGTATAATTATACAGTACAATTATCAGTTATGCTTCATTAGTATGGCAATGGTATCTATTTAGTGCTCCTGATATTATAAGATTTCCTGTATAACAGTCACAGTGATACGTATATCAATAAGTAAATTATAATAGTTATTTTACCTTGCTGTAAATATGCATGCATTGGATACTGAGTATTTAGAATTGCATGGTGCCCTCAGCATTTGCCAGTAACGAAATGAATTAAATATCGATCTAAGTTTTCGTTGTGAATGTACAACTCTGATCCCAAACATGTCTTGTGATTTAATATTACTGCTTTTTACTGATTTACAGGTTTATTTCAATTTCTATGGTATTTGTCAACAAATATTTATTAAGCAGCGAGGATCTTAAGGTACTGTATCGAAATATATATGTACGCCTCAAAATTCTGCGAACTGTACTTCCTTTAAGGTGCATTGACTGATCTTTTTGGTTTTACCCCAGCACCTGACACAATTTATCATCTACAGTACAGTATATAGCTAATCGGATGATTTACCTTTTGCAAAACCGTTTATATTTAAAAGTCTTTAACTTTACTATAAATATTGTACCAAAGTATTCGTGAGACTTCGCTTACTTGTTTACTAACTTCAGTAAAACATTTCGGTATATTATATTAGTCTAGTCGAACAGCCTGCTAGATACTTCGTCAACTTGTTTAGTATACAGTGATTAACTAACTGTTAGTACTGGACACCAGTACACGAAACTAGAAGAATATTCAGGATACAGTCAGTTGATTGAAAGTACAGCATAGCCTTACGTCTTATCCAGTGTTGTGAGGACATGAGTATAGGATGAAGCATAAATAAGGGGACAAACCTTTTAAAAAAGTCATTCGACATGGTATAGCTGGCGATATCTCCTAATACTGTACAGTATATGAGTTGTTCTATACAGCCATGGACTACTAGATGCACCTAGTTTACTGTATAATGCACTGACAATTTATATAGTGCTAAATGCACAGTATTTGATGAAAGTATGAGTAGTAAATTTTAGAGGATTTGTATTCTGCTATGTGATAGTTAGATCGATGACAGGGGCTGTCAACAGCATTCTACTTGTACAATTTTCGAAAATTCGATGCGTTATTAACTTTGGATTAATCCTACGGTCTCAGTTGGACGCTCCTATTTTTGTAACATGGTTCCAATGTATTATCGCCGTAATGATTTGTTTTGGCCTTGGCTTAATTGGAAATAAATTTCGTGGAATTGAAGAGTTTCCTGCTTTCGAGATTGATATCAAAATTGCGAGAGAAGTAAGTTACTCTAATAAGAAATAGGAAATACCAATGCAGCGCACTGTACACTGTACAATAGGCTATATAAAAAATAAGGGGAATAAATATGCATTTGTGAATGCTTTGCCTATAATTAATGATTACAGTAATATTCAGCCACTGATTGCTATATTACCTTGTTGGTAATTGAGTATTATCCATGATTTAGTAATGAAATGATAAAAGTGACCGTGAACCCGTTAATGCACTGATAGCTGAGGTGCTACCAGTTTCTAATACCATATAATGAAAATTAGATAAAATCGGATCAAAAATCATTTATACGTATATGTATCGCTTCTTTAAGTTTTAAAGATTAATTAATGAAGATTATAGCCTGTCTAGACTCTGACATGAGGTATAAGTTGTAATGTTAACTAACCAGTATAACGTTATGGGTACTACTTAGGTTCTTCCCTTATCAGCCGTGTTTGTCGGAATGATAATGTTCAATAATTTGTGCCTGAAGTACGTTGGCGTAGCGTTTTATAATGTTGGAAGATCTCTAACAACCGTGTTCAATGTTGTAAGATGTCTAAACCCCTTTTTTCTATAATCATAAAACCGTTTATCGTAGCTCATCACTTTTTTAGACCTCATAAAACTTTTAGAATTAAATTTCACCTCTGATATGAAACCGCCTAAAAATTCTTTGATACTTATTTTAGGTATTAACTTACATTATCCTAAAGCAAAAGACGTCCCTATATGCTATTTTAACCTGCTTGATGATCATTTTTGGTTTTATTCTGGGTGTCGAGCAAGAGGAAGGGTCAAAAACTACTAGTAACCTTTTCTTAGGAGTATTTTTTGGCGTGCTGGCCAGTTTATGTGTATCTCTTAATGCAATATATACCAAGAAAATCCTTCCACATGTTAACGGAAACTTATGGCGTTTAACTTTGTATAATAATTTAAATGCTTCAGTAATATTTATTCCTCTACTGCTACTTAATAACGAATTAGCCACGCTATTTAAATTCTCAAAAATAGGATCGCCATACTTCTGGTTTATTCTAATTATCAGTGGTCTTTTTGGAGTAGCTATAGGTTTCATTTCCGGCTTACAAATCAAGATTACAAGCCCTCTAACTCATAATATAAGTGGCACCGCAAAGGCCTGTGTTCAGACAATTATTGCTGTCTCTGTAACTGGTGATATAAAAACTACGTTGTGGTGGCTTAGTAATACGTTAGTGTTAGGCGGTTCAGCTGCTTATACCTACGTTAAGCATTCCGAAATGAAATAATTACAGTCAGAGAAAAATCTTTCATATGGAACAGAATTTCAGGGGAATTGTGCAAACTCGGCACTATAATCTGTTTACAACAGGATAACCTACTCAACACTTGCAGCTGCAAGTTTCTGACCTGTCACTGCTTGAGTATATTTCTAGACAGCAGTCTATTTATATTTCTAAAGTTAAAATAGGAGTGCCGTGCTAATTACTGTACGGTAGTCTACCGGAATTGGTGCAATCCTGGAGGGCTTTCTAGAAATGATGAATACTATGACTGGTCATCATTTAAAATTAAAATCGGAATAACCTTGTACCAGTAACTTTATCATATTGTAGCCTGGTACGATGTTCTGCAACAAATATTTCTCAGTTTGACATATTTAACTCACTGATTGCTCGCTGATTTACAGTGCACTAGGAATTAACCGTGAAGATAAACTAGCCCTTATTGTTATCTCTAACGAGCTCACATGTATTCTTGTTTTCTTGTAATAAAGATGCAACAACACACGTATAATTGGCTTATGCGATAAAATATACGTAGTAAAGTATGTGAGAATAAATAATTATGTCATCAGCGATTATAAGAAACTGTTACCTGCAGTAAAGCATCAGCCATTATGGCGAGAGCTAGGTGATGCGCAGGTTAAAAATTCATCGCATACCATGGTAAAATGCGTTTTACTTATACTTTATTTACTGTTAATTAATGCTCATCAACTGTTTAATAGCAGTGACAATATTAAATACAAATCTTGAAATATAAAGCTTGACCAATACAGTACAATTGATGCAATTACTTACAAATACTATACTAATAAGACTATAGTTATAACTTGCCAAGATACAATAGAATAAGCTATAACGGCTTTTGTTAAAATTAATAATGATATATTTTCGGATGTATGATATAATAGATCTGCGGTACCGCACACATTGCTGCTGAAATTGCGTCTGTTCATGTATCAGAAGCAGCAGAAATTTAGATGTATTGTAAGACAGCACATCATCAAGACAAATAACATCAAATATCTATAAAAATGGAAGCGTTGGCTGCATTTGTTTGTATCCTATCTTATCATCACAGATAAAATTGACATTAATGGTACTATAAATTAGCAAACAAGATCTCTATAGGACCCAAATGAGACGGTAAGGATGATTCGCGTTAAAATATTACATCTTCATCCTTAGAATCCTCTAAAATATTCTTTGTATCTTCATCACCAACGCCTGAAAATAATCGAGAAGCTCTCATTATAACGTACTGCGTGGTAATAATTATATTGCTACAAATAACACTTGCGGTATTTTACCTAATATTTTCATTTCTTCTTCTTTAGCAACCTTCAATTTCTTTTTCTTTTCTTGAATTTTTTTCAATCTACAGATTTTTTCAAAATCATGAGTTTATAAGCTTTATTAAATACCCATAAGAATACTAACCTGTAAAACTCCTCACGATCCCTTTCGTCTAGTTCTGAAGTGATGTAAGAAATAGTGTTTTCAATTCGAGGGATAATAACGTGTTCAATGGCATTAACACGCCTATTGGTGACTTTGATAGCTTCATCAAGGACGATAAATGCAGTCTACCAGGCAAAATTGCAGTTTTAATTAAGAATTGCATTAAAAGAACTGTTCTGTCCCTAGCTAGTAGAAATCTTATGATATAACATCTTTACCTGCATGGATGCTAAATCGATCAGCAAAGTAACAGCTTTTGCATAAACTTCCCTTGCATGAGTAACCTGTTGGCCACCTCTAGATAAGCCAGTTAATTCATTTGCTAAGAATTAAGTGCAATTTTGATTAATTGTTTTCATTTTCAATTGATAGAAATTTTATAATCGAGCTTGCATAAGTATTTTGTATAAACATTAAAAATTAATAGACGCTGAAAGGTAGATCTATTACATACAGTCTACACCCTCCGAAAACGGTTCAAAGTTCGGTAGCTGAACACCTAGAGAAAAAGAATACAATTAAAAATTGGTAATAATAACTGTACTCATTATAACGCCTCTTCTAGAAATATTCTACTCTATAATCGCAAGACGGATCCCCTAACGGTAAATAGTAGCCCATAAAGCTCATCGAATGATGACCATATGTTCAAACTACTAGGGTAAATGCGGTACATTGAAGCTCACTGCATCATACATGATATGTAAGCACATACTACACAGTAATAATCTTAAGCAGCTGTTGTATAGACACTCAAGGCACAATATTTTTACCAAGACGATACAGGTACAGAAACATATTGCAGTATCCGTATTTGCACACTATCTATCACCTATTGACGATTGACTAGAGCTACATCCTAACTTGCCTACCTGCAACATTATCTTTCCCGGTTCTGATCTTAGTCCTCGCACGTTCCACTTTTTCTAGAACTACTTGCCTGCAATAAATAACGACAAGACTTTAGCATTTTAAACACTCAAGTAAGACTTAACTTCAGGACTAATTCAATTTATGAGCACGCAAGTATTATAAATTATCGGTATCGATTGCCAGTGCAATCATGAGTACTAACGTAAAATCTCCAGCAGCAAATTTGGCTTCGGCTAATGAGTAATTCGCTTCTTTCATGATATCACCAACCAACAATTTAGTCTACGTACGTAAACAAAATCGTCCGATGATTATTAAGTATAACGTAATATAAATGAAAAGTCAAGCCATTAAGGGACAGCTATCGAATAAAACATTTATAATATAATGCAGTAATACGTATAATTAATGTAATCAATTTTTCGCTGATACCTACAAAATAGCGAGATGGATACGAGTAGACTGTGTGAAGTTTTTACGCAGTCAGCATCGCAATCGTACATAGCATTCTAATTAAGTAGGTCAACCACTGGACTTGATGCACTTACGCGTGCTCTCTACAGTTTAAGCGATCAATTCAGATATCTGATGGAATACTGGACATGCAATCTTCTTGGGGTATGACTCTAGGTAGAAGGCTAAACTACGTGTACATTAAACTAAACCAATCAAGTAATCTAAGATGATGCCTTCTCGCCATATGGAACAGTTACAGATTGTTACAGCTTCTACGCAGACAAATAAAACTGCCTAGCTATCAATTTTAGTCCCTAATTTAAACAAATCAGCGTACTAACATCAATCATTTTCTTCAGGATTGCTCGAAATCGAAGGGTTAACGCATCAGCTTTCTTTTTCAGTAAACTGTGTCCTTTCTGAGCACCCTTCAACCGGCCTTTCATGACGGTCAAGTTCCTGTATTTAATATTAATATATAATTATTACAACACACCTTAAACTGTAGTGTAACTGTCCTATGCTTTCCATGATAAATTTTAGGGAAGTCTTTAATCACTTTTTAAGCCAATGAAACAAATTATAACGCAATGTAATTTTGTACCACTTACATTCGTGAGGGAAAAACGGGTAATCTATCATTGCTAGACATCTTGAAAGAGTACGAGTATGATCGAGATCGCTGCTGCTTCTTTGTACGGCCACTCCTGGCTGTGTCACTTGATGATCACGGATTTCTTCCCTTCTCTGCGTGCACATGCGCAAATTCTCGATCTACATTACTCAATGGTAATATTGTACTGTACCGTACAGGGCAATACGGTAAATACTGTACAGTACAGTACGTACAGTACAGTGTACAGTACAGTACAGTACATTCCGTTCTGTAGAAACGTACAGTACAGTACAGTACTGTACACTGTACGGTAGAGTATTAGGCCTCTGCTGATTTTGGGTACTGTACTGTTTGATAATGTACGTACAGTACAGCAAAAGATTTTGCGACCACCAGTGAAGTTCCAGTACCGTAAGTACTGTACAGTACATTGTACAGTACACCTTCAGGCCGCAGATACGCATACACTTAAAGTAGAGTAAAAGTAAACCGTAAAACCTACACACGATGTGCAACACTAGAAAAATAATTATAGATTTCATTCTGGCGATAAACTATAAACGATATTGTTCTGTTCTTCTTTATTCTTCTTATACAATTCGATTGCGAAGCCATTTGGTTAACAACTGCTATTTAGAGTTGAGGGTTGACAGTTCAATAAGCGCCATCACTGCAGTGATTGATTGCTCAAGTCCTTGTTTTTTTAGTAATCTTTTGTCATTTGCTGTCCTGTCGTGTACCAGAGTTGAAAAATTGGCTGACTAGTGTCTACGGTCTGTACTGTACAGTGTACAGTACAGTACAGTACAGTATGGACATGGACAGCTACAGTATTTTGTACTGTGACAAATCTGTACTGTACTGTACAGTGTACAGTACAGTAGTCTTTACGATACAGTACTGTATACTGTACAGTAGTACTCTAGAAACGTCATCGTCCACTGAAGTCTCTGGCTGTAGTACGGTATTTTCCTCGTTCTTTAGTACGGTAGTGTACCGTACAATGTACTGCACTGGACATGACTGTAACTGGTCAATTGTACAGTAATGTACTGTACACTTTATTAGCAAGTCGATTTGAGTCGAGCCAGCACTTGTTTAACTGCATGATACTATACTGTACACTACGTCTGAATCCAGTCAGCAAGCGTCTAAAGTACAGTACAGTACGTCATCACTAAAAAGACAACTGGCTATTACAGTATTTTGTACTGTGACAAATTGTACTGTACTGTACTGTACACTGTACAGTAGTACAGTACTGTACTCTAGAAACGTCATCGTCTACACTGCAAGTCTCTGACTATGGTACAGTATTTTCCTCGTTCTTTTATAGCGTAGTGTACCGTACAATGTACTGGACACGACTGTAACTGGTCAATTGTGTACAGTACACTTCATTAGCAAGTCGATTGACTCGAGCCAGCACCTGTTTAACTGCATCATACGTCTGAATTCACTCAGCAAAGCATCTACGCCATCACTGAAAAGACAACTGGCCATCATTGATCACCAAAGGAAAGAAAATGGCGACACTCTTTAAAATAAATTGGATTTTATGTGTACTTGTAATACTATCAACAGTAGCTGCTCGTCCTCAAAATAAGGAAAAGCAACTTTTTCATTCGGTAAGTGGAAAATTGCAACTATCATACCGTACTGCTAATGCACTCACATACAAAGAAAGACACGTCATCATGCAGTTGGTAGCCACAAATCCCATTGAAAATTATATCGGATGGTTGCAATCATCAATTCCATCAATCAGTCATATATCTCACCGAATCCAATTTTCAATGAGATTCTTCAATCTTTGAATCTTTCAAGTATTGATACTGTAGAAAATCTTGGCACGCGTTCTTTTTCTTGAATCAATCATGCAAATGGACGTGTATACTGTACTTGATTGAGGAGAAATGGCCACCACTATTGAATAAGAAACTCTTAATCTATTTTAATTGATACCATTGAAGAATATCAAAATTTAGTGTTAGTACCTTCACAAATAAAGTAATAATAATATCAATAGTACTTTGCGGTAATCTAGTTGGATGCTTAATACTGAGTTACTGGGGGTGAAAAGTAAAACTGTATACATTAATTTAAGTTATAATTGTACTATAAACATGGAATTAACCGAACAAAGTCATAGTATCACCTTGTATGATCTGGTCGTAATTGAATGTACTCTACGATAGCAACGCTTCTGATTTTGGAACGCAAAATTTATTGTAATTTTCATACGGTAAATTAAAAGTGGCAGTTGCTTCTGTATTAAACAAGCCATTGTCCATGTTATGTTCCATGTATTTAGAAAAGAAAATTGACGTTCGTGTGAATGAAGTTGTCCATGACCACAGAAATACTCTCTTTCTAGTCCAGATATTTTACTGCTCATCAGTATACTACTATATTAATTAGACGTACTATGTTGAAATGCTATCATTCTACAAACATCTTTACTGCTAGCTTTTAAATTTGTTCATTAAATACGGTACTGCTTACAAAGTACTTCATAAATTACTACTCTTCACTACAGTATCTAATACTGTAACCAGTACCCTAATAACAACAATTTATAGTGCTAGTGGTATGTTAAGACGTTTTGCTGCTTGTCGAACTTTTAGGTACTCTGAACGATATATTGTACAGTAGTAACAGTACGCTACTATACCATTCTCCTTAATTAATAATTAACCTTAACTGAGTAATCCTCGGCATGTTAACATGTCATTTCCTAGACAGCCTTGACCAGCTGGTTAGATTATATATTACTCATTCATACTGTAAAATATCGGGTTTATTGCGCACTCTACAGCTTAAAATTTACTGATTCATTTTTCATCTTCAGAGTACACCTGGTGAATCTTCCATAAAGGCAACGTCGACACCTATCAGTACAAGCGTCTACAAATCTAAAAATGACGCCATTACTAGCTTTTCGTCTTCGTCTATTTATAGCGTCTACGAAACCTCTTCGATCGTTGCAAGTGCAACTCAAATTGACTCCTTGACAAGCAACGGAAAATTAAAATTAACTAATTCCTTATCAGAAGCGATTAGCTTTAATTCTTCGCGGAAGACTACTTCAATTACAGCCACCATAGGAAATAATATGGTAGTTACGAGTTCCTATTCTGATAAACTGAAAAGTACCGTCAGTAAAGAAGGTTCACAAAGCTCCAGGCATCAAATATATAGTACTAAAGCGATACTACCGGCATCAGTATCCGTTCTTACAACTGGACTCGATTGGACACCGTCACCTAGTTATGCGTCACAAATTACTGCTAGCGCTACTATTTTGTCAGCTACTGACACAAATACCTCTGTTGTGGCTGACTCGACAACAGCACTTCCATCTACTGTATCTTCCATGCGTAATTCTGAAACATCGCTTACATCCTTTCATTTATCAACAGTGATCTACCCCAACACTGATGGCCAAACTTCGATTCTATCCGAAAAATTGAAGGAACCTATGATTACTTCCACTTGGAGTCAAGTTTTAACGACTCCACACTTGCCTTCTTTGTCGACTCACTCACGTCAAGATATAGCTAGTGATTTGCTATCTCATATATCAACAAGTGCTTTACTACTTTCGTCTTCAAGTATAGTTGAGTATTCTTCGACAGAATTAAGTAGCTCTGTTGCCCTTACTACGGCTGCCAATCAAAACTTTACATTGACAGAGTCTAACAATACTAGTGTTGATACTTTGGTCACTCAAAGCTCAGCAACCAGTCGACCTTACCTTGCTACCACTGCAACATCTTCTACACTAACTTCTGTATCTAGTAAACCAACAACCGGCAGTAGGCCGACAACTAAGAGCACACCAACAAGTCAACCAACGACCGAGACTAAATCGACTACTAAACCGTTAACTGAGGCTAAATCAGCTACTAAACCGACAACTGAGAGTAAATCAACAACTAATATTAAAACAACAACTAAAAGTATACCTACCAGTAAGAGTAAATCAACCACTGCAAGTAGACCGACAATTGAAGGAACTAGAAACCCATACGATAACTCGACATCTACATTAGGTTAGTGCAAATTTAAATTATGAATTCTGTATCAACAGCATTGTTATGCATAATTTGAATACAATATGTTAATCCGTAAAGTTTTAACCCTACTATTTCATCACTAATATTTCTACTCTATTACTAATATCATGGCTGTACAGAAGGTAGCGGTAAGGTGAGTTCATTCGTCTGTATCGATATTGTATTATATTAACTAATGGCTAAATACCTACTTGCTTCAACGTTTCTTGAATATTGAATTACTGACGTGATCTAATAAAAAGTATCCATTGATTTTTATAGCATTTCCTTAATGATATGTTCATATCAAGTGTATTTGGGATATTTTGCCTCGTCGTAGCATTGGGCATGTTTGCTTACGTCTGGAAGTGCCGTAACAGACGCGCAAGGCGCAGAACAACACGATTGGTCAGTATCATTGCCTTATCACTTCAAATTTTGCTATATAATAGTAGTACTCACAGTACGGATGTTATTTATAGTTGAATGATCACCACAAAGCTGCTACCGAATTTTTATTATTGATTTAATTATGTAAATTTCACTAAACTACATATTACAATTACTGTAGCGACGTACTAGTTGTTTCTTATACCACATACTGTACTTACTTTGGTTAACAAGTGGTCAGACAAAGATGTTGCATTGCAAAATGTTATATCGTTTCGTACTGAACGTACCATACGCTGCATTTCCTTTTGACAAAATTGAAAAGCAGCATGGATGATTATTTATCTTAATATCCATTTCTTTTTCGTGCTGCATTTATGGTAGTTCCTATATACCGTACTGTATAACTAACTCTCTAGATAAGTTCGAGAAATACTCTTCATACCGCTTGTCAATCCAGAGCTGTTGAGACTGTTCGGCATGGACTTCATAATAAGCAGTTAAATGGTATTACTGAAAGATAATACCACGCATGAGATCACGATATTTTTGGAAATTAGTAATACCGTTTGCAAAACTAATTAATTCTTACGTTTAATGAAGATATACAGTAATAACGTAGCCATATTCTAAATACATACGCGTATGCCTATTGATGAAAGTATCTATTCATTAATAGCAATCTATCACCTTACATCGGCAATTGTACTCGAAATCTGCTAACGATATCATTTATAAATTTTTAGAGAGGTAACAATGTGGATCTGGATAGAGTGTTACTGTTGAGCAATGAACGCAATACTGAAGATTAAGAAAAATTTTTTCGATTTCCACGCATGCATTATGTATGATATTTGCAGTATGGACGTTTATAATTATCAATTATCATGATCTTGATTATGGAGTCAAATACGAATCGAATGTGAACGGAATCAATATACAGTATATATATATATATTTATATCAGCTTTGACCTAAGATTGTTCGAATGTAATTTTATTGCAGAAACACTTACGAATTTTAACTATTTTATTACAGTATTACTTAAATTCTACCTATTGTTATAATTATGTGCTGTAAGTAGCGAAATATTGTTATAGACAGAAATAGATAAAAGGTACTGATCAGTCATATAAAATTTATTTATTTGAAAAATAATTTTGATGTCTCTGTTATATGCCACTTTGGGTCCTTGGATAAATTTAATAATTTTATGCAGATGGTATGGCTTCAATATTGTATTTAACAAAGTAGGCTTCGGTTAAGAATTAATATTATTATAATTATTTGTAAATAAAATCTATAGATTATGTCTTGCAACGGCAATATAATGTTCGAGCTTGTCTTTGTAGCTTATTAATTACTGTTGCAATTATATGTTGGAAATTTATGACTTCGTCTATACGCGTACGGTCTAAGAAAATAGGCTGAGTAAAATATTATTAGAACTATCTGAATCCAAGACGTCACCGCTATCCACTTTTTTAGTCTTTCGTTGCTGTGGTGGTAGCATGTATTCAGTCGAAATAAATTCTCGCTTAAATAGATCGCTGATATCTTTCTAAAATTCAACCAATGATGAATAGTTAAACTACACCATACATGAAAGAAATATCAAAGTCAGAATATCGACATATACGTAGCATACCCCGATAACATTATTAACCAGTTCCTTGAAGATTTTATCCTTCTTCTTTCTTTCCGATATAGTTGGCAATATCGTATCAAAATGCTAAAATAAAATTTATGTTTTTAATTGATTAATATTAACTATCTAATACTAATCGAAGAATTCCAACCTCAATACTCTCTACGGAGTTTCCAGGTATCTTTAAAAGTAAATTTTTCAATGATGGATACCTATTTCTCTAGAATAGTTGTAAATGAAAACATTAACCACAGCTGTTTGTAATATTATTATATCGTAATTTTATAACATAAAAATGAAACGAAAGATATCAAAAATACCCCTAGTTCGTATAATCTAGCGCTCAAGTGGATAAGCGATTGCCTCGCGTTATTATTAGACCCATGAATTTGTAATCCCTGCAAAGAAATATGACGATATAATAAATTTACATTTCTCAATGTTACTTTATTACTTTGCTGTATTTACGATACCATTAACAACATCGAAAAAACGCTCTGTACTAGGCCTTCGTTACTGAATTGCGATACCAATACCTAATCAGCGATAAATAATACCACCTCAAATTACTTGTTAAAGTTAGATAATTAATCGAATGCAACAGCTATCATACCGATTCAAGTACGAGATTGCATCTATCCAAAGCCCTATTACAGTATGCTGCACTCTTCCATCGTAAACTACTAAAAAGGCTTGCAGTGATTAAAAAATACATATCCTAATGCAGTACAAAAGGAAAACAGTAATTCGTAAATACTACACTCGGAATAATGAATACGTTCAGTAAATAGATGCAGTAATAACAGCATACTAGGGCAGCGATAGCACAGTACTTTGATATTCTTGTATGACATCTTTTCAAAAAAACTGAACAGACCTTATCTTGCAGCATAAGTAAGCCCAGTTGCCCAAGATTATTGGTATCTTTTGATAGCTCAGCTTTTCCTTTTCACGAAGATGCAACAAAGTTGACTATAGTAGTTGTAAAACATCTAAAACACTTAAACTAAATAAATAGTTATGAATTAATGTGCAACCTTCACTTTCACCAGTTGTTGAATTGCTTCCGTTGCAAGTTAAGCACATTCCTGAAAATGTTTGAAAAAGGTAATTCCAGATTTTATTAGCGTATAACCAATTTAAAATATAGAAATAATAAGCTTACCTAAAAATTCTGCAAATTCCTTGCTAGCACTATGAAGTAAATTATTTTTAAGGATCTCTTCATTTAGAGGATTGTCAATTTCAACTTGATCTTCTTGTTCGCTAACATGTATAATACTGTAAAGATACCGTTATGATTGGAATTAATCTTGAACTGCAACAACAATGTAAATTCTGACTCTCAATGTTATTGAATATCGAAAATTTACATTAAATTACGCAAAAGAATGACTATTACATACTCCTCATATTGGCAGCCTATATGTCGTTCCCATTCTTTCGATAAACGCTAAAAACATAAAGAGCGTTATATGATGAATTATTAAAAGTGAGCCCAGTAATTTTGTTTACCGTCAATCAACATGACACAAAATCGTATTACGAATTTCGTATACTGTATTCTACGCTATAAATTTTCATTTAGAATAGCAGTTGTAGGGTATAACAGGTAAAAATTTTAAAGATTAATTCTATTTACAAGGAAGGAATGAAAGACCAACAATATTTATAATAAAGTTAAAATAATTAATTAACTAGACGAAAGTGGAACCTGGTATGCCTTCGTTATTGTTATTCGTAGAAATGGTATCAGAACTGGTTGATAATAGCGTTGATTGCAAGCTTGAATAAATGGTTTCAAAAAGCTACGTAAAATAGCTTAGAAAAACTAACCATTGCAACGTCATTTTTTTAAAACTAATTTTTTAAGATCAAGAATTAGAATCTAATAAGGATATGAAAAATAGTTTGTAATCGAAATAAAGGAATCACTTCTCCAAACGGAAAAGTTGCTTCGGTAAAATCTTCAATTATTCCTGAAAGTCTCTCATAAAAACTGTCCGGTAAACTCTTACCTAGGCAACCCAGGATGTTATAGCTGACATTTTAAAAAAGAATATCGTGATACAGTGAGAATACTCGTTTTAGAATACTTTACATTTCAAGATATAGTTGTATTTTAAGACGCAGAAAATTAAGATCAAGGCTAAGTTTACATTTCTCGCAATTTCATTCTTACCAATTTTCATATATTCGAAAAAAAAAATTTTGCGCTGCACTTTTGGAATTGATTAATTTTGGATCAATCGGGAGCAACTCTTCGTTGTCTAGCGGTGGAGAATGGATACCTGCAGATAATTTAGAGCGCATTACTGAATCTTAACCTTTTAGGAATAAGAAATCAAATAAGATGAAAGTCTGTGAAATAAATTAACCTAATAACTGAATTTTCTCACAAAGCCGAAGATCGATATAGGATAAATTAAAGGACTGGGATTTCTTTTGTACGTTATCATCGTATAATGAATTTAACAACCTAGATAATAATAAGTTTGTTAAAGGCAATATATCGTCTTTAATACACGGTCAATAAATGTATAAGCATATTTTTAATAATAACCTTGTCAAAACCATAATGTTATCCAGAAGCGGATAAATCGATTCCGCATGCGGTAAACGGTATCTTGGTGAACCATCTTCAAAATTGCCATGAATGTATTGAGTAGCAGCTTCAGACTATTTTTTAATGAAAGATATCATTTCAAGATTTTCCGATCAGATAGTACGAATATACCGAAGTAGTTACTCACAGTCATTGGAGATGGTATCTCAACGGCTTTCAAAGTTGTTAAAATGATACTCAAACAATAATTAATCTATTGATAACAAAAATATTTAAAACATCGTTGGCAACGCAATCAATAATTTAGAAAAAATACAGTAACATTTTGAAATATTTCGGTGACATATGTAATTTATTGATAGGGTATTCTTAAATTGCTAGTATCAATATCCGCAAGGCTACAATCGTTAAATCTTATGCTGTATACAAAACCTCACCTTCAAACGATTTTTTAAACACTCTGTTTGAACGTCTACAATACGACGAATATTATAAGATCTTTATCATAACAGCCGCATACGCTATACATTAATATTTTATAACATACTCTACATAAAGTGCAACAATATCGCTAAAGGTAAGTAACTTCATAGCTTGACTTCTCAGAATTTAAAAATAAGTTACGTACGAGTTGTATCTGGTGAATCGAAGCCAATGTAATTCAAAAAAGCACTCGGCGTTGAAAAACCACTAATATAGAGTAAAGTTTAAAATAAAGTTTTTAGCTGTGAATTTATACCTGATTGATAAAGGATCTTTTTGCTAAGATTGCGGAATAATATCTTCATATAAAAGAGATTTTAATCTAGAACAAGAGACTTTATTCCAATACTTACGTTCTAATTTCAGTAGACAACCAAACAGTTCGAACAGAAGTTAGTAAATCGTGGATTAGGAAACAGTGGCGGTCGAAATTGTAAAAAATATTACTAGAATAAAGAGATATTTGCAAGAAATTTACTTAATTAGGCCTATAATTACCCACACTCCTAAATAATAATTTGAAATCTTTGTAATAGATTCTAACCTCAGTAATAATAATGATTCGATCAAATTACAATAGTCAGTAACTCGTAGTATTGACAGCTCCCGATTTAGTAAGGGTTTAATTGCGGTTACTAAATCATCATATAACGGCTACTCGAAAATAATAAGTAATTAATATAATTGTAATTTGATAAATGAAATAACTACATGCATAGTATTAGTTATTTCTATTAAAACGTCAGCCATTTACTGACCAATAAGAATTGAGGATATTGTTTCGATAATTTTACTAGAAGTCCCGTAGCTTTTCTGCGAACAGCAACCCAATTTTCATTTCTAGCCGCTTGTTTCTTAATTTATTAAATGTTATAGAACGCTTAGTCAGTAATAATTCATTTAAGATTAATTCTAATTTTTTAAGATCGTGTATTACTAACTTCTTGGGCTTCAAAGGATCTGCTAGCAACGTCAAATATCTTGACATTAGCAAAAAATACGAACATAAGTTAGAAATTATTTCTTTTGAAGGTAAAATCTGATATATTCTTATATATATATACGTATATGCAATATGGCATGGTATACTGTAGTATTGCAATTTTACAACATCTCGAAACGATGTGATTTAGAATATGTCAAAACAATCGTAACTATGAACTAATAAGTACCAATTGCAACATTCCACCTAGAGTACTTTGAGAGAAAACTAGGCACGGAAAGAAGGCATTAAGACAAGAAAGCTGGGCAGTTAGCAGTACTGGATCCTGTTGATTGCAGAACGTATGACGTAATTAATGAAATCGAGTATGCATCAAGTTAACTGTCAAAGCTTCAGAATACGTTACCTTTATTTTACACCTTAGCAATACCGAAATCATTTCGTTACACATAGCTATTGAAGGCTAAATAAAATGAAAAATTTTTTAGATTAAAAACTACTTCTTGATAACTTCTTTCACGTAAACTTGAAGCTAATTTACCTTCGTACTGCTATCCGCGACAAAAAGAATCCCTATCATCTTTTCTAAATAGCATGCGACAGCTTCCCACTGAATATATAGCGTAGAGTCGACGGTGTAAGAATGGCTTCCTAAAATTTAAATTGCTATGATTAGTAATAAAATCGAGCTTTGTGAAACTACGATCACCAAAGTACCATCATCTTCATTTGACTGATAAATAATGCTATCTAGCCATTCTATTCCTTTCTTGAACGCAGCCTCTGGAAGTAGCTTAGTGGCCAGTTTGATGATCGTAATTTCAGATGATTTATACTCTACGAATAAGAATGTAACAAAGTCTTTTAGATTTCCAGTTGGAAGTTAATATCAATTAAGAGAATAGAACATCATAAAGACGTACGAGACATAAAAGAATAGTAATCTCGGTTGCATGAGAATTCCATACGCAAGTATTCAATTCCAGGAATTTGTGCAGAGTTTAAATCATTCACCTAAAGTTAACAATAGCTATTGAGTAGGCTATGAGGATGATACAGTTCAGAATCGATTGAAATGAATTACTTTTATAAGTCGGCAATGTATATTGGATAAAACGCCAGGAATAATCTCACGAAGTACATCATTCTTTCTTATATGTTCAGAGCTCATAAATGATATCCATAAAGGTTGGGCAATTGCTGAGACAGTTTGACAAGGATGATTTGTCAAAGCTAAAATAATATTCAGGTACTTCTTAAGATTAGTGGATGGCTGATATTGACAATTTTCCTGAAGAAGTAATTTTAAAAATATAATATAAATACATGTACAAATAATTAATAGGGTAAATGAGAATAAAAATAGCCAGGCAATTTATGCTCGTTACCCACGCAAGGGTAATTAGTACAGATCCAATATTAGTAATTATCTGACATAGGCGCCTGAAATAATTAAAGTTTTCCAAGTCTGTTTCACTGACTTCTGCCGCTTCTCTGAATGAATTATTAAGTATTAAGTCTTACCAAATGTTACTGGTGTGAATTTTTACTGTGGTAAAGATAAGTGTATTAACAGTTTTATAATTTCATTCGTTGTATCATACTTAGCTGCTGAACAAAGAGTATCCAAGCAAGAATCATATAGAAAAAATTCCACTAGGGAAGCATAATTTTCCGACTACAAAAGGAATTAATTTTTATGAATCTTATGATTAATTTCTTTTTCAATTGCAGTTGTTAAACGTACCGATTCGCTTTTTCTCCCAGTTACTTGTAATAAGCACTCAGAAGCTGCAATTTTAAGATTTTCATTTGCTAGCAGGATTAGCAGAAGCTTTAAAAGTTCATAATCATTTCCTTTGACGTATGAATGATTGACCCAATCCAAGTAACCGGTCATAGCCATTAACGTGGAGTTAGCGAGACGATTCGTGTTAATTATATTCTATTATGAGATAACAACGATTATCGACAGCGCTTTCTTCAACTGTGACCAAAATAATGCATGATTTGCAATTATTGAATAAAAAATCGTATACGATTAACTTGCCTGCGTATTTACTGATTTAATGCATTCATTTAATGTTGCAGAAAATAAACCGAATATAGAGAACAAATGTGGCCATAACGCTTGTTTCATTACTGTACAGCTTTGATGCAATAAAGCAGTATCCTGGCCAATTATAATATCTTCCGCCAATCTTAATAATATTAATAGCGTAACTTCTACCTGACTAGGCTATATTTATCAGATATCGCAAGAAATAGAAATAGCACATGTTAGCAAATAGTAAGCATTAATCGAATCAAATAAAAAAGGGCCCAAATAAAATTATTACACACAGTTCATAAACATTATTTGTTGGGGTTGTTTATATGGATTATGCTATCAATTATATCATAGTCATACATGTATTATTATCAAAATTAGTAATGTCAAGTCAATACACTTACCCCCATATTACATAAATCTAGAAGTCGATTCATCAAGTCCGGCCAATGTTGAGGCCACTCTCTTTTCATCAGCTCGACCAACAATCGGCTTATACTGTCCACAATGTAAATCTCTTCCATTACACCTGGCTTAATTTCCTTAAAACAAAGTTATCAGTCAGATTGACAAAGTACGAAACTATGACATAGTATACCTTAAAAAACTATATAAATCATCTGTAACTAAGGTTATTGCAATTACAAAAATTGAGCTACACACCTGTATTAACTCTATTGATCGATTCTTAATCCCGGCCTTTTCATCATTACTGATTTTATTTTGCCAGCGGAATCTAAATATACATAGCCAGGTAAGAATTTCATATATAGAGCTGACAGTATCTCTATTGGCTATCCAAGTCCTAACTTTGTTTATGTAACGATCAGTAAAACACTACAATGTATGTGGTATCCTTAAACAGCCTACACTTACATTTACAGTACGCTATAATGAGTGATTAATGACATTACTGCCTACTGATATATGCCATAATGCAATACGATACGGGTATATTGGGCAAAGCAGAGTACTATTACAGTTAGCACAATAAATATATATTAAAACGAATGACTACATTATGCAAAGCATCCTTTCCTGACTCTATAGTCTGCAGAATATAGATCAAAAACAACCTGTTTATCATAGATTTTTAGAAGCACAGGTTTAGTACTTAATAAAAAACTCTACTATACTGCTATTTATTGTATTAATAAGCAAGAGAAACACGTAGTATATTTGCTACATTTAAAATCAAAGTAGATGGTAAGAAAATTAGTATAATTTGTCATACTAGTTGTACAAGTTACACATTCTAAACCTGCTATCAAGAGTGTGATCGATTTCAATTTGCAAATGATCTTGTTGTACTAGCTACATAAAAAGCATAGGCGTATACTCTAGGTATATTTATTGAATAGGTAGCCATTTCAGTGTAAATCGTATTAATTCTATTTAAGCTAAATTAGGAGATCTGTACGCACCTGACACAATGTGTTAGCAATTGTAATCCAAAGTGACGAGTGAGAGATGGATAATTTTGCTGGCTAAGTGCCAAACCTAATCTTGGACAATTCGTAGACTTCTCCTTAATATCTTCACAAATCTATAAAATACAAAAATTAAAATGAGGTATTAAATTATATACTATTAATTATAGGATTGAAAGCATCCACAGCAGATCGTGTGCTAAATATTATTTTTTAGGATTACAATCCACCAGAGCAATGTACACCGACCGTACACTAAAGACCCTCAAAAATTTTTTAGTATCTCCACTGTCTAATACAGTATACTCGTATGATAATTCATAAGGTTTAACACACTATCAGGTGCGAAGTAATTTAGAATACTTGAAATAAGAAGCTTAAAATAATCATTGTATACATGTATGAATTTGGACGTAATAGACGTCTACGAAAACATGCACGTAAGGCTTCCATTGCCTTCGATGATGATGAAGCATAAGTATACGTAGCTATCCACGTTATCCTGAGCTTATTGCATACGTAGCGGGTATGAGAACGTGCACGTTGAGCTACCTCAGCTATAGATCATAACGGTTTGAACCGCACCGAAACTTTCTCAGGTCTAACCTCAGGTAATTCATACATGTAATTCTGTATCAAAGCTGCAGTTTAAACTGCAGGTACATACAGTATTATGCAGCGATAGTAAACTATGAATACGTTTGAAGAAAATTGATTCGTAATATTTATACCTACCATATACAATTCATGTCGTCGCTGTTGACTAGTAGCTGGATTAAGGACTTCTCCCACTACCATTGCAAGTTGTTGAACTTCTCCTTCAATTTCAGGAGTCAACATCATTGGATCCATGATGAAAGTACAGGTCAAATCTAATAGTGCTTTGGTTCTTCGAGTTTATATAAATGTAGATATTGGTAGCTAACAAGTTAATTAATATAATTCAAGTATTAATAATCTATTTGAATCACTTTTTAACTTTACACTTTGCAGTGAGATATAAATTCTTAATCCACCAGTATGCAACAACGTAAAGATCACCAGTCGTTCAAATATACATATTGTATGATGGATTCATCAATGAACATTTTCAGTGAAGTAACAAAGGATAATTTCTTTCCAGATCTACTATACCTACAATAACGGTGTATTTAAATTTTCTTATATCGGCTTAAAGGCTATTATACTCCTTTCACTTTGAGTAACTTTAAACTTTTAAAATAATTCCAATACAAATTCTGTTACTCCTCGTAAATCTCCATCAAAGACGAATGAGCTAGCAATCCGCTGTCTGTCTTCCGTTACGAAGGCAAGTCCGTCTATCTGTCTTACAATATCTTACAGTATTATGTACAGTGTACAGTACGTAATGGACTGGACATAGTACTGTAAATACAGTGGACGGTACTGTAGCGTATATTGGTATACTATGCGAGCGCATTGTACACGATTATATGATACTGAACAATAGTAATTTTACTACTGACTGCGATACAGTATAGTGCATTGTATACCAACTCGTCAGTGGAACCACACAGCAGGAAACCAACATTTATCCCCCAACCCATCCATGTTTATAAATAGTTATATAATATACATTTAGACTTATAATGAGAATAAAATCAGCTCATCCACTCACTATTTCTGGACGATGACCAATTATTAGCTAATTAGTAACTGCTAGTATCAAAACTGATGCTATCTACTGTATAGATTGAGCTATTCATCACTTGTAATGCTGCATAAGCGTTAACTTTACTGTATACTCTTACACGCAAGATCCAAAGCGATTGGAATAACAACACAGCAATGAGCGGCGGTCTGGCACCGAGTAGATCGACAGTTTATGTCTCTAATTTACCATTCAGCATGACAAATAATGACATACACAAGGTATTTCGACTGGTGAATTTCTCTTATTATCAACTCGTTTTTATAGACTTGTAAAAATGATAAATAATTTGGTATCATCGTTACCATATCAACATAGAGTATAGTGATAAACAAGTTATCCAACTTTACACTTGTAAATTATTATATGCATCGAGAAAGCTAGAAGCGAATTGGATACAGAGATGTTGACTACGTATCACTTCTCGCTCTCCTGTGCTACAGTAGGTCGATAATTTTGTTAGTATTTACCTCTAGACTCGTATACCAGAATCTGTTTTACGTATACAGAACGTATTGAGGCCGACTAGTAGTTAACGGTGCGGGTAACTAAACGAATAATTCATAAAACATTGAAGCTATAGTTTTGCTGAATAACAACCACTAACTTAATCATAGATATCCAGTGAGGTAGGTTGTAGTACCAAATTGTACAAATGTGATGATATTCTTGCATTCCTACATCTATCAACTTGATATATCCTAACTTGTAGAGTTGTTTTGTTCTAAGGGTCATTCATCTTACCAATGGATTATCTTCTAATCATTTTACTTTGACTTCCTCTTCTGCAGCTATTTTGTAAGCACGGCAAAATTGTTAAAGTTACCATCATGAAAAATAAAGAAACTAGGGAAAGCAAGGGAGTTGCCTTCATTTTATTTTTAGAAAGACCTTCAGCCCTAGCAGCTGTTGAAGCACTTAATAACACCGAGGTTCGAAACAAATCTTTATTGTAAACGTACATACCAGTACATGCTACACTGTACTATAAATCTATCTTACATGCAATACGATAAAATTATACACGTATATAATTAATGAATTCGGATAGTTAAATCAGCCGATTAATTTTTTAAGGGTAAATATAAAAATTTGCAACATAAATTTCTCTTTATTCTTAAAGTAGATCAATTACGAGAGATATCAAATTACTGTTAATACCCTTTCCTTAACCAAGTTTTATTGGCCGCTTATTAGGTTATAGGAAGAACGATCAAATGCAGTATAGCTCATGATAATGGTAGGGCTAGCGATTATATTAAAAGAAAGAATTATCCGGATAAAACTAGATGTTTTGAATGTGGCGTAAGTCATGATCAGAAAACATTTAATACTTAACAGTATGCATGAGTAATTGATAAGAAGAAACCGTAAACCTTAATTATCTTACGTAGTGCTAAAGTATGCGGTATCCAATACTATGTCTTTTATAGCATAAGTGATGAATCTTGTAGTGAGGCAATCAGTTGTGTCTTAAGCTGATCTATAATGGCGAACACAGCTTTAATAATGACCTGCTGAAGATATATGCAATATACACATACACACTTGCTATACTTCTGCCTAACTTTAACACCATTAGTACATTGTACTGTTCGATTCCCAATAACTTTTATATGCACTACGCCTCTTATGTCCCGTATAATTTTGCATCAATGAATGTCTGATAATTAATTAATTTACATCTTTTGCTGAATATACTCATATATCTCAATTTTTTTTTTCTGTCTATGAAATAAAGGAATTTGGCCATCTAAGCTATGCTTGTCCAAAGAATATTCTTGGCACCAGGGAGCCTCCCAAGAAACCAAAGAAAAAGCGCAAAATTATGCCTAGTAGCCCTGATCATGATAATGTAGAGTAAGAAAAATTTTTATTGTATAGAGTGTACCAATTGTATTTTTAGACACATCACGGTTGTGTCGCTCTACTTAACTATTAAGTAAAAAAATAATATTGATTTCCTTGGCATTTTAAAAATGAAATGTAGAGTTGATAACGTAGACGATGAGGGTGAATTCGATGATTATACATTAAGCCATGCTATCCAAGAAACTGCTGAAGAAGAAGCTCGGAGGAAAGTTGCAGAAATGGCCGCAGCCAGGGGTGGTTCTGAAAAGTCGCATCAAAATTCTTCTAAAAGGAAAATGCTTAAACCAAGTTCTTATTTTAGCGATGAAGATGATACTGATTGAGCTTTAATCTTTGTTGTCGTCTGTATATTTTCATTGGTGCTATTACCTCAACGCAAATCAACACAGTAGAGGCGTTTATGAAAAAATCTAAATACTGTACTAGTGTTATTTTTTCTTACGAAAAAAGTAAACACTGATGCTAAGTTATAGAGTTGTTTTTACATTATACCTTATATGATTCGCAATCAGCTTGCGCTATAGGAAGCACCACATAAATTAGCCATTGACGGCTGCGTTTGCTGTACAGCACTACCTTACAGACTGATATTTAATATTTATCATTTTGGACCTCCTTTACATGTTATGTAAAATCATTCTAAATTTGTAATTTTATACTACATGTCTAAGGATGATTTGATCACTTTGCAATCAGCCAGCGTGAGATGCTATACACTAGCTCTGTAAGATAATGTTTCAATTGCGACCAATGCTAATTTTACGGCCCATAATTATCAGTTTGTGTTATAATTAAATATATTTCAGAGTGTAATACACTATTGGAACTCAAATGACCAAAACCTATTTCTTTTAGCGAATTGTAGTCAGAACTATGTAAATGATTTGCTAAGTACACTACGAAGTATTTACAACTACCCAAGATCCTCTTGGAATACGCCTGTGTATCAATTTTTGTAACAGAATGATCACTAATATATAGTAATATCTTTCAAAGTACAGAATGGCAATTTTTGCAATCCGATTTCTTCAATATATACGCCTATATGTAGGCTCGCATGCATTTATGTTCGTTGAAACAAGTCCAATTCAAGATTGACAACTGCTCAGGCACCGGATTGCAGCATTAGTTTTAGTTTTATTTATTTATTTCAATCGCTCTAAAGCATGTTCCATTTCACTCGTACCGTAGTACGCATACACATTGAACGTAGTATGAAGGTTGCGTTGCAGCGATAGCTTTGTCGGTAAGCTATAAAAGTCTACAATCACAAATACTCAATTTGCTCCTATCCAACACAGTATGCAAATAGATATAAATCATCCAATGATAAATGCGTACTAAGGTGTAGGCACTCTTCAATACCCTAGATACTACTGTAATAAATATAGTCTACAGTGCATTGAACAGGTAAAGTAGTTCAAATACTTTATTAATCTTTCATAGAGATAGACTAGTACATCTGATCAACACTATTGGAGTGGATTAACAGTACAATACTACTGCCAAAGGAGTGAATGGCATTATTTCAAGTCTCAGACTTGAGTCATTTATTACCTGCTCACCATTTATGTCTACTTATACTGAATCATGTCATCACCATCCACTTTGTCGAGAATCAGAGAGGAATTGTTTTCGCATGATTTGCAAGATGTTTGTCGATTTTATTTTCCAGGTTGAATGAGTGATAGTTATAAATGAAAAAAAAGCAAGCATCTATAAGTTTTTAGTTGATATGATAATAAAATGTCTACTCGTAATGTACATAATATCTACTGTTGAATGACTCAATGGAATACTGACAAACAAGCCTTGAAAACTTGCAGTATAGCTAAACAAGATTAATGCTTGTACTTCAAGATCTCAGGACGGCTGTAATAACGTACAGTATAAGTATATGAACACTAAATTTAATTGAACTGAATTGACAGTATTTTATGCAATCTACTGGTAACAAAATTAATGCTTGTACTGCAAGATTTTCAGGACGGCTGCAATAACGTACAGTATAGCATATGCAGACTAAATTGACTCCATTTTATACAATCTACTGGTAACAAAATTAATGCTTGTACTGCAAGATTTTCAGGACAGCTGTAATAACGTACAGTATAGCATATGCAGACTAAATTGACTCCATTTTATACAATCTACTGGTAACAAAATTAATGCTTGTACTGCAAGATTTTCAGGACGGCTGCAATAACGTACAGTATAGCATATGAAGACTAAATTGACTCCATTTTATGCAATCTACTCGTATTTGCAGAATTCAGAGTAACTATGAAAAATAATCATAAAATGGTTTAGGAAAAGAACAGCCCAAAACGGACTGATCTATTCCGATTCATTTTAGCGCGTTGATAATTCATCCTCTCTGCATGTATGAGTATACGTTGAATTATCCCTAGTTAGAGTAGATTAAGTAAACGACTTACACAAAGATTCAAGGCAGCTGCGCCATCTTGGCATTGCAATCATGGCCAAAAGCAAGGATTAAAACGAGCCGCTTGCACGTGGAGCTCATCTGGTGGACGAGATCTTTTTCTTTGCTTTTTCAAGTCCTTACTTTGATAGAGATTTATAGTTTACAGAGATCTCCACGCGACAGTATACTGGCGTCCTCTTACGCAGAGGTTCATTATTGATGGTGACGCAGTAACTGTTGGAGACTGACATCACTTTTGCAAGCAATGCACGCAGACTGTACAATCGTTTCACGGATAATGTTACACTGTGACTATATTACTGCATATCCTGAATGGAGCACTATATATTACCACGTATCACTCGTATCAATGGTACCAGCTGTATCGACTCTCAGCAAAAGCAATGTCACCGCAGTACAAATGCTTTTACTGGAATTCTCTGGGTGGACGGACGTTTACTGGACAAGGACGAAAATGTGCAAAAATACTTACTTACAGCAGTATGGATCAGTGTTTATTTATACAGTATGGATTTTGTTGTGTCTTGTTTCTAAATCGCTCTTATAACTAATTCAAAAACATTGAAACATTGATGACATTCTATATCTCTCTATATAATGATTATTATTTATCATCAATCTAGAGCAGAATTGATTATTGGCAACAAAAAGAATTCAATCCTATTTAAAAGCAAAATAATTTCATTGCAGAATGGAGCATCTGCATACTGAAGTAATCAAGGAATGGAAATGATTGAAAGGAAATGGGGGTTCAGATATCCGTCTATCTGTCCAGGAAGGTTCCGGTGCTCAATTATAAGTAGAAGTATCCCGCTACTCGCTAATGTCTAGTCAAGACTCCACTGAGAATCTACTGAGAGCCAGCCAATGTTTCAGGAGGGAGAAGAAACAGGTTTACTCTTTCGCTTGACCTTATTCAAACAAAAGACAACTAGGAAAATCGTGGGAATGAGACCAATGAACAAACGTTTCTTCTCGTCCTGAAACATTGGCCCTATGTCTACTGTCTATCCGTGTTATGGTAGAAAGTACAGTACTGTACAGTTGTAGAAGAGCAATGCTCAACATTAATCAACCAAGGGAAAATTCATGATATGCCATTGCATATTTTGAATTGATTTTAGCCCCGCGATTTATTAGCTTTGACGCGATGAACTCTTGCACTTTTTTTTCTAGGACAGGACAACTGATTGCGTCATCAGCGTTTCAGTACCTGGTACATATTACGGTAATCCAGTACAGTACAGACGGTACTGGAGAGTTCATGATACCGTACAGTGTACAGTGTACAATAGGCAGTTCGTTTATGGTATATAGTACTGTAGCAAGTGGATCCTTTAGGTGACATCTGTTTTACGCAGCGATGAAACAACATAGTAAATTATCCATAATAAAGCATTAGCTCAAGGCGCTTCTAGAAAAGTCATACTCTATACTGGATTGTATATACTGTACCAATTTACTGGCAAAATTAATGTCGTTGTGCGACGCTGTACCATAAACGCACTAGAGTACAGTAGGTACTGTACAGTTTTATGCATGTCAAATCTTGCTTTACGAGAATCGGCGGCTGCAACATGGATTGCAAGCAGGTTGGCGCTCTTCTACTCCATTAGTAAAGAGAAAAAATTATCAAGGCCAAGTAGAATTGAAATGAAGATGAATGAGAAAAAACAGTTACAAAGTTGTTGCAGCCAATGGTATTCATTAACCACAAAATGGCAGGAAAAGAATAATCAAAGTTTTACTATTGCAAATCAAGTCGTCAACCTAAAACTACAACTAATCCGGTAAGTTGAAATTTTCCGTGTACACTATAAGGACAGTATTTAAGATGGCCATTCACGGTCTCTTTTAAATTTAACATGTTATACTGGGCGACATTGAGTGTCATTAAGAATGGCTGTCACGACCACGCTGTGACACAAGGAGATCATAGAAAATGGCGATACTGTACCTACGTTGATCCAGTAAAATTTCTTCACAACTTAATATTAAGTAGAATGACTCTTCAAGTATGGACTGATAGAATCGGTACTACGTGACCTTTTACCCTACAGACAACTTTATGATCAACGTGTATACTATCCTACTATACTGTACCTTCGGTGATGCAGTAAAACTACTTCGCAACTTAATATAAAGTAGAATTACTCTTCAAGTAGTAGTTTCTATACTGATAGAATCGCTACTACGCTACCTTTTGTCCTACAGACAACTTTATGATCAACGTGTATACTGCACAGTGTACACTACTCTACTATGCTACTGTACTATTGGCTTTTTAGCTCAATTGACACAGTTTATATTGTTAGTCAATAAGATGATCTGATCATCATCTCTTAAAAGATAGGAGTGGATGGTTGAGTTTACTGTAATTAAATATGCCTTATCAACCACCACTAGATACTACACTAGACTAGTATCCAGTGGTCCATGTCCTTGTACAACTGAGCTTATAACTTCATTTCCTGAATGTGACAAGAAGAAATTACATCTATTCTAAACATGTATTTGCTCTACGTTCGCTTGTGCTGTAAATTACTGCAATACTACATCGTTTTAGCTAACCTGATACAGTTATCTCTACCCAATCATGGCTATTATTGCTTAGAGAAAGAAGTAATAGGTGTTATTTCATCGCCTTGATGTATGCTCACAATGATCTTGCTCTACGTTCGCTTGTGCTGTAAATTACTGTAATGCCACATCGTTTTAGCTAACCTGATATGATTATCTCTACCCAATCATGGCTAATATTGCTTAGAGAAAGAAGTAATAGGTGTTATTTCATCGCCTTGATGTATGCTCACAATGATCTTATATTGTGATTACAAATTAAATCAATAAATGATTAATAGATTTCGATTTAATTAATACCCATAATATAGGTATATCATCATAAAAATTAAAAATCCTATTCATTATCTCTATACTGTATTCTCGATGCTGATTGTTGTGTCTCCTCTTTTTGCCCATTCTATACCAATAACAGGGATAGACCAGCCTCACACGTAGCAACCGAAGTGACCAACATGAAAATTTCCGTCCAAGATAACCATCAAATGTTAGTGGAAGCTCTAAATGAATTGGTAAGTTCTTCATTTTTCCTGTTAAAAGGGAATAGTACTGTAGCTCTAGCCCCGTTTGCTGAACGGCAATGAAATAATGCATTTATTCTTCATAGGGTGATATTTATCGTAATTTCGAAAGATTGACTTCCAATTTTCAAGCTATTCGCGATCTCTATGTGCAGAAACAGCAGGAAAATGTGATAATATGCAAAACTTGGACTACCAACCATTTCTGTATGGCCACTTATATGTCCTAAAGTGATTTATTTCATCAAACTACTTACACATGCTTAAATTTGACCAATATGAACAGCTTAAAATACTTATTCATATATCATATAGATGAATCTTCATTGAACATACTAGAAAGCTACCAAAAGGAATTACAGTTAAAGAAATGCTTGATGGAAGAATTTTTTCGAACAAACGATAGAGAATTCCTACTTTTTCTTTTATCTGCATGGTTGTACCAGCCGTACTTAACACCTCAACTTAAATTATTATTAGAAGGTATGTTGCTGGAATCAGAACTACGTGCTTGATGAAGTCTTCGTTAAAAGCACCTTGGACAACTCTAATATCGGAAACAATCTGGTATAGATTGAAATTTTAATCTAATCAAAATATCGATTCTTTTATCCAATCAGCTTTATAGTTGAAATTATGAAATTTGCATCAATAGCCTGCCTATTTGGCTATTTGATATAGACATATTCCTATATGATGTACAGGCTTAGTACTATTTATGAAATAGCGAAGCTTAAATTCACGTTGTAATTGATAAATTACTATATACAATTAACCGCCGAATATAGTTTTACATCGAAAAAGCAGACAGTATCTTTGATGGGACCGCTATTTATATTATACTGTATATAATATGGTATAGATTGGACCGTATATTTTTTGTGAAGGATAAGAATGCTTAATTTCCACCACAGCGAAAACCAGCATAACCTCTTATTAGATTATATAGTATTATATTAGTAATAGTACGTTCATACATTGTTACAAACGGAGATTTGTAACGAGGAAATTAAAAATACGAGTCTACTGGCCTACTTACCTTCTTCAGCATTTGCCTGCAGTGACTCAAATACTGACGATCTCCTATCGTCGGGAGGCTATAGTAACTATGTATCTCTCTCTGACTAAACTATGAAACTTAAATTTTACTGAAATATAAATCATTTTATACTTTCCTACGTTAACATCAATATTAGCATAGCTTAGATATTAGTATGAAACTTACTGCTATCTATACAAATAGGTATGAAATTCTAGATGACAATAACATCAATCAATACTAAGCTATGTTATCTATTTTAAAACAAGATAATGAGCTTCACTAGGAAAAGTCACTTTGCGACAACATGCTTATTAATTCAGCCATGGCTTACAGCAGATCTTCTGTAGTATTTACGCAAAGATCGTATATAATACTAGTAGGTTTCCTGTTTATACATTATAAGTTTATTCTCTTAGAATTATTATGAAAATTTATTAATAGATATATATATATAAGAAATACTCTTGATAGTGTTACACTAATCAAAAAATAAAATTTTTTATTATACTTCTAATTTCTATCAGAAGCCTGATAAAAACTGCGTGCATCATTTTTTTGTTACCTTTCCTATTTCTGGGAGAAGCTTACAGGAATATACGATTTACTATAAATTTAATGGTATGCATGTTCGCATGTTTACCTTAATAAGTGTATGATTGATTGGTATTTTACTGTTCTAAACTTGTTTTAATCTAAATAGTTTAAGTACAATGATTAGATAATTATGATCATAATATGACAAGCGTGATGATATAGTCTCCACGAGTTCATCTAGTGATGTGTATTTTAGTTTTTCATCTCCAACAGCTACCATAACGTGTACAAGTGTGTAAAATGTCTAGTACAAGTTGAGCAACTTACTCGGTCTTACGTATTGTATGCACGCGATTACTGCACTTGGTGATATCCTTAACAGATACTCTATGGCTATTATTTGAGGTCAATTTTCTGTGTTATATGGTATCAAAACGTAAAAAAGTAAACCCCATATATTAATTTCCTGACTATAATGGTTTGTACATTCTGTCAAATTGAGGAGAAAGGCAGCACCATTTGATACGATTCTTTCTATATCAATTATAACTTGTTATTGTTATTTCTATCTTGAGATTATTCAATATTTAGGCTTTTCATATATTTGTGCATAATACCAGCGCCATATCAGAAGTATCTCTTACAGGTACAACGTTATACTATTGACATTACGCGAAGTGTAATACTGAATAATAATTATAATTATACGTATTATCTACATACCTTTAGTATGAACCTTATCAAAGCAGCAGTTACAGCTAGTTTAAGAATAATTGGGTATAATTTCTACTGTTACGTCTTTAGTCATGAATTGACATGATAATAAATATAAAAAAGTTACCATGTCATTTAGCGAATGAGGATGGACACTACCAGACCGACCCTGCAGATATTATATTTAACATTAATTCTGGTACTATAAACATTATTAATAAATTCTCCTAATAATATTGAATTAATTAAATTTATTTGATATAGATCAGACCTGTCATATTAATTTTATGTTACACATTATAACTTCGTAAGATTACAGTGTCTAGCAAAACTACAGTAGTTATAAAAGGGGTCCTAAACCAGTTTGATGCAGAGTGGGTCAACAGCAGTCTTGCCTATCATATGACATAATTTTACAATTAAAGTACTGTCCGATTAGACAGGCATTACAAACTTATTTATCACTTATTGGAATTCTGTGAGTGGATGCGACATTTGATCGTATGTACAGTAAAGTGGATTAAACATGTTTATTATCAAGCTAGACTATAATCATATCTTATTCATTATTAAATGCTGTAGTCCAGTTAGTAGATTTACGGTATCTAACTAGATGTAAATAATTTTAAATCCTTTCCTTCCAGTCGAGGCTATTGCAGTTTTAATCATCATGTGTTATAATTAGGTAAGTAAGCTACGACGCCGAATTACTTGTAGATATAACCGCCTTCTGTAGATAGCGGACATATAACAATCTTATTCATCATCCATGTGATAAATTTGTAAATAAAGCTACGATGTCTAACTAGATATAAAGTCGTCATAAACCAGTTAGCTTAATGGGGCAGGCCTATTAAAATTCTATTCATGTCATACTACAATAATATGAATAGATTACGATGTTTAACTAGATGTAAAATAATCTTAAATGTATTCTCTTAATATGACAAGCTTGTTCAAAATTCTATTCATTATGTGTTGTAATTCTGTATGCAGATATAAGCAAATGAAGATATCTAACAAGATATAAACAGCTTTAATTCTATCGCATGACAGAGTAAGGACTTTAAAATTCACTTTTTGCTACAATGATATAACCATGTTACGATATCAATCTAGATTTTAAATCAGCTCTCAACCCCTCGTTTATACAAAAGAGATCTTTTGCCAACCTATTCATTGTATATTATAATTATGTATCGTATATTACAATATCTAACTAAGCGTAAAGTGAATATAAAATCTACTCTAGCTGTCGTATGCAAACTAGCGGTAGTGTATCTGTCCTATATAGATTTCAACCATATTGTTTAGAAGTAGAAACAGTAAGATTAATTTAATGAGATAGAATAAATAATGCTTTATTTTATTATTCAGATAATGATTGGCACTCATTAATTATTTCTATTCACACATCAATCGCAGAATATATTAATCATGTTCTTAATATAAATACATTATACAGAGAATAGCATGTTATGTTGAGAGGAAATACGTTGCTAGGTGACGGCATCAAACCTATGGAGACCAGATAACACCAGAAGTATATCTTGCATGTAATTAATATTTTCCTGTTACTGGCGGATACACATGACTCTATTTTATACCTAATATATTATTTAACTTTGATCTGCTGTAAATATTAGTTAGGAATAATAAGCAACTTTTTTAACTATTAAAAACACTAGATAAAAAACGTTCTATATAATATAAATTAAGTTAAATTGATAGGATTACTTACAAGCGTAGAGATCTGTTCGAGAAGCAACTGCTCTTCCTGGAAGCTAAACTGCCGACTACGGTACTTTAGCTAGAAAAATCATCATCTATAATTTAAGCCTATAATAAGCAGAGCCAGCTGAAGAAGATAATTTTTCCCCTGTTTTCAAGCATTCAATTAAAGTGTAATTGCTTTCTCTATGATTTTACATTGGGCCAATTTTTCACTATGAACCAAGTGATTTCGTATCCTAGCTATAAACAATCTCACACAACGATGGTAACAAACGAACTATATTCACGGAAGAACAGCAGGACTTCAATAAATCAACATGATCTATCATGTATGGGTAAATCAAAACTAGAATCCATACGCCTTCAAATACAAAAGCGGCTAGTGGCGGAGAAAGATCGTAAGTTAACTCATCTACTGCAACAGCAACATCAACAACAATTACTTCATAATCGTGTTATGTTGAAACCGTTAAATGTTTATAAGAATATTGAATCTGTACGAGCATTTTTTGCTGAAAAACGAGCCAAACAATCAAAATTTAATCAAGGAAAAACTTTAGTAGCCATCTCTTCTCACGATATGGATATTGATCGTGATACTACCAATCAAGATCTCTTAATATCTAACATTAAAAACAAAATTGAAAAATTATCCAATTCGCGATCTAACTTGAGAAAAAATATCGTCAACAACAATGAGAGAAATCTCGTTAATAATTCGCAACAGCACCAATTTAAAGACACAACTAATCGATCCAATCCTTTACCACCTATTCAAACGGATAGAAATAAACATGATAATAGTCGAAAACGCCGATACAGAAGAAATAATAACAAGAAAATTGTTGTAGATGAAAATCAACAACCTTCATCCAAGAGCAATAAATATCCTGTAATTGCTCAATCAGATCATAGTGATGACGAACTAGAGGATCTGAAATTAGGTCATATTAAGAATATTCGTCGCAAAAAGCTTAAAAAAGAAATCATACGACGATTAAGTTCTAGGCAACTAATACAACAGGATTCATCTAATGTATCAATGGATAGTGGTGGTGAATCAACGTATCAAAATATGGTTGTTGATGATATTAATAGTGGCAGAAATAGTTCTAATTTACAATTTTCAACTAGACCAGAAGTTATTCCTGTAACTTCATTAGAAATTGATAATAACAAAATTAAAAATCAAGATCATATCGACAGTCCTCAGCCTACAGAAAAATCGCAACCGATTAGGCAGCATAAACACTCTAAGACAAAGAATGTATTCGATAATGCCGTTAAAGCAGTGGATAAAGCAAGCGAAGTCGATCGTGATAGTATACTCGATCGGCAAAGTAAAGCAAGCCTAGCAATCGTTTCGTATAACGAGAATGAAAGTAGGCAACAAACACCAGAAAGTAAATTAGAAATTCAACATATTACAACAGCTAAAGCTAAGAATATAGCAACCTCCAAATTACAACAAGATAGTCAATCAGGATTAGATCAGTCTGGACCAGTAGTTCTATCGTCTTACCGTCTACCGGATAATATCGATCATCAAACTAATTCGATAGCATTGGTATCTTGTCAGATTTGTGGGCGTAAATTTGCAGCTGATCGTCTTGAAAAGCATCAAAGTATCTGTCAGAAAGCCTCCAATAAAAAGAGAACTGTATTTGATACCAGTAAACATCGAATACAAGGCACAGAAAACGAGCAATATGTAAGCAAGATTAAAAATCAACCACAACCAAAGCCTAAAAAAACAAATTGGCGAGCGAAACATAACGATTTTATACAGGCCATTCGAGCTGCTAAAGCTATGGAAGCTCATCTCGCTAATGGTGGTAAAATATCCGATCTTCCACCGCCACCTCCAAGTGAAAATCCTGATTATGTCCAATGCCCACATTGCCAACGAAAATTTAACCAGACCGCCGCAGAAAGGCACATACCAAAATGTAAAGACATCAAAAATCGCCCAGCCCCATTTAAAAGAACGATCAAAAGGTAACCCACAAGCAATCGTGTTGGGATGAGACGCAATAAATGCTTACGGTATATCCAGAAATGTTTACTATAAAATTTGATTTTTGCTATCCTTCAAGCTCAAAAGATTAAAGAACACCCTTGAAATTTTATCGATTTATATTATTTTATTTTATTAGGTAATCTATTTAACTTTATCTTGGTTCAAGACATTGTCATAGAGATAAATATCTTTACTCATATATATTTAAATATAATTTTGGACCTTGTCCGCAACATATATATATATATATTCATAGACGTATTAATAGTGTACATACATATGAAAAACATAAATGTATAAGGTAAAACTTTTCAACCAGCTTTAACATTCATTGTAGTAGGCTGTATCATTCTAATATTGATCTTAAAACAAGCCTATGACTACTAATAGAAGATTTCCTCCAATCATTGTAATAAATATAGTTATATTGTAATAGAAACGGTGAAATAAAATGTTTCATCTTTATCCATTTAGCTAAGGTTACAATCGAGAATTAGTGCTTAAAGTGGCCTAAATAATCATTTGTTTTCAATGTACTACCGTATGTACCGGTTATCGACAATAAATCGACATGATTTGAGAACAGTGAAAATTTCTAGAAACTACTTGTAATCGATTTATTACGGTATTCGAATCATAAGCTAATTGAGACCTTTAAGCAGATCACTTCCCATCACATTCATAACTACACATACGAATATGATGGATATTGTAGATATTGTCTTATACAGCTTTGCGTAGGCTACAGCTTAAGATTGAAGCCTAATATGCCTTGGATAAGTTTCATATTCAGTTTGATGATTTAGTGATTAAGTCCACAATCAGTTAACGTAGAATTTGTATCATTCCTGAGATAAATATTTACTTCCTTCAATCTCACTTAAGCGATTTTACTTCAAATTGTAACAGAATGGATATGTATAAAGCAGAAACAGGCTTTAAAAATTGTCCTAAATAATAGATCAGTTAATGCAAATGTTAAAAAATCATAATTAAAAGGTTACTGATTAAGATTATTTGCCTATCAGGTTATATATCAAATAACATTGTGACAATTCAGATTTGACCAAAAGTTTTATTTGATAGTTTTGAGTGCAATTTATTCTATGTGCAAGTTTACCTTAAACTGAATAATAATTCTAATTCAAAAAATATCAATTGCAGCAATCCAATAAACTAAAGCATCTCTTATTAATGATCGTACAGTATATGCAATAGTTAAGATTTATAGCATTCATCAGAATGCTATAATGTCGTGAACGACGATGTGTCTAAATAGTGTATGAAAAATGTGATGTAAATTACAACTACTGTACTTGTCGCGAAATATGGAGGATATAACTATATCTGATAAATTTTCATTTTATTTATCAATCGCAAACTCGTTAAATTACTTAATTTTTTTACAATCTGGTAAAACGTATGCCATGATTTCTATCCATAAAATTTTACCTATCTTATAGTATGGGCTAATCGTCTAACATAGCTAATAAAGCTGCTATTTTAACATCTTTCGCAGCCACGGTTTTCTTTAACTAAATCAAACAAAAAAAATTCAGTTTTTGGCGAGATTATTAATAATAATAACATAATATTATTAAGGAATGAATCAGTATTTCCTTACATTTTCATTATCTTCTTCTAGCTGATTTATTCTCGATAATAATAATTCTACAATTCCTTTAATTTGATCCGTGGATTCTTCTAAAGGTAAAGACAGATAAGTTATTATCTTAGAAAAGCCAGTTAAACTGTATTTCGATGATGATACCTGCTATTAATTTATCTATATCAATCGTTCCATAATCCATTCCGTGGCTACGTGATGCATTGGTATAATCAGTTGCACTCTAAATAAATAATATTCAACAAAAAAGAAATAGCAGTAGCTATCTTTAATATAAAGCTGTGCAACATAGACTTTATACGTGTATGCCTACTATAAATAGTACAATAATATTATTCTTACCAAATCGAAATTTTGATCGTCGGTCGAGAACTCGAAACTAACGCAAACATCATCAAAAGTAAATTATTATCCTATTCATAACTTAATGTTAGTAGTAATATTGCAGTATTTAATAATTAGATTACCCATCTGATGAATCTGGTAAAGATGTATCAAGGGTTGTTCTAGTATTTCTATCACTTTTAGGCACGATAGGTATATGCTCTCCATTATCTAATTCCTAAAATCGGCAATATTTCAACATTTTATCAAATGTAATAAAGATATATTATATAAAATAAAGATCTATGTATATGATCAGTTTTAATTATAAGACGACAACTTACGTTACGTAACCAATCAGGGACTTTGGATCGGGAATTTGAAGCTGATTGTGAGCCCAATGCTAATTTTGGAATACTATTTTCACCATGCAATTTAACCTATTACATTTTGATAAATCCATTAGCAAATTTATTAAATTGTTATGCATCAGCAAGTATGTGAAACAACTATAATTTGTAGTACTCCTACCTTTTTGCGATCATCTTGTAAGCGATCATTAGTGATATCAATCATGTCACTACTTGGGATTCCGGAATCCGAACGTATACCTGCTGAGGATCTATTATCACTATTGCTGGTACCTAATAATAAACTTGGATCTTCTAAACTTTGCTCCGCCAACAATGTAACTGAAAAAAAGTAGTTAATTGAAATTATATATAATACATCGATTACATTATTTCTCTAAACATGAAGAAAACCGATGGAATTTTATTTATAATGTGCTCATATGGCTTAAAATTAGTTATTATAGCTTCATCATGCTTTCATGTTAGAATTATACTCTGAAAGACTACAATAGCCTACGCTATTATTGAACTATGTGAGATGACATTAATAAAATATTACATTCGAGAAGTATCGTTCGATTTATTTCTTTCGCCCGAAAATCATAGTATTGAAAGATTGCGATATTATTTAATATTACATATACATACAAAGAGAAAATGAATATATCCTATATATCTTAAAAATGTTACATTCGATGAGATTAAAATTTTCTTTTACATGCTTTACATACTTATATCTTCAGCATCTGATGAGGTGGAATGGTTAGCTCCTTTAGCTACTTTACGAGTATTTAATACTTTTTCTACATTGGAAAAGAATTCACGAATGAAATGATCGTGTGACTGGTATAAATACTACATCAACATGAAGATCTACCTTAATGAAATCGTTATAAGGCCCACGTAAATCATTATATTATTTAGTTTTTAAAACTAAAATAGTAAAAGATAAATCTAACCTGCAACAACAATAGTATGCCAGTAATTACAGCTTAAGCTCGATACGTGATGAAGTGATCCAAATATCGGTCTAGGATGAGTCCATCCGTTATTGACTCCTTTCTCTGATGGAGGTAATATAATGCCTAGCCTGCCATCTTCTGCCCAGCCACAAGAATACAATTGATTTCCTACAGCAATAAGGCAACGACATTAGTTCATTAGACTGGCGAAAAAATTGTTAATCAGTTGAAAGTATCGATCATGTTGGTGATCATTTATACCTGTTGTAGCGATGACGGTAAAAGAATCACCGCAGGCTACCTTATGAACGATTTTACCACTTAATACTCCTGAAACAATAGTTGGATTTATAGTTTGTTTAAAATTTCCGATTCCTCTTTCCCCACATTTGTTAGAACCCATGGTAATTAGACGGCCAAATTCTAGAAAGGATACAAAAAATAAAGCAATCTCAATCCACTTTACTTGGCTTACCTTTCTACAGCATTTTGTGAGAACAATCTAGGAGCTAGTGATAACTCTTAAAATATTACTACCAGGAATTGCCGAATTGACATTCAACCATTTTTCTACCGAAATAACAACTGTCATCAAATGTAGCGTAGTTACTCATGTTAATACTAGGTATATCTACTGTACATTCTGGCCGATTCAGTAATGATTCTGTTTGTCTCTATCATTCTACCTGTATACGTTATTTACTGGGTTTATATCGCTAAAATTCTGGTTTAACAAATACTTAATATTGTTGTTCCTTGAATATGCCTGCTAATGGATCAAATCTGCTACTTTAGTTTCAAATTAAAATTAGCACCTAAACTAACTCAGAAGTGATTTAGAAATGATCTACTGTGGAAATTCGCAAGTCTTCTGATACTAATAACCAAATTTAAATTGAATGTAATCAATAGAATCTAGCAGCTATGTTCTTAACACTCATACAAAGTGAAGCATATACTAAAAATTATATTGGTATTCTATTTTTGGTCATTTATCTCGTTTAGCTAAATCAATTAACTTACTATCAATTAAAGCCGCATGTGATTGTCCAGCGGCGATATAATTAATGTCGTATCTGTAGGTAATATAGAAAATCAGAACTGCTTAATTTGTATCTATAACCACATAAAATGAACAAGATCTTCGTATAGAGATATTTCAAAGTGTTCTCTTTTAGTCAAATAAAACTCCATAGCACCTATTAAGAGCGCGCACCGCCATGGGAGTAAGGCTGCAATGCAATGTTGAGGTATGCTAAAGAAGAATAGAGAAACGCTATTAATTCTATATAATAAGCAATGCTAGACGAAGAGGATGTTCTAGCTCTTGTATGATTAAAAAGCAATAACAACCATCTAGTCGCGATTTAGGCTATCAAAATCAAATTTTATTAGTCGATCTAAGCTCGAACTTTTAAAAATGATCTAATAGGATCAAGCTTAACAGTAAATTAAGAATATTATTAAATTTCGATCCATTAAAATAATTACGTACTCGGGGTTTATTTCTCGTAATTGTATTCTTAGTTGAATTAAGGCCTAATTGGTTATGCTCATTATTTCCGAAAGCTATTACTCGACCAGAAATTGTTAAAAGAAAGGAAAAATCCGAGCCACAGTGGACTGATTTTATTAATCCTTTGCCTGCACTTGCAATTTGTAGCTAATAGAAATAGATTATATTATTACCGTTATTACTTAACCAGAAATAGAACAGGCAAACTTGATTTATCTTTACCTTTTGTGGAGAAAAGTAATCGTCTTCAGAACCAAGGCCAAGACGACCTGAAATGTTAACCAGAAACATTTAAGTTGAGGAATAAAATGAATTTAACTGTTAATCGAACGATCAGTATTGTCATATAATACTATCAATTATATCATTAAGCTAAGCAATAGATCGCAAAGAAATGCACTCACCGAATTCTCCGCAGCCCCAGCTATAAACCTCCTTATCATCTTTAAAAAGAGTTAATAATATCAAACTGTTAGCAATTTAGCTATTTTCAGCATTGATCATCCATTTTAAAAATAAGAATGTACCTGTTAAGGCTAAGACATGACTTTCTCCACAAGTAATTTGAGATATTTTTATATTGCTAAATAGCTCAATAGCTGTTGGAGATAGAACATAACCATCATCGTCTTCTTCGTTTTCTTCATTTTCTTCAAGCCCCAAACAGCCATAATAATTTGAGCCACACGAATATAGGGCGCCATTGTCTATTTGCATCAATACGGTACAACATTTTAGCATCTTTATAAGTAGGTGGAATGGAAGTTAGAGTGTCCTTACTTTATGGGATGAAATCATTAAAGAAAATACCTGAAAGAAAGAGAGTAAATTCATCACCGCAAACTGCTTGTTTAATGACTTCGTTATGAAAGATTTCAACACGCTTCGGAACCCGGTAAGATGCTTTATCGGAATGGCCCAGTTGGCCAGCCATTTGTTGGCCACCTTGTGTGTTCTGTAATGGCATCATCATATAAATTTAGGCTATGATAACTGAATCAATACGGATAGATATTCAAATATTACAATTATATTATTATGAATATCATCATTTTACATACAGCCCAGGTAAAAACGCCTTTCTCAACTGTAACAACAGCGTAATGTGTCTTGCCAGCAGATACCTAAAATATAAATGATTCAAGATGATATTTTAAGCTTTATGATGAAATTACATGATGTACTTGTATTTGTAAGTATTGCGTCCAAATGATCTTATTCGTAACATATGTAAACCTTGTTAAATATGCTACATTTTATTTTGACATGGTTAGGGAATAGAAATAGTATCAACGGTTACTGCTTGAAGAATTGGATCAGTAAGATATGAAGATCTAAGCGGATTAACCTGTGTAGCACGGTCTTCGCCCTTGAAGATGTTTAATTTTTGTGGTGTAAATTTTCCACCTCCCCAGTAATAGACCTACAAAACGATTCAATCAGAGTAAATAGACTACTGATACATATACTATTACTGAGTATGTAGCCGCTAAGATTTATTAAAAGCTTCTTATAGAATCGAGTAGGGTTAGAACTTTAATGTTAAACGATTGATTTAGAGTTAAAAAAAAATATTATTTTACGTCGCTTTCCGTTGATATAACTACTGGTACTGGCTCAGTAGCACCGGAATTCGATGGCACCCTGAGTAAAAAAATGTAATTTAGTCCAAAAATTTCTGATCAAAATACTAAAATATCAGCAATTAGAAATCGCAATATGATGCTAGGATTAACTAACAATTGCTAACGGTATTAGTTTTGATTATATTTGTTATTTGTTACCGTGGTATTTTGGAAGACTGCAAACTGTTTATTTTTTGATCGTATAATCTATAAGCAACGACAATATGTTTTAAAAGGGTAGAAATATCGGTAATTTTAAGATGTAATGATAATAATAGTAGCTTAGAAACTGCAGTTAACACCAATATTTAACATTCTGCAAGGCAATCATCATCCTACTCTCTTCTTGATGACAATAAAGGATTTTTAAGCGTTTCCATCATTGATGGGCGTTGATTAGGATCCTAGAACATTGTATCCCTTTTAATTAGCTACCTTACTCAAAATAATGAATCTAATCATCCTGCATTAGAGTATACTGTCACTGTATATATTTACGAATAAGGCTCATGAATACTATATTTAGGTAAAGTTTTAAAACAAATCGTGGCAGCTAAGATCTTATTAAAATGTTACTTACTTTGTGTAGTAAGAGATGAATTAATTCGGTTATCTCTTCAGAATACTAGAAAAAGTTAAAATTGAAAACTATTAGTATTATCATAATTTTGCCATTCTCATATTGAGTAGAGGCCTTGAATGATTGGCTTAACCTTTTCGTTAATGTCTTTTATTTCTCCTCGGACAATTTCAGCCGCAAGTCTTAATTGATTCTATGTATATGCAAAGATAGTTTAAGACAATGAAGAAGCAGCGATAATAAAAGTCTAACGGTGTTGAGAAATTTAGAAATGGTATTTCATCTGTTATACAGTTCTAACACAACTCAGAAAGTTTAATGATTATCCATGTAAGAATCTAATATAGTGGAGAATATTGGCCTTATATTTCACAATTTGTAAAGGGTAATTTTGTTACCGTGGCATTAAATGTCTTCGATAAAGTTAAAAGTTCGTATAAGACACATCCAACGGCCCAAATATCACTTTTCAGGTCGTATCTGTTGAGTTCATAGCCAAGATAAGTCATAATCAGTTTTAAAATACATGTCCATTTGCATACTAATCACATATTAATCCAAATGGATATGTTAATATCGGCTAAATGATCTAAGTATCGTATTTCTGATCGTATATGTACGATTGATTGCTAAGACAAATTGTAATCAACTTTGAAACAAAAATTGTAATATATCATAATGGATTGAAATAAGTATAAGCATTGATTATATATATATACGCATATTATTGATTATTAATATATTGTTATAAAAATTGGTCTTTGAGAATATTACAATCATAACTTGTTATAATTACTAATTTTACTTACGGCTCTCCTCTGACTAATTCTGGCGACATATAATAAGGGGTTCCAACAATCTAATAATGGCAACATTAAAAGACCTTTATGAACCTTACAAACGGTAGAGTAATGAATTTGTTCATTTTTGTGGCGTAGATAGCTGATTAATAACAAGACCGAAGGTAAATAGTCATTTATTTTATGTTTCGTGGGTATTATACTTACAGAAGTTGCTAACCGATTCTCGCCATCTAAAACTTTAGATATACCAAAATCTCCTAATTTAACAATTTCTGATTTTGTCAGAAAGATATTCAAGGTCTTGATATCCCTATTACAAAGTGATTGAAGAAATAAACCTCCGTCATAATTAATAAGTTAGTATTAAAAAATTTTGTTCTTAAATATCAAAGGATTTACTATCGCTAGCAATTACAAAATGATACAAAAATATAAGTATCTTTGCTAGTGCATATGTAATATATTACTGCAAAGTTACTCTTTAATTGTTATAATTTTGAATTTAGTTAAAAAATACCTTGTAATACTTGATCACTAAACTCATTCGAAGAATCTTTGATTCTTTATTAATAAATCAAGTGCTAGAAACTAAATTATATCGATTTTATTATTTCTAGCGATTGCGAAATGATGAAGGGGTACATTATATATTATCTCTATGCTACTTATATACAGGTCTTAACATTTCTGATCAGACGAAAAGAGCAAAAGAAATAAAATCCATTACTGCTAACAAATTGGGTGCTGTAATGTATTCTATTGCTTATTTTATGGAGATCTTGGCATCCCTGATGCTACAGAATCATTATAGAGTAAAGTTTAAACTCTCAATATACCGAGTAATTGCAATGTATTTTACTACTAATTTATATTATAAGGCGGAAAAAGCATCATAATAATTAGAAGATTTGATAGTACACAAATGCATATAAACATATCACATATATATTAAGGATGTTATTCTGGCTCAAACCTGTGTATAACGTCAAAATCGTGAATATGAGCTACAGCAGAAACCAGCTGATAGAAATACCATAAAACAACCTACAATAGGTTATTACCAAATCACGACTTTAAATAAATGCAAGATTAAAATGTAGCCACAAGTAGAGAGATTGGATAGATAATCACTTAAGGTAATAGCTAAATTTTATAAGATTAAATTACTGAATTGAAAGTATCATGATGATTTAAACTTTAAATAAAAGTACTTCTTCATCTAAGAGTTGACCACTTTCTTGAATTCTGATTTTATCATGCAATGTTCCCCCTGAATAATGAGTAAAAAAGGTTGTTCTCAACTCTAAAACTATTTGTTAGCAGAATCAGTCTAGTCTTAAAATATAATAGATGATAACATGATGTCATGAAAGTGACTGTCTTTGCAAATTTAAACAATCTAACGACTATTTACTCACCATTAGCATATTCCATTTCGATAAAGAGAGATTCGTCATCAATATAGTGGTTGTAATAAGTCACAATATTGTCATGATTTAATAGAGATAAAATCTCGATCTCATGGAGTGCGCTATCTTCAACATTTTTACTCGATCTGTGTAAATTAATTTCCTTCCACACAACTAGCGAATTATCCTAATATTGAGCAAAATTGATCAATTTATGCTATAAATTATTAGCTCGAAGGACTATAACAATAACAGAATCAATTTATGATTATAGCTGCTACTCATCGGCCAATTAAATTAATTTTTACAGCGTTACATTGAATCCCTAAAATATTCATGAGATCCGAATTGAAAAATTCCATTCTCATTTTCTACTATAATATAGTAGGCAAAACAGGATGCAGTAAAAGAGCTTAATCTTTTACTTCTAACTCTAGAATAAATGATCTTTCACTTAGTTGCTACTTTGTACCAATAACTGGATTTAAAAATATGAAGTAGCTTTACATAAGATTTATTTTGAACTTCTGATTAGTCTACTATTAAGACTGCGACAATTTGCAATTTGTAGTAAAACATTATAGCAGAGGTACTACAGGATGATATTGTGATGATATTTATCTTCGACTTTCGCTAGCAAGCAGCTGTATTGAGTTGATGGCACTAACTGGATTTTACTAACTGTAAATAGAACTCTAACTATAGCTGGATATACATACACATCGATAGATTTATATACTTGTAACGTAGCATTTATGTTTATGGTCAAAGTCAGGAAATAATGATGGCTAATTGAAATATTCACTGAAGTTGAGTTATTAGTGCTTTTGACTGGATATAAAGCTAGATATTTTCTTATACAGTTTACACCTAGTTTTTATTTTTATTTGCAGTTATGGATTATTATCGAAGAGTCAGTAATCTCTGTTATAACACTAATTTATGGTTGGCCACATACTTCTAGATCGCTGAACAATGCAGTTTTACTGAATGTGGATGTAAGTTTTGCACGCTTAGTAAGGTTATGGAGATGTATGTCCATTTAGACATTGTTTCATTAGCTAATCTATTAAATTAGCGTAAAAGTATGTTGTCCATATTCGATGTAAGCGGTCTGATCGCTTCCTTAACACTAAAACTGTCACTATGGAAAGGTTCATTTACGCAAGGATGTTATCCATATTCGACGTTAGCGATCTGATCCCTTGCTTAAGACTAAAATTACCACTATGGAAAGGCCCATTTGCGTAAACTGTATTTCAATAAAACAATCTAATCCAACCGGACGAAAGGGTTGATATTATTGAGGACAAGATTTTGATTAATTAATTATCCATTGCAATTAGGTTATTTCTGGCATTTAGAATTATGATTTTAGTGTGTTAGTATTGCCAGTTATTTCTAATCATGCATAGTCGAGCAGATTTTTATTCTACTACGGGCGTATGGAAGATATTTTAAGGCAGTAAGACTTTGACTAAGATCATGATAGTGAAAATCTCGTTGTGAATTACAACTAGAGTAAAATTAGCATTGCGATTTAAAGATTTGAATCATAATTCAACAGGATGGATAGTGAAATAGGACAGATTGACCATGTTGACTATCAATACTGACCATTTCCAACGACTGAGGACTCTACTACTGATAGTAATAATAACACAAGTATCTCGCGAATACAGTAGTTCGTATCCTATTAAACTTTTAAAAAGGCGTACAGAAAATATACAAGATTATATGTAGGGCTGTAGTCTATAACTCTCAAAGTAAGCATATCGATAATGTATCCAAGATTGAATTAAGTTCAATTTTCAAAATTTGCTTAGAATCGTAAAAGTTATGACATAATCGATCAATTCAAATAAATGACATTTTATCGCTATTTCCGCGTTAAATTTCATCTGTTTCTTGATCCCATATTATACCAGTAGCAATTATCGTTTCAATCGATTGTAGATATTTCTGGTACAACGATAGGAGTAATAGCGATATTCTAGAATTGACTACTTAGTCCTTACTTCCGCTTTTCTATATAGTGCTGCTTCGCCAAAAGCTCCTCGACCGAGTACACGGACAAACTGATATTCTTCCTGATCGTTGCTCAAAGAGTGAGCGGAATCGCTCATGTTATCCTGGGTTAATATTCTCTCCAAGGATTTATCCAATTGGTAACTCACTAATTAACTCGTACTTGCTTGTATTTTTCCTCTATTGGATTAGCAATTTTTAATAAATGGTTTGATTGTTGTTGTTCATGTTTTGATGCTCTATTCTCACTATTTACTATTGGGACTGATTGATTAATGTAGTAAGATTTTGAAGGGTTCTGTAGATTTTACCTGAGGGGACTGGTAGTGAAACTCCTCATACAACGATTTAGGCTATAGGATATAATACACATGACGAAATCCTTTAATAGTTTCTATGCATTAACATATTTATAAGCAAGAATTTTAAATGTTTCTATTGTCTAACTACAATTATACCAGATTGAAAACGCCTACCAGAAAAAAACCCCTTAGTCAATTATTTCACTCTTCTACGTGTAATGTTCATGAACCTGTGACTATGGGTGCTAATAACAGCATTTTAAGAATCATGATTTAAAGTTTTTAGAAAATAGTAATGATAGGATGTAATCAGTAGCGAAAGTAATAAGTAGCGATGGTCATCATGTTCATGGTGGCGTTTAGAACATTTCGAGTGTATCCAACTTGCTATTGAATGCATATTGGTTTGCAATTTTTGATCAGAACAGGTTGAAATAGACGCCAATCGTGCAAAAATCTTCGTACTAAATTATTCAACTCTTTAGCTTGTAATTGTTAAAACTCTACGAATGCAGATGATAGTAATCTTGAGAATCGCTGTTTAAAGTTAGTAGAAAATAGCAACTACTGTATAGGATGCAATCCATAGTAAAAGTATAGATTAGCTGGTTACCATGTTCATGATGGCGTTTAGAATATTTCGAGTATATCCTACTTGTTATTGTGCACATTGGTTTGCAATTTTTGATCGGTACAGATTGAAATAAATGCCTATCATGCAAAAATCTTTAGAACGTAATAAATTACGCAATTCCTCTGCTTGTAATCTCATAGTAACTATAAGATGCAATCAATAGTGGAAGTATTGAGTAGTTGTGGTCATCATGCTCATGATTGCGCTTAAAACACTTCGAGTGTTTACAACTTGGTATTGAATATACAGTATATTGGTTTGCAATTTTTGATGGGCAAAGATAGATATAAATCGCTAATCATGCAAAAATCTTTATAATAAATTAGTCAACTCTTCTACTTGATATCGTCATAGCAGTTATAGAATGCAATCACTAGTAAAAGTATTGAGTAACTATGGTCATTATGTTCACGATTGCATCTAGAACATTTCAAGTGTTTACAACTTGCTATTGAATGCCTATTGGTTATAATTTTTGAAGGGTAAAGGTTGAAATAAACGTCTATCATGCAAAAATCGCTGTACTAAATTACTCAACTTTTCTGCTTTTAATCGTCGTAACGCTGTGAATGGAGATGGTAGTAACATTGGGAATCGCTATTTACAGTTGGTAGAAAATAGCAACTATAGGATATAATCAGTAGTAAGTTATCATGTAAATGATGGCTTCATAACATTACGGATACTGTAAATAAAATTCTATTAGACTACGTGTATTCGTATCATATTGATTGTACCGTGAATTATTTATCGATGTGCTGTATTTATTTAAAGTCCGGATGTGATGCTTAGGTACAGTATTTTAAACCATCTTTGAGTATAGTGCAGTATATCAATTTAGGGTGTAAAATTTATATATGTGTCCAGTACATTGCATCATAGTTTCATAAAGCTTTACATCCCTATTTATAAATTCACTTACTGAACCTTGTATGTGTCAATCCATTTAAATCTCATTATCTTTGTGTCAAAAGCATAAAAGTTTAATTATACCCTATAACGTTTAAACTTTCAAAGATATCGATACAAACATTATTGTATAATAGAATAATTTAATTAATTTATATAATAATAACTATAATTGAAGCGAAAAGGCATGTGAAGCCATAGTCCATTCATAATTTTACAGAAATGTTTAAAACTTCACCAAGTCTGATATATTCATAGCTAATTTGGATCATTTATAATGTGCAATAAATGTTTATCTTCATCCAACTATTTACAGTGGACGATAATATTGTTGAAATGATTGTGGTATAAAATATTCAATTGGAGAGTACTCATATAATACCTGGCGAATGGAATAGATTTCAATACACAAGTATATTGTCAATAAACCGTTAGTACTGTCGTACTACTGGAGTATACCGTAATTGGTAAAGGAATTTCTCAGGTAGCTGAGGAATGAACGCTTGACAAATTCTTGTTTAGTTCGAAAGATATTACAAATTAAATACATTATTTAGAGAGTTCTATTGCAAATTATTTAACTTTTCTAAGTTTTTTTGAACTGATACTTTGTAAAAGTCGAATATGTTCTCCACTGCTACACGGGCTGTCTGGATAATCTTCCTAAACATTGGTATCTTTATAACGCCAGACTGAGAGGATATTCCAATTACATCAAAGCTTTTGTTATCGAGCACTACTGCAGTTATGGAGTTGGATGTCTACAGGGTTATAGGAAGTGTAGTAGTTAATAACATTGTCTATAAAGGCATAATATGAGTTATAGCTAGTAAAAAGATATAGGTTGCTTTTGACTATGATTAGTACAGCTGATAATAGCTTACTGTTTCCTGATCTTTTGTCGGATCACAAATAATATCCTCCCCTAATACAGCGCAGCTAACACACCCTATTAGATATCGTAATGGCACAGCAGCATTCATCAGGGCCATAATTGATGCATTTAGAGCACACGATAAGAGCTAAATGGTAAATATCATCATTGTTAATGAGAAATTTTGTAGCTAAGTCATCTCATCGCATTAATTAAGCGCGTACTAAACAGTGTGTACAATAACTAGCAGAATAACGAAGGCGATTGCGTCCTCTACAAGCATCGCTGTGTAATCATGACTGAATGTACGCTATTTATTTTTAGCAATATTTGTACACTGCACCGGTTGATAATGTTAGTAATCATTTACAGTAAATACTATGAAACTACTAGGATGTTGATTTATGATTGAAAATTGAATAAACTGTAGGTACGTTCAATAAATTAAATTAAAAAAAAAAAATAATTGTCTATGGAAGCCTTAGACCAGAAATGTTTTGCACATTTATATCATACCGATCCAGCATCTATTTCTATCTGAATGATGATGGAAATTGCAGTATGAGGATAAGCGTGTGTAAGTATGATTTCTTTACAGTTATTCTTAATAAATTGTTCCATTTTTCTATGATCGCAGCCTATATTGAAGATAAGTTAAAAGTTAGTTAGTTAGTACAATATACTATATTATTGCCATGACAGCAGTGTCAAAATCGCACAATCCGTAAGATAGCGAATCGGTAGCATACATGATTTTACACATCTACTGTACCCTGCACTTATTCCCATATCTACATTTGAAGTGATTATTTTAAAAGACTTGATTTTATTGACCGATAGATTAAAAGTATTTTTGGAAATATTAGTTCAGGTAAACTACGTATATCTGGTCCTTATTTTGCAATCGTTGATCATACTAAACAATGAATCGCTATACACATGTAAAGTATAGAAAATTTTAGTATCCTATCATTTAGACAGTGAATGGAGATATCGCTTGGTTAATTGTAATTTTTGTTGACTATAATCTCATCCTTACTTTGTAATCCACTGGTATCTTGAAATATAACTTCTACGGTAGCTTCTTCGAGTTTTTCCATTTTAGCTATAGCTTGCACCGGGCCATAAACGGCTGCAATGACAGTTGTATCACCTAAATAGTAACACATTCAAGATATTATCCGATATTAACATTGAATTAGGACCATAGCAAGTATATGTCGACAGCATTTCCATATTGGCTGAAGTATTCTTTTAAATAAGTCACGATCAGATGATTTATCTGATCTCTGCATCAATTGTAAATATATTCTATTTCATAGACGCGTATCATTTATATCCCTACTAGCTAAGACATCGCTTCAACATGAGGATATGAGGGGAGGCAGAGTACAACTCATTGGTTGAATTTTTAAGTAACGAACGAATGCAAGACAGCAATGGAACCCATCGATGAAGATAGGTTAGTCATTTTTTCTCATTTCATGCTTTGCAATTCTACTTGCTAAAATGGATATGATAGACTGTTTCATTGATTGCAATGCTCCACTGTGAGTTGCATGGCCGTGGGGGGAATAGTGCTGACCTATTTCAGCAGTAGAAATACTATACATATGTGGTACGATATGTAAGCTTAACTATGCCTTAAGATTGTCTTACCTTGTGAAAATCGAGCAGATCCATCGGCATTGCGAAGTAAATTTTGCTTGCATTTTAATTTACGGATGCTTAGAACTTTCTGTGTTGGACTGTCGGCCAGCTCCATCATGCTGTAGAGATGTGAGCAGCACAGCACAGTGCAGTAGTCCATACGTACAGTATACTGATTCCATTGATTTATAATTGAAGGTTAAAATGTCACCCCAATTTCCCATCCATGGTATTGCAGCGGCTCCCTTACTATACAAAGTCGTTTGAACTGCCAGAGTGCAAACCGGACTGGGGGTGATACTTAAATTGGAGAGAGTTTGTAAGTGATGATACTACAGTACAATGTACAGTAGTAAGGTAACAGTATACTGTACACTGTACTGTAGAGCGACACGAGCGGGAGACGACAGTTTTTTTGCACACATTCACCTGCACTGCTACGGTAGGAACCTCTACTAGCTAATAACAAAGGAAAAGGACAAGTACTATGCAAAAAGTCGTGAGCAAAATAATTGTCACTAACTCACTGAAAAGCGCAATGCAGTAGATGAAAATCAATTCATCAACAAGATTCAAGATGAGAAAGATTTACAGTAGACGCGTTTGTATGGCATTATTACTCGTTGTCCTACAGGACTTGCATCAAGACTTGATTATTTCAAGCAATACAGTACAGTAGATTTGAATGATTTCCATCAGCTTCAGTTAACTGTGCTCTACCGTGTACCAGTGTGTCCTTCAAAGATCAACCTGAAACCCGACTTGAACCTAACTGGAGCTCGGAGAAATCCAGGTTAAGTAATTGTGGTTGTGATGCAGTGTTTGTATAGCGATTGCAGTCATTTCGGGTTGGAAAATCAACCATTTGATCGGGTTTTATCGCGTTTTGACTCCATTGAAGGACTCTATGCTGTACATGCTGTACTTTACTATGCAGTTCATGGCTCTACACTAGTGTATTGTAACCCCACTATTTAGGGTGTATAGTACGCACCGGTACAGGGATTTCGGGTGGACCAGAAGGCTCAGACGGTGACGGTAAAAATAGCCCGTACGAAGGCAACAGTGACATCAAAACTGCATAGGAAAACAAGCAGAATGATGATGACGGTAAAAATAACACATACGAAGGCAAGGACACTGACAACAGTGACATCAAAACTGCATAGGAAAACAAGCAGAATGATGATGACGGTAAAAATAACACATACGAAGGCAAGGACACTGACAACAGTGACATCAAAACTGCATAGGAAAACATGCAGAATGATGATGACGGTAAAAATAACACATACGAAGGCAAGGACACTGACAACAGTGACATCAAAACTGCATAGGAAAACATGCAGAATGATGATGACGGTAAAAATAACACATACGAAGGCAAGGACACTGACAACAGTGACATCAAAACTGCATAGGAAAACATGCAGAATGATGATGACGGTAAAAATAACACATACGAAGGCAAGGACACTGACAACAGTGACATCAAAACTGCATAGGAAAACAGGCAGAATGATGGCAATGACATGATTGACGGTGCACTCACAAATACGCGTTTGTTCGCAAATAATTTGACCAGAAAAGAGATATGTACTGTACAGTACTACTAAAAGAAGACCGCTCTAGTAGTCCATGAGTGTATTTCTATTAAGACTACAGTCGTATTGGTACTGGAAGTCCCGTCTTGTACAGTGTACAGTACCATCGTCTACCGTACTAAAGGTAGTTTTAGTACTGTAGCCCAGGACTGGACTGGACTGGACCTTGACTATGGCATTGCATGTTCCCCGCAAGATGGAGCCCATGACGAATAACTTACGCGATGTCAATCCTTGCTAAAATCAAACCTACTGTACCGATTACCACCAACATAACATACAGTACAGCACACAACAGACAAGGTTACTGGAAGATGGACTGGCGTAGCCCATGATGAATGACGTACGCGATGTCAATCCTTGCTAAAATGAATTAAACCTACTGTACCGATTACCACCAACATAACATACAGTACAGTACACAATAGACAAGGGTACTGGAAGATGGACTGGTGTAGCCCATGATGAATGACGTACGCGATGTCAATCCTTGCTAAAAAGAATTAAACCTACTGTACTGTACTGTATACTACACTGGGCACGGCAATTAGTGTGGGTAGTTAGCACATTTTTGGTACTATCATATTTAGTGTGTAAGCAGATATACAGTTTTATGGGTTTTATTCGAAAATAAATCATAAAAATATTCACTGATTTATCTAGAAAAAAATTCTACACCTTGTACACTGTACAGTATAGTGTACAGTACGCAATGGACAAAGATACTGTAAGAGAGATACTGTATACTGTACACTGTAGAGAGGTCGGGATGTGGACAGTACTGTACAGTACAATGTATACTAAAAGAAGACCAGTCAAGAAGACTGCTCTTCTTTTAGTAGTCCATGACTGCATTTCTAAGACTAGTATTGGTACTGTACTCCGAGCCCCTTCCTTTACAGTGTATAGTACCCTGGTCTACCGTACGAAAGGTACTTTTAGTACTGTAGTCCAGGACTGCACCTTGACTACAGTATGGCATTGTATCTATCATACAGGGAAGTAGTGTATTGTAACTCCACTACTGACTAGTTCTGTAGACGTCGAGCGATTGGACGTCCAACGGACGTTCGATTTTGGACGTTCGGTATGTACTGTACGTTCGTTGTCAGATCGGACGTCGACGAACTGTACTGTACAGTGTATACAGTCAGTTTGTATACTGTAATCCCACCCCAATACTATACATACAGTACAGTACAGTAGTACAAACGTCTTTTACAACACTTTGTATTTCAGAGTCATGACTACAGTATACTGTACTGTACGCTGTTACGTACTACTGTATGTACAGTGTATAGTACTGTATAGTCTTATACCGTACTGTACAGTGTACAGTACAGTACACTATGTATACAGTACAGTATACTGTAGTGTTAACACTGTACACTGTGTACGTTGGTACTGTACTGTACTGTACGTTCAATGAACGTCCGACGTTCAAATTGGACGTTCGTACTGTACTGTACTGTACGTTCGTTCATTAAAACTGGCTAACGTCCACAGTACTAGTCATGACTACAGTATACTCTACGCTGTTACGTACAGTACTACTGTATGTACTGTACAGTACAGTGTATAGTACTGTATAGTCTTATACCGTACTGTACTGTACTGTACAGTGTACACTATGTATATACTGTAGTGTTAACACTGTGTACTGTACGTTGGTACGTTCAATGAACGTCCGACGTTCAAATTGGACGTTCGTACGTTCGTTCATTAAAACTGGCTAACGTCCACAGTACTACTACTGACTATAGACTGCAAGACTGGTTTGGTAACTTTCGGTATACCGACTACCACCAACATAACGTACAGTACTGTACAGTGTACAGTACGCAACGGACAAAGGTACTGTAAAGAGATATACTGTACACTGTAGAGAGATCGAGATGTGGACAGTACTGTACTGTAGAGCACTGTCCATACTAAAAGAAGACCACTCTTCTTTTAGTAGTCCATGAGTGCATTTCTAAGACTAGTATTGGTACTCCGAGCCCCTTCCTTTACAGTGTATAGTACCCTGGTCTACCGTACGAAAGGTACTTTTAGTACTGTAGCCCAGGACTGCACCTTGACTATGGCATTGTATCTTCCAGGGAAGAAGGACTGCTGTAGCCTGTAGCCTGTCACCAATGACTGACTATAGACTGCAAGACTGGTTTGGTAACTTTCGGTATAAACTTGGTGGAATCCATGATGGCCAGTACCAGGCCCAAAGGGAACCTCGCAGTCACGTCAAACTAGTCAACACTGTGTATATATACAAGGCACCACTAGTAGGACTATCGTAGTTTTGCGGTATCCAGCGGACGAGCTCCATTTTATTGCAGTGGAAGCAACTTGGTCGCTTACTTGCCAAGTCGTTTGTTGCTTTTTCAATTGATTCCAATGGATGCTAAAGGGAATAAAATCGTTGTTTGTGACAACGGTACTGGGGTAAGTCTATGGATTATGTTAGAGGGAGAAAGACAGTGATGGAATTTGTATTTTCCCGATTGAAAATCATTGCACTCATAAATTGGCTACAACCAAACACGCCTAGTTTGAGACTTACAGTCCATTAGGCAAAGTAACGGCGGCTATTTCTTTCTTTCATTCTCTATTTTATTTCTCTACTTGATTGTCTAGTTCGTTAAATGTGGTTATGCGGGCTCCAATTTTCCTTCCCATATATTCCCTTCCATTGTTGGCCGACCGTTAATTCGTTCCAGTTCCAAAGTTGGTAATATCGAAATCAAGGTATGGTATGCGCGCATACACTGTCTTGTCGTCGATTGTCCTAACACGCATCAGTAGATGGCCGAAAACACCTTGCTATATTCTAAACTTGCAATGCCAATGGATTGCGATATCGTTATTCATCAATGGCATTAGTCTGTACAATTTATTTTCTATGTACAATCCATGTTGAATGGATAGACTGTTCATTGGATTTTTTTCTTTAGCCTGGCCTTCGTTGAGTTTATGTATCCATTTTTTTGGCCATCATAGGACTTAATGGTTGGTGATGAAGCCAGTGAATTACGATCAATGCTGGATATAAACTATCCTATGGATAACGGAATTGTCCGAAATTGGGATGATATGAAACATGTTTGGAATTATACATTTGATAACAAGCTGAAAATAGATGCAAAAAAATGCAAGGTATGGATGCTATTCTTTCCACTATCATGTTACATGGAATCTCCATCATGTTGAACGAATCAATTGTAAAAAATCACTCTTATTCCTTCTTCAAGATTTTATTAACCGAGCCTCCTATGAATCCCATGAAAAATAGAGAGAAAATGATTGAGGTATAACTTAATTGCTCATTCTATTGGAAATGGTCGATATACCAATAGCTTTCTTGAAAACAAATTAAAACAATAACAGTTTACTGTGATAGGCAGTCAAGTTACGCGTCTCGATGGCGATAGTCATGATGATAGAAATACTTTACAATATACATTCTAATAATAGAATAATTCTGAGGTGATTACGCCAACAAATACGAAAGCAGTAGCAATTTAGTGTACTTTTGTACGTCAAACCAGTCAGGTGCAATAATTTGCAATTTTCAATTCTGTCCTGTCATCTCGCTTGTGCTATAGGATGCTTTCCTAAAGCAAAGCTCATAAAGTATAAAAATTTGTCCATCTTGTTATTGCTTGTATTGGTATGCTTTCCTTTACTACTCAAAGGTCTGAATTTGCAGTAGTTGATTTTGCTTTATTTTCCCATTATCATTATTAGACAATTTTTGAAGAGTATGGTTTTGCAGGCTGCTATATTGCTATTCAAGCAGTTTTAACCCTCTATGCTCAAGGTAGAGTGATCAAGCTTTTGGATTAATTAAAAAAAAAAAGAGCTGTCATATACAATACGTATATAAAATAACTGTAATATAAATTGTGACTACTATGTTAGGATTACTAACGGGTGTTGTGGTGGATTCTGGCGACGGTGTCACTCACATATGTCCAGTTTATGAAGGCTTTTCACTGCCTCATCTTACTCGCCGTTTAGATATTGCTGGTCGCGATATTACCCGTTATTTAATTAAATTGTTGCTGCTTAGGGGCTATGCGTTCAATCATTCAGCCGATTTTGAAACTGTTCGCATTATGAAAGAAAAGTTATGCTACGTTGGGTAAGTTTTTACTTCCATGCTGACTCAATGATGGTCTCGTTCTCTACCTTTCTGCTATATACACTATATCACTAAGCCACAAAAATGAATTAATTCATCAGCTATAATATCGAGCAAGAGCAAAAGTTGGCGCTGGATACTACGGTTCTGGTTGAAACTTACACGGTAATAAATAAGACTATAAACTGTATTGATGAATCCTTTGTACACCTTAGAAGTCTCCCTCCATTATTAACCTTGTAAATCTTGATTGCTTTCAATTTCATTGGCTCATCTACCACTAGCTACCTGACGGTAGAGTAATTAAAGTAGGTGGAGAAAGATTTGAAGCTCCTGAAATTCTATTTCAACCGCATTTGGTCAATGTTGAAAGTGGTGGAGTCGCAGAAGTATTATTCAATGCAATTAATGCTGCCGATATTGATACTCGTCCTGAATTTTATAAGCATATTGTTCTATCTGGTGGATCGACAATGTACCCGGGTTTACCATCGCGTTTAGAACGTGAATTGAAGCAGCTGTATTTGGAAAGGGTCTTGAAAGGAAACACTGCGCAGTTATCGGTAAGGGTATAATGAATTTCTATAGAATGCACTGTACCAAGTCAATTTTCTGACTACCTTCTAAAATTTAACAAATATCATCTCATACTGAACTAGAAATTCAAGATCCGCATTGAAGATCCTCCAAGACGTAAGCACATGGTGTTTCTGGGAGGTGCTGTTTTATCAGATATCATGAAAGATAATCCACAATTTTGGATGACTCGCGAAGAGTACCAAGAAAAGGGGATTAAAGTTTTGGAAAAACTTGGAGTTTCCTTCAAGTAAAATTACTTCGAATGATTAAAATTTGTAATACAAAAAAAAATTTTTTTGCTATGAATGAAGTATAAAAAATTCAGACTACCAATCTATAAAAATTTTGTACGAGATGAGTGGTCAACCTTAGAGCTTTGGTACAGCGGTAGACCTCCATGTATAAATTGAGTAATTATATCATCGGATATTTCTTCTACACCACGTATAAGAGTTTTATTGGCTTACTCAATTGATTACTTTAATTAGGGAATGTAACTTTTGTATGCACAGACTTAAATAAAAGGTTAACTTGTTTTTGTGAAATATCGTAACTTTGGCTATTTTTGACCTTATGGCTTTTGCTATACACGCGTTACTTGTCATTAATTTGCACCGTCAAGTAACACAGAATGCTACTGAAATGCAGTAGATGATAATATGAGCAACGTCGTTGTTGTTTATTAATTAAGATCGTTACAATATCATCAATTTATTGTACTACCATAATTCATTATATTAGCTATAACAGTATTGAACCCAGCGGTTGATACGATTTGAAGGAGAATAATCTAACAATTCATCATGTCGCCTAGTTATGGCAACATAAAACTGTAAGCAAGTTATTCGATTATTTATGATAAATGGTCATAAGAGTATTGTATCGTATCTGTTAAGAGATGAAGATAAAAGCAAAGTTAATAGAAAAGGTTCGCCTTTGAGCAATAGTCATGATATAATTGCTTCTAAGCTGACATTCGACGATTCTGCTGTGACAAGCTTGTTATATTATCGATTGAATTGTTTGTTACTTTAACGTTTCTGGTAAACATTGGCCCTTCTAGTTTTACCAAGTAGTGCCTCGATGATGAAACAAGCAGTATCCATAGTTTTTTTAACATCTTCTTGTGAACCTATCTTCGGGTTTACTTCAACGAGATCAAATCCAACCAATAAGCCTGAAAGGACAGACATTCAGAGGTAAATAAATACCGTCATAATCATGTCAAACAATAAGTAAAGATCACAAGGGTTCATAGATATTTTATATAGATATTACTAACGAACCACTTTTAGCGATTTGCTCCGCCAGATGTAATCCTTCTCTCAATGTAAGACCGCCACGAACTATAAAAATTGGTATATTACATAACGGTGTGCATGACATTGGACTAATGCTATCAAATCTTATTATACATTCTTGACTAACCGGCAGTGCCAGTACTTGGTGCTTCTGAAGGATCAAAAACGTCTATATCCCACGTCACGAAAAGAGGTCTATCACGTCTACAAATGTAACAACGAATTGGCAGTTTTAAGAATTGTAATACAAAAGGAATCACTACCGAGTATTTATGAAAGCTTTGATTAATTATTGCATCAACTAAAGTTCGGCAAAGGAATAAATTTCAGCTATACACTTTCTGTAAATGTAATTTGTTATCTCTATATCATTTATTGTTTTGCATAATAACTTATTCTTACCTTGGATTTATAGTGTCTAGAGCTCTTTCAAAGACAGATCCCATACCATGATGATCGATATCAGCCATAGTAGCCATATGAATGCCAATGTCTTCTATGTACTTACTGCAACAGTGTAATATAATTCAATTTTGCGCTGCTCTAGTATATTTTCTTAATATTATGTTAAAACAGACGTATTTTCTACTTACAATTCTTCAGGATCAACGTCTCTTAGGCCAATATATGCAATATCTTTCGCAGTCATACTAATCAAATAAATTCACAGGAATATTACACGTAATAATATACTTGTTAGAAATGGCTAGCGTCATTTCACGTAAGTAAACGATTTGATAACGAATTGTAATATCTCATTTGAAGAATTTATCGTTATATACCAAGGTTTAGCCCATTCAAATCCTGGTATTCTTTTTTTCTTTAATAAAAGAAAAATGTTAATTTTTAAAATAAGACAACAAATTTCACGAATCTTGCTATAACGATCAATTTTAGATAGCTATTTGTTGATCGACCACTCGAATAATAACAATTGAATTCCGAAGAAATTAAAATGCCAACCTCTAATTCTTTCATTAAGATTGATAGTGGCATTCCATGCATATTACCAGTTACTGTACTTTCTCCAGTATTTATATCAGCATGTGTATCAATCTGAAATTGTAATAACAAAAACAAACATTGTGACTGTGCAGCATACAGATATCCAAAGTTGTATTAAGATCTTTTGCAGTATACCCATAATACACAAAGGTCATCTATTCTTGCAGTGTGACCATGAATACTTCCAATAGCGAGGCTTGTAGATATGCAATATATAAATTTTATGTCGTAAATAAGAATTGAATTTTAGCAAGTACTGCAACAACTAAGGTGAACCACTATTGTGGAGGTTAGATGATAGTTTTAAGTCTGATATTTAAACTAAAATTTAATAACTGCTTAGTAATCATATATTTATTAAGGAATGAGCATTCTATCCAGCCAATTCATAATATTATCGTGATGATACATGACTTATTAAATTATGATTGTTGTCACTTGTTCAATATGCTACAAAAGTTGTTTACAGTAGTTTACCGATAGCACTATAGACAAAGCAACTTACCTATGATCACCGCCTATAGTTATCGGCAAACTATCGTCTTCTAAAACTGATTGAATTTTCTCGCTAAGCTTTAAAGAGAATAAGAAAGTCCGGTATTGATGATCAGTTGTATCATACGTATATCTATAACAGTGGCTTAGGACGTTCATAATATAGTTATCGGTTCTATTTCTGATCATGCTATTTTAACTGTGTTACGATATCAATAATTCAGCATACAGTACACTCGTATACATAGTGTATGTGGATAGTTAGATAAGTATTGTACGCGGATAGGACACCGATGGTTAATTAACACCTTGGAATAGCGTAATAATGCATTTATTCATACGCGTACGAGAATAAATCACAATTAGATACATCAACGATGCTAATGGATGACAATGCTATATAATAAACAAGGTTTAGATGGGTTAGATTTACCAGTTTACTTGCTGCACTGACGGTTGCTGGATCTTTGACGATACCAAATTGCTCTCCTTTCCTGCTATTGTCTAATAGAATGTTACCGAGGTCCCGGACTTTTCTTCCTAATTTTAACGTTACTCATATGTTAATCTTTCAGCTTAAATTATCATAACGATATTATAACACTTGCAGTGTAAATAATTTAGATAATGATCAATAATGTATACGAAAGTAAATAGGATAGTTTACCTGCGTCGCGTTTTATCCGTTGAACAATGCCATATTCTCTCATTGCATCGGGCCCTAAATGTACTCCATCGATTGGCTAAATACGCGTATGATGGAAATAAATATTATTACATTTCGTCTGTATATTTACATGCAAAATAAATTAATCTGCTTGGCGTAATATCATACCGATAAAAAGAAAAACGATGTACTGTATGACTAATAAACTTGAAGTTTAAGTGCCTAGTCTGGTACTATGCTTCTTGTGTGTGAGATATCTAAGGTGTAAATTATTTATCATGGATTGGAAGGATTGAGATCGCATACTACACGTACCAGAAGATGAAACTAGATTGCTGAATTATGGATTTCAAGCTGTGCTATACACGACTATATTCCATAGTCCGATTATAATTATTTATACAGTACAAGGAACTACAACATAGAAACGAACAAGAATAAAATTGGGATCAGTAAGAAGCATCTAGGCAGGCATAATCATCCCGACTGGATGTTTATTATTACTGTTCAGTAGTATTGGACTTCCAGTATCAAAATAATTGCAATTGTTATTACGTCATTGGGAAATGCAGGATGTCTAGTTTGCATCAGATCTCCGCTGGATTGGCTATTACCAACTCAAATTGTCATTTGGCGAAAAGTTATGATCTTGTGTATTATTATTTATTGCTACGCATAGTACGTATGCCGATATTCAATCAGCATCATCATGGCATTTTCAAGCAATGTCGTGTAGAATATAGATATATAAATATGTACTAGCGATAGTGTAGGCAATAATCTAATACAGCATAGTGTACGTCAATAATAGCAGGCGGTATGCAAAGTACTATTTGATGCAGCCAGTAGAGTATAGTGAAGAGTGCTGAAGACGTTAACGAAGTAAAGTTGGGTTAAGTCTTAGGCGAGCAACATGAAGCTACAGGAAGCTATTCCTGTCGTAAGGTTTTACATTTCCAATTAGGCTAGTGATCATATGCAGTATGCAAAGTACTATTTGATGCAGCCTGTAGAGTATAGTGAAGAATGCTGAAGACGTTAACGAAGTAAAGTTGGGTTAAGTCTTAGGCGAGCAACATGAAGCTACAGGAAGTTATTCCTGTCGTAAGGTTTTACATTTCCAATTAGGCTAGTGATCGTACACACTGTATGCTAAAGTTGAGGAATACGTAGTTTGAGCATTTATTTAAAAATACTGTATGATAAATAGTCGATAAGGCGGCTATTGCTATTACTGTAGCTATTCAAAGATGGCAGTAAGCAGTCGTAAATGAAGCGATTAGAAAAAGGAATTACTCGTAAAAATTAGGTTTTATCAAGAACGCAAAATTGTGCAAAGACATGACTGTATGCGTATGGCCATATGTGCAGTAAAGAGACTTCATGCTATCGCATCAAGTAAAAATATCATCAATATTATTTTTCATTTATCTGAGCATCGAGTGCAGTAGGCCAATTCATTCTAGTCTGCGATTACTTGTGCAGTCTGATGGTATACCCACACTGTGATGAACTTCTATTCAGTATGTTTTATAATTTATTGGTAAATATCATTGATTAATTATCATGATGAATGCTATCTAGCCAGTCAGTTGGATTGAATTGGTGTACATTATTCGTTGGATTGATATTGACCGTATATCGAATTCTTTCCGTCCCTATTATTCTACCATAACACTCTAGAAAAAGTTGTCATCAGATCGATCAGTTTTACCTGGCCGATAGAGAAAGGATAACCAATAATGTTGACAGTTTGATAGTTGGAATAGGCATGTTTCATTTTGCTATAATATCGAAGACCATGAGCAGAAGTCACGATCGAAGCGGGTAGGCGAGTAGCTCGACCAGCAAGCGACATGATTGTATCCAAACTTTTGGACGGCCAAATGGGGAGATAAAAATCAACTTTCCAATTTGCCTACAAACAACTAACGTTTTTGCTTGAAGATTTCTAGAACCGTCCGTCAATGGCCGCTAACCGACTTTTCTTTTCTATTTAATATCGATGATGGCGATGCAACACTGTGATAGAATACGGTATGCTCGTTGTTGACAACATGCAATCATGCATTAGTCATGCATGCAGTTTGTTCAAGGTGGAGTAATATACACTAGAGACCCTCTACGCTAGAGGAGCACACGTGAGTAAAACAGTAAGAATAGAGAGTAGATATTTGCACAATGGAGCTAAAATGGCTATCCGTCTGTAAATAAACAAGGACTGTACTCGTATGGATCAAAGTACTGCAGTATCATGTCGGCTACAAGCGTGGGAAGGGTAATCCGATTAGACAAGATTTGCTTAAAATGGATCAAGTTGGATCACGGCAATCCTGGTGCTAAATTAATGGACGCAAGCACTATCATAGACAACTAGCAGGAAAGGAGGTTTCCAACTCGTGATCTGCGATCCTGTTAATACAGTTCCTACAGTAGCCATACTATCCTATCTTAAAAAGAGTCTGGTCGTCCTCTGAGAGATGACAAGAACTTTACTGTTAGCTAATTTGGTTACAGCATGCATGCACTAGCAGGAAAGGAGGTTTCCTACTCGTGGTCTGCGATTCTGTTAATACAGTTCCTACAGTAGCCAATACTATCCTATCTTAAAAAGAGTCTGGTCGTCCTCTGAGAGATGACAAGAACTTTACTGTTAGCTAGTTTGGCTACAGCATGCATGCACTAGCAGGAAAGGAGGTTTCCTACTCGTGGTCTGCGATTCTGTTAATACAGTTCCTACAGTAGCCATACTATCCTATCTTAAAAAGAGTCTGGTCGTCCTCTGAGAGATGACAAAAACTTTACTGTTAGCTAGTTTGGCTACAGCATGCATGCAATAGGCCACCACTAAATAGCGCTTTAATACAGTACAAGGTGTCCATTATTAGTCAGGGACTACAGAAATAGATTGGATACGCCAACTTGAAAATTCTTCAATCTTATGTTATTACTGGTAATATTCTCCTACAGGCAGAATGTAGCCATACTACCCCATCTTAAAAAGAGTCTGGTCATCCTCTGAGAGATGACAAGAACTTTACTGTTAGCTAGGCCGCCGCGAAATAGCGCTTTACAGTACAAGGTGTCCATTATTAGTTAGGGACTACAGAAATAGATTGGATACGCTAACTTGAAAATTCTCAAATCTTATGTTATTACTAGTAATATTCTCCTACAGGCAGAATGTTCGTTGCACTCGGTGGTCAAACTTGTTACTAATTAAGAAGTCATTTATACAATCTTGCACAGTATTCAAATTCATAAAATAATAACGAATGGCTATCTTGCGCTATCACAGCAGGTATCGGCTGCAAAAACGATCAATAAGATAACACGCTATCCATTCCAGTCCAATTACTAGGCTATGGTTACAAGGAATAGAAATTGATTTCCTGCTATACTTTTCCAGCTGTATGCTGTAAGTTAATATTAAAGAGATGAAAGTTGCAGCAGCTGACAGCAACCAACACTGCAGTACAGTTCTAGTTTGTTCCATGGACTCCTAGAAACATGGAAAATTTACTGCAGTAGTCGTCCATCATGCCTCCATGGACTATTTTATTAGTCGTTGTTGTACCGTACCTCCATCGTTGGATGGAGGTTCCAGTATCGTTAAGCTTCTAGTAGTCATGGAGTCCCCATGATAGAATAGATGCAATTTTATAAGAGAGCCTTCTACACTACTACTGTACTACCAGAGCATTGCAATTGTCTGTCCTTCTCTTTCCTTTTAATTCGTAGACAACTGTAATATGATCACATGCATGTACAACGCCTACCACTACCAACCCGTTTGGCCTTGTTCCAATAGCCGTAGCCATTTTGCATAAATTACTGTCGTGTAGAAAGTAATTTATGCAAAAGGCTGGGACTAGGGACCATAACAAATCTCTAGCTAGCAATGCATTTCCTCAAAATAGCAAATGAAGGAAATGAAAGCTGACAGACAGCACACAACGCCATTGTCAGTCATGGCAACACCAATAGGCCATGTTACAGTCTCTAGCTCCACTAGTTTTAGATCGCGACGTTGATTTTCTCTCATGATTGCAACTGCCAATCAAGCCTCCATCGGCCATTTATAGAACAGGATGGCCATCCAGTATACATATAATCCGCGCCGCCAATACAATAGAGTAGAATAATCATTTATCCTGTTGATATACTGTACTATAGCCGATTGGCAATCATAACATCATGTTGTATAGGCATCGGCAAAAACAATAACATCGCGAGTACCAATGATAGTCGTTGTGTAACAAGTTCGGACAAGCAACCGCGTGATCGTTTAGCTCGCAGTCTTGTAGTAGCAACTTTCCGGTCTCATAACTTGTTCTTAAAAGTCAGGAGATTCATGTAAGTATCCAACCTATGTTGTGCAATGATAGTCGATAATGATGACTGTGGATAAGGATTGGGTGTTGGACTAGATGATAGTTGCAAGTTATTTTCAAATTGGAGATCAAGACGATGTTTTGTTGTCGCTGTGCAACGAAGCCATGCTGGCCAGCTGAAACAGACGAACGAAATGGTCTTAACTTGGGAAGAAATCATTTGGTTCCTTTTCAGCATGGATTAAATTTTTTATTGTTGTCTAATCCTTGTATCTGACGGACACAAGTTTTCACTTTTTAGTTAAAGAGAGCCATTTTTTTTCTAGTCAAGACAGGATGACTGATAGTAACGACTTGCCTTTCCGAGCAGAATATGCAAAATCCAACCGAGCTGCGTGCAAACTTTGTCGTAGCAACATTGGCAAAGATACTCTCCGTTTAGCAGTGATGGTGCAGGTACGAGCTGAGACAAGTTGTCAGATATTGTTTCATCAAACTGCAATCTAGTTAACTTACCTACTTGTGACAATAATCATCCTATACTCCACAACTCGCTTAAACTGCTACCATGTTGCATACTACTACCCCATGACACAAGATAGCCAACCACAACAATCGACTCCATGCATGTCATGCGATCCACATGTTTTTCTCCATCATTTCAATGGAATCTTTTTTTATACCTAATGGCCAAAATACAAATTTAATCCATAGATGTTATCATGTTCGACTGATACAGTTCATGTTATCGTTTTGTTTTGCATGAAGATCTCTGCCCCATTACTTTCTCATCTTTTGAACTGAACCACTTGTTGGTAATGCTACAGCGTCTGCAAATCTACAAATATTTCCATTGCACCAAAAGTAGAAACCATCTGCTGAACTCACGCAATCCACTAGGGTGGGTGGACTTACTTTTCTCTCCTCTTTCAGCAAGTGGTTATCCTTGATTTAGTACAGTAGTAAGGTATCTTTCACCAGTACAATTCGATATATGTTGTATCTTATATCCGTGCTAGATTGCCTTCTCATTTTTCCTTTATATCGAATTGGTATGACTGCAAGATCAGCAAGCGGCAATGTTGACAATTCCTAGAATATCGACAGAGTGCATGAATAGCAGTGAATAACATTCAAGTTTTCAGCTCAATCCAAATGCAATTTTTGCCCTTTTACTAACTTGATTCATCATGGTCTCCCTGCGGCTCCGTATTCCCTTCTCATCGTTTACTTTACAACTACTTGCTAGCGATCTATCTTTTACCCTGTTTGATATTTACGAGTATAGTTCTGTTTGTCTCGTATATTGACTATCGTAAATGACTAGTTTAATTGAAGATATCCCCTTGCTGATACTTGTATCAGCTAGATCACAGTATTACCTTCATTCTATATTATTTTTGACTACAGTAGTTGACATTCTCTGTTCTCTACATTGCGGAATGCCATCATTTACAGAATTTTAATACTCTATATTCACTAGTGTGCTGCATATCATACTTTATTTATTATTATGCTACTTTGCTATGGAGTTATTGGATGTGTGTCAAGTAAATAATTTTCGTCATTTACGATCGCTAAATTACATATTATACTGCTTGAAATAAAGTTGAATATTAAAAGGTCTAATTGGTAATTTTAATGTCGACAGCTAAAGTTTCAACGTCATTTCTCTATTTCTCATCAAGTTCTTATTATTATTATTTCTTTCTCTTTTCTTTATAGTCCATGCATTTTGACGGAAAGGTTAGATCTGAATATGTTAAGATAGCTTTTAATAGATCTTAAACTATAATTGAAAACCATGTAGAGCCTTTTAGCAGTAAATCTTACTGCTTTGCAGAAAGGATACACTGACTGTTTATAATAACGCAATTGAACATTATTATGCAGTATCGCTGCTTCCAGTGAAATTAAGATTTAAAGTGCTTCACTTTCAGTGCAGAATTAATTAATAAATGCAGTTAGGCCTAGTTACAAAAATAATAGTCATTAATTAATTTTGTATTATTAGACCGAGAGCCTAAGACGTATTGGATAGTACAGAATACTTTATTAATATGCTTATTGCTGATGTCGCATAATGACATAGTTTACAGCATGTAGAGTGCTGCATTTCAGGACTACAGCTAATTTTAATTTGCTCAGATTGAAGTATATGGCTGATAAAAGTACAGCTTCTATCAGGCTTTTCTTCATGAGTTAACTGAATTAAAAATCCAGGTATTCAATATTCGCTTAAACCATTTAGTCGATTTCCTTACGAAGTAGAATCTTTTCATCATATAACGATAGTCTGAATTTGTCATGATAATTTCTTAGTTGAAAATGTTTTAACTACTGTATTATGGATATTTCCTTGGCAACTTTGAGCTAGTAAAAGAATCTAGGTCTGATGTAACGCCAGCTTAATGATTTTAAAGCGTTCCTTTCTATTGTTAGGTCCCCAATTGGTATCATTTCAGTTGTTTCTTTAAGAAAAATAGCGCATGTAGTGAAGGAGATATCGGTGGATTTGGATCGTTACGATGGGATGACCAAGAGAAATTAAGAAAAAATATTGTATCCGGTAACAGCAGCACGCAAGGAAATGTTATTCACTTTACTGGCTTAAAAACGGAATACGCAAAGTCTAGTCGTGGTTCTTGCAGATGTTGTGGTGAAATTATCGAAAAGGTAATCATTGAGGTCTTCGCAATTGGTTTTAATTGTTAAATCAAATTCTTTATCTTCAAAACTTTTTCGATATGGTATATTAGGACGATGTCCGTATAGGACATGATCGGCCTCCTGATCCAGATTCTCGTGTTGCAATGTTAAACTTTATAACATATTGGTACCATCCTGGTTGCTTTCAAGATATTCGAAGTGATTTAGATATTCCAGATACTGTCGGTGTTGAGTCGTTAAAGGACTTTAAGAAATTGAAAAAGCCAGATCAAAAGGAATTAACAGACTTATTAGGCGCAACAAAGTAAATTAGATTTTTGTATCTAAAGGCGGCACTAGTTACTATATTTCAATGGTGCAATTGCAAACTACCAACTAACATGTTAATAATACAAACAGAGTAGAGAAACCTAAAGGGAAAAAGCGAGGTAATGCAAGTAAGAACGATCAACCAGCGAAAAAACAGAAAACTGAAGAAGAAATTGATGAAGAGTCCAAATTAAAGGTTGCAAACTTTAACGATGATTATCAATTATACTGAACACCCTGATTTTTGAAAATGTGCAATTCATATAAATAATCCTAATCGTTTAGGAACAAAGTAAGCTTTTATGGGGTATTCACGATAAATTGAAAAAAACTTGTACCCTAGACATGTTAAGAACTATGCTATGCAATAACAATCAAAATATTCCTAGCGGCGAGAGCAGAGTAAGCTACCAATCTACTAGTAAAATTATATATAGCTATTTTTACCCAATTGCTTAATAGGATTGTTGTCCGTTTAACCTTTCCATTTTGGATGTATAGTATAGTATAGTTTATTCGCTACCTGACCTTACGGTTTACAAGTCGCAACGATTTATTGCTAATTTGACCATTATGGGTTGAGACAGTGTCTATAATTATATTATATATGCTGCTGATATTAATTACTGCATAATTCTTTATCAGTAGTTATTAAGCTAGAAAGACTACATTGCGATCTTAAAATAACTAGTAAGTTTTCTTATTCTCCAATGTAATTAATTACTTAATATTAGCTGCTAGAGTGCTGTACTGATGGAATGGCATTTGGTGCGCTACAACAATGTGAGGAATGTAAAGACGGACAACTAGTGTACAGGTATAAAACTATTAATTAGTATATAAACCTTGGTAGCATGTTGTAAATACAGTACATGTATAATGATTATTAAATACAAAAAATGCTTTAAGGGGCCCCCATTGCGGAAAATTCTTATTCTTAATATATAGGATACTTACGCCCAATAATTAATCTAATTAATTTTGTCTCAAATTGTAGTTCTTCCAGTAATGGATATCGTTGCACTGGTAATGTAACTAGCTGGACAAAGTGTATGTTTGAGACACAAGCACCAAAAAGAAAGCCTTGGAAGATTTCTAAAAGTCTTCGCAATGATTCGGACTTTTTGTAGGTTTCACCGAGTAATAAACCTACCGTAAACATCTTCATATAAAGTGATTTATTGTCAAATCTATGGTTAACAATTTGCTTACTTAACGTTAAGATTGCTGTAAATCTGCTATTCAGCGTAACAATTTATTTAAATTGAATTTTCTGATGGTCATTTCAGGAAGGATTTTAAATTCAAGGCAGGAGAAAGAATTTTTCCAAAGTTAACGCAAAAAGCTCCAACCACACCTACAACAGCTATAACAACACCGTCCGCTGTTGCACCTAAGTAATTTATTGAATTTTAAGAATGAGCGAATTGTTAAGTGATCCTATATTAGGATGTTGTTGCCAATTGGCGAAGCCTTATGTATCACTTAGATTTTAATCATAAGTAAACCTAATGTGGGATATCAGAATTCTACTGCAATCTCTTTCTTGATATATATTTATTATCAGAAAAGAGAAACGAAAAGAGAAATGTCTTAAAGGTGTAGCTATTGTAATCATTGGCAAGCTTAGTAAAACCCAGGTAGATTGATATTCACTTTGCTGTATTGATAGACTCTACATATGCTGTAGACTTGGTAATAACTTCAATTGAGCATAACTGAATTGAACAATTTTGTTAGGCTGCACTTAAAAAAGATATTGAAAGTCTAGGTGGAACCGTTGAAAAGGATCTTTCTTCAGATATAGTACTGTGTATCAGCTCGAATGGTATTGAAAAATGATCAACGAACTACTTTGCTACAGTATTATTTTGTTACACACATGCCTAGTAGATATGCTTAACTTTAACTTAACATGCCATCTGGTGTAAGTATAGAACTGTACTAAGACATGACCTGGTTACGATTTGTAACCTAGGCGAAGTGAAGAAAAACGGAAAGAAAATAAAAGAAGCTAGGGAATTAAAATTGCCTATCGTTGATGAAGATTTCTTGACTGCTGTTACTGACGGAGATCCGAAAGCACTTGTATCTAAACACAATATTGTTGATTGGACTGATGGAACGGTATACAGTATAATTACCTATTTGTAACTATTAAAGGATATTTAATTTCAAGCAAATAATATACTAACAATAATGTTTCGTAATCATTTATTAGGATGTACAAATTGCTTCTAGTAAAAGTAAGCAGCCCAATGAATAATTTTTATATATATATATAGTTTAACGGATTGTTAAAAAGTTCTGTATTGTTGTATAGGTAAGAGTAGCGTTATCAAAATGAAAGTGAAGGGTAAAGCGGCCGTAGATCCACAGTCAGGTTAGAATGCTAAAAGATTGTTGCTAGGTACTCAAGTTACCGCATAAGAACAAGTAAATATTACATTGAACAAAGACAAAGACAATGTTTAAGCAATATACTGTGTGTGTTTCAGTTATTGTAGATGCTTGTAATATACTGTGTTACCAACGTTGCTAATAGAGAAATCTTTATTAGATTTATTGAGCTGGAGTATAATTCTGTTTGCAATCTCAACAATAAATAGGAAAAGCAGAGACTTGCCATGTACTAGAAGGCCCAAACAATGCTGTCTATAGTGTCACTCTTGGATTAGTCGACATTATACGTGGTACTAATTCGTTTTATAAAATTCAAGCTTTAGGGAGTGATGTCGGAAATAAGTAAATGTCGAAAATTGAGTAATATAACAAAACATCCATGGTAGAGTAATCAATTATATTTTCCTTGCAACTGATTAGATATTTCATTTTTCGATCTTGGGGTCGAGTCGGTACCAAAATTGGTGGCAAAAAAGTTGAAGTAATGCATGATTTTTAGTAGAAATACACTTATATAATTATTTATCGGTCATATTGCGGTTAGTTGTGACTTTATGTTCGCATTATTATTACCTTAATTTTTTTAATATAATAGCAATTACATAAACATGAAGTTGTATCCGAATTTGAAGCAGTTTACTATGAAAAGACAGGTAAAAAGAATTTAAAGCTTATTACTTAAACTAAATTTTGTATGCACCAATAACTTCAATTAAAACAGAACTACGCCTGTTATTAATTAGGAAATACCTTTCGTAATCGAAATTCATTCGAAAAAGTACCTGGCAAGTTCTATCCGATTGATATAGATTATGGCCAGGTAAGTATACTCGTAAATCAGCTACGATAGTGTTTGAATATCAATATTGTCTTTATCCCAATAATTTAATAATATAATGAATATTTGGCAATAGGATGACGAAGCACTTCAGGCTAGTGCAGTAGCAGCTGGCAGCTGTAGTCAGTTACCTTCTGCAATAATCGATCTCATTAAGCTAATCTTTGATGTACAAGCTATGAAAGCAGCTCTTATCGAGTTTGAGGTAAATATAATGATAAAGTTTTGTATTATATTGAATGAGTTTCCTAAAAATGTTTAATTTTAATTTTACATTTGGTATCCTTTATCTGTATAATAAGATTGATTTGAAGAAGATGCCGTTAGGAAATTTATCAAAAAAACAGATTGAAGATGCGTATCAAGTACTTGGTAACCTGCAAGATGTAAGACGTATTATACTAGCAGTTTATTTATGGATCGAATATTTGTTATTTTACTTATTGAGTAACACTGATATATTATATAATTATTAATTACAATTATCATTAAACTGCAACAGCTTATTTCAAATCAAAGCAGTCGAACTAAAATTGTGGATGCAACGAATAAATTTTACACATTGATTCCGCACGATTTTGGATTGAAAGCACCTGCTATCTTAGATGATCCAAAATTGATACAAGTATTATATATATATATACGTCTATGATGTTAACTATGTTGTGTATAAATCTATTAATATAAAGACTAATTTAGTTATTATTTGTACAGTATATTAGATGATTGTATACTGATATTATTTGGATTATATTAAGCTATTCCTTCAAGATAGACTCAGTCGTATGATTAACAAGTATTTAATTTGCTATAGGCCAAGACATCCATGTTGGATGATCTATTGGATATTGCCGTTGCTTATAATTTGATTAAAACAGCAAAAGACTCCGGGAAGGATCCTGTCGATACTCACTATGAGAGCTTAAAAACAGATCTTGATGTAAATATCTATAAAGTTGTTGATATTTTATTTAAAGTTTATTTTTTATCAACATTCTAATTACTTTACTATTCGTGGCTGTTATAGCTTTTAGATTATGGAAGTGACGAGTTTGAAATGGTACAAAAATATACTAAAAATACTCATGCTTCAACTCATAGTTCATATACGTTAGAAGTTAAAGAGGTGAATATTAATTTAATTATTGTATAACGTTATAATATTAATAATGTAGAAGTTGAGAATTTATTAATTGATATTTATTGTATTATAGGTGTTTAAAGTTAATAGGCATGGAGAAGAGGGAAGATACGAAGACTATAAAGATTTTCATAACCGGATGCTATTATGGCATGGCTCTCGTGTTACAAATTTTGTTGGTATATTGTCGCAGGGGTTGAGAATTGCCCCTCCTGAAGCACCTGTTGTAAGTTGCTGTAAATGTTGTTATACTGGTAGTCAATTTTAAGTATATCCTTATGTTGTTTGTTTATATACCAATCGAATTGATTTGCTGATTTGAATATTTATTTTTGGAATAACAATTGAATGTAAGACCGGATACATGTTTGGCAAAGGGGTCTACTTTGCAGGTTTAAAGATTCTAGTTAATTAGTGATTGTTAAAGTAGTGTATAATTAATTTAAAGTATGCTCTTTCTGATGTTTATTCATGTATACTTTTATTTATTAGATATGGTATCAAAGGTAGAGTATGAACGATTATCATCAGGAATAATTATTAATTATTATAGATAAACATCCTATAGCTTACTGACAAGGTTTAATTGCAGAGTGCAAATTACTGCAATACAAATTCTGGAAGTCCAACAGGATTATTACTACTTTGTGAAGTAGCCCTTGGTAACATGTAAGTAATGTAGATTGGATTGAGTTAAAACGTTTTTAAATTGTTATTGGTTGTTTGTATAGTAATAGAGTTGTGTATAATTAATTCTCAGGCATGAGCTAAAGCAGTCTAAATATATCACAAAATTACCAAAGGATACGCATAGCACTAAAGGTAATTCAGATTTTAGAAATTTTATTCATATTATAACGCATACATACGCGTACATATTATACTGTATGCTTTTTATACACATAGAAATGCCAAATATTGTAAAATTGTAAGATTAATTGAGTTTGCTTATTGATGTAGGTCTCGGAGGAACAGCACCAAATCCATCACAAGCTATAACGCTTGAAAATGGCACCGTGGTACCATTAGGCAAATCATCAAAGTCTAAAGTGACTAATTCCAGTTTATTATACAACGAGTATCCAAATCACTTTATAATGTTATGAAAAATTTAATCGTTATACGTATATTCTGTACAGTAAAATAGCCAAATACAATTATTAAGATTTTATGTTTTCAAACTTAACTCTATACCTAGATATATCGTTTACGATGTCTCACAAATAAGAATGAAGTACCTTGTGAGGATGAAATTCAATTACAAGTACTAATCTTACAACTTTAAAAGTAATATTTTAAAGATTGGAATCGCATTAATAATTATAATTGGATGATGATATTAAACTTGTACGTTGAGTTGAAATGATTTTTAGTTCATTGAAGTATAGTATAGTAGTAATAGTCAAGATTAATTCGTATTAGAATGTAGAGATTTACTTGAAAGGTAAGTAAAACCGGCATTATGTAAGCTAGCGTACCTTACTAAAGTTGTGGCAGGTAAAATTCGTTACTGATTCTGTTGTAGTTTAATATGTAATTTATACAAATGATAATGATGAAATAGACGGGATACTTGGAAACGTGTACGTAATGTGCTATCAAGGCTGTAATAAAAGTAAATTAATAGGTTAGAATTTTGACAAAGAGCAGAAATTTCATGACAAATTGAAGCTTTAATTTATGTAATAAAGTTAGGATCGAAAATTTACCTTTAAATCAACATACTGTTTCGGTAGCTTCCAGTTTATCAAAGACACCGACAGGAAAGTATTTAGTATGACTTCTCCAAGTTGTTGAGAACGATATAAATTTCACACTACTCCACTCCACTCCATCAACGATCGCTGAAATTAAATATTATCAATAATATTACCTTTCTTTCAACAATTTTAATGATACTGAGTGATCGTGCGGTAAGTACCTGCATTGCCAACATTACTAACCTGTCAACTTATTAGATTGCGATTTTGTCGTGCAAATCAACTTGCTGACCATAGCATTGATTGGTATTCCACTTTCTTTTACTTTTTTAAGCCTAACTATAACTAAAAATTAAAATGGCCTTCAGTAACAGAGTAACTCAATCTGTATAGACTAGGTGCGATAACATGATATTAGATTATGAAATCTACTTTGATTATACTTATTACCGGCCTTTTTCTTCTCCTTTGTAACGGCTTCCATAGCAAGGGTATTAGGTGCATTTTCGTTAGAAAGCCTTCGAATCATTAAACTTTTAAAGCCACCTTTTATACTCGACTGTAACAGCAAAATATTACAGTTAATCTCACAATATATGACGATATAACCTTTTACTGTACTGCGAAAGTCAGAAATAATCCAACCTTTGCAGATTCTTTCTTTCCTCCCGTAATCCAATAATCAACCTGAAGATCGAGGTGTTCGCCAGCTCCGCTTAATCATTACACGTGATATGATTAATTACGATCATAAGGTGTCCAATATTAGGTTACATAACATTTCGAAAATTCAGCCGTAAAAATTAAATTTTATACCTGGGACTTTGAGAGATTAATTCTTTTACAGAAAGGTCTTTGTTGACTGATAGTGATTTATCATCGTTATAATTACCGCTAGGATCTATCACATGAGCATAATTTACTTGCGTTACAAATTAAAAGATTCAATAAATTAAAGAGAACTAGTCAATCCATGTCATGCAGCATCCTACCACTAATCCCTGAAATTGTACCAGTATCTTGGATACCAATTCCAACCGTCTATAAATAGATATAAAGAAATAATTTAGTATGCAATACATTCTAAATGAGAAGTATTGCAAGCTCTATGATATGTAGTAGCTTAATGATATAAGAATTGAAGCACATAACTTACTGCTATAAATGGTACAAAAACTTCCGAAGTGGATTCTTTACTACTTATGCTATGATATTTGAAAATATTAGCAATGTGGCCATTATTATATTAAATCTATGGATGAATAGGATGTTGAATATCACTACCTATCTTGCTTGCAAGATATCAGCGCTTCAGCGATAGGAAATTGTTTACTTTCCTTAACGCGTGATATATATCTTGAAACACGATGATCAATGTTTGATGCTGTGAAGGTTCAATGGCCATATATCAGTTATACAGTTACGTTTTTCCTATAATATTGATCGTTGATAGATTCTTTATCCAAAACTTTGATAATCAATAGTATACCTTTATCAGATTTGCCATCGGAATCGAGTATTATTTCTTTCCATTTCGTGTCAAGGAATGACTTGCTATAATTTTGATCGATTTTACCGAGATAATCACATATCGGATTTGGACCTAAATAATAAATGCAGCAGAGATAGAGGTATTAGATCATTACAAAGTGATTATTCCTACATAGTTAAGATACTAACCAGTAGGTACTAAGAGAAACGTAATAAAGTTTTGCCATTCTGGAGGCTTAGTTGAGAACTCATCTACATAAGCTTTGACAGTCATGCCCATTAGTTCTTGTCCACCAATTAAGGTCACTTTCATTAATGGTGGATTTACGGAATGATGATTGCAACTTTAAAAAGGAGTTTTCATGTTTTAAAGTAAAAAGTAATTAACTATCTTTTCTTAGGGTAATCCATGCATTGATGACGTACACGTTTGAATCCAATTAGAACTAACAGTATTCTACTTACAATTTCTGAATTTTGGAAATGATTGCAATCATTACAGTTCTAACGTCTGCGGCTCCATTAACATTGATCGAACAATTGCGCTTTGAAGGCATAGACTGACCTATTAACTAAATATTATTAAAGATACATCAGTTTTTTCTTAGTTTTGGTCATGCATAACCATGATTTTATGAAGTAAATTTTTTGCGCTACGTACCAATCCATAATCGCTAGAAGCATCTATCAGTATGATACTTTCTGGATACTGGTCTGTATTTTTTACAACGCTGATTAACTGTTCAGTAAATGAAGCCGGAGGTGTAACTTCAATGACTCCTGAACTAGAAGGCGAGGCCGATGGCTAAAATATAACGTTAATGTTTTAGTTTTGTAAATTTATAAGTGTCTATAATGGTGCGGCAACAACTCAAATGATATAGTAGCTTACAGATTTGTCCCTCTTTATCTTATTATCTAGGCCAACGCTTGAAGTTCTATAAATTGAATTTCTTTCGTTACTGCCTTTCGAATCATCTAGTGAAGAAATCGACCAGCTACGTGTAAGTGAGCCAGATGCGGATATTTCCCTTACGATAGTTGACATATTATTCGAGTTATCAGAATCAGACACCTAAGCAAAAAGCAATTAGGCTTAGAATATGAAGCGAAATTGTCAGTGAACGTAATACCATAATTACACCATAACGATAACATATTTACAGGCATTTGTGCGCTTGCGTGACGATTTTCAATTGTTTGAGCCCCACTTGGATTATTTGCCTACAAATTTTAATTTTTTAATACATATTCAATTAGCTTTCATAAATTTAACTGTAACAGTTAAAATTTTAGAACACTATTAGTAAGTCTGTGTGCAAATAATGTGCGATTATCACTATCTCAGCCAGTCATTATGTACTGTCAGTCCTTAACCTTTGGAGAACTGGTAGGATCGACATCTTCACGATTTGTTACATCAGCTGATAGATAGAAAGGTCTGAAAATATTATTTTACAAATATCAATGTTTGGTTTTACGTTATATCTAACGAGGATCTAGTTGCAATCTGAAAACTGACAAGATAGTTCAGCGCTAAATAAACCTTAAAGCAGGCTTCGGAGTATAAGGATTTTCGTCATCGCTGGCACTGTCTGTGGATTGAAAGTCAGCCGAATCATCATTTTCTGAAATTGAATCGTCAGGAAAGTAGGCTTCAGCATTCCGAGGCGCGATGCCTGTATCTTCTAAAGTCTAAAGTAAATATCTTTTTAGCAATACAGTACTTGTTTTTCTATTAAGGCGTTACATTTACGACATGAAGAACGCGACGGTAGAATAAAATCAGGTTACCTCATCATTAACCTTAAATTTTCGTAAAAATTCTTGAAACTTTTGACGGAATGCATTCTGAGACGACAAAATTATTGATTGGTTTCTAACTGTAAGCATATAAGAAATCTTAAACAAAATATGATGGGAAGAGTTCAAAACCTTAGATGAAAATTTTCTCTGAGAGCGACTTTTAGACTTTTGACCAGTGTGTTCATCATAAACTTCATCGTCTTGATCAGAAGAATCTATGTCTTCGTCAGAACTCATAGCACCTGATATAGATAACATATCGCTAAGTACTTGTAGGTACTAGGTAAGCGAACTAAATATAGATAAACTTTGTTCTATCTAAATCACCTGGCATTTGTAGGGCTCGGTTATGGTCATCCTCCAAATCCACCTCTACTGGTTGACTTTAGTTGTTTGCAATATTATAACGATATGATTAATTAAATTCGATTGCTGTTGTTATTTGATATATTATACTCGTAAATGTATTAAGCGAATTAATAGCAGGGGTTTGGAAAAGCAAATGATGGAAATTGTATTATACGCGAATACAATAATAATTAATCAATACGTGTGTGTAATAGCAAATGAAATTAACGATAATGCCGCTTGTATGTGAGGCATTACGAGCACTTTATTTATCCTACGATAGTTTCGAATAATTTAAGGAAGAGAAAGGTACCTTATGACAGAAGACATTACAATTTGAGCGACATGAGAATTAGAATCCTTGCAGTATAATTGTAAAACGACTTTGTCTTTAACTGGACTTTGTAGAACCTATACATTAATAAATGAACATTTACAGTATGTTATAGAATGTAGCAAAATAAAATTTCTGACTAAGGTAATATAACACAATAAAATAATCAGCGCAGAAATCAATGTGGCGATAATTTTTTGTAATCAACCAACCTCATTCATATTGATTGAACCGAATGCTAGAGTTTTAAACCCTAAAATAGCTTTCCTTTTGTATCTTTTTCGCCGCTGCAGTATAACTTTCATATGACAGCCGGGCTCTTTTAAGTAATGCGGATACTATAGGCAGAATAGAAAACGTCTTGATGTATTAAGGTCTCTATACAAATACGATACGATACACGCTTAAGAGGAACCTACATATTAGATCTAACATTTTGTAATTTAGCAATAAAACAAGTAAGTCAATTTTACAATATCAATGCCATGATCTGATTTGGTATGAAATTATGAATGGCATATTATAGTTACTAAAGAGAACGACAATAAACTGACAAATTTTTACCATTCCAAGTCAAATATTGGACAGTTTTCTCTAAATGTAGTAGATTGCAGTAAGCCCGTATAAAGTATGCATAATAATATTTCATCCTAAAAAGCTATCAACTAGGGTATGAAATGGCAGCTGGAATAAGTTAATATACGAATGATATAATTACATACCTGAACTGTAAAGGTAATACTTAGATCGATATCGGTCCCTTTGTTGCTTGATTTCAAGGGTATTTCTCCAGACCGTAATGTGTGCTTGTTCTAAGGTTGCCATCCAATGGGATATCATTTATAATAAAAAAATTATATTACTAACTGACTTATATAATTAACATACTTTACCAAGCATACACATTGGTAGCTCTTAGCAACATCTAATATACAAATGTAAAAGTTGTAGATAATTATATTTCAATTGAACTAGGGGTTAATGAGATCACAGTAAAACTAAATTTTAACGGTTAAAGCGCTGTACGAGTGAAGATGAATGTATGATAGAGTATAATTTTGAGAGCTATTACTTTAAAAGGCATTAATTTATCGTATCTGTATACTTTAAAGGATAATCCAATAAAGACTGTTTGTCCATCCGTTGATCCTATGTCTTGAGTAATTTCCAATCGAGTTATTCGTAAAACGCACAGCCTAACATTGAGATCAACAATAATCAATTTAATTAGAATTGATCAGCGTACGAACTTGAGGAATATTAAGAGTTATTCGTAGAAGAATAAATTTTTGAATAAATTTTAAAATCAATCTGTATCTGTGTCTCAAAATCTGGACAAAATTGCTGTCACAATCGAGACTGGCGATGAAATTTTTGCCGTATAGTACTGTAGTTTAGCGGTGATGTACAAGATATGCCTTGCTGCATGAGATACGAAGGTTTATTTACATGCTTATATTCTATTATACTCTATTAACTCTAGCAGTCTTATTAATTAGTTATAAATTATACTTTGCGGATTTGGAGAGTTGTATTCAAACAGAGTATAAGGTGAAAATACTTGTATGAGCTGAATTTATACAGCCTATCGTGTTGTGCAGCCAATAGAGTATCGGCGTTTTAATATAACTAAGCAGCCATTCAATTTACTAAAGAAAACGATATTGAAAGGTTTTATCAAATACGAATACCGTACTATAAAATTTAATGCGTACACATTTACATCGTGAAATGGAACATATCAATCACATCGAGTACCAAGGTGTTGATTTTCAAATAGATATATAAGTGATCTTATTTGGTTACTGTATTTAAGGCTGATAAGAAATCTAGTATGATGAAATTCGTACTCATAGAGTACATATTAGCCAGACAATATTACACCATAAAATGTGGTATCAATCGTATACATTCCTAGATCATTGCACAGCATATAAAACTTCAATTATATCGTCAGTGCTACTGAATTACAGTACTTCACATTTTGTAATATCTTGCTCAGCGACTAGGCTTACAATTTAAAACAGAAATAGTGAATAACAAAATTTAGGATCATTGATGCCAAATTTCTATATGATGAATCAAGGAAATTGCTGTGAGTTGATTGATTTTTTATTTAATTGACGGGATACTGTAACTCGATCCTAGAGTGCTCAATATATTATCTTCCTTTAGCTCGTTTCAAGTATAATTGAACAGTATAATAAGTGAAGTAGGCATAGACTACTTGAATACAATTTCCTTATAATTTTAATTAATCCGTTGCAAAGGCTTTGATGGTCAATTGTCATGATTGTTGTCGATTGGTATCATAGGCAAGAGTAAATACTCTCTTTCTATTATTACAGTATCCGAGTACTGTATGTCGATCCAGTAAGCACTAGACACGATAATCGCTTTGATGGATTATTATCGAATAATATTATGTTACGAATTTTGTGATCTAGATTAGCATTTTAACGATTCATAATGAAGATATTGGAGGCCAAGGTGAAAGACAACTTGAATAATAACAATACTATAATAATTAAATCTTTTGCAATCTGTTCGGAAATTGCTATTTTGCAACAATTCAATATTTGTACTATAGCATTTAAATCATGGCTGATACAATCGATTGCACATTACTTGTAGTCATTTTGAAGAAGGTAGTAAATCATTTCTGTCCTAATTTAATACGAAGGATAGTACGACTATATCACTCCTATTACAGTTTATAGAGTGTCAAGGCCAATAAATAGGTAAATCATATTAGTGAAATGAACAAATTTGCCATTGAAACTGGGTTATTGCAAGTAATTACCTTGGAACACAATTGGGTTGAGCACGATCGACTTCCCATGTTGCAAAAAATTTCATAGGTGGAGGAGCCAAAGAAGAAACACCGGTAAATTTCTTTGGGGAAGCCATTAATGTGTCATTAATGGTACGTATAATCACTAGAATCTGTTGATTAATATAATTCACTTCTTTTGCCACATACACTATGAAGTAAAAGCCAGCAAAATAGGTAAAAAGGCCTTTGAAATGTGCAGTGAATTGAAGGCAATTGGCTAACAAAGATCGATGAGCATTGAGCTGATTGACACCGATCCACGGCCTTAATACACTGTACTGGAGTACAGTACAGTAGTGTACAATGTACGTATATACAGTATGTCATACTGTATACTGTATATCTACTGTATACTGTATACTGTACTACTGTACAGTACTGTACACATTTAAGGCAGTAAGGAGACTCGGCATTACAGTACTGTACAGTACAGTATCGTCCAGTCCAAGTGAGGTCTTGATACTCGCCCTGTATGGACTGTACGTACTGTCCAGTGTCCAATAGGGAGTCACATTTTCGAGTTGAAGTGGACTGGTCACACATCCAAGTCAGCGTATCGTTATGTGTCACCTATCGGACATCAATGACATTTCTCTCTGACCTGCACGATAATAATAGACTGTAGTGAAGTGTTCGTGGTCAGGCCTGTGGGAAGGTCTTGATACTCGCCCTGTATAGACTGTACGTACTGTCCAATAGAGAGTCACATTTTCGAGTTGAAGTGGACTGGTCACTCATCCAAGTCAGCGTATCGTTGTGTGTCACCTTACCGAGTACCTATCGGACGTCAATGACATTTCTCTCTGACCTGCATGATAATAGTAGACTGCAGTGAAGTGTTCGTGGTCAGGCCTGTGGGAAGGTCTTGATACTCGCCCTGTATGGACTGTACGTACTGTCCAGTGTCCAATAGTCAGCGTATCGTTGTGTGTCACCTATCGGACATCAATGACATTTCTCTCTGACCTGCATGATAATAATAGACTGTAGTGAAGTGTTCGTGGTCAGGCCTATGGGAAGGTCTTGATACTCGCCCTGTATAGACTGTACGTACTGTCCAATAGAGAGTCACATTTTCGAGTTGAAGTGGACTGGTCACTCATCCAAGTCAGCGTATCGTTGTGTGTCACCTATCGGACGTCAATGACATTTCTCTCTGACCTGCATGATAATAATAGACTGTAGTGAAGTGTTTGTGGTCAGGCGTCAGCCCCTTATCTTGCGTATCGATTCCAATGGGTACTGTACCGTACCCTCCTCGTTCACCCAAGACTGAAGAAGAAAGTTCCTATTCAACGGACACGGTCAATATAAATCTCTATACTGGACTACCTTATCATTTATTTCGCTGTCCGTACCAACGTACTGTACGAGTCTACACTACATGTAGTTTTACTCTCTTCGTGTCAAAAGAAATTTTCACTGGGGTTCATCAAGCTTTAGGATAATCCGAATTTTTTCCATTTCTGTATCTTATCCAATGGACTACATTGGATAAGATGCTCCAGGCTAGAAATTATACCTTGTCCAATCCAATCGAATTTGGGTGGCACACACTGAAGGATTGCGCGTATTTTTTCGATAGAATAAACTGAGGGAGTGATGGATACGCCCGCATTGAATTACACCATGTTGTAGAATTCAATTCATTGGCCATTCTTTGCAAAATATACGACTTGTATTCGCTACTGGATTCCTTCTTTGAGACTATTCTTAAGACTCTGTTTTCGAATGATTTTAATATTATAACTCTAACAATATTGACTGGCTGACTAACTAAATCAGCCAAAAAGTATCTCATCGTATAGTAGTTAGCCTTTAAATGGTAAAGAATCAGAATGAGTAGGAAGAAATTAGACATTGAAAGTAGCGTTGAAAAAGCGCGTAATGAAAGAGATTGGCATCAATTGGCATCGATCGCTGATAGCATCAGAGAAGAAAGTAAGTTGTTGCAACTACAAATAAAAAAAAGAGTTTTTTAACCAGTCATGAGAAATACAAATCCTCTTATTTCGATGTTCTAATTATGCTATATTCAGACTTAATTTGATGACATTGTTAACCAAGAAAATACACTAGCTGAAATTAGCTGAAATTATGCACATACGGGTATGTTATCATACCATAAGCAGTTAGCATTTTCGATACCGCATTATTAGCAATGAATGAGTGATGCCACCAGTATTGTCGTACAGTAGAGCAGCTGCCTTATCGTTTAATCGTTTAACCGATATAATTAATCAACATTGTTCAAAATCGATATGGTTTCTACCGTAATTAATTAATAAGATGGTAAGCACAAAATATCCATATCATACATATAATTTTTAAGATAACATTGCAATACAAGACAATCATATAATTTCCCTTCTTGCCCTAATATTTGTCGTTCTGTCTATTCATTCTACAACTGAGTGCATCGGTACCGCAGTGAGACAAAACAAGCCATGAGATATTCAATGTTTAAGGATTGGTGGTATATGCTTCAACTTACTCTATTACTTTTTTTTAGCAAATTTGTTGTTTAAACACGTTGTCAGAGTAATAATTTCCAAAGTACTCCCTAATTACTTGTAAAAATGAATCTATACTGTTAAAGCGAACACAAAATCTCGACTAGGTAAATAAATTCTCAACGATCCATAAATATTCTCGATATTATCATCAAACCAACACTGTTTAAATCGTGTAAAATTGCTGTTAATGATCAAAGAGAAATGACTATCTCTGTAATCTTTTGACCGACAGACTATGATGGTATGATGACAATTAACAAATAATCCATAGTTTTCACGCACTCTCCCTTTTGGGCTGCGCGTAAAATTAAATAAAAACAGAATGTACAAATTCTTCAATATCTTTGACCAAATTTTGATCACTAAATGCTTCAACGTAATTCATCATCCTTTGCAAGTGTAGCAGCTGAATTCGCTGTGCTATCACGATATGCAAACGAGTATCATTATAATTAGCCATTGTAGGAGCAGTCACCAATTACCTGTACAACATTTGTATACAGTACGTGCAAGAGATAACCGAAAACTTTCACACGTACTACGCGAATAACGTCATTGCTCTGTAACATAGCAGACTTTAAAGCATTTTTTTTAAAATAAAAACTTCCCTTTGTTGTCATCACAATTATTAGCATGGATAATTTTTCCTAGATGAAATATGCATATACTGGCAATGATTTACTTCAATGATACTTATTTGAAATTAGGACTTTAGACTCATGTTCGGTTTCATTTTCTGCTATAGGTATCTTTAAGAAATTAATTACAATTGAAGGCGAATTAGAAATTTTAATTACTGCTAACTCTATTCCAAGCGATAAACGAAACGAAGCTTTATCCAGGCTTAAAAGGCAATTGATGAGCATTGGAAACGATACCAAGATAAAGGTAGGCTAACTGTATTGATATTTCTGCTAATTATACAAACATAGTGCGATTATAACTATACAGTTTATCCAAATTAGCATTCTTTCTTCATTTTGATACTATATATATATAACTGTTGATCGTTCTCTCTTAATCATTGTAGCAACAATATCAACAGGAAAGTTTGCTCCTGTTAGCAAAGACTTGCTATTATCTAAATCTATTCAAAGATGCCACTAGATTATACTCCAAATTACAACTAGAATCAATTGATATTTCTGATAATTCGAACAAATGGTTTATACGAACTGTTTGCGAAGCATACTGTTACAAAGGTAAATCACTAAATAGCAACGTCTACTCGTTTTATTATCAAGCATCTACTGTATAGTTGATAAACGCTAAGCTTTACTGTTTACACTATAAAATAGCAAAGTCTGTGACTTTTATCCGAGCATTTTCGTATAATTCTGTACATATTGAATTACAGGCAAATGTCTGGACAAGTTACGCTCAACTTCTGCCGATATTATCAAGTGTTATGAAAGTGCAAGTAGTTTAATGATGAAACTGGATGTATCAAATAATTTCAACAAAGAAAGAAGGGATTCAACCTCAAAATTTGTAGTTGGAGAATTTCTTGAAGAATGTATCGGTACCATGCCGTCGCTACTGCTAGATAAATGGTATAGACTGTACTTTAATCGTCCATCTATTGTAGTTTACATAACCAAGATAGATCTAACATTAGTTGTAAAGTTAGAAAATAGAGCATAATGTTTATTGGCTCTTGATTAAAGAGGATTAAAATTTAGATGGCTTAAACTATTCGTATTAGTTCAACTAGTGATGTCATCAGACGATCAAGATTTCTATTAGTGGCTTTCGATTCAAATTTATTTCTCCGCTTACGAGCAGTAAGTATATTCGATACTATTTTAATGTGTCAATTTTAAAATTAACAGTGCTGATAAGCTCAATTAAAAGACTGTTACCTCGTTACTATAGTTGTTAAGCTATCACTTAGCAGAAATCCTCTTATTCCGAATGAGTGACCATAAATATCTTCCAGTTACTCTTAAAAGCATTATGGATTTCGCAAACCAAAAGTATTCTTGGGTAAAACCGTCTCTTAATGGAAAAAATTTATATTTTCCTGACGATATTACTGAAGAAGTATTATTACTGTCACTGATTACGGAAATGCTGGTAAGCCAAGCTATTGCTATTTGTATCTTACACTCATGACCTTCAAGTAATAGAGATTCCCTACCTTATCTTTCATAGACCATCAAGGACATTGAAAACATAGGTTTTAGCAATTTAAACCGTCTTAGGAATATTTACGATTTACTTGCTGTAGTCCTCATGCGTCGGTCATTAATTCCTATCGTTGCGGAGGTTTGTTACTATATTTAATATAGGTATTAGCTAAAATAAGTATCTTATTAAGATAAATTAAATAGCGTTATTGTAAACCGAGTTTATTATTACGTCCTTTGATATCTATCATCGTAGTTATCGTTAATAGATATACTCCTTAGATAAGATATTAACACTAATTAAATACCATGTACTGTATTGTAGGTTTATGAAAGGGCGTTAAAGTACTCGATGGACATTTTTCATGTATGGTTTCAGTTTTCTCTGTCATTAATAGCTAATCGAAAGGTACCGTACATCATGAATACTAACCGAAGTAACCCTTTCCGTAAGAGGGCATTCGTCTTGTACTGACGATATCTTATTTTACAGTACGATCGGGCAATGCTAGCACTGAAAAAGTGCCTGATACTTTCTCCAATGAATTCAATTGTGAATCTTACAATTGCAAAGATTTCTCTTAATCATTTACACAACGTTAGTTATACGTATATACGGTTTTACTTGATTTTTCTTGTTCTGATATCGGAGATCTAAGATAACTTTGTCTTTCTATTACAACTGTACTATTAGGTAGATGATGCGGAATTTTATGCATCCAAAGTTATTGACCAAAAGGAGTCTCGCCATCTTCTTGCAAATGCTCATCTTATTCTCGGCATCACTTACAGTAGACAAGCTTCTTCAGGTTAACTGTTATTGAAATGCACTCTTTTTGGTATTTTTAGTTGTATTGCATCTAACAAAACTATCATTCTTTAATTTTTTAGTACTATTAATTAATCATCGAAAGAAATTACAGGAGAGAGCTTTAAATTCACTTGAAAAGTCAGTTACTGCAATAATTTATACCATATACAACTTCATATTCTGAAACGAATACCCAGTTAATTATTGATTAAGCATTTGTGCTAATGACGATATCTTTGTGTTTAGGGCATACGAACTAGCACCTGGAGATTACAGGACTAGTTTTCACTTAGCCTTAAATTATGCGTTCATCCGTGATGTAAGAATTATCTTGCTTCTCTAAATATACATTCTTGAGATTCTTATTCGCTATACTCATATAATAGATCGTAAACGCGGTCCACTATAATAGAATAGCCTTGCAGCTTAATAGGACTGATCTACGATGTTTGCATCTGGCAGCTTTACTTCTATCAGCACAGAAAAAGGTAGAACTAATAATCTCAATCTATTGCCTATTACTGTTTATATTCCATAAATAATTTAACGTAATACTTGGAAGATTTTAAATATAATACTTCATTATCTGTAGTAGTGTAATGTCATTTACTTAAAAATTGCATTATAGGGCAGACAAGCATTAGACATATGTGATATAGCTGCTACTGAATATCCTGACAATTTTAGGTATGCTATGAAATTAATGAAACACTAATTATTTAAAATTATATATCGATGTATAAATAATCGTCTCGTCTACTATTGCTATATCAGCCTGATGTTTTTAAAGGCAAAGCTAGAAGAGGTTTATATCAGTGGTAATCAGGCCTTAGATACTTATAAAACTATCCTAGTAAAATACCATTTACTATCGAAAAAAGCCAGACTGCACGAAAATAAAGCAAGATCAGATATTGTCAGCACAGCTAGCTATAACCAGCTTGCATACAGTGATGACGCTTCATCCCTATCTGGAATTAGTACCACTGGCAGCAAAGGTTTATCGTCGTACTTGGATTTTGAGCTTACTCCTCGCTTATTAACCAAAATTTGGCTATCAATTGGTAAGTACTGTAACTAACGTTAATACCATAAACAATTAAATCATCCATGTTAAGACTCTTTTCCTACTTTTGTTGATATTGTAAGCGGATATTTATATCCAGCTTGGAAGATTAAGTGATGCGGAAATGAGCATAAAAGAAGCGAGCATGATCAGCTCAAAATCGGTTGATGTAATGCATTATGTAAGGAATACAAGCTTATGATATGAATGATGATATATGTTTATATCATTTATATCGTTCACTTTTAAACTTTGTATGTTTCAGTATGGAAGATTGCTTGAAAGTAAGGGTAACTTGAGAGAAGCAAAGCAATACTATGATAATGTACTAGCTGGAAATCACGATCACTTTAACACTCTCCTACATCTGGTAGGTTTGATTGAGTTAAATTCGTCTGTGAATAAATTACAGTCAGTAATACAATGGCATTGTACGAATACTAGTTAGATTGGGTGTGTAACACCAAGAATAAACTGCTGTAGTTTATTGAAAACTTGTTATCGGTATCGTTTTTTATAAGCATATTAATCAAATATTTTTTAAAACGAAGGGGTTTACTCATCATGAACTCGGTAATCTTGATATGGCTGAAAAATTTTTCCTAGAAGCAATTAAAGTTGAACCAGCAGCGCATTGTGCTTGGTAAATATTGCGATAATTGGAATTTTTTTGTAGTATCCTTTTGCTAAGTTACTCATTTAAATTACGATTAGGAATGCACTCGGAGCCATCCTACAAGAACGCAATTGTAACGATACCGCGGCAGAAGTTTTTCTACTTGCTTCTGATTTCGAATCTACTAGCCCGGTTTCTTCATTTTATTCTATAGCGCAATTTATTTAGATTGATACATTCGTCGTCAGTCAATATCCATGAGATGAATTAATGAAAGAAATACAAACGACAGTTTTCAAAACATGAATTTACATTGGATAAGTTTTTAGAATAGACAATGTTGATAATGCCTCAATTAGTATTTACGATATAATGTTACTGGATTTAAGAATTAATCAGTTTTTTCTGTTTGTTATATACTCTTGCAATGTATGCTAGTAGCCGATGTATATATAAATACCATAGACGTATTGTATGTAGATATTTACTAAAATTACATATATTTGCACGTTAAAGAATATATTTTTAAGTATGTTTCCTTTGTCAAAATATAAATTTTGTCTTATCTCACACCAAACAAACCTTCATACGTTAAATATCATAATAAGACAACAGGCTGGTAGTAACTATTTTATAGCCCTCTATGTTAAAACTGTTCTAGCGATTTGCTCACTACAACAGATTTTCAAACTTTACACTGTACAAAAAGTGAGAACATTTGGTAATAAAATTAATTTTTAGTCCTAAATATACCTATTTTGCAATAGTTTTTTGTTGTTACTTAAAATGTATCTGATTGACGTTTCCTTTGTCCTCATTACAACTTTACTACTATATAGCAATTTTACTTCTTGCTAGGTGCAATCGTATGAAAAAATGAACCACATACTCCTTTAGATCGCTCTATTTCATTTATATTTGGATCTTGATAAGTTTGTAGATAACTTCCTGGTCCGGGTACTTTCTGTAACCAATCGTTAGTTAATTATAACTGATGAGATCGACATTTAGTATTACTTAAAATAATATTAATTTAGATACTTACGGTGCTTGATGATGATAATCGCGGAATAGTTGATCTAAAGCTTGAAACACATGATGTATTGCTCTTTTTTTCTGGGATTTGATATTCGCCAGGCCCAGGTCCATATGCCTGAATATTACATGTACATGTTGCATAAGTGAACACAATAAAGCGTTTTATTTTAGAATTGCTGACGCCCTTAGTTATCTGTATTGATGCAGAATCTTTGTAATGATTTCAGCTAATTACAGTAGCTATGTTTTACAATCTCATTACTGATAGGACAGATTCAAACTAATTGCATAATAGATTGTAGCAAATAAGGGTGTGTGTAGATGTATAATTGTATACTGTACTCGTATACAGATGTGCGCAATATTAAATGAAGAAGTATAAATCTTTACACCCTCGGAGCTACGGCTTGTATTTTATTTACACGTATGTCATAATTTTCTATAACTGTTACGGTTTGTCGTATTTATTAACTGAAGGCCAACTTGATGAAAAGAACAAGTTATACTCCTAGCCTACTGTATGTGTGACCGCGTGAAGGAGAATTAAATACATGTTGGTAATAGATCGTAACTTTCACTCTAGCTATATAATATGGTATACACCTTGTAGTGAGTGCATAACGTTTAAAGTAGATTATTGTTGTAGTTGAAATATTAGCTAAATTCAGTTATCTTAAAATATCGTTAATTATAATAAATTGTTACCGGTCTAAAAGGAACGGGAGGGAATCTCTTGATGACAGACTTGAATGCTGCATGTCTGGTTTTAAGAATAAATGTATAATATTACCAAAAGGAATAACGACAGTAAATTACGATAATGAAATAGATTTCTTAACTAGCGAAAACGAAGTAAGGTATCACACCCTTACTATGCACAAATTAAACTACTTCAAATTACCTAGATGGTTCTTTGTGAATTGCAAAATCTGCAATTTCATATTGTGCTGGATTAGTATCTACTTCCTATAGCGATCAGTAAATAAAAGGTTGCTAAATAAAGTGAATGTACTTGAATATGCTGACAATAATATGCTTCAGTTTGAAAAGTTTGTCAGTAAGTATATTTCAGATTACTGACTTACGTATTTATTTAGCAAATAATATGAGAATTATGACGTTATTTGCGCAATAATTAAGTAAATGTGCTCGAACCTTGTCATAAACGCCAATGTTAGCGTTCTTTTCTCTATCAACACTTTTAAAAGAATATGTTCTACGCGATCTTTGTAATACATCTAGAAAATCTTCTTTATCATAAGCTCCAGGTAATAATTGTTGACCGCTTTTGCTATATTCTAGGATTAGTGGTAATCTCTTTTCACGAGACTCTGTTTTAAAGCTATAGCACTGCTGCTTACGATGTAGATCATCGACAAAAGTTGGAATATCATATGCCCCAGGTTCGGGAGTGTCCTTAATGCAAATTATTCATCAATTAGCAGATTAGTTTGCTTAAAATTAATGGTTTAAAAGACAATAATTATATTTGATCGTAATGATTTACAATAGAGTAGAATATTTTTATTTGGTTAAATTTATAAATCTCCTAGAACCAGAAATTTAAGCCAAAAAATTTATCAAATAAGTGCTATGGTCCGAATGCTATAAAAGCTATAACCAATAATATTATTATGATCGTATTGCATAGTAATGTAATCTTTTACTTACTAACAGATTCACATCATTGCACAGTCTATTTATAATAGTGGAATGGTATGCGATGACTTTATACTGGATAAATTATCTTGATTGAACGATTCGTATATTCAAAAGAGCGTTGAAATAGTACTTACTGCACTAAAGCAAGTTCTCAGTATATAGCAACACTATCATATAGCATAATACTGTGATACTAAGTACCAAGAACAATTTTGGGGTATTTACAGTATTTAGTAGCCATTACCTACTAGCTTATTTACTTACTTTAATTTCCTTTCTCCACCATTCTCTTTCAGATATTACATTCTTTCGTCCTAATACTGGTGGTCGATGCTAAAATAAATAACCAAAAAAGTTGCAAGAGTATCTATCACATCAGGGCATATTAACCATTTTGGTGAACTTGATGACTAATAATCGTATAATGTACTACGATTTTTCGCGATATTAAGTAAATAATTAATTAATTAAAAAATACTTCCTTACCTTGGGTTTGGATAATGCTTTTAATTTAGCAGCAGATATAGACTTGTGCTTTTCGCTATGAACGTCAGATTTCCGTCCTTTACGTCGGGGAAAAGTTTGAAAATGTTTTTTCTCTTCAATAATTTCTGTCATACTTAATTTGGTAGGATTTAAACGGGAGGATAATTCTAATGTATTGTATATTGTGATGGCGAAATTGGCAATGATTAAACTACTAATTGTAATCTCGGCTGTTGAGTTATCATATTATCGCATGATAATGACTCGTATTACAGTACTTTAATTTAGATGCCCGGTTCGGAAACGAATAAATTTCTATTTGATCAGCTTACGCATCTACTTTTATTTTACAACAAGTACATTGTGCTACGTGATATACGATTACGAAGCATCTCAAAATGAGAGAAATGATAATTTATTTACTTAAAAAGTTACAGTCGTAACTCATCCATATCGTAGTTAATAGTCGCTGTCTCCAAGACAACCAAGTGCAGGATGAGTAATTTACCTGTTGCTTGTTTGCGTACCTGTAGTGCTTACGTAGCTGATATACAATATGTCCGCGCATCTGTATGTCCGAGGTTTTAACTTCAGATTGCTAGATCAGGGATATTATGTTCCGATACGAAAGCTTATACTGCTGTAGGCAATTCCCGTCATGTAGTTAACCAGGAACTACAGTACCGTACAGTACAGTACTGTACTGTAAACCACAGTGTACAATGTACAGTACTGTACTGTATAAGCGTACTTTTCAACTGGCAAAAACCGCAGTAAAAATTAGTGTTAAATCATAAAGAAATAAAAACTTTCTTCTTATATCTCTATGGTAAAAAGTAAAAACCATATTGATGGACAGATACTTGGAAGGTTTTCTTTAAGTAGTCCATAATTGACTATACTGTATGTACAGTACTGTACAGTACTGTACAGTATTATACTGTACAAAGTGTACAGTAGTGTACAGTGTACAGTACTGTATGGCTCGTGGCCAGCCCCGCTCATAGTCCTACTGCGCCGGCGTACAGCCGTTTTCAAGCATCGCATTCGTTTTGTAGATCACCGTACACTATATAGTGTACAGTACACCAGTGAAGTACAGTACATACAGACTTCCAGTTAATATGGTATCGTACTACTCTTATGGCGCATGGTCCGCTCATAGACATACTGCGCCGGCGCATAATTGCCTTATAAAATATCGCATGGCTTTGTGGGATTTCTCTCTCTTCATGTCGCGTGGCTGACTGTGTAGTGTTGTAAAGTGAGGAGGAAAGGTAATTTGGATTTGCAAAATAATATTCTTATTTTATAACTGTATTAGAATCGTTTCTTATTATCGGTTACTTTTTGACTTATCCTTGAGTTAATCCGTTAAGTAAGTTCGATTGCCGTTAATAATTTGTAAAGTAGAGTTAAAACCATTATTAATTTTGGCCAATTTAGGTAGAAGAATGCAGATTTTCACTAGAGTAATAGACGGTCGAACGATCACTCTCCAGGTAACTGCATGATTATCAGACGCTTATGATTTCGATCAGACGAAAAGCTTTCACTAACCAATAAAAAAATAAACTGAATCGACAACGTTTTACGTTATCCTTAGGTGACTGGTGACCAAACTATCCAAGATGTTAAGAACTTAATTGAAGGCAGAGAAGGTTAATATTGATCGATGAAGTAGACACTAAATACGTACAGTAACAAGTACAGTACTGACTATCTTTGAACTCAATATCAGGCACTAGATTTAGATCATGTACGGCTTACGGGTACTTTATGTCGATCGTAGGATAGAATATTAAGGACATTGTTCATACTTGTAGGCGTCTTATGTGATCAGCAACGATTGACATACGCTGGTAGAACGCTAGAAGATTATCAACTGATCGCAGGATGTGGTATTGAAGAAGAATCTACACTAGATTTGACATTGAATTTGCTTGGTGGTGCTAAAAAACGTAAGAAGAAGAATTACACGACACCCAAGAAAAACAAGCATAAGAAAAAGAAGGTAAAATTGGCTGTATTAAAGTACTACAGAGTGGATGAAAATGGCAAAATTACCCGTTTACGTCGTGAATGCCCTTATGAAGCTGGTGTTTTTATGGCAAATCATTTTGATCGTCAATATTGTGGAAAATGTGGTGCAACATTCGTATTTACACAGGAGCAGCAACAAGAAAAAGCCAAGTCCGCCAAAGGTGGAAAGAAGAAGTAATGCATTTTATAACGTTAAATACTTATGCATTGTTTCATTTCCGCATTTGTACTGTAAATCATTATGAGATGATAGTGGTGTAACAAAATAAAAACTGTCAATTTTAATCAGCATCGATCGTCGATTAACCACTGTAAACTTGCTGCAAAGCTATCAGTTATATCCTACTACTAGAAATGACGTATGGAATTGCTTCCAATCACTTGTATCCTGCTTTATTATTCGTGCTACTAATGGAAAAGAAGAGAATTCGGCATGTTCTTTTACGTTAAAGCACAATTTGCTGCACAAATAGTACATTGACCTAAGTAATATTGCAAATCGAAGGGTATCTTAGGCCTGCCCTTGGTGGTGTAGACTTGTATACTGAAACTCTTAGTGTTCTTATGTCTGGCTTCCGATAATCCTTCGTAATTCTGGTTAGATTACTTAACTATTCAGTGTACATTGGGGTCTTTCGGTTTTACCTACGATAACTTTTTTGAGTTTCTGTATGTGAATTACTGAAATTGTTCGCTCTCTAGAGATCGGAACCAAGGTTAAAAATAGAGCCTATGTTACATTTGACTTCAGTTTACAACGAAAATTTATCGTTTAACATAGGATAAACCTGTAAAGTTTCATATTTAAAACACGCATATTTCTTAAAATTAGGTAAGTTGAATCAACAATAAAGTTCCATTATTGAGGAATTTTAGGGTAGATCCGCATGAGGAAAGCACGCACGGCTGTGTAATGCACAATATTACTTTTAATTTCTATAATAATATCGCTCTTTATTGCATAATTTTAGTAGTACGGTGTATAAATAACATACATCATCACATAATAAATTTGCTAAAAATGACATTGACCAGGTTAATCCATGAGAGTATTATCAGGTATCTCATAACCAAATTCAAAATCAAGAAAATTAATTCAGACCTAAATAATGTTCATTGAGGCAATAGCATAACTTGTTATGAAATACCCGAGGAATTTAAAAATCTACCAATATCCTTAAAAATCCCAATCAACAGTTTGCTCGGTCTTTTTGATAGTAAAACAAGTTATTTTGTCATTTTCTTCAACTGTACATGCATTTCCGAAACTAATCCCACACTCTTGACCCTTTTTAACTATATCCACATCGTTTTTCAGATGTTTCAGTGAATTAGCTGGACCTATCATAAATAAGAAGAATGTTATATACAGTAGTTCAACAAATGCTTTAAAAAGGTAAAATTGAATATAAAGACTATACGATATAGTAAAATACAAACCCTCATATACAACTTCAGAATTCCTAGAAACTCGAAATACTGCGTTTCTCTGCAAGGCACCCTCTAAGATACGACATCCAGCTACTTGTACCGTCTTACGGTTACTTACACCAATATCAAATATTTGTAATACATTAGCCTCTCCTACAAATTCTTCCTTTGAGATTAGCGGCAATCTAGCCAAAACTTCCTTCTATAAGTTTGAAATAGGAATAATAAAATTTAGTTGATTAATATATTTGATTATATGATTAATACTAATGCTTATTTTTTTCCGGTAGTGATCTTAAATGATTACAGAGTTACTTCACAATACACTTCTAAAGCACTACCTTAACAATTTCCAGCAGATTATAAATTATATTACTAGAGTATATATATGTGTCCAGCTTTTTGGCTAATTGTCTAGATTCTTTCGTTGGTTTAACGTTAAATCCTAGGATAATGCCTAAGTCAAGTTTAGAGAATAAAGTTAATCGAAAGTGCAATACTTATGGACACTCCATGAAAAATTAATGACACATGCCTTGAAAAGAATCAGCCAATTCGATGTCACTTTCAACTATAGGTCCAACGCCTGATTCGAGTATCTTGATCTCGATAGCGTTCGATTTAAAAGTTTGTATAGCTTCTATAACAGCTTCTACGGATCCAGTGACATCTCCTTATTATTACAAAATCATGAGAAATACCATCATGAAATTCTACGTGGCAACTACAGTAATACGATGAAATGTAAACTTTAGTAATGCTGTATACCTTTTAAAACAATAGCAAGCTTAGGCAGTTCATTTTGCTCCTCGGCCGTATCCAAGATCGAATCTCCCTTATTTTTGTTTTTCAAGACACCTTCTGATTGCTTCCTTTTAAGCGCTACTACCGAATTAGCTTCTTCTCGACGCCTTTTTAATATTAAATTCCTAATATCTATCAACTCGCGAGACTCAGCCTTAAAAAACAATGGCAAGACATGATAAGGCTGGAGAATCAAGCATTGTAATGCTATAAGTTTGCGGCTAATGTCAGAAATTTAGCTATTACATATATATATTTTCCTGTAACTAATTTGTATTTTAACATAATATTAATAGCTAATATGAATTAGATTGTTGCTTTACCTCTGAGTTGGTTTGTATTACATCATCTCCTACTTCAGGTAAATTCCGCCATCCGGCAACCTGGATTGGATGAGAAGGTAACGCTTCTTTAATTTGTTTGCCGGCGTGATTTAAAAGTAATCTGACCTGTTGAAAGGATAGAAGAAAATTTTCTATAGTATTTGATAATCTGAAATCATTAACTATAACATCTCAAATTTTTATTTATAGATAGGAAATCGGATAGGTGATAGAAATGTTAGGCTTACTAAAATAAATAATCTTACAGTTCGTCCTATTAGCAATGAATACTTGGTATAAAGTAATATAGTCATAAACTTATCATACCGCTGGGATACGTATATTCAATAGACAAACATTTAAGCTTACTTTTGCAAAAGTAGAGCCGCTGACTAAAAACTGCCCTTTCCTCAGAGTTCCACGTTCCACTAAAACAGTTGAAACGTTCCTACCAGAAGAGAGACATGAGCGAATATTTTCATATTTATCAGAAAACATGTATATATCGCTAACAAAGACAAACCCCAAGCCTTTATCAACTTTCGATTCGATAACGACTCCTTTTACGGTAGATGTAGGATCAGCTCTCAAGTTAGCTATTTCGCCGTGTATTAATATAGCTTCGATTAAGTTATCCAAATTTGTCCCCTACCATAATCAATACACCGTTAATAAATTTCAGTTATAACGGATACAGGAAGAAGAGTTCGCGTCAATAGTTAACAAGATACCTTCAGGGCAGAAACTTCAATAGCTTGAATTTCTCCTCCATATTCTTCTAATTGCAATCCGTTTCGTAAACACTCTAATTTAACTTTACTAATATTTGTACCTTTTTTGTCAATTTTATTTATTGCCACAATAATCGGTACTCCAGCTAATTTCGCATATTTTATAGATTCAGTTGTTTGTGGTTTAATTCCATCATCAGCTGCAATTACTAAAACTACAACATCAGTAACGTTAGCTCCGCGAGCTCTCATAGAAGTGAAAGCGGCATGACCAGGCGTGTCCAGGAAGGTAATTTGTTTTCCTTCTGCGACGTTAACTGAGGTGCAAAGATTATCATTACGCATCTGTTAATTAAATACTGTTTCCAATAATAATGCAATACAAAGTAGTAGCAGTAGCAACTAAGGGTAAGATAGAAATTCTAATACTGACCTAAAAATGCTCCAATATGTTGAGTAATTCCACCAGCCTCACCAGCTGCAACTGACGTGTGGCGTAACTGATCTAAAAGTGTTGTTTTTCCATGATCAATATGACCCATGATGGTTACAACTGGTGGTCGAGTTACCAATGCTGCCTTATCCTCTAATACACTACGATAATAAAAGATTACTATTAGACGTCCATTAAACAATGTACCAAATTGCATCCATAACAACATATCGATGGTGAAATCATATTAACATTACCTGCTAGGGGATGTACCGTGAGATATTTCGTCAGCTGCTATATTATATTCTAATAATAGTAAATCTTGCAGATCTCTACTTAAGACTAGAATAGGGATATTAACAAAATCAACCCAATTTTCAATGACTTAGGCGAGCATCTCATCATGTAAAGGATAATACTAAAAGTCAATTGATTTTCGTTTTATCATTCTACACTGCACCTCATACGACTTTACTACAGTATATACCCATGGAATTCGATTAATGAAATTGATAAGTTTGCAATTGGAACAGTGAGTAACATATTTAAACTGTAGTGAGATCTTGTACGAAGGCACGACTAATGCTTACTTGTATCCATCTTGTATTGATTGGTATCATCTAACTCTTGCAGTTTTCGGCATAAAATTTCTGAAAGGAATGATGTAGGTATATTGTAGATAATTTTAAAGGATTTTGCACGGATATTTGTATCATATAGTTAGTTTCAATTCATGAATCATTTCAGTTTGAGCATAAACTTAGAGGCAAATATAAGATACACATGCAATTATATCGATCAAGAAAGTTGTAGACTTAATAATAAGCATAAGCATTACGGCGAACTCAATACTGCAGTTAGCAGTTTGACGGTTCTGATAATTTTAAAGAGAATAAGAAATCTTACCTGGCTCTACCTTGATTTCATTTGCAAACTGGAGAAGGCTCATGTTAGAGCGTAGTAGGATTTGTGTTGACGATAACTAAATGGATATGCAATACACACTCTTGACTTAAGAGAAACGATTCATTCATTGATACCGCATTATAATATGGTACAGGCAGTCTACTGGTAAAACATCTCAAATACTCCAGAATAAGTTAAGATATACCTTTTTAGCTTCCTTGGATTTCTTTTTGGCGAAATAATTGACTTGACTAGAAGAAAAAAGCCGCAGCAACAGTGGCGGTCGCCAAAGGCCAAACTAGATTAAGATAATGACGTCAATCGCAATATTAAGAGACAGAAAGAAATTCTACTGTACATTGCTGCTGAAAGGTATATCACCATAAAATTGTACTCTATACGCGTACAGTATGATCTAATCAATTCATCGTTTGTTACATGGTAATGATGCATTTACAGTTTAGTATTGCTCTAGCTATCAATCTCACTGCACAAGAATATCTCGTCTACTTGTGATATACAACTATTCTAACAGACTCTTCATGCAGTCGGCGGTGTACCTGTGCAATTTTCGGAGTCACCAAGTTGAGAATGTTGGAGCGTATCATCATCTTATGCCAAGTATTGTATAAGGATAAAATAGTTGAAGATTCAAGTTCTAACTAAGATTAGCTTGAATTGAATACAATTTATTTCATGGATTGAATTGCAAATTAACGGACAGTGGACTATTTAAATTGATCATTCTGCAGCGTCTTCCACACTGCTCTCCATGATTGCAATCAAGTTGCTCAGCTCAACTGCAGTCTGCAGGCCAGTATGGTTTACAGTACTATACACTGTACGAACTATACTGTACTGTAGACTACTTTATTCAAAAAGGTCTTTTTATTGACAGGTCTATCTAGTGTAAACGCTGTGCACAGGGGAAGCCACCAGTACCGTTCTTCCACTATGCTACAGTACTGGAGTGTACTATAGACTTCCTTTGTACTGTACACTGTAGCTATGACATCAATATTACTCGTTCAACTCTCTTTTACTTCCTCCTTCGTTCATGTTCTCGCACTTGATTGGAATATAGCGCGATGGATTATAACCAATCAATATGTTGTGTATGATCGGATGAATACGCTCATGTAATGTATAATCAAGCAGTTTAAGCTGTAATATCTCTGTGCTAGGCTAATAACTTGATTACTTTTGAGTAGAGTTAGCGACTATCGTGTGTGTTTGTATAATAAATTCATTCATTCATTAATTCATTTAACTTGATTGCTTTTGAGTAGAGTTAGCGACTATCGTGTGTGTTTGTGTAATAAATTCATTCATTAATTAATTCGTTTATTCGTGTAGCACAGACTGCCTTGCTTATTACTATAGTACAAAGTCAGTAATGGAGTGACATCAACTAGAAATTGTCAAACAACTTGCTTTGACAGCGGGTCGCAGACTACAGCACAATCAATATTCGTCCAATAATTTTATGTTGCATGATTGAGGTAAAACTGGAGTATGCAGCGGTATTTTACAACATGTGCATTCAATTACCCTCTGTTGACCCCTGCTGCAGAGGGGATTTCAGGATTATGAGAAGCATTCTCATGGGTATTTTAAGGCTAAAAGGTAGTCTGGGCCATGGATAGGCACCTTTTAAACCCTTCTAACAGGCTGTAGCGATGTGTACTGTATATATAATAATATAATATAGACTAAATTACTGATTTGCCACAGTATAATTTCATAATTACTAATATACCATTGGAAATTTCAGTAATTTACTAATATGCCATTCTATAGTTATGATATATAATATATACTGTATATGTACAGTATTTATGCACAACCGTGCACTATACGTATACTGTATATCTATTATAGCGTAATTTACTTTTTTTTGGGGGGGGGGGAAGGATTTTAAATCGAAAGTAAATGAGATCGTACTGCTACGATGGACATGTAATAGGCTATCCTATAAAGTGTGAATCCAAATTTTCAACCGACTTTATTTCTGAGGTCATTTGGTATTCATTTGGTAGTAACATTGAGAAAATGGAGATCTTCCTCTCCAACCTGATATTTACAGTATATACGGTTCTACACTATACAGTACTGTACACATTCAATAGCAGGGACTTCTCAATGATCAATCACACCCACAAAATCGTCCAATTTCAAAATGGTAATCAAGAGAGAGCGACTGGAAACGATCTTACAGTGTAAATAATGTCCCTCTCTGTTGATTACCATTTGTTAATGTCCCTCTCGCTTGATTACCATTTTGAAATGGGTCGATTTTAGGGGGTAAGATTGATGATTGAGATTTGACAAGTCCTTTTCAATGCAGTAGTTGCTTGTTTCCATCAAGACCTATGGTACAGTAGTTGACAGAGCAAATAATGTCCCTCTCTCTTGATTACCATTTGTTAATGTCCCTCTCGCTTGATTACCATTTTGAAATGGGCCGATTTTAGGGGTAGATTGATGATTGAGATTTGACAAGTCCTTTTCAAAATGCAGTAGTTGCTTGTTTCCATCAAGACCTATGGTACAGTAGTTGATGGTGCTGTACTGTACTGTACTAGACAGTAGAGTACCGTACTAAATCTGTCGACCGATCCTATCTATCTGTCTGTCCAACACTGAATCTTCCTGTCCTCGGAAAGTACAGTATATTCCTTTTGCGTGGCCAAACTGCCTATGGATCGTCTAGGATGCCTGAAATCCATACTAATCCATATAAGGATAGTAGAGGCTTGACACGCTCTAGCCAAGTCCACTACAGTATTGAATCTGACCTCTGTACAGTGCACAGTACTGTACACTGTGATTCTGTTTACCCATAAAAGTTGAGTAAAACGACGAGATAAACAAGTTTAGTCATCGAACTCATCCAAGCCATTTTTTCTCTCTCTCTTTGCAATCGATTCAAGATCGATATGAGCACCAATTGTCAAAGTCAAGAAGATAATGGAGTCGTCAAATACGATATTACAGCAGGTATGTCTTACACGACACAATTCTACCATGGTAGATTGTGTTTAGGGAACGCAGTGTATACAGATTAGCAATCAACCAGCTGAGAATGAGTTAACTTGTGATTGTATTAATATTGCATGCATGGATCAACATCAAGTATAGATGGGGACAACCTATTATTGCAGTACAGTATCTGCATCACCATCGCCATTTCCATATCGGTTGTGTGTAATATATGTCATCAGGAAAGAAACGGAATCACATGTAGGCATGATTGTGACTGAAACGATCCAATCTGCCCAATCCATCATGGTATCAATAGATTGATTTACCGTGTTGCAGTCTTGCCTTGATCATTCTAGCTATTCGCGCATTGAGCAACTTTTATTCATTGAACCACACAGACCCCCGATCAATTGTACAGTATAGCATCAAAAGTAATCAAATACTCAGTCAAGCAGTTGAATCTGTAGGCTAGAAATGGATTATAACTGACATGCTATCGTTGAATCTTGCCTAAAGATTGACTAGACCTGCTACTCTTCCAGCGATTGAATTGCCGACACGGAGTGTTACAGAAACTGATTCATCAATTATAAATAAATAATTCCCATAAATACAATCAGCGCTAGGCGATCCTATCCAAGTTAAGAGTGCTCTATAGCACAAAGTAATGGACACAGAAATTGTAAAATTAGCAATGGCTAAAGTTAGTCAATAAGCTAAAAAATTCTACTAATTTAGAATGTCTACGCGCATAGAACATCGTTCTGTAGAAGAGGCAAGACGTCCAATCTTGCCGCTCTACTAGTACAACAGTCCAAGATAAACGGACCTTCTAGACGATACTTGTATACGTCGAGTATTGTATCAACACAAACATCACACTGTATTTATAGCTGTTGTATCGGATTGAGTATTATTACTAATCTAAATCAAAGAGGCGATGCCATTAATCGTTCAATAATTCTTACCTGCTCCTCCTCGACTTGTTTTACCTGTCATTGTAATAAAATATCATTTTAATTGGAAATTTTTCTCATTCTATTTTGATGCTTTAATCTATCCTTGCTATTTGTTTTTTAAACTGATACTGTAACTTAATGAGAAACTGGCAAATGGACTGTATACGAATAGTCATACAGGCAATAGACTAGAATCTCGATTCATTCTTGATGTTGATTTACGATATTTAATGACGGATCGTGTCCAATGTAGTGGTAGCAACATACTGATAAATGATTACGCTTTCATGATTTTACCTTTCTGGTAGTATCAGAGAATACCGTAGAGAGAGAGAGAGAGAGAAAATGAAAATGACTCTAAAAATGTGTCAAGAAATTGTAAATTTTCAATTCATTGATCGCTGCAGCTTTCATCATTAACCGTCTACAGGAGACCAAATAGGATTAAAAAAAACTACAAGAATTGCGTAGTAAATGAAGTAGCAAGTCGATACACTTGATCTTGGATCAAATCTTATACCGACGGTATAGCATAGTACAATAGTATAATACCGTCCATGTTTAATTCATGGACGAATATTTTTTTTATACCCGGGTATTTATAATGTAGAATGGGTTATACATATTAATCTTGTTCATGCTTTGGACGGTATTTTTATTTTGTTTTACTGTTTTCTCTTCCAGCTGTACCATTCCTATTTAAAATTGTAGATTTTGATTTAATTTAACAGACTGCATCATTCTACCTAAATGCGCAATAACGTCTTGTTAACAACAAATCTTAATAATGACAATAGTAATGACAATACATTAGTTGTTTTTATGAAATGTTTACAACATATTCTAAATTATAGACTGGTATTGAAATTATATTGACTGTAACATAGCGACTTTTCCTAGCTTCACCTATAATTATCAATTAATAATTGAGGCATTCAGAAACTGTTATGAATGTAATATGCAAAAATAAAGTTCTACCTACTGCCCTGAGTTGATCTTAAGGTAGATTATATTTGAATATTTGAAAATAAGAAAGACTCCTTTACAATAGCACAATACTTTCCTTGTTTTATGTAGATTTTGTAATTATCAGGAAGTAAGTGATCATGACTTGTTGTAGTAGATTAAATTATCTTCTATTTATACATTTTTGTTTAGGTAACTTAACTGGTCATGATGAAAAGGTTGGACCGGAAAATTTTGAATTATTAAAAGTACTGGGCACAGGAGGTATCTATAAATAATTAGATACTGTATTATGAGTTTATTTTAATGTTGTTGTATTGTCAGTAGGATATGACAGAAGTAGTTTGTATTCGAAAACCATACTGCTTAGTTATTTGCTATTAAAAAGTAGCCTGCGTTATAACTTGTATACGTCCACTTAAGCCTTATACTATTAATGTGTTACCGTGATTACACAGATAAATATTAATTTACCACAGTCTACTTCTTGCCACTTCTCAAATACCTACTCTATGATCATACAATTTGTACTAATTAATTAATTGACAATTGTGGTTCTTGCTATACTGTACGGATATTGATGGCTTCTATAGTAACTATAGACGTGCAGTACAGCTTTAAGCTATCAAACTTAGTGAAACAAGTTGAAGTAACTAACAGTAATAGAAAATCACTTACTGTAGTCTACTAAATAATTCAATTATATACAATTAATTTTTATTCACTAACAGTGCAGTTATAAATCTTTTAACATCAATAAACGAGTTGAACTAAAATAACAGTCATGTAAAAATCAATTAAAATGGTCTACTAAGCTAATATATTGATCGTCGATTTGTAGTACAATTTTAAATCCACAAACTTTATTAAACGAGTTAATTCAGATAGTAATCATATAAAATTACTTGCCATATTCTATTAAATCATTCAATTATTGATAATAAACTAACATAATTATCATAAATGTGCAGTACAACTTTAAATCTACCAACTTCAGTCAACAAGTTGAACTAAATAACAATCGTGTAAAGTCACCTGCTGTAGTCTACTAAAGATTTTAATTATTTATAGTTAACTATAAATTAATATATTTTTTTATATAGATGTGCAGTACAGTTTTAAATTTACCAAATTCAGTCAATGAGTTATACTAAAAGAATAAGCATGTGAAAATACTTGCTACAGTCCTCTAAATAATTCGATTATTTACAATTACTAAACTTATATAATTATATTATATTTATTCACTAGCGGATAGCTTTAAATCTACCATCTTCAGTCAACGGGTTGAACTAATAGCAATCATGTAAAATCACTTGCTGCAATCTATTAAATAAGTCAATTGTCTTCGGGTAATAGGATATAACTATTTATTGTAAATAGTGTAGTAAAGTTTTAAATCTACCTACTTCAGTAAACGAATTCAATCAATTAACAATCGTGTAAAATCACTAACCATAGTCTAATTAATTATTCAATTATTTATAGTTAGTAGACTATCATAAATATCATAGGTATACAATATAGCTTTAAAATCTACCAATTTCAGTCAAGTAGTTAAACTAAATAGCTATCGTGTGAAATCTCTTGTAGTAGTCTACTAAATATTTTAAGTATTTATAGTTGGTAAACTAATAAATTAATTTATTATAGAGTATAGTAAATGTATAGCACAGTTTTAAATTTATCAACACCATTCAATAAATCGAACTAACAGATAATAGGAATTATATAAATTTATTTTCTACAGTCTACTAAATAGTTCAATTATTTATAGTTAGTAAATTAATATAACTATAAAAGAAAGACGAACAGTTCAACTTGAGTTCCTCCAACTTCAGTCACGAGTTGAACTAAATAATAGCCATATAAGGTTATTTACTATGATTTACTAAATAATTTAACTATTTACGGTTAGTGAACTAATATAATTTATCTAGATGTGTAGTGCAACGCTAGATCTACTAACCTTAATAAACAAGTTAAACTAATAGCGAAAAACAAATGTCATGTAAAATCATATACTCTAGTCTACTGAATGATTTGATTTATAGGGTCAGTAAAACAAATTACCAACGGACGTTCAACTTTAAATTTATCAACTTCAGTAAAGAAGTTTAACATTTGTGAAATTACTTGCTATTAGTTTACTAAATAATTTAAGCATTTACTGTCTGTAAAATTTCCAAAGGCAATACAGTATATGGTTGTTTCCTCATGTTCAAAAACATTCCGTGATTACTGCAAACATGAACAAATGCTTGATTGTCCAATGAAATTACTGATATATTTTGATTCCCTTGCGGTTAAGATCAATTAGTAAGATCCTTTATTATGTGTTTTGGTAGCCTATGCTAAGGTCTTTCTAGTCAAGAAAAGGACTGGTTTCGATACCGGGAAACTCTTTGCAATGAAAGTCTTAAAAAAGGCCACAATTATTCAAAAAGCAAAGACTACAGAGCGTACGATGACAGAGCGTAGTATATTAGAAGCAGTCCGTGAATCACCATTCATAGTTACACTCCACTACGCTTATCAAACAGACTCTAAACTACATCTCATTTTAGGTAAGCTGATGTCTTGCTACGTAAAAATTTAAGCATACTGCTAGTGTTATCATTTTGGATGCAAGTGAAGATGATAATTATTCTGCATCTGTTTTTAGTCATTAAATATTTTAACAATAGAGTAAATAGATTAATTGTCAGATAACACTTTAGTTCAATTTATTACTTGTTATCAGATTATGTTAGCGGAGGAGAATTATTTACTCACCTTGCTCAAAGGGAATATTTTAAAGAATCAGAAGTTAAATTCTATATTGGAGAAATTACGTTAGCAATTGAACATTTACATAAGGTAACAAAATATTGCCAATAGCCCTTTATTCCAGATTGTAACAATGTTGGCATATTCGTGATTCATAAAGATTAAATCCTCTATATCCAACAGTTAGGAATAATTTACAGGGATCTAAAGCTCGAGAACGTTCTACTAGATAGAGATGGCCATGTTATCTTGACAGATTTTGGTTTAAGTAAAGAATTTGTGAATGTAGATGTGAGAATTTTTTTCAATATGATTGCTAGTGATTCATCCTTGAAGATGAATACTCAAGCTAAAAATAGATATATCTCTTGTTGTTATTAATTGAAGAGTAACAATCGCACGTATTCTTATTGTGGTACTATGGAATACATGGCTCCAGAAGTTGTTAGGGGAGATCGTCAAGGCCATAATGAGGTAAAAACGTGATATCAAAACCAAATAGTACTGTATAAATGAAATTACTACCTCTTACATTGGACCGACCATATTGTACTTGCAGTAGACAAGATATTTTACTTTATTCCTGGTTCATTTTATTGTAAAATTTAATTTGTAATCATTACTTAATATTAACCGTCTTAACATTTTGTTTTGCTATAAAAATTTACTTAGACTGTAGACTGGTGGAGCCTAGGAGTGCTGACGTACGAACTTCTCACTGGGGCTTCTCCGTTTACTACTGATGATGATGCAAATTCGCACTCTGCTATTGCTAAGTAATCAAGTGCTTTGTATTAACTGATATCAAATGCAAGCATGCTTATTGAAAAGCCTAGATTGATTTTTTATCGACCTAATATATTCAGGAGAATATTAGAAACTAGCCCAATCTTACCGATGTTATTCTCAAAGGAGGCTAAAAGTTTCATTTCCGGTCTACTGAAAAAGAATCCTAAATTCAGATTAGGATCTGGTAAAAATGGTGCTGAAGAGATCAAGTCTCACGCATTCTTCAAGGTTAATAGATGTAACTATAAATAATTATACCTATGAATAAGTGTAATGATTAGTCTTTGCAATTAGGGTATCGATATGAATGCACTTAAAAATAAAAGAATCACCCCACCGTTTCGGCCACCAATTAATGGTGAATTGGACGTTAGCAATTTCTCGAGTGATTTTACCGACTTAACTCCAGTAGACTCACCATCTCAACCAGTCAAATCTACTGGATTGTTTAAGGTATGTTGCTGATCGTTTTTTTAATTACTGGTATATTTTAATCCTAACAGAATATCAATACAAATTTTATTAATTTCGTACACTTATTTAGGGTTACTCCTTTGTGTCACCTGCTATATTATTTGGACACAGCATGTTCTTGAATGAAGATATATTTGCTATTAATCAACGATCCCAAACGATGCCTACTGAACTTAAGGTACGATTTCACTTTATTATACTCTACTCATGGGTTTCTTAATGATTCAAGCATATATGTTAAGAAAATTAACGCCTACTATAGTTCTTTCTTAAATAGATGATATCTACATTTTTTAACTAATTTTATAATTTATATTTAGAACTCACAATTCCATAAAGTATATCAACTCGGCAGTTTATTAGGAAATGGTAGTTTTTCTACAGTCAGGTATAAAAATTCTTTTATAGTAATGCGCAATACTTATATATGATATATTAAAAATAAGTTTAATACTTTGTTGATTAAATGATAGAAAATGCACCCATAAAGAAACTGGTAAAGAATTTGCCGTTAAAATTGTCAGCAGGAGGTATGATCACGATAAATTGGTAAATTACTAAATATATTCTAGTTAATTTTACGTGCAATATCTTATTTGATTCTTTGTTTGTTATTAGATTAAATACCACTAGAGAAGAGCAGATTCTGAAGTTGCTTCAAAGCCACGAACATATCGTTACGTTGCACGATATAAAGCGGGATAGCTTTCATACTTATTTAGTTTTTGAACTACTACGCGGAGGAGAACTACTTCAGAGGATAAGAAAGAAGAAAAATTTTGACGAAAAAGAAGCTAGTCGGCTAATGCGACAATTGATATCTGCGGTTCAATTTATGCATAAGAGACGAATCGTGCATCGCGATCTGAAGCCTGAAGTAACTATATTCTATCGTAACCGAGCTAGTTATGGCCTTAGAAGTATTAAATGTTACCGTTTTCATTTACTCCATAGAATATATTATTTGTAAGCCCTAATGAAGAAAGCTCAATAAAGATTATAGATTTTGGATTTGCACGAAAGAAGGTAGAAAACCAGCCTTTAAAAACACCATGCTTTAGCTTACCCTGCGCTGCCCCAGAAGTACTACTACAGGATTTACCTGATTATGGTTATCACGAAGCTTGCGATCTATGGAGTTTAGGTGTTATTATGGTAAATATTTTTATTTATTAACAAACGTCCTACCGAAATAAGAATTGGTATACTAAAATATATTTTTGTAAAATGCCTATTTAGAAAGGTTATAATGATACACATTTTGATATTGGCTAGTGCTAAAACATTTTTTAATTAAATTCAGTATATCATGCTATCTGGAAGGGTACCTTTTCACCATATCAGTAGCGCTCGCAATATCGTTCGTGAAACAATAGAAAAGATAACATCTGGTAATTTTACTTTCGATGGTCCAGAATGGAAAACCGTCTCAGATTCTGCAAAATCCCTAATAGGAGGTAAGTTAGGAAAGCTTATTAGTTATCCCTAACTTGCTTGATTATTGATCTATATCGTAATGGCACACTCGTATAGCACAGTATACGGCGTTTACTAAAATATGTATATGTACGAATAGAATATGTAGAAGTCACAGTATTGCATTAAAATTAAATAATTGTATAGTCTCATGTAAGCGTTAGCGTATACTGAAATTAGTGGATCAAAAAATATTAATTTTCCCACACGTACAATTACCCAATTATAGGTTTGCTAACAGTTGACCCTATGAAAAGGTTAACTATTGATGCTGTTATTGAGCACGATTGGTTTAAGAAGCACACTTCCCGTTTAGCACCCTTAATGACACCAGAGAATCTAGACTCATCCTTTAGCTCCGTCGATTTTGCAATGCATGCAACAATGGATGCTTTTCACCAAGCCTTGAAAAGTGGTTTTTCGTTAATGGACGTTGGTAGTGCCCCTCTTGCGAAGAGAAGAAAATTGAAAAAGCACGATAATGGTCTTTCAGAGCGAAACAGTAGTAGTAGTAGCAATTGAAGTAACTTCGAAATTTTACTGTATCTGTAATAAATTTAATTCAATTAATTTAAATTGTCGAAACTAATTATTATTTACTACCGCTACTGTATTTATTTTACTTTTTTATAAACAAATTATTCCTCAAGCTGAATTAAAACGATTTTATTATCGCTATAAGTTACTATCGAATATATCTATTTCGATATAATAATGCGGTATCGCAGTCTTTATTTTATGACTTACGCAATTTCGAATGCAATAATTTAGATAAAAAAAATATTTACTAACATTGACATTATCGATTCTCTAACGGCATAAAGTGCAAATTCTCTTTTCCTTTGATCCATTAATTAAATTATCATTTACGTAGGATTGTGCTAGTATTTTGTTACCCTCTTTTACCGCCTAATTCTAATGAAATTCTTGTTTTACTACCGATGATAACACGGAATATAGTATATTTAAAATATCATTATAACCCGTATATTTTTATAATTTACAGACTATTATGAAATGTACATAGATTTTAAAGTACTATACTTGTATCCTATAACTGTCGTTGCGGAAATCCAACAGTTATACTCTTATTGGTGCAGGAAGCAACAGATATTGTAATATTTACTGAAAGAGTTATACATCTGACAATTGGATACCCGCTCACCTTAAAAGTCTATTTATAATAAATACCTCCTGACGAACTTTCCTTATGAACCCTCAGCGTACGAAATAGGTTATGATTTTTCAAGGTGATTAAATATTTCGATTTATACTAAAAGGACGCATACATTGAAAATTGTATCATAACGTTTTACTGCTTATCTACTATGTTAAATATACATGAAACACGCCAATATAGCACATGTTGTACAAATATACAATCCAGTAACATTTTATCAATTAAAATGTAGCTAAGGATAAAGAAATCATTCAAATAAAAATTATAAAATAATTATGACATACTCGTAATTTTTAAGCAGCCTAATATTTTTAACCTGTACAAGATTACCGTCTGTATTATGCCAGTCACATTGATATTTTAACCTACGTTTTTAAATCTATTAAGTTAATGATACAGTAGCATACAACTTACGAAATACAACAAGAAACAGATAGTCAGCTGTATCTTCGTCAAGCATGTAACATAGATATGCATTGAGGCAACAGCAATATTAATACGATTGTTGAAAGTAGATACGAAGTTGTGTTCGCGAGCGAATCTCAAAATATTATATGGACATATATAACCATGCGAGAATAAACTGATTTCAGGAACTACGAAATAATGCATAACGAATCTCCTGATTTCTGGCTTTGTTGCTTGCCTGGTACTTCCGCCACAGCAGGTAACTCCTTAACTGCTTCCGTATCCTTTTGTGCAGCCTGTAAATTAAAATTAAATTTTAGATGGGCAACTTAAATGAACAAAGAGTAGTAACAAATTATATTTAGTGCACAAGGTAGCTAGGTAAGTATAGATGATCTTAAAATATTATAGATAGTTGATATCAGCAGTACCGTTGTAGCATAGGCGTGGGCATCAATCGAAGCATAAATTTGTTCTGTCCATCCTTCATCAGCAGGCGGCATAGTAATACTTTCAGGTTGTACGATTCCGTACTTTGCTTCTAAATCGAGTTGAGGCAATTCTGCAGGCACTCTATGATGATATCTACAATTTTCAGTAAAGAATGCAATACTTGAGTGTAATGGATAAACTACCAAAAGTGAAAAATTTAATTTTAAAAATTTACATAAAGCCATTTTCTCTGTTAGCTTTATCCAGATTACGCTTGATCATTGTTCCAACTTTTCTAAAAAATTGGTGATCAATAACTCTGGCAGCTTTACCTTCGCCTTTAAAACGCAGATACTCTCTGCAGGCACTTTCAATACTGTTATATACTAGAAATAGGATATACTAGTCATTAGCCAAGAATTTAAACCAGTAACCTAGTACAGGATGCTATCAAATCTAAGTTAACGTTTCCGTTACAAACTATACAACTATCTTTGCTGACATACACTGCAAAGCCTCTTGTCCAAACTTGACTGCTTCACCGCATTTATCTTTTTGTAATAAAACTTCTGAATAACACCCGTAGGCCTAAGAAATCATCAAATTGTAAGTCTATCTAGGACTTTAAATAATAATTCTAACTACAATCATAGACTACGGGCACTTACGCATGCTTTATAAAAAACGGATTTCAAAACTAAGTATTTCTTCCATTTGCCCGCATAATTTACATTTACAGATGATAATAAAGTTGCTAAAGTCAACAAATATAAATTAGTATAACTAATCATAGTCATTTTATTACAATATTACTTCTTAGATGATAATAACGTGTATTATGAAATATTTTAGAAACGGTAATGATACACGATTTATCTGAAGTTTAGATTGGTTGTGTTACCAGCAGCTTGAAAGTGCTTGGAAGTTTCATAAGATAAGCCACCAACGACAGACGCCTGGTGCTTTAGTTCTATAGCTCTAGCAACGGTAACTAGATAAAATATAAGACAGTTCTTTTGGTGTAGTTGATGTAATTACAACCATTGAATATTAATTAAAAATTACGCTAATCTACAAGATTGAAGCTGCTGTCGGTATGGAAATATAGCATATAGTTAGCCACAATAGGCAATTAATTTCGCGTTATAGTATCTCGGAATAATACCCACCTTCTTCAGCTTCTGAAATACACTGCGTATAATATGCTTCTAATATTTGCTGTTCGGTATCTTTACAAGATCCAGTGATCGAAGTTAAAGAAGCTGCATAGTTTTCCTATTGTTAGCGGGGATAAATTAGAACGTTATATGCAGTTAAGATCAGGCCAGTTATATTTACACCGATACAAAATCATTTCTGTATCACCTTTACAAACTGAAATAATCCAGCAGCTATACGAAGTGATTTATGAATGTCTTTGGCATCATCCATAGTTAGGCTAGTTATTTAACAAAGTATAATTAATCAGTAATCTCCTTTATGATACATCATAAATACTGTATTCAGTGTAAAAGGATCTATAATATATTTAAGATTCTGATTACTAAAGTATGCATTATCAACTGATGAATTAAACTATTCACAATAGCAATAACGTACAGTAAAAAAATTTTTCGATCCAACATCATCATCTTATTACTGTACAGTAAGTTGCATTACTTCCTGATGCAGGCTTACCTCCCTGATTCCGCTAAACATGAAGCGCGTTTCATGTGCCAAATAGCTACATTGATTAGCATTGATGCTAGCTCAAAGATTCCGTCAGAGGTATTACTGTAACATCGAGAATAAAGAAAACGCTTAACTAAAAATGCGTATAAAATATTTAATCATTTTAGAACTTTAGAATAACCATTTTAGAAGGAAATCTACGTTATAGCAATGCTGTGTCAGTTAACACAGCAGAATTTGTTTGCATTTACAGAATTATAAATAGATAAGTAATTATGACTTTATAGGACAGATTGTACTACGGTATATTTGGAAAGAAAAATTTATCAAATTCGTAAAATATGGGTGCCGTATTCAATTTTGTTATGTGTATAGATTACGGTGAATAACAGCTACATACTACTCACACTGTTATTCTACCAGTCAACGATTGAGTCCAATGGACTGGTACTAAATTTCGCAAAGGACTGTCTTGTCCAGGTTTGTGGGCATTGAAAACAAAGCCTAGATATAGTGCAAAATATTTTTGCCAGGATGTTTCGATAAGTTTCATATCATTTTGTGGATTTTTGAGGATATTGAGTAGGTTTTTTCTTTCTTCGTTGGTTTTTCTACCAAGTGTGAAAAAACATTGCAAAGTAAGACTTAATTAGAGTGCATTACAGAAGTATAACTTTGAATCGTTTCTTAAGATACCCCATTGTAATAACATTGACTGCCATGCTACTAACACTATTATAAATGTTTCTATTCTACTCGTTAGCATTATTTTATTTTACCATTTAATTTGTAATCCATAGTACACATTGCAGATCGTAGTTAAAACCCTTAATAGTTTATTATCCTCACTAGCATAGAAAGTGGGTAAATTTGATTTAATTGCATCATAGCACTTTTATAATGACTGTACTGATATAAGCTAAATTGCTGTACTATGTGACAGGAGAAAAAGATATTGAAAATATACCGTACTTATAGTATTTGAAAGTTATCTACGAATTACGATCCACCGATTGTGTCAATACGGAAGGATGTAATAAACCATTGTATAACATCCAACATCAAAGCACATGCATAGGCTACTAATAATATCTATCTATTTTTATTAGTCTACATTACAAGTAAGGTTGATTAAAACAACTATAAACATGTAAAATATGGCATATCGTCTACATACTGAAGGAGATTGATAGGACATGACCCACTAGTCAATATTAGCCTAATACTGTACAAGGCATTCTTAAAATTTCGTTGTATCGCTGCTCATTATCGCTGTCACAATATCTTATTGCATAATACAATTGTAGAAATATATATAATCCTACACTGTTGACTGAAGTATCACTGATGTATGTATGAATTTGTAAATGATGATATCCTTGATGGGATATTTTTCAGAACTTAATGAATTCATTACTATTTCTAGAGTGTATATATACAGTAATTCTTAAAAATACCGCAATGGTCAGTATTATATTGCGTAGGCAAATTTTAGAACTACACCTAATTGCAAATCTACTCACTAAAGTATTACCGATATTCAATCATTTGATTGAGTCATTTTACCGCGTAGAAGGGTATTTTCATTCATGAAAAATAGATCATCACACATTTGAGAAGAAACAGCGATACAATCTGACTAAAGACATGCCTACAATTGCCTACCCCTTGTATAAACTCGCATTACAGCGTCAACAGCAGTTCAAACTATTTCATTATACTGTTACTGGATTCTGTATTAGTTGGTCAAGTTATCTGAATATCTACTGCAAGGCGAAATCGATGCTATTCACTAACATGGAACAGCCATTTCCCCACTTTGCCTACACTACTGTTGAACAAGTCCATTAGGTGACAAATAGCAATCTGTACTGTAAAGCAGAGCTCATTTAGAAATGATCATCACGTCAATCCACTCTCAACAAGCATCTAACATGAAAAAGCGAACTATAATCTTACTCAAATAGCTTAAAAGCATCATTATTCTTGCAAACTCTCTTTGCGTTATCGAATTTCAAAGTAGAAGTGGCCTTCAAGGGATTTCGGTGGAACCACTGGTCCGCCATGTCAACATTCAATCTTGAGTAAGTGTACAATGTACAGTCCTTGATCACTACAGTATACTGTAGCATACAGTGTCTAGTACACACGGTAAATGTTGATAATTACGTAATGATTTATTTTCGATGATTCATTGTTTTCCTCTTTGCTGAGCATGGGCAATGACTACCATTTATTTTCGGTATCTTTGTTACTGTTAGGGGAAGTTAGCACTGTACTGTACAGTACAGTACTGTACTGTACTGTACTGTACGTAATGGATTGCAAAATAATTAATTAATAATTAATTAATGCATTTAGTCCAGTTTAAACAGCATGGTTTCTAAAGTTGGTAGTCGCGATCATTCCCCCCCGCTTCCCAGCGTGCTATATGATCTGTGGTTCTTCGCTAGCGACATGGCGTCAATTTTACTGTGCTTGCCGTTTTTATCATTAACCGTGATGATGACACTGTAATTACAATAAATAATTACTGTATTATTATTCATTCACATGCCTATGCAGGATTACGTGATTGTAATTATTTTCTAAGCCATCCAATCCTACCGTCGGCTTAGCAACGTGATAGACATGGGATTTTCGGGGATTCGTTTTTTCTTCTCTACGAGTCCCGCGTCTCACTGAACATAGTACAGCCAATTCAGTGTCTACAGGCTAAATAGTAGTAACTGAGTTGTTTACTGTTAATGCTCCATTCGAATGAATTCATTGTAAATCTATCTAAATTATTATTGGTGTCACTCGGTAGCCAGATACGGATGGGTCTAACAATTTCTTTTCACTGGTGCGCCTCGATGAGGATAGCAAAAAATGATACGATAAATGCATACAGTAAATGTCTCATTTACGCGGAACGCAGAAGGATCAACTTGATGTAAACTTGACTGTAAAATTAAGCTGTACTGTAACTACCATGTCTATGGTATCAATGCATCTTGAAAAAGTCAATTAACTATACAGTATAGTACTGCCTTTAGCCTTTTGTACTGTAGTTCACTGGCAAAAGTTACTCATGAATATAAAAAACGTGAATACTGTAAGTCTGTAACTGTAAGTAAAAATGAAAATTAAATTGAAATTTAAACTTAAAGTCATCTGTCACACTGTACGTCTGTACCATTCAGTACGTACAGTACAGTACAGTACAAGCTGTACCAACGACTTTTTGCTGAAAAATTCCTCTTTCTTATACGGTAGTGCAGTACAGTACAGTACTGTAGAAGTACAGTCCTCAGGACTGTACTAGCGATGCTCAGAATCAGAGTGTCAGACTACACTGTACAGTACTGTATGTACAGTACACTCGTACAGTACTGTACAGTACAATACAGTACAGTAAATGATAACTGCTAACACCTTATTGCATCGTGGACTGTGAACTGTGTACTAAAGACCCGCCGATTACCAATCGGCGTTGTTTGGGGCTGATGACGTCAATTAGCACATGCTCACAATGGTCTTCCTCCTTAACGCCAGCCAATCAAAGAACGAGTAGTCGCCCGCAACACCGTAGGCCAATTTACTGTAGCAACACGACATTTTTAAGACAGGCATATTCGAGATCACGACGATACATTTAGAAAAGAACGGCTTTTTTGTACCGAAAGAAGCAACATGGTACGCTTTATCGTAATTTCGTTGTAAATTGCTGAAAATACATTTGAAATTGATCCCTCTTACTTGTACATTTGATTAATAATTTGTTTTTGGGGATATTTCATTGCATTAGGCTGACCAATTAACCGAAGAACAAATTGCTGGTAAGTAAATTGTGTTTGCAAAATCTCCATCCCCAAAAGTGTTGTAGTCTCTAATGGTTGTCTTTTACACTACAGTATATTGTTGGGCGCACCAAATCAGTGTGGTAGCTAAAGTACAACTCTTCAATTAGTATACCGTATATTATTCCGATCTTGTAGACTTTCTTGACAACGAAATCGTAGCACGAGTACGGATCTTGTGTACTGCATAGTAAAGGAAGGAGGCGCCAACAGAATTTTTTCATAGCACTGTAACGCACACGGAACTGTCTGTAATATCAAGAGCTTTGTATCACGTCGCTTTCTTCAACTTTTATTTTGTTAACCTTATGTTCATAATGACTTTTGGATACACTTCGATTTCGCAAATGTATTATTAACTCCAGAAAAGGATCGGTTGACTTGTTAGGAGACTTTACCATACGATAGTTATTGTAGTAATGGAAAGACAAGGCTGTATTTTAAAGTAAGTAACGTAGAGTTCTGAGCGTTGTACATGCCGTTTTAGGCACAAGAGTCCTTGACAACAGCATTGTCTGTAAATTCATGAAAGATATTTAATTATCATGTCGTCTACTCTCCATTTCTCTTCAATTTTACTCTTGCTCCTTTTACTCATAAGAAAGATTCAAGTTCTATTACTCTATATGGAGTAAAAATACTTTTTGAACTAATAACGGCATTGATATCTTCAATTTTAGAGTTCAAAGAGGCGTTTTCTCTTTTCGATAAAGATGGCGACGGTTCCATTACTACCAAAGAATTAGGAACTGTTATGCGCTCTCTTGGCCAAAATCCTACGGAAGCCGAATTACAGGATATGATTAATGAAGTAGATGCCGACGGTAATGCGTGACATGCTAATCCCACTACAGATCTTGATTAAAAAAATTGTTGATTGATAGTCTACTAGTAAGCAGTAGCTTAGTACCGTCCATGTGCAAAAATCTTCTATACCATGCTTTACACTAGAAATGCTAGTAGGCCAACTTCTCTTTCTGCAATGATGCAAATGTTGTAACATCTAGTTACTGTAGGCAGAGTCAGTGCATATTGGATAAAATCACCATTGATGACCCCGCTTTTTCTGCCACAATTCATCCCAATTGCATTAGCCTGCGCTGATCGTGGCCTGATAAATTACTAATTAGTAACATATGGCTGTAGAATTATCATCATTGCCATCTTGATTTGATGACTTGCAATAGGGCTATTTATTTTTTGAATAACGCTGCAAGTTGAAGCATATCCAAATGCAGAAATTTCATTTACTACGTTATACACCATCCAACTCAATTACGACTGGTACATTTTGATACAACGGTCAACGATACTACCTGGATAGTGCCTACACAGTACTGGACTACGATACATTGTGGATACTTAGCAACCGTGTACTGTATTCTTGTCACCAACATTTTGCCCACAGATGCAATGCACCAGTAGTACAATACCATGCGCTACAGTATGTACTCTATTTGTAAAGTACTGTACAGTACCGTACAGTGCACTGTAACACCATTGCAGAAGGGCAACGGTTTTTTTTGTTTGTTTGTTTCCCATCCACGTTACGGTAATTAATTTTACAGTTAATGAACCGTGAGGATAGAAAAGAGGACGAGTTCGAAGCTTAAAAGACGGCTGTCAAATTCGCTCGTAATCACGTTGATAACGAAGCGATGTTGTTACTCAAGTTTGATAATACAATTGGACTACTGTACATGGCAGGAATAGAGTGGTTATCTTGACTTTTCTTGACTTTATCCTTGCTCATACTGTCCATGACGATGATCGAGGTCTGCTCAACTCTGTTGTACAGTATTGTAGAGTAGAGTAGTTTTGTCTGATTGGCGCCGAATGCTCAACGGAATACTGTACTGTACTCTACTGTATGGATCGACTCAGATACCTGGATACACAATACTGTAATGTATTTGTTGACGCCTGAAACAGGGTGTATCGTTTTAGCCACACCTAGAGTTCAAGTAACTCCTACTGTATGTATTACAGAACAATACAGTGTAATGTATAGATCGAAGTTAGCAGCAAGGACCAAAACCGACTTGTCAACCAAAGAATGATCACTTTAAATTATTATTCAGTTACTATTGTTGAATAACTCCAAACAATATTGTAGAAAATGGCAAAACCCTTTTGTGGTGACGATCTTGGACTGTATGCTTACTGTAGTAAAATATTACTGTACAAAGTATAAAAAAAAAAATTGGCGATATTCAACCAGGTGACCGTCAACGAGGCCATGTCTGAAACTTTTACCACGTGTAGTACATTGTAGCGTACATTACTACAGTGCGTGCGTCGGACATATTCTATTTCATCGTAATTGGGATTCATCACAGCTCGTAGGCGTATGTAGTGTGTTTTGTACCCACTCCGATGTTGCGATACCGACAAATTCTGGCCTAAAATTGTTACTGTTACCGTTACTAGCCAGTTTAGAAAGCTTCATTTAAAATAAATAAATAAGAATATCTCCAGCATTTAGTGTCGATGTTACGATAGACCTATTTCAAGGATAAACTGTGCGTAAATTTGTACGCCTTGAAAGTCAACTTGAATCGGTAAACCCCTCAGACTTTCTTTCTTATACTGTATTTCAATTGAATTTCTTATATTCTGATGCAGGCAATGGTACTATCGATTTTCCTGAATTTTTGACCATGATGGCCCGTAAGATGAAGGATGCCGACTCAGAAGAGGAAATTCGCGAAGCTTTCCGCGTATTCGATAAGGACGGCAACGGTTTCATTAGCGCTGCTGAATTACGCCATGTTATGACTCATTTAGGCGAGAAATTGACCGATGAAGAAGTCGATGAAATGATCCGTGAGGCAGATATTGATGGTGATGGACAAGTTAATTACGAAGGTTGGATATATACTGTAAATGTATTGATGTTAATTGCTGTAGTAACATAGTTGATTTATTATAATAACTCAAAAAAAGAATATTGAAAATTGTAGTACTAGTGCAATTTAGCTACCGTTAATTATCATAACGCACGACTCTATATTCCAAATGTATTGTTCATATCTGATCTAACAATGGAAAAATATAAATTTTTTGATTACAGAATTCGTCAAGATGATGACATCCAAATAAATGCGGTAGTTTACTATAACGTACGTGTTTTATGTAATTTGAATGTTAAGAATTAATAGTACTACTTTTAGATGCTATAAATGTACCGGTGTTTCGACATGATTAAATTATCTTTCACTCATGCTATCATGCTTTTGTGTTGCATCTAGACAGTAACGGTAAAGGGAAATTTTTTCTTGTAAATTACGATTACTATTAATGTTTCCACGGCCATGATACTATGTCATACTGTCGCTATTATCGACATTTCTTCTAACGTAATAGCGATAACATTAGGATATATATTAGCACTACCTTGTCCACTGTGTGTGAACTTTGTAGCTACCAAATGCCTTAAGCTCTTAACGTGCTAAAAAGGACATTTAAAGCAATCACTGTGTGTGAGCGCTTTACTTTGGATAGTAACATGTTGGTAGTATGATAGGTTAACATTATTTAGCATACTTTTTAATTCCCTTATAGGTTAATATGTATCTTAGCTAAACACTGTTGTTTAGTCCTAAAATAGAAGACAATTTTACAAAGTTATCTTTGATAGCTATTAATACAAGTTAGTTTTCTTGTGCTTGGTTTGTTTTTCTGTCTGTATCTCATCTATACCATATGCAGCACTTATTGTAGTAACTGTACACACTAGATAAAAAGGCAGTACGATTGATAGAATGCTGTTAGATTCACTTTTTTTTAGAATATTTATTACCATTTGTTGGCATTGCGTCGACAATCCAACAAAAATAGCTGTTGGGAAAATACAGGATTTCACCGTACAATACGTTAAAAAAGTCTGAGATACTAAACAGTACGTTAACACAGCATGGTATCATCAATAAATTTTCTGCTTTCGTATACAACGACGCTGTAGCTGACCTATACCATGTCGCTCACATTCGTCAATTTGTAAGAAGCAGTATTATCAGGAAAAACATTTGTTGCACCGTTACATTAACTATTGTCGAATAGACTGGAATAGTAGAAAGGAATAAAGAACAACAGTAGAGTGTAGAATACTTTCCTTGCAAAACTGCACTGTAGTGTTATATGCTTATGGCTCATCACGATGCATAGATATACTGTAGTTTGTTGCTGAATTTTATCGATGGCAAAGCATTAGCGTGTACGTATGATAAACAGAATGGTTTCAGTATTTGCAGTGCTGAGGAAATCCATTACTTGCTGCCAGCTACCTATTAAGACGTCTTACTTTTACCAACCGAGCACTCAATACTATAGTACGGTTACCTGGTAACCATTGATTTTAAGTTATGTCGTCTTTTTAACAGGAATCAAATCCGTTTTTATTATAAACCATGACGATGCAATGTACTGTATAATACCGCACTTTTCATTTAATAAACCAAAAGCCATCATTTACAAATTGTGTTATCACTACAGTTGATCATTCGAGATCGCAAGTAATTCTCCATTCATCTGCTCCCAGCATGTTATAGTTAGTCACCCATCCTGAGCTCCGAAGGAAATTTACAAAACTTGGGAACAAAGTATCGGCAATAGAGTAAGACTGTGCAACAGAATGAATGAGTTTTCCTTCTGCCTTGCCTGAACAGTTCAGAACCTGTATCTCTGTACATATCAAGCGAGCAAAATTGCTATCATTATACAACTTTAACAATCACCTAATCTAAGTAAGAACTAGTACCTAAAAGCAGCCGGAATTGATCAAAGTATAATTACTAGTACCTTCTCTTAAGGTCTTCGACAAATCCGTCATTTCCTCAAAACCAATAGTCTAAATAGTTAAAAAACTTTATAGTTAGTATGATTATAAGAATTTTAATAACTTGGCTATTCTAATATAATCGTTTGGGATGTCTGATGAAGAACTACGTGTATCTTCTTGAAACGTCAACAAAATAGCATAAGCCAGCATTCAGCAAGTGGCTATACTATTGCGATTAGCGGACGTAGCATACGTATTATAGCTACTCTTATATTGCTAAGCACTAACTAACCATAGAAGCTCCATAGCCATTGTTGTCGTAACACCACCGTAGCAGTTCAGCATGAAAGCAAGCCTTAATAATATCTTCAGCAGATGACTGACGATATAAAAGGATATATATGGTACCTATCGTTATCATACGCATCGAAATTAAAAATATAAAATTAAACGCTTGACAAAAATTGCTAATATACGCGTAGACTATGAGTAATTAATTGACCTTTCACTATTCATGAAAGTAAAAACTATGTAAAACTAAACTAATTACAAACTTGCACTGATCATACAAATATATCATTCATTACTTATTATTAAGATACTCAAGATGATTTATCTACTAACCTTTTCTTGATCTACTGCCAATATGCACCGTGAGTGCATATTTCCTTTTCTCTTGATTGCCGAAAGCTGTGAAGCAGTCTTCACTAAAATATTTTTCATTACATTAGCAAGCATAAATTTTAAATACAATTTCGCCTAATGAAATCTAGGAAAAGCGTTATTAGACTACCTTGAAATTGATTCTTTAAATTCAGCTCCTAAAATCATACGCAATTTATATTGATCTTTCATAATTATAACCGACTCTCTCTGACAAACTTCAGCTGGGGACAAGATTGAGCCATATCGAAAAAAATTATAAGCAAGAATATGCAAACGTTCTCTGTTTAACGTTTCCATAACTACAGAACTAACGGCCTTGTAGTTAGCGTAAAGGTGTAGCATAGTAAACATAAAAAACAGCGTCCAGATAATCCTAAACAGTCGTAAAATATGACAATTGTGTTGAGCTGTAGTACAGACGTAAAGGTTACACTATTCAAAAGTAAGAAATTTTATTATATTTAGAGTGAGTAACAATGCATTAGAATTATCTAATATGCGCCATAAAATACAGGCAAATTGATCTCCACCTAGCATTTCCAGTCACTGCAGGCAATAAGAATAGGCCCACTATTAGAGCAGAGAGATTTACCAAAGTTTCCTATGATAAGATTACAAACTTTATAAATTATTACTCAGTACGATAACATAATTCATAATTTTTCCAATTGCATGCAAAGACAATATATTATAACGCTAATAAACTATCTAATATCAAGAAATAAGGGCAAAACTTATTTCTAATATCTATCCTAGGTTTCAAATATTTAACGACAGTAAAAGTAATAAACTCTATACATCCATTTACTTTTACCGTAGAATCTGTACTACCTGGCTACCATCTTTAGCAGATACATCAGCCATATTATTTCTTCGTGCTTGATGCATTGTCAAAGCGGCTCTTGTAGCTCCTCCAGCCACACCAACAATTGACTAACATTTAAAGATGAACAATTACTACTGTAATATTAGATTAACTACACTTAGAGCTTTTTTATAACAACTACCTTAGCAACGCTAGCCACACATAATAATAGTGTAAACAGATGGGGAAAATTCGGAGCTATCATTTCAATGAATAAAGCTCCATCATTTAAGAAATCAGCAAATAATCTATATGATATAAATATAAGCATCCTTTAGGTATAACTGAGAATATTGTGGAACATATACAAATTGTATCTTAATAAATTCATGCTATATCAAAGTCAGTATTTTTTGTAAACTAGCCTCCACTTCTTAGCATCGCAATCCAGACTGGTTCTGAAATAATAAATTGGAAATAACATTTAAACGCAAATTAGATTCGATATTAGGCCCATACTGTGCAGTAACTGTCACTCTATATTTCATCAGGATGAAAGATCATACTATCGCTTACCCTCGAAGCCACGCAAATAATATTCGACCTATCATTCCCGTTCCATCTTGACAAATAGAATATATAGACCCAATTAAATTAGTTGTTTGCACTTTAAGTATAGTAATAACGTATCAAATTCTTACATTAATACGTATACTTCATCATACAATTATGACTTCTTATAAATAGGAATAGAATACATGTATCACATGCAAATAATAATCAGACCTTTTAACATCCATGTCATTGCAGCTGCGGCAACAGTAGCTTTCTCATCACCAACTCCAACACCTTTTAATATAGCCTGAGTTGCTAGCGTACCGGTAATAGATGAGCAAAATGCCTAATGTATAAAGTAAATTAAAAATGTATCTACTATCTATTGTTATGTCAAATCCTTGCTATGTAAAGTTCCAACTACGTAAAGGGTAATAGTAGTACAGAATTAAATTAGCATCATAACCTATTCGTATGTCAGCCGACGTAAACTATCTAATTAACTAGGAAATTATGAAACAAATAGCTATTATTGCAAATCGTATTCCACGCCTAATAACCATATGTGCATTACGAAGCAATTTAATTATTTAGCTTCTAATTAAATCATTTACTATATTGCAGGTGCACACTATTCACATAAAGATATACGTTATCTTTCATACTGTATATTACTACTGCTAAGGAATCGATTTCAAACACCAATAGCAAAATTGCATACGCATATTCGCGGAAGGATAAAATAGTTTAGAAGACATTATAATTTGCTAAAGAATACAAGGCAGTGTATATCACAAGCTTGAAACTTGAAAGTACTGTATTTCCTTATACGACTTCAAAAATATAAAAAAGCAATATATTTGTAGGCAAGTAGAGGATCACATACCTGAAGAGTATCCCATAGCTGATATGTCAAGTAATCACCGCTAACACTTTCAGGATAGCCTTGAGGCAGAAAAACTGACTAAGAAATGAACAACAGTAAACAAATTAACGAGAATAGGTCAAGGATTTCCTATTCAATTAAATAGTTCAGTACGTATTGTATATCACTGGATAGTAGTTTCTGCAAAATTTTAAGCTAGTACTTGCAGTGTTTTAAATGTATCATCTACTGTATCGATTTGATTTTATGTTAAAACATATACTCGTACAGTACGTACTGTATACCTTTATGTATGATTTATATGCGCTTACGGTATTTCAAAAATGACAAAAACGAAGGAAGACAAACCCAAATATAGCATATCTCATCAATAGTAAAAGCAAGTCTCTCTTGATTCGAAGGTAATATAAAGAATCATTTGGTGAACTCATCCACTGCTCCTGTAGCAACATTAAACATGTAAGATTACAAAAAATACCTTAAAAAATTGAACACTGGTAGGGGGTGTTGTACTCTTAATCACATTTATCTTGGTGCCATTTTTACTACTAGTTAGACTATAAGTTCGCGATTCCGATGAGCCATAAAACTCTTGGATTCGAACTCGTTTATAATCAGTGGCTGACATTGATATCTTAGCCAATGTATGTATAATCTAGACCTCCTATGAAAGTGTACAGAAGTAAAATAAAGGCAGAATAATAATATTAGTGTGTGCAGGTAAATTAATTAAGAGGGCTGCCAAATCAAGTTTTATTATTGAGCCCAAAACTACAGTATAATAGCTATAGTACTGTAGGTACAGTCTTTACATTGTCCTACAATTCCACTGCGGACTGTGCAATACTGTATACAGTATAGAAATTTATAATTGATAGAGACATTGTATAGCACTGTACCGTACAGTACGTTGCAGAAATTTGGAATTTGTTACAGTACTGTACTGTACCGTAAGACAGAAGTAACTCTATGACTATACAATATACATTAGTATACAAGACAGCAATCTGCTGTACATCTAGAGTATACTGCACAATATCTCTTTTAGTTACTTTATTATCCAGAGGACCCTGACAGTGCATGGAGTACAATATGGAATTGTACAGCGCCTTTAATTTCATTTTAGATACTTTAACTGGGAAAAAATGAAACTAAAATTAACGTGCGAATACAGTAGTCTATAGCAATATCTGCTAAAATATCTGATACGAAAGTAATGTTGCTGTAGAGTACAGTACAGATATGATGGACACTGTTCGGACAGTCGGACATTACGACCTCATGTAGCACGGTATACTATACTGTATAGTGTATAGTAGGCCCCAGCCATAATAATCCCGATTACTCAGATACTCCGCGTAAATAGCTTAAACGATGATGTATTATTCTAAGAGTCTGTACCTCAAATTTCATGCGAGTATTCAAAGAGTAAGACGTTGCACCAACGCAATGAAAGTTAGGTACTACCGTCTAAAAACTTTTTCTGACTTACGTAAATCTTCCTACTCTTAGAATAATGTATCATCGTTTAAGCTATTTACGCTGAGTATCTGAGTATTAGGGGTTATTATTGCTGGGCCTACCGTACAGTACACTGTACAGTGTACAGTGTACAGTACAGGACCATATAATGCTGTTCCAAACACTTCTATTTGTGATAATGTCCATGAGCGGTTGCTCGATTCTGTAATTCGCTTGTTTTTTCTAAATTAAGTAATATTCAATTGAAATCGAATCTATTCTATTTTATCAACATCTGCTTCAAAACAGTTAAATAAAGTCATGAATGTTCTTAAATTACAATTATGCTCAATGATTAAGAAAAGTAGATGCACAAGAACTACTGTTTTCTACTGTAAGTAAGTCAATTTTTCGAGATTTTTGAAAATATCCGTCTGTCTGAAGAGTCCCTGTCCTAACCATACAGTTTCCTCCCGATGATCCTTATATATGTAGGTAGGCATTCTGTATCATAGATACTGCACTAATCTTAGCAACTTTCAAAATATTACTACAAAGCAGTGGTATCATTCTGGATTTCCTAAATAGCAGAGCTATTCTGTGTGCTGAGTCATACTGCACTTACTTTCTGAAATGTCAGTAGAAATATCAGCACAAGCAGTATGGTGTATAAGGTAAATTAAAGCTCCGCGCCTTGGAGGGGAAAGAAACGACAAAAATGGGAGGGATTATGTAACCCCTGTAAAAGCTTTGAATAAAATAAAATTTATGACCTCGGGCGCAGAATCAAAGTGCAATTCAAGTAACATAATGCAAAACAACTAGTTGTCTTGAATTAATCTATTTATACTTTCAATTTAAATTAAATTTAAAATACAGACAAGGAATCCATTATATCACATCCAGTGTTCTTTCTACAGTACAGTACATCTCGTTTGATATTACGTAATTACCTTGCCGCTGCATGTAATGCTATGGCGGACAAGATCAGGGATTTCAATTTTGCTGGTATGTGACAAGTGTCTCAAAATCAGAAATGATTGAAATCCCATAACTTATTAAGTTCACTTTATTGTATAAACTACTTCTTCAACCAAGAACAAGACTAACTAACTCTGGGAGAAGAAATTTCCCGCTCATATATATCATGATGAAGCCCTGCTTACATCTATAACTTCTGATTAATCTAGTATTAAATTACTTGCATAATCTCTGATGTCCAATCTAAATAAGATATTCTTAATTAAAGCTATAATATTTACTGTAACTATTAACACGGATACGCACTTAACACAATCTCCTGATTTCAGTTAATCTACAATCTCGCACATACAGTGTCAATCTTACATTTTGATATATCACTTAGCGACTTTCTGCAATCGATTACGCTATTTTGAGCCCTGTACTACATGTTCATATTATAAATTATTATCGTTCAATAATCTTCAAGTTATCTATAGCTATTAGTTACTCTATGCTTCATGTTAACTGTCAGAGCAGCAATTCTAGGGCTTATGCTGTGTTGACCGTCCTACATGAATGCTCGGTATGTCTGAAGTAATGACTGTAGTCCAATAATTGTTGCTGTTGGTGATTTTTTCGTATTTGATTCAATAACTATAATTAATTAACGACTATAATCAAATGAACGAACCAAGTTGCAAATACTGTAGTATTTTAATAACTTCATTTTCACCTATATGATAGTTTCGTTATCTTGAATTTTATTTAAATTAAATAATGCAACCATGTTAAAGTACGTTAAGTACCGGTAATCATACAACACTTTAGTCACGAGAATGTCTCACTAGATCAAAATTAATGACAATTTCTTTAAACTCATTTAGAATCATGCTGTAATGGCTCGTTAGATAGCAGTATGTGGCTAGCCTATCATACAATAAAATCACTAAGTTGCCGCAGAAGATCTTAATGATTAGTAAAATGAGAGATTAAATTTATCGATTAATTATATATTCTTATATACAGTATATAAATGATTTATTTATTCAATGATAGCAATACATCGGTTTCCTCACGTGGTTTTGATCCCATGATGAAATAACAATAGTACAATATTAAAGGGTAATACGGTCCGTTGTGTACTGTAATGATGCTACATCCATTACATTACGTATGGCTGCTGCTATTTTAAGGTTAAATCCCGTTATTAATTTTCCGAGAAAAGAACAATTGATAATTACATGCATGAATAGAGGCCCAAGTGTATATAAGTCGGCCTGTGCCATCATTTTAATTGACATTAGTTCTAATTATTGAGCTCCAGATAATTTAGAATCGTGTTGTATACAGGACAGTAGATATCTTCCTGCCTAACTTCCCGTTATTCAAGACGTTACTCTCAAGCTACATCAAGTTTACTCTACTAAACCTATTACAAGCGCGATGGCTCCTGCAAAAAATGGTAAGTAATAAGTGTAACGGTATGCAAACGACCAAAGTGTAAGAGAAACTCTATATTTGCTTAAGGAAGGCACCCTGACTATACACAAGAATGTTCATTAATCAAAGTATCAATTATAATTTACAACGGAAGAATTCATATTGATCTTAAGTTATCATATTAATTACATTTTAGATCTTATCCAAGATGTGCTAGCTCTAAGGGCTAGAGATTACTACATTGCATGCAGTAATCAAACCATTCAAGTTGGAAATCTTACCGCCCATCTAGCAGCCTTTCCATCTGGTCTCGACGAAGTAGATGTGAATATAGAGGATTTTAGTAAGGATTTATGATTAACTATTTTGTTTGATAGATAGCTAGTAATCATTTCCAATAACTCGAAATAGAATATCCCTTAAAATGACTGTCATCTTAATAATATATTAAAAACAATTCCGTTTTTAATCAGCTCGTTAATAATACTTAATAACTCCTTTATCAGTAGATGATAATAAAAACATTGAAAACTATAGATAAAGACTACCATATGAATTATATCGTAATCATTTTCTTTCAGGTCATTTTGAAATTCGAAAGATAAATAAGAATAAATCAATCATACTCCTAATGTCCAAGCAAAAAGGAGCTTATATACCAAAAGCACTTCTAGGCATTACTAAAATAAAAGATCAAGCTAATTTTAAAGCGATATTCTTGGTAAGTTCGAAAATTTGGAGTGATACAGTACCGCTTCGTGATTAGTGAAAGTTTTGATACAAGACCATAAATGTATTCTAAACACATTATTGTTCATTCAAGGATACAAAGTTGGATAACGATCTAGACCGTCTGAATATGTTCAATTACCTTCACAATCTTACCAGTGAAATCACCAATGCTCAAGATCTCAAATGGCAATTTATCATCCCACTGTATCATCCAAACGAAACGACTACAACAGCTATGCTGGAGATTGTCGATAAACAAAGTGAATTGCAAGCACTCTGTTTCAATCACGACGGAAATATTACATTAATAAATCCCAGTATTCAATATAACCCACCCGAAACACTACTAGCCTTGGTTTTAATAAAAAGAATCAACGATCATATCTTGTGAAAAAATAAGTCACAAAAGATTCTAGCACACGTATATATATATAGCTGTAAATACGACTGATAACAATGTAGCCGCCTTTCTCGAACTTGTAGAAAATTAAATAATTTTCATGCTGAAAAAACTTTCTATCTGTAATGCCGTAATGATTTACGGCCTTGTAAATTGTAACTCAAATAATACATTTTATTTCGTGGAAACCGGTAAATTTGTACATATATTCGTATACTAACTACTAACTAGATCATCAATCATTGGTTTTTTATAGGCTACAAAGTAGTCAAATTATATTTGTTTTGTTATTAGAATCTGAAATAAATATGATAGATTGAAATCTTATTAATTTAGTATGGTGCATTAACTGGCATACGCCAATAATTATTAAGACTGATAGATATTTAGGACTTAGCATGATACCGTATCTCTAATATACGAGCATATTATTCTAGTTTATACTATCCATAGTAAAATAAAGTAAACTATTTATCTTATTCGTGATAGATAGGATAGAGGTTGGAGCGTAAGTAGAACCATCCCTAAATTAATAGCGTACATACTTATGCAAGTAGAGAAATAAAAGAATGTGCAAATATACCAACTTTGGCACTCTATAACTTAATAACTAATGATATGGATGGAAATAAATGTCAATAAAGCTGTGTCATGTTTGATCATAAAATTTAACGTTATCATCATTTTTGTCAAAAGGTGAAAAATAAACCGAAAATATGTTTGGTTATTCCGCCAAAATGACTCCGTTACAATGATGTCATGATTACAGCAATTTCTACTTTGATCAAATGTTTATCAAGCAGAAAGGCATTAACTGCATGACTTATGCACTAGTTGTTTCCGTAAGATTTAAGTAGACACACCCTGTAGTTACCTTAGAAAAACAATTCGAGCTATATCTTTAATTCTTTTCTTGTATAATCTTATCGGCTATGATATTTAATTAAAGATAAAAAGGTAAGTCAGTACGACACATTTTCCTGGTGTCTAATAACAATATCTAGCAATGAAAGGGGAAACAAAAAGGAATTAATGGTTTTGATTTACACTGACCCCACAGCGTACTCCTTCACATTCCCTAGATTAGATCGCGACAATAACAACTGCTATTAATCTTTTATGATTAATTATATAATTATTATGCTTTAGAAGTGTCTCTCATGCCGCTATAATTTATAAATCGACTACGATAGTACAGTGTACAAATACGCTATACTAGGCCATCGATTCTAAGTTGATGACTAATATCATCATTATTTTTAATTCTTAAACTAAATAATAAGCTATTCACCTAGCAAACAATAGAAGAGAATTACTAGCAAACAACAAATGATAATTTAACTGTAAATTATTCTACTATGACATTAAATTAAAAATCGGCATCGTAATTACTGGCTTAAATGACTATTGTTAACCATCATCACTTACTTATATGATGTGGATGGCTATATTTTTGTTATTTTGAGCTATAGCAACTAATCACTTTAATTGCGCGCATATTATAGGTAGGCACGCTAAGAGTCTTAGGACTAATTTTCTGATGGATTTCTGAAGACGGAAATATTCTTAAAGCAATAAATGAAGTAGACGATTATACAATATGCAACAAGCTAGCTCGAAATTTTAATAGTTTCGAGATATCAATACACACTATACGTCTACTTCCTTGCAGATCAATAACTGTCACAACCGATATTATAAATTTATTATTAAAGCTCATAATTATGAATTATCGCAGTAATTTTTGCGAAATGTAAACTACTAAGGAATCATAGCATATAAGTTATGTGAACTGTAAAAAATTAGATACCTGCACTTTGTACAATCATTGAAAATCTAACTTTAACTTGGCTAACAAAAATTTATCTAAGCCAAAATGTTAATTATCAGTCCATATCTACTAAACCGAGGGTCCTACTATTACAGATCATCAACGAAGCATTAGCTCACTAACGGAATGAGTAATGTATCCATGTGAATCCATTATTATATACACTGAATTCGAGCTGAAATATAATAAATAAATTAACGTTACACTAACGCTGCTTCTAATGTTATTTCATCATACATTTCTAAATTTAGATACTAAGAATTTGAACGATATTAAATTTGGAGTAAGTAAGTAGAAAATCATTCTATACATTAAATTTCAATAATTAAAATATATTGTATTGCTAATCATCTCTGGGCAGGGTCAGGAAATAATTTTGGTTGATAAATGATTGAATATAACCCATCGTCTAACTATTGTCTTATCATTGTTGCTGCACAGTATAGGGGTATTTATTCGTATCAGGGAGATGGTTTAAATATCATTTCGCTTAGCTTGTTTATTACATATTTCCGTTCCGTTTTACTTTTATTTCTTATACGCAAATTGTGTTGTAGCAATAATAAACCTGTTGATTGACTGACAATCGCTAAATTATATTCATTCAATATTACAATTTGTAAAATGGAATAAAATAAGCCGCTATTGTCTAGTTCTCTCTATCAACCTCACAGACAGCATTCAATTAGTATCCCTAATTTGCTTTGTCAACTAGTCTATAAATACAATCAATTCCATTGAAATTGTAAAATGATAATGTGATCATTATAGATTATTTCCTTATATGGTAATAATTTATCAAAAAAGAGCAAGGATAAGAGTTAAAGGTCTGGTAAAATTATTAATAAATACCTCTTACATTACGGTTCACAATATAATAAAACTAACCAACGTACAAAATAACGAAATAGTCATATTGAGCTCTAAATAAAATTAAAATTAATATGGAAATAGTGAAAATTCCGGAAGAGCAAACAGTTAACCATGCTCTAAATATTGAGTACAAGTGTATAACATTAATTAAATAAAAACTACGCTATCTAGTTTTACCTAGCACAATCTGGTATTAACGACGTCAATGATTAGTTGCATCGAAATATGAATGTTAAGTACACATTTACTATGTCTCGGTCTTGTTCTATTACATTGTAGAATCAATATTAAATAGCCAATGGTATACTGGTAACTAGCAAGAAGTAGTTAGTATATTTAAACAAATGTTCATACAATCTTTAATCTAATCTAGCAATAATGGAAATGATTGGCAATCAATCATATACTGCTTATCCAATATCAATCGACTGCTTATTACTATACCAGTAGAGTTGTTACGGCCAATTTCATAGTAAATTCTGTAAGTTTTCGCGATTTATCTTTTATGTAGGCAAGCCTTAAAATGGGGGCAAAAGACTGCAAAATAAGGTCTGTAGTAAAAGCTGAAAAACTTGTTACGGACAATAGGATATATGTACTTGCATGCTAAATACATCGTTATAGTAGCCTTTCACTATTACATATTTACAAACATTTCATGTAAGTTATTTAACAGGAATTAGTATGAAACTGGGAATCCTATACCGGTAACGGCCGCATTACTGGTTTTGGCCGTAATAGAGTCAATACTATACTAGTAGAAACGTAAACTAGCACGAATGAAATCCTCATCTTAAATGTACTTCATCCAATCATATCTAAGCAAAATTATCCAGTTTAACAAGGATCTGAAGCCGTATTAGAAAAATTATATATTCTGCTTTACTCTGCTTCTATTGTAATTAATATGTTATTTAGCCAGCTTAGATGATTATATCCAAATCTGTATCGCTAAAATACGTTTGCTTCCTGAATATGATCAAATATCGATATCCAAATCAGAAAATAGTTGATCGTACCGGTGTTTAAGTTCATTTTTTATCAAATTTTATTACAGTGTTAAGATAAACCAGTATTCTATATTACCCGATGCAACCTCATCGATTTTAATATCCTACTAGTAAATTACTTATATTCAATATATTTCCATTTTCACTTACATGGCATGTTCACGAAATGCTGGAGCACCTAGAGGCTCTAGAAGTCCGTGATACTGTAGTGAAGCTACTAGATAAGCTACTGTTGCCAACATGTTATGTAGAAGTGAATTAGATATAGCTTAAAAATAATACCAAAATCTACGGCTGTTGTCAATAATAGGTATACGAGTATATAAGTAATGTTTGTGATAATTCAAGTATGTTGATTTCAACTTCAAAGAATGATACTAATTATACAATTTTATTCTCATACTAAGTTTTGTAAGTGTTAAGTGATGTTTTTCGCAATTGTTATGTGGTAAACAAGTTAGATAACGTATTTAAGCAGCTACGCTTTTCTGTTAATGTTGTTCTTAGTCCTTCTTTTCTAAGATCTGCCGTCTTAGGAAGTTTTCCTTGTCTGTCAGAGCTTGTTGTATATTATGTAGTATCTCAATCGATAGAGAATCAGTAATAAAATCTGCTATATAAAATTACTTGTGTGATCTACACTCTAACTACCATTAGCAGAACAGGTTTTGTTACAGATGCATAAAAAGGTAGCAAGGAAAAATTGCGAAAATTAGGCCAATGAACGCCGTTTCTTGTTTTATTGCAATAATGCACATGGCACATTAATGAATAACGCGTAAGTATCTGGAATCATTCTAATCTAGTTAAATTTGATTTATGAGGATTAATATTCGTCATGTCGACGAAATGGAATAAAATTTCAATTTCCTTAGTTCAATAGTAATCAGGTCTGGCAAATGCATTATACTTAAAATAGTATTTAAGTAAACAGATCCATTTTAAATTTGAATATCATCGTCCCTAACAATATCGAATATTTTATTCTTCTCAATACAGGCTTAATGAGCCAATCAAGAAATTAGTAATAAACTTCTGGACGTTTGATGATACCAATTATTACTATTATTAGCTAGATTTATATCTATAAAAATTTAAAATTAATAATTTTGATTTAACGTCAAACAATTAACAGGTCAGTAAATTGGATTATTTATGAAGCAGAGATAAGTAAGTACCATCATAGTGCAGTAGCAATCTTCAATAGTCAGTAAAAAGTAATAAAATTAAAATTATACTCATTCAATTATATTTAGCGAAAAGATAGTAGCGTAAATGAAAGCTATAATTAAATGCAACGCAAATATTACTAAACTTAAGATTACTCAATTATAAAAGGCTTAAGCATTAATATTTGGGTGCTCGATTTTAGTATGATTTTCAGTGCTAGAACTAGAAATAAAACTTGGGTCTTTAGAAAGTACAGGATGGCATGAAGATTCGTAGGGTACGCTGTGAACGCAATCTAGGTAATCTAAAGTAAATTTATCTCTAGAAGTTACTGAAATGGCACATTTAGTTTCTGTACCATAATTTTCGGAACGTTCTAAAAATAGACATACGTCACCATCAACAAATTTGACCATCAGTGGTAAATAATTCGAGAGAAATTTCTCTTCCTTCTTGTAGAATTTTTTAGACTAAAAAATTTTTAACAGTTCGGTCAGGAAATAGTATAGAAATTTAATTTAATAAAAGTATTATAGAATGATCACAACGTGATCATGTGAGTAATCATATCAAGAATCACCCAGAGATATTACAGCGTGATTCTGCATTCAACGATATCATTTACAATTACAGTATAAAATTTTATTTAGATGCATCAAGAATTTGATAAGATTTAAAAATTATTCGAGCCTATTAACGTACCACAAAAAGCAGTTCAACCTCCTCCATACGAATTGATGTATCATATTTAACACTTTGAGCGTCCTTTCCATCTGCTAACTTGCCGGCGAGAAAATATCCGATGTCTTCCCCAATCTTATACCCCAATCGAAGAACATTTACACTCGTGTTAGATAGAGATTTCGCATCGGTGATTTTGAAATGATCTTGGTAGTTGTGAGTATAAGGGATAGTAATCAAAATTAATCTAGCTTGCTAGGTTATATTTTATTTGAGATTTTATTTATACCCTGGCCACGTAATAATATAAAAATCGTTCAAGCTTACCTAAAATATCATTTTGTTAGACTTTATACTATTAAATATCGGTAACTGGATAATTAATTTTTTCATCTCTCTACACAGCAAGACTATTTTATGATAATTTACATCAAATAAATTTAATTTTCTTTAATATCAAACTCTGGAAGCAGTATTGTGTAACTACCTGTGAAAATTATTACTATGCATATTATGTGTACAGGGACTAGCGAATATTACTAGCGTTACTTAATTGGCATCGACGAGATTAAAAGCCGAAGATATGGAAAATCGGATAAAACAAGTAATATCTAGATCTTTGAAAGTTGGTATTTGCACTTAGTAAAATCACTTCATAGGATTAAACTAGGGTACAGGACAGATGATGTTATAAAATTCATTTAACTAGGTTTTGTTTAGCATTAGACTAAGAAAGTTAACGTTTCTGTACGTTTGCTTTATTGAACACAATAAGGTAATGCATCAATAAAAATGTAAAATGCGATACTAATTGATAAAGAAGTTAATTTTATGAAAATCGATGTTACAAAGATCACATTAAGGTGCAGAAAATTGGATGAAAATCTTTGTGTCTAAGAAATTCGAACCGGAAAGCAAAATTTACGGTTTAAATATCCTAATTTGGTGCATATACCTCAGTAACTCAATGATACATTACTCAAGTCTGAGAAACTTAATTATCCTTGTCTTGGATGACTTCATAAGAATAATCAAAGTAAAAAATCACAAAAATTAATAGATTAAGCGGCGGTATCACTTAGCTTATGGTAGAAGGTTAGCATTGACTAATATTTTATAGAATCAACTAAAAGGTAAATGTACAAAATTCAACAGATAAGACGATGAGAGAATTAAATGCGAGAAAAAAAGCTAGCTCTGTAAAAGTCATTTTTATAAGATTAATAAACTTAAAACGTAGATATAGGTCAAATGATCGAAACGATGTCACTTAACTGCTCATAGTATCAATGTAATAGAGTGTTTTTAAAATGCATCTTACCGTAACCAGCTCCACGATTTTCTTTACAAACTACTTTGAATGATTCGCAATCGTCAGTTGGGCATGATTCAACGCTTAAATATCCATTAGCTCGTTTGCAGTATAACTGATAAGTGTATTGCTTAAGGTCTTCCTTCTCATTTGGACAATCAACAACATCACCAGAATCTTCAATATTTATTTCTATCAAGAAGCGCTTTCTATCCTCACTTGTGCGATCCATTATTAAAGTACTAAAATGATAGCAGACTTGAACAAATAGAAGCTGTTCCCTTTTTATATATGATCGTGTAATGATTTCAGCTAATGGTAGTAGCACGGTAGGTAGCTAATAGGATGAGATAGCGCCCACGTACTATTTCTAGGAAAGACCTTCGTGTATCACATTAGAAAATTACTCTATTTTCTTGATTCAAATTTTGGGTAAGTAAATTAACCCACAGTAATAGCAGGAGACTGTTCCTCCGTCATTACAGGTCGCAGTAAGAATTTTATTTATTTGTACAGTTTGCACGCGTAAATGTAAACATCAGGGTTTTGTGATTTAATTTGGGAATTGAATTAATTTTTCCTATTTTAATATCTTTCTTAATTCTTCTTGTAGATGCGTAGAACTATTACGAGTATATAATTTAAATATCCAATTCTAAGGTCAATAATTATAAGTAGGGGAAAAGTTGAATTGTTTTTCCATTGCTTATTTTTATGTCTTAGCTTGTAATTTGAAATAATTCAAATTCCCAAATCCTCAATAATTCATCAAACCCAATATTGGGGAACCAAATTGAAAGTTATTTTCCTCGTTAGTAAGCTTAATATATTGAAATTTAGACGTTTTCTACCATTGCTATAAGAATCATCATGTAATTGCTAAATCATAGGTATCTGATACTCAGAAAAAGAAATTGCAAATTATTTTATTCAGAACTTTAAGCCAATTTTTTCGGAACATGTCTACAAAACTCTCACGATATCGCTACAAAGTGTAGTTGTTATTTTACTTTAGCAAGCACAGTTAAGAAATCATCTGGGCATCATTTGCAATTGAGTTTTAAGTGAATATTGTTCTTGAACATGTTTCACGATTACATTTATCATGTATGGTTTCGAATGAGATACAGTTATCTGAAATAATAACTTTGACATATTACAGTAATTCTTCTATTAACATTATTGATCAAGTCTGTGAATACATGAAATTTTCATCTGGCCCACCGAAAAGAGGAGTAAAGTTTTGTAATTATTACGTTCTTATTATTACTGTAAATCTTTGTTAGTATAGTAATTACTTTAGAAAAGCTATTCTCTAGTAAATTAATTTTTAGTTATCGTCATTTTATAAGGAAGATTGATTTTTATAGCATTCTAAGAATTATTGGGTGCATAAATATCTAAGACAGATTTCTATCGCGGATAGCAAACATTATAACTATCACAACTCTCTTGCTTCTATCATTTAACTTCAAAAATTATAGTCGTACCGGAGAGGAATCCCCATGGATAATTATCGTCATTACCCTAGTGATAATTATATCATAACAATTTTCATCTCTATACAAAATTCTTTACTGTAATCGCAGTAGGATGTATTCACATGATAATGTTGATTGACATACGGCACTGTCACAAAACGTCGGTATTTGTAACAAGGGTAAACCTCAGAGAACATGGTCGAGAAGAAATTGAACGACTACGTTTATTTAAATCTAAACAACATAGACAATAGTCAGAGGCAACAGCGGGGAAAAAATCACTATTAGGGTAAGAAATGCGCTCATTTATATAGCACTCTCTTATCCTGTCGACAAGTAAACAAGTTTAGCGTAAACAGATTAAGGTACCTACAGATTACTATGAGAGACAAGGTTAATAACTTAGTACGACCATTTCATAATGAAGCCCAAGATCTATCTTGTGGATGATCCCTCAAGTAACAATGATTATCATAAAAACATATTCTAATATGACACTAACAAATCAATGTTATTGTATACTATAAGAAGTAAACCTACAATAACAACAATATATAATATATGACCAATCTATCAAATACGGAGAAGTGATCACATCTAAAATATAGCAATAGTATAAAATACGACATACACATAATAATAAAATTACTAAATAACTATAGCACTTTACCGGAAAAAAATGGAACTTTATTACTATTTCGAAATTAAGGTAAAAGTAAAATCGTCTCATAATATTAGTTCATTGAATTTATTAAAGTAAGTAACGTGATAATAAGGTTAGCGCTAAATCGTGATATACTGGTGCAACTAGTCAAAAATAGGTAACAGGTTATTAACTATTTAGTGTGAATCCGTTCATAGACAAAGTTACAGAGTTTATTCTTACAATAATAAATAATTGAAGACATGAATGAGCATTCCCACATCATTTCCAATTTCCATAACTTTACTACAGTCTGAGCTAATGTATGCAGTATGTATCATTTTTATATACTACCTACTCCTTTAACTGGATGCATATGTACTTGATATAGATTGCGTTAGTTCGTTCATCAATCAATAGTTAGCTTATTTCTAGTTTACGGATTATTCTTAAATCTGGAAGAATTAAGGCGAAATAAGTTGAGTACATTTTTAACTACACTTTATAAATACGAATTGAGTAATTGTGCTATTTGATGAGAAATTGTATATTTGCTATGCAATGAAAATAATACTCTGAGAATTACAAATCATCAATATACTATACATCACGGTAAATACTCTTAACTTCCGATCACTAGAAAATCAGGGATGGACAAATCCAGTACATTTCCATATCTTCACACTTGTAAATTATCACGTACGCTTATTGACTCTATCTGTCGTATTGTAAACATTATTAGCTTATTTAGTTACCGTCGAGCATGAAATAGGTGAAAGTCAAGCTACGGTATTCTCTAGCTCCTTCTAGCGACAATAGTAATATATTGATATGTTAGAAATTAAAGACTGCGGTAATTAGCGATAAATAAAATATTAATTATCCCCACGCTTAGCTGTAATGTAACTCTGCAAGTAGATGGTAAAGCTTATGATACTTAATATCATATACTATGAATTTATCTAGTTTACCTGGCGTTTCTAAGTAATAAGAATACCGCAACAACATACGGTCAAATAATTTTAGAACAATCTAAATATGTTGATAGACTTGGCTAACACTTTACCAAATCGATTCTTGCATTAAAGTTGTAATTTAAGTAGCAAAATTTATCTTTTAGCTCCTTTATTCATCATAATGAATTAATGACAGTATAATAAGAACATAAAATCATTAAACAACATAGCAGTATAAGATTAAGCTTATAATAGGATAAAATACATTATGTCATGCAATTTTTGGGCTGTAATAGTAGTTGATATAAGAAAGAGACAAACACCATGATCATGGATTAAACTTACTAGAACAAAATTTTCACAGGCTTTAAATCTTACATTTTAAAGCTTACAAGTACCAAAAGTAATTTAGTTATCACAAGCTATAGATTGCCTTACAATGATGTATTAAATACGGCACTTTTATATAATTTAAAAACTCCATTAATCAATTATGAAGTCTTCGATGGTATTAGCATATATCTCTATGTTACCATACACTTTCTTATACTTCATTAGAATAAAATTTACGGATGACTTTAAGTTACAGTAGTTTATGATATCTTCTTAGAGATCATCATTAATTGTTATATAGGTATGACGAAAGAAAATATAGGATCGCATAATATGATGCTCGGACAACAATGTAATTTGATCATTTAATACTGAAAAATTTATATGCAATCTATTCCCTTGATATTAGGATTGTTTAATATAACAATATACATGTTAGATATTATTTAAATTTAAAATAAAAAGAAAGCTTATTCTGGAAAGTGTGAACATATTTCGGCCATCAAATTCAAGATTATTGAAAATACAATTAGAGCATTTAGTAGGATATCTACAGTATACAGAAAGACTATGCAATAGGCTCAGTACTAGCGCTTCGATTGTACTCAATTGTAGATATAGCGTCATCATCTGTATCAGTCATCGCTGCTTCCAATTTCTTGCTCTCATGCCATATTAGAAATGGATAACCATAAGCAATGATACTGACAATAAACAATGCAATGTTGATCTAGATAATAATTGTAGATACAATTAGAGGCTAGAATAAATTCCATATGAAAAGTTAGTCTAAATTTAATCGAATATCACGATATTATGATTTAAATTTATTGATGATACTAATAGCGTAGCTAGTATGTGGCTACAGCATCTAACTTATTCCCAATTTCATAAAGATATTGTATCTAACATGTGCGATATAATTTATCTCTTGGTCTAGTACACTGCTAAATAACAAGTTTCAATTTATTGAATGAAATCCTTTTATCTTTATGAGTTGATAGTATAGCCAAGCTTGTTAAACCACTGAATACGTGAAATTATATTTTGTTAAGAATCCGATAGTCTTTACAAAGATTACTTACTCACTTTAGGGTGTATGTAACAGAAGCATATGGACACATTATACGTGTCCACTACGTCATAGTATACAGATATTTGGTCTAATTAAGATATGTTCATTAATTAGATTTATTTTGATTAGCTAATAATGGTTAACTTACCCAGAAAGGATCTCCTCCCAAGTTTACCCGGATTAGAATAAATAAAGGAAACTGTAAGAGGCTAAAGAGAGCAGCCACAAATAAGGAGACTCCAATAAGCGTGCTGTGATGTTCAATTGGAAATCTATTTGAAATACAAAAAATTCATTTATAATAAATTAGATTATAACATTCAAATAGACTCTGTTATAAATTTACTGCTAGTGATTACTTAGTTAATCATTATTTATTGATCAGATTACAAGCTAATGTATTGATAGAATAGAGATGGAATGATTACATTTAACTTACGCGATGGCGATAAAGCTAGAATTCGCCGAATAGATAAACGCTCTGATGATAGTGTGTAGTAAAAATGAAATGTACTATAATTTAAAATGCAAAATTGAACATTGATAATTAGTTATTTTTAATATTATTAAAAGGTAGTCTTTACGCGGATATATTATTCCAACATAAAAATATGCAGAAAAAGAAATTAAATGGAAAATTGTTGCTTCATTTTAGAAAAAAAGGAATCAAATATAAGTCTAATCCATATTTACCTGAAGTTCTAAGACCGGAATAACGGTGACAATTCCAAATAAAACAGTCATAGTATTTATAATAAAATAAGCGATTGCTGACGACGTCATTTGAACTACTTCCACTGGATTGGATTCACTTAACTTAAAATCCATAAGTAAGCCAATGCCAATAGATGCAATCATACCAAACATTTGGACCCAGCCGAAAGCGTTTGTGTAGGCAGTAACTGCAATATTTAAGGTTGATAATTAGAAAAAATATTTTTTCCTTCCATATCCATATGTTAGTAATAAATACATATATGTAAAGGCCTCAACATGTTTGCTATTTCTTTATAATCTTTAGAAATATTGAGTAATCATTTCTATACGATTTCAATATTGCCTAGAAACAATTAGCTAATATTTCTATACGGTTTAGGAACAGTTTTGTATTGTAATACTTAACTATGTCCAATCGGCACGTCTTAGGGTATGAGATTGTTATTTATAATGGAATAATTTAATGGGAAAAACTGGGTATTAATAATACCTACTGATAGATATTGGGATAGTCAATTTATATTTGTAGTAAAATTACTACATTGGTAATCAATACTAAAATATTCATTTATAGATAGTGTTCTATTAAGGAATGGGTACTTGCAGACTTACTGTTGCTTACGATATAATTTAGTGTCTCATAATACCATTTAGTTGTTAACTTCTTACAATTTATGATTCTAGCGAATATGACTCGAGCACGACATATTTTAATAATCTTACGTTAGTCATAATTTTATTTCATAATCTCTGAATATGGTATATAATTTAACATAATATCAATTGAGTATATCCTAAGGGGTTGGCTAATTCTTTCTACTAGTAAAATGAGACTAAGATCCTACTTGTACGTAATTTTAAATATCCCCCAAAATTAGGGAACATAATGTCTACGTATTTCAAAGATGGCATACTTTGATCATTAAAAGGAAGTGGAAATCTTAACTTACCTACATCTGGCTGACTATCGGTTAAATAATCTAAAAATGAATAAAGTGATCCAATAAAGAAAACAAGACGTAGCTGAATGAGACCAAGATACAGGCAATGGCAGATAAATAAAGGCGATCTTATAGCCGCCTTCCAGTTGAGCATATAATCACTTTTAACTGATAAACTGCTATCACTACGTATTCGCCGAATAGATCTCTTCTTGCGAGATACCTCTCGTTGCAGCTTGGGGTTATGATTGGAATCTGTATTGGATTTAACAGAATCGCTACGAAATTTACGTGCACGCTGTCTCATCTCTCTTTTTCTATTAGCTTCAGAAATTGTCTTTAATCTAGCTGTATGAGTAGCTGGAACTGCAAACGCGTTTCCTAAAGAATAGATATTATAGCGAGAATAGTTGGCCCTGCTGTCTGTCATGCAACGAGGTAATTTGAGCTGAGGTAATTCGATATCATCATTAGCGGCAAAATTACTGTCTCTTCGCGTTGGAATATATGAGCGTCGTCGACTTGATTCTTTACTATCTTGTCGTAGTAATTGCGCTAAGGTATTCGATCTAGTTCTATGACCAATTGCACCATGTTGGTCATCACTCTCCTGGCAAGATTCAGTCTAAAGAGGTAAAAGCGATTGAATAATATTAGATTAACCCAATACATCGAGAGTAACGAATTTGCTATATACATACCCTCAGATCTTCTTCGCTATTGGCTCTTGTAACAGTAATATCAGGAATAGCATAGGAATCTTGTTCTTCTGCGATGGTAGAAATTGTAGCTTTGCGAAGAGTAAAAGGCGAAGATTTTAGCTCTCTATCACTATTAGCCAGTGACGACAAGTTCTTTAGATCTTCTTCTGAAATCCCATCACCTGACATGTTATAATTTTCCTGTATTTTAGCCACCACCTTTTGGTTATCATTATTTTGATGAGTATTGATTAATCCCACTTCAGTCTGTTGACTAGTTTGATTAATATCTTCTAACCCTTGAAGCTGGTTATTCGATAGCCAAGCTTCAGTTCGACAATAACTCTCATCGGTTGAATCTTGCTTTAGATCTTTTGCTTTTATGGCTTGGTTATCAATATCCTTGTTCTCGGAATTTGCTGTAGTGTTGTCATTTGGATCTGATTGTTTTTGGCGTAAGGGTAAATATTGTTCTTGATTTGTAATCCATTCTGTAATACCACTCTTGTCGACTTCTGTATTAGAGAATTTTTCGCGAAATTTTTCATTGTCAAATAGCGAATTAAGATGATATGCCGAAATACTGCTACAGGCAGAACTGTTACTTCCAACCGGAGACGCTGGTTGACTTTTTGCTTTTATTTTGCTATGAAATCCTCCATGAGAAGTTGTCTGAGTATGTTTCGATGTCGATTTTAGTAATGCTCCATCATCTACAGTCATTCTTTTGCTTTTTTTATTTGCCTTGTTGCTACCGAATAGTAATGCATTTAAGTTATAAGCAGATATAGTGCTACCATTTGAAACAACACTTCCTGTTGGCGACTGTGGACAGCTTCGATATCCTGTATTACTAGCACCGTTCGAGACACTGGATCGATTATTATTATGATTGAGTTGCTCTTTAAAGAATTTGTTAGCAAGGACAACCGATGAAACAGATCCATTATCGCTCTTCTCATCGCCGCTATCATCGGCATTAGCTATATTTCCATCTTCAGCATTAGTAATAGTCACACTAACACTTTGTAAGGGTGCCGTATAGTTTTGAGCTTGTACATTTAGATCGTTTGTTGGATGGGATTCTTGGATAGTATAATCTGTAAAATTATCCTCAAAGAATAGCGCATTTAAATTATAAGCGGATACACTACTTGCTGCTGAGCCATTGCTGCCAGCTGGTGACGCTGGTAAACTTTTTTGATCATTAGCGTTGTCTCTGGTAGGTTGGCGTTCAAATGGATCGATGGTCAAGGAATGGATTGATATTGCATCGTTGTTTTCTTCTTCACACTCAAAGCAATTGTTAGATTCACTGTTAGGTAGAGCTACGCGGCCATCTCTTGCTAAAGAATCTACTTCAAAATCGTTTGTCTCGGTAGATTGTTGACGACCTTGTAAATTAGCCAGTACATCTTTAGGATTAACTAAATAGAGTGGATCAGCATCAACGCTTAAACTTCTTCTTGACAGTCGATGTGCGTTTAAGTCACTAAACTTTTGATCCTTTGAACCAAAATCTCGATGATTTTCATTTTTAAATCCAACTTTAGTCGTCATATTATCAGTATCCTGAATATTGATGACTGGTAAATTCATACTTTGAGCATAACTACTCCTGATAATAGTCTCATTATCGATACTTTTAGGTTCCAAAATTTCGTAATTGATGATACTAGGATCGCTATCCTCTTTAACTATATCACTAGGAGGGTAGCTATCACTCAAATTGATCGAATGCGATACGCTTAAATAGCTACAACTGCGTTTGATTTGATCACTATCTGCAAGATCCTCTTTAAAGTATTCGGTCATATCATAACTGACGGAAACGGAATCAAAAAGTCTGCTGCGTCTGCTGACGTTTTGACTAGGTTTGTTCATGTGATTGATTGTTTTAGAATGGATTCCCAATAAGCTAACATTAACAACCTCCAGTGCATGAAAGATATAATAATAATTACCAAGGATACCACTAGTAATACTGTTATATTCTGCATCAGGTGGTAAAATAGGTTTTGCTGGAATAAAGACTATTGTATTAATCACTGTAATAAAAGACAAGGCAGTCCAAATCAAGAATAGAGTACTTCTGCTTATGCCAACATCATAAATGAGCTAAATTGTTTCATTTTTTAAATTAAAAATGAAAATAATCATTATTTGGCTATATTTTAATGATGAGCTCTATCAATATATATATATATATAATTGATGTCAACTATCTGTTTAGATTGAGTTAAGCTAGAAAAGAAGCGTAGAAATCATCACCTAGTTATAGCTTCAACGATATTAGTAAAGTGTAGTATCCTACCTGAAAGAATAGAAAGATAGCTGCAGATGCATCAAAACTCCCATTAATGATACTAATAACCGTAGATCTTTTCGTCTTGAACAGATTGCCAATCTTAATAAGAAAAGCAGATATAAAATCTATTAGTATAAAAGCATTAATGCTGTGCTATGATTTACAGTTTCAGGCCGATACAGCAGATTGACGAAATAAGCTTAGAAACATTACATTCTATATAAAATTACAGTTATTGGACTTCGATGTTAATTTGCTATAATAAGCTAGTTAATGCAAATTCAGTGTACGGATCATAACATTGCTTTTTATTAACATATGTACTTATACATATTATCATAATATGATACTACATTAAAATAAACATCAGTATTCACGAGAGATAAAATTATAGTCATCAGACTTCGACATGAAATTACTGAATTAAAAAACCATTTTACGAACTATCTGTTAGTTATTGAAGAACTGACTTTTTACCATCACCATCTTTATAGAAGCTACAGATATAATTGTGATGTCACGTCTATAATATTAATATTCGTACAATATGAGATGAAGTATTGCTAACTAATACAGTAATTTATTGCCTGTATGTAGTAAGGATTACTACAGTAAGATAAATCAGCTATGCCTTACCTGAAACAGAGATAGAAGGAAGTACATACCAGCTGTACTGCATAAAGATAGTGCAGGAAATAATAGTGATGGAGAATCTATATTACAGAGTAAAAGGAGAATGAACGATATCCAAGATTAAATAAAGGTATCTTAGGATACACAGTATGATTTAGGGCTAGTAGTACTGTAATAATTTAGAAATGATATTAATATCATACCTCTAGTTGCTAACGCAAGCATAAGGAAGGAACTCATCAATAGAATACTATCAGATAAGAAGAAAACAATATTGAGGATATGAAATCATTGCATAATTAGAGTTAGTGGATATTTGGTAATTTTTATCATGTATAAATCGTGATATTTTTATAATAAAAAGTGTGCAGATTTCATTGAGTCAATAGCAAGTTGGTGATGAATATGATGTGAGTATTTATTTAAATTGTCGGCAAACAGGAACGTCTTCATATTAAAGTAAGCTCTAAATTTAACTGCATAAAATAGCTGAAATAAGTATAAGCCATACAGTTAATATTGAAAATTCATTGGTATAATTACAGAATTATACTATAAATGTTGTAACAAATTATAAACAGGAGCTTTATGTTAAACGTTGATATCAGTAATAGCAGAAGAAGATACCAATAGCGAATAGCCTACAGTGGCGCTACTGCCGAACAGGTACTCCTATTTTTATGTATTTGTATGTTGGCGTAAAATTAGACAAATTTTAGAAATTGAGTAAGAAGTTATGATTAACCAAAAGTAGCAATTAATAGCAAGTGAGCGGTATGATTGAATCCGAAAAGTCTTTGCCATAAAAACTGTATTAATATTCTTTCTAGTGCGCGGATTAGAGATTCCAGTGTACATGTTTATTATTAAAGGTGTCAAAAAAGTATATGAAGGTACTCCAGTAGTAGCACTAATAAGAAGCAAACACTTGCTAGGCAGATATAATGTAGCCGTCCATTATTAACAGTTTATGAGAATTGGCGTTTTACACTAGTAAAGTGAGATCTTTGTGATAATATAAAAAATATCGATTTCAATTTTCGCTATGTTACAATAATAATACTATATTGTTTTGACAGATGTGGGGAATAGAAATAATTCATAGACACAACTAAGACGCATTATAGGTTAGTAACTATTGTCTGCTAGGTAATTGGGAGGGTCTTAAGGAGAAAATAGCTCAAGGTATTATCTGTGCCACCGTTTCATCATTTGGCTCTATTAATTTTAAATTAAATTGGAATCCGTTTAGCAGGAAAGCTAGTGATATTATGTAGCGCTGCCAACTTAGGATTGGTAATTTATTTATTATGATACGTAGAAGCCGATTTCAGTGAATGATTTTGTAGTATAAATACAATTATGTGACTGTTCGAATAGATCTACTTAACGATAAACTTCTCTAGAGGCCAGGACTAGATAGTATAATTGAGGCTTCAATAAGTACTATTTAACTCAAATGTTTACTGCGGATGGGACGTTGCAATAAAAAATAGCGACCATTAGATTACGTGAATGATATAGATAATTTCCAGCTATGTGGTATTACAATAAATATAATTGACCTTAAAATGGCACATATATAAAATGTTACATACAAAAAACATCGTAGCGGGATATTAAAATTATAATAATAAGCTTAGAGATTGTCTGATAACTACTTGTTAAATGTTGTCGTTATAATCTTTGAATTACAACTAAAATACAGCCGAGGTAAGACAGCAAAATAGCGTATCTATCATGAATAAATATCATGAACATTCATTATTACCTCGCAATAAAGCGCATATTACGTGGACCAAATCGATCTATAGAAAAGCCAATGATCACCAAGACAGCGTTCGGGACAAAGACCGATACAGTAAAAACAGCTTGCAGTATTTCACTTTGTGGAAGGCAAGTGATATTTGAACTGATCATTTCATGAGCATGAAAAGTAACGTTGAGTTCAGGGCACAGTTCAATCCAAAATCCTTCTGCTTTGAGGACATAAACTAAATTTGCCCAACCAAAAGTTATTCCACAAAATAAAAGAGCTTCCAAAACTCCCATCGCCACTAGCGCATAGCGCCATTTGACAACATCGACTAAACTATCTTCTAGCCATTTGAATGTAAACAATTTAGTAAAAAACTTGTTCATTATGTTAGAGTGTAGTCGTGTATTCACAGATTTAAATGTCTTAAATTGCAATTGTAATGATGTCAAATCTCTGATGAAACGGTTTCAGATTGGCGATGTTACAGGATATAAGCTTTTGAAGATATATAATAGCGCTAGATAAAATAAAAAATAGGATAATCAACGGGTTGGTAATTGATGGCTTGTAATTAAGAGCAGTTATTACTGCTAATTAAGTGACAAAGTTTCAGTCTTTTTTCTATCCTTATTTTTGTAGAAACACTAGTTTTCTATCATCAGTTCTTGTAAATAATGTTAATTCGGGTATTTTCTATATTATACTGTAGGATAGTGTTGGAAGTTTTCGCTATTATTCAACTGAAACTCTTTGAACTCTATCAGGAGTATATACACGGTGAAATGGAAGATTGTGAGGATAGATAATTAAAATGTAGAAAAAAATCCAAATGAGTTCATCCACGGTTGTTGGATAGTTTAATTAGAAAGTAATAAGACGCCACAAATAGTAATTGAAATTAATTAAATGAAGTAAAATGATTGAACTTAGAAAAATACTGGTGAAGATAATGTAGACAAAAGCGCCGACTAAAGAAATTATGCAATAATATCCTACTGTCTTAAAATTATTCAAATTTTCATACACTCTAAATTATTTTACTTTTTAGGTGCTCGAATTACTAGTATTGCTTAAAATTTCACTCTAGTAGTTCTAGTTGATTGAAGAATTCGTTGTAGAAGAATAACGGAGGAATGGATACAGCAATAGAAGATAATGAATGCCAGAATGACGATGACAGGTGGTCGAGAAAAAAGTTGGTCTTATTGAAGAGATAGGCACATGAGATAGTATGGAGTAGATGAAAAAGAAACATCAGTCATCATCGAAAGAAATATAAGCAGGGTGAATTTGGTGGAATATTTGATGCCAGTACTGTCTATCATATAACGTTAATAGGTCATTATCATGGAAATAGATCGAACAATAAATAGATAATCTAAAGAATAGCTGCCTCGTCCTCACCCCTTCTTATGTATAAAACATAAATTATTATCTATTCTATTTAATTTCAATCCATAATAAAGCAAATTTAGAATGTATTAAATTGATAATGGCCAATATAAAGGCATAAGGACGTAAATAAAAAAAAATAAAAGGTAAAATTTAGCGCACTGCACACAGTACAATCAGTTCACATGTAAATCAGATAGCTATAGATTTGTATTCATAAAAATCAATATCAACTTCTTTATATCTATATCTATAGGATGATAGAATGGGATGTCTTTCTAGACTAAGATCGAACTTCATGTTGAAATCGTAGCAGAAAATTAGTAGTTTAATGCTAACATCGCTATAACTTTATACTTGAGAAAGAGCAGATAAAGATAATTTGATAATGTTCGTTTCAACGTATGATTATGCTGAAATTACATGTGCCGTCCATATAGAAAATTCGATAACTACAGCACTTGCTATGATTTGATTTAAAATTTTTATCCCTTGTAAAACTCTTTTTAATGACGGTTTTTTTTGTTCCTCTTTGCATTAGAGAGATTGAATCGTAAATTAATAGCTAAATTAGATAGGCATGGCCTTGAATAATGGTTTCTAACCCTTGCATATTTTAATAAAATATCTATTATTGGGATGATCCTTAACATCTATAAGTAAATAGTTCTACGTGGTTCTAACTATTGTTGTATTGATAGAATTAGTTAAATAGATCATAATTTAATGGGTAGTCATGTCATGGTCATCATTATAAATATTATAACTCCAATTTGGTTACTTTAGTTGTCAACGTCTAATATTCCATTCTATTAATGTTTTTTTAATCTGGATCAATCTTACTTTATAAACAATCAGCGTAAGATATCGATTTCGATGCTACCAACCTTCTCATTATATGAACACGTCACATTTCAACAATAATGAAGACATCTCAATAACATAACAAATTATTGTCATCAATCAGTATATCATAGATGCTATGGTCCCTAAATACAGCTAATGACAATAAATGTAACCAATCAATCATAACTGGGCAGTCATTATTGCCAAAACATAAGCCACCTAATCTAAGTGTATCTAATTGTATTATTTAATCAACAATCAACTTTATTATAGGATAGAGTAAATGCATCCATCGACACAGTATCACGTGGCATTAGCCTATTACCGGTAGTAAATCAGTCATTGTCCATGATTGGGACTATAGATTGTTTAGAGTGGCAAATATGATATATTTAATATAGAAAAGTTTTAACTGACGTATAGAAAGGGCGGAGGAATTACAAGAGGAGGAGAATCTTAATGGCCTGATAATTTATAAGCTTTGAATCAAAATAATTTCTATCCCTTTCTAGCCAGTTTATGGATAGATGTATTACTCATACCAACTGTATGCGAAGGCAGTAATGTTCATGATCATTATAATTCTTCTTTGTTCTTTTCTGACGAGAAATATAAAATTGAATGACTATTATTCGGTATGCAAACATAATCATTACATGATGCTAACCTAGCAGTCATTATAGTTATCCAGTTACCGTACCTGGAAAGCATGATAAGGCATAAATTTTTTATTAACTATAATTTTTATTCGGAATCGATTTAAACTGGACTGATAATGCTATTAAATTAAAATAAACATGGATTAGAGTAAGCAAGCAGGACAATAGTTCACATACTGTTATGAATCAATGAGAATATATGCTGTTTTAAAAATCCATCAAAAAAATAATTATCGCGCTGAGAATAGAACAATGTCTACATGTAACTACATAAGAGGTAAAAAAAATGCGTTTTTAAATGATCCAATTGAAATTTTATCAATAATGACATACCATATCCGGATAAGAAAAGCTGGGATATGATCGTATTATATCATACACTATTTATAAATCAATGGAATTTAATGTTATAATTGGTATGGCAGAAGAGTTGTCATTGACTGACCCTAGCCATGTGTATTTAAGAATAAAATGTGATTTGAACATTATTGTGAAAAACTTATGATAATGATTCGCAATTAAAATTTTTTATTATGCCGCCACCTATCAGTGCTAATAGCTTTTGCGGTATCTTCAAACACCTTTTATCTGAGAATTTTATATTCAGAACTGCGAAATAAATTTGCATCAGGATCGATTGTAACTAAATATTAGTTTAAGAAGTTTAAGACTAACTGACTGTAGTCCTTGGACTATATTGCAATTTGAGATTGTTAATTATTAATAAGCAAGATTTTATTTTATTGAACCATTAGTTCTAAATAAAGTCTAGATTACTTACCGCCATTGAAGACGTTACAATATAAGGTTCAGTGCTAACGTAATAGAATTAAGATGATTTCAATTATAATTTGTTAGAGAGTGAATCTTGATCGATTATTGATTCAATTTAATATCTTTAGATCTAATTACAACGATAAGAAAAATAGTAGTTGATTATTTTTCCTTTATATAAAATTTATCTTAATCATACATTGCAACTATTGCAGCTTCTGAGGTATAGGTAGATCTAACAGCTTCATCAATTAAGTTTGAACTTTGCAGCCTATTTACTAATAGAAAGCCTCTTTGTCTAAGCAAGAGTTGAAAGTTAATAGCAAGCTATAATTACTGCCAAGGTGAAATTTAATTAGTATAAAGGATGCCTCTATATTAATTGAATTATTAATGATTCGTATAGCATTACCGTAAAGCAAAGATCTCGTCAGAAATATTTCCTTTCGATGATTTCTTCTTTAGTTTTGATATAATTAAGCATAGATCACGTCTATGACCGCGATTAAGGCATTAAATATTGCAGTTGTTGGAATTATTTGTAAAAAATATTAATATTCAAAAGATTTTAGACGGAAAATGCTCATTCTTCAACCTTCGATGTCTGTAATTACTGATACGAGTTTAACTTATTGCATTCTGGCAGATTATGATAATTAATCAAACGAGAACAATCCCCCATTTACGTAAGATCAAAATATAAGGTCTTTGCACGTACAGAGTCTCAGTATATTAGCTAAATGACTATAAATCGAGCAAACAAGTAATCATGTAGGTTGCCTATAGATTATATGCCGTTCTAGATTCAAGGTTATTGTCACTTTAAGAATAATTACAACTGCATAAATTTCTCAATTTTTTCATCTGTATATTTTTGCTAAATTATAAAGTGATCTGATTTTTCCCTTATTTATCATAAATTGAAGTCGTTAAATATTATGTAGGTTACAATTTATGCTATATATTATAAATATAAAACGATTAATATTCCTATCTATGAGGCTTTGAAGAAATCACGCTTCAAAATGCCTAAACCCCAAAGTTTGCTTTATTTGTCCTCAGGATTCGCCATGGAAGTAAGGACGTCGATGGCAAATTAAATATTAATCTGCCTAATCAACGATACAGGAATATAATAATAAATTATTAGAGCTACTATAAAACACTAAATTAGTGTAATTTACAATATAAACATTAATTGTTGTAGCTATGAATTATTTGAGCTATTTATGTACCTGATATGAAACTTAAATTACAGTATCCTTTAATCGAAGATGCATGATTTAGTAGAGCCAAGGTTCTTCAGTTTTCAGCTAATTAATAGAGCAAGGATATCGTAATGAAATATTAACACTTTTATATAGGCGATAATATCCAATAGCTAAGTCTTGTCGAATATTATTCTATATCTAGATTACTAAATTTACTAATGGCAAGTAGATCATCATTGCTTTCCGATTCAGGAAACTGTATCGTTTTATTTACGATCCTATAATGATTATAGTTAGAAATATTTTTGTGTGGATACGTCAAAATACAAACTTTATTATCCCACGTTCACTATAGTAAATGTGGAATAGTTATGATAGGACTTGATAGGACTAATCTCAAGGCTGTTCATAACTATCATACCTATGCTATCCAGTTTTGGAGGCTACTTCCGCAAACAGGATCATGTACTATTTGGCAGAAACAAAAGTTTTTAGGGTAATTTTATCTTCTATAGTGAAAACTTTGCTGGAAGAAAGCAATTACAGGTTAATCAGTAGGGCACTCCATCTATTGCTCTTCATTTCAAAGCAAATGCATTTATTAGAACACACACTTATGATTTGTGTTTACAACCAGATCATTACTCTAAATGCAACAGAGTAGAATTAAAAGTAAAGCGTAGCAATAAATTCAGTCCATTTAGAAATAAAATGAGCTTCGATATCGAATTGTGTCGCTGTGTTAGCTTCTAGTATTAGCATGGAATAATATCACTACGTCTCAACATTTGTGTCATTCTGCATCGTTCTCGATGTGATCTCGATAATCAGCATCGACATCAGGACGGAAGTAATGTTATGCTATATACAAATGTAACACACGTTAACTAACTGCTTTCAAATAGTAGCATAAAAAGGTTAAAGTCTTATCTAAATTATGAATGTAAAGTAGATTTTTGTGATATCAAATAGGTGTTTATTCTGCATCTACTTGCAGTTATATCGTATTTTTATCATGATATCGAACGTTCATATTTAAATATAATTTTAATATTGTTCTTTATATTTACATCATCTCTGAAGTGTGCTAAATAAAAACATGAAGTGCTATAAGTACTATAATTACATTTAATATATTTGGAAATTATGATATTCAAAGTCAAAATTGACAGAAAGAATATTATTTGCAAGTAATGAGGCACTAAATATATACTGATGCTATAGGCAATGATGGAAATTATTTTATGAGCATACTCAGCAGTTTCGTAAAGAATTTAAGATTAAATGTGGTACGATTGCAATTATAATCACTTTAGCAACCCTATTATTTAAAATGTTGATAAATTTATACAGTTTTAAAATGAAAAATTTCTACTCTTTCTAGCTAGTGGCTCTTACGCAGAGCATTAATCTTCACGTATAATAATAACAATTTGTGCGAAGTTAATTGGAAAGAAATATCACAAAGATATAATATAGTTGGTATCAAGAGAAGAGCGTAACGAACATTAAATAGTGCACTTTATTAGAATACATTATTAGTAAAGGTTAATTTTGGATATCAATGTTTTTTATGAAAGCATTGCAGTGCCTTATATCAGTAGTGATGTATTGTAAATATCATACTCGTGTACAAGGCTGACAGGTAACATTTTGTTAATATTATAATCTTGACTCCCAGTAGGTATATCAATTGCGGTCATCGAATGGGAAATGGTCACACTTTCTCTCTAGCTTTACAGATTGAAGAGCTTAATATTGACCTGATAATTATTAATGACAAAAGCAATATATAATTTCAACTGAGGGAAGACTAAATTATTTCATTTTTAACAACACAAGCATCATGAACAAATTGGCAATCTGTCTTTCAATTTACCCGCAGATTTGCTATACCGACTACTTCAGAAAATTTGTAGCAGTGCATCGCTTTTATTTGTTACCAAAATTTATCACGTTGTTTTATTTAAGATAATTAAGTAAAATACATGTTACTATCAAAACGGTTACACTGAAATATATTTTATCTTAGCTATTAATCTATTCAATACCATATATAAAGAAAAAGTTAGTTGCTTTTTGATTGCTCATTTAAAATCACAGGTTTTATCGTAAAGCAAACGTGATTGATGAAAAATTACAAGTTGTATTAATAGTTATACATGAAAGTAGCCTATGCTTCAGATAATCTAAGTTGCCTTGACGGTTGTAACATTCCGCTATATATAATAGGTCTGATATCTAGTTAAGAAATATTTTTAACTATCATAACTTGACTCTGCGACGAGGAAAGGTAAAATAAAAGTCTTTAAGTAACTACTGACTTAATTAAACGCTCTTCTATGGAACGTTAAGCACACACAACAAAGTACGCAAAGACAGATCTTTTAATAGCATAGACACATCCATAACTTTTCACAACCCACTTCTTACTCGAAATATTTCCGTTGATATAGGAGCGGCCTAACTTATAAACAACAACAGCATTACTATTATACCTTACTGGGAACTGAGATGCTCCTCACAGAGCTGTTCTATCAGTAACTATTTTTCACCTATTGCTCATACCCAATCTTAATCTAAGCATGAATGTTATCTAGTTCAAATATCATTAGCTAGAACTTGAATCACTTTACTACTATCTATACACTACAACCACCAATATCAAATATATAATAAACTATCACAAATAATATCCACGCTATGGCAGTACTTACCTTACCTAACACTACAACTATGGATATTTTCCTTATTAGCTACTAATGTGCTGTTATGCTATCCTAACAGTAAGATAACACCGTAGTATTAACCAACCTTAACGATACTGTCACAATTTAAACTCTGCGACAAGGAAACTTAAAATAACAGTCTATCAGTAAGTACTGACTAAAACGCTCTTTTACTAAACATTAAATACACACAGCAAAGTACCGTAAAGACAGAACTTTTATTAGCATAGACACATCTACAACTTTCAACTTAAAATGTTTCCATTTATATAAGAACCACCTAACATCTAGACATTAACATCATTATTATTATACCTTACTAGGAGTAACGTCTTGAATTGAAATGTTCCTTAAATAGCTTTTCTATCAGTAAACATTTTTAACCTATTACTCATACTCCATCTTAATTTAAGCATATATGATGTCTAGTTCAACTATTATTAGCTAGAACTTGAATCATCTTACTACTATCGGTACATATCAGCAGTCGATATCAAAAAGTAATAAACTATCACAAATTATATCCACGTTAAGATATGACTTATCTTACCTAGCACTACAAATATGGATACTTTCCATATTAGCTACTACAGTACTATTAAACTATCTTAATGGTAAGATAACACCGTACCAGATATGAAAAGTGCCAGCTCAAACTGTCAGGTTTAGGTCTACCCTATCAACACTGTAACTAGATGCTTTCTAAGTCTATTTTGATGAATTTGGCAGTTTTTCTTTGTTTCTTGGAGGTTTACAATATTGTATCTAATTGGTTTCGATTTCTCTTCTTCTTTTATCAGATGTATTTTTAGGTAACTCATGCCACAGAAAATATTCTGTTTTTTTGAACATATCAAAATTTTTATGTTCGCGTTCTCTTCTTGCGAGGTTCTCTGTTTCACCTACATACAGAACTTCATCTCTAGAATCAGTAATCATATAAACGCCTTGTCGTTCTGGTGGTGGATTGGATCCAGAATAATTGTTTTTCTCAAAATCTTCAACAAATAACATTCTCTCTAATAGTCTTCCTCGAACTAGATTAATCTGCTGTTGTGTACATACAACAAATTGTCTATAAAAAGAAGTTTACTATGGTAAACAAAGAATAGTGTAGCAAAGGACTAAAAAATTTAGTTCGCGTTGGGTCTTATATACCTTCACAGAATTGCAAAAGCTTTCGGTTTCCGAAATTCTTAAAATACCTGAAATTCCTGCTACGAAATCAACACTTTTTTATATAAAATTGCATAATTTGGTAACCCTTCTCAGAGTTGTAAAAGCTTTCGGTTTCCGAAATTCTTAACATACATACTTAAAATTCTGGCTACGAAATCAACAATTGTTTCTATGAATTTGCATAATTTGGTAAAGTAAGAATAATTTTATACTAAACATCTATAAAGGACTGCATTTTTTAAGCCCTTTACTACATTACTCTTTAACTATAGCGATATGTGTGGCATAGTAACTTATGCACTTTAAAATAGGAACAAATTTCATTCTATAATCCAGTAATGTAGTGGGAAGCCGTTGGCTACTTCAATAAAAAGATATTTGCTGGCTTCTCGATCGAAGTCATCATGGAATCCACACAGTATTCCATTATTTCAGGAAGCGCAATATTTGAGGCTTAGTAATGTTACCGATACTGACTTTTCAGATGCATTAAAATACAAATATGACAATTAAAAATACTTTACTTGGTAGCTTTATCCTAATAAACTGATTCCTTCCTTATAATTCTAATTCAACTCATCTGAATTTGACGATTCCAAGGCAGTGTTGATAGTAGCCAAATGGTGTATTTAAAATAATTTTAAATAAATATAATAACATTTTCTTTTAGCCACAGCCAGATAATTTTCTAAAGCAAACTCGAAATTACTAAAGACGTTTAAGCAATAAGTAATAATGAAAATGATAAAATAAGATGATAAATTGCCATGATAGTTGTAACATATTCCAGTTATGTACAATAGGTCTGATATCTAGTTAAGAGATCTATTTGCAAGATTTATTTTTATAATTATAGAAATAAGGCTTACAGAAGCCATAGTTAGACAAAGCTTATAAGTAGTCTAAAAGGAACAGCGATAGATTAGGTAGAATGCATTACAACTGCGATATTTTTTTTTTATCATCTATGATGCCTAATCCAAATTTTGATATATTATTCCTACCAAATTTAATTCTCGGTCAGAGAATTCTGGTATATTGGAAATTTTCTTAAAATTACAGAAAAAAAACCTTCTTTAGCCATAGCCTAACAGATCCTACAAATGCTTTCTATCTAATCATTTAAATGGATAGATAACCATAATTATTACAAATCTATTGCAAGGGTTACTCTTTATCGAGTTTAACGTTAAGTTTTAATCATGGATGCATTTATGTTTACCGTTGGTGTTTACGTATACTGCATTAAATTCAACTCGTGATAATGGAACGATATAACGCTTACTTTAAAGGATTGCTATTATAAGATCAATGACAGATTTCATTTAACTTTCGATTGATCAATATACACTATGTGTATGCAGATATAATTTCGAGTAATATAATAGTAACAACGTAAGCGAAATATTACTATGAATAGTAGCAAACGTTTTCTATAACAGGTTAAATTATGTCCAGTTAAGCTTTAATTGATGCTTGATCCGATACGATTGGTTATTGAAATATATTAATATATGCTTATTAATACAATGAAGATGCAAAATCAGTGCAGTGAAAGCAATTAGATTTATTCCGGGCAACTAGAAGGTGTTTATAAGTCTGATATTAACTGTGGCACTCTCTCTTTCCATACAATTATATTATTGATCTTCACCAAATTCATCTCGAATCACTCTTCATTAACAAGACAATATAAATATTGAGGGTAATAGATTTGTTTAGTGCGGTGTTCCAACATAGCCATTATCTCCGTTGTAATCTCCATTTATCGATATTACTCTAAAATTACAAGGCAATAATGATTATTTTACTCTTCTTTCTGCTCTGACAATAAAACCGCTCTAAATTAATCCACTATTGTGTACATACAACGATTGTCTATTAGATTGGAAATGAATAACTGGATTGCTATCCTGAATGGGATACTAAATAATAGTTCTATTCTCCTGACCTGGATGACGTTACCTATTCTCAATGTCAGTAATTTCATTCCTGTATCTTTAACTATTGTTTGGAGTTAGTCTTATCTAAAACTCTATTGTTCTATATCTAACTAAAATATAGATAGGCTAGATAATAGTCAATAGGAAACAATCCCCACCTTAATTTGTGATTGGCTATAACAATCTACTACAGTTGGCATAATTAAATCAGGAAAAGTAGAGAAAAAAATTTTTCCCTATCTATCAACGAATTGTTCGGTTCAATGACTGTTTTCTAACACAACATAACGCTTGTTCAAGACATCATATAAATATTATTAATTACTGTCATAGGTGTGTCGAATTCACCAGGTTTCGGAAAAAGAGCGCTCCTGACTTACCAAGGTTAGAAGCAACAAGGGGAAAAAAGAACTTGCAACGTAAGTTTAACTGTTTATCCATCGCTTTTAGATATTAATTTTAACCATTACAGTCTCTGATGTTGATAATGCAAGATAGTAAAACAACAACGATATCATGTAATCTTAAATGTGATCATCAATATTGATGGTTTAGCGATCAGGTGAAGTAATAGTCATGGTCAAACATTCCTGTTCAAGAGTCTTGTGCAAATAGTGAATTCATCAGTCAAAATACTTACTATAAATGTGATTATAGCGCTTGATTTTCAGTTCGTGATCTAAGCATTCATTTTCGTAATTTATACATCAATCATAGAGACAACATTTACGATTTGATTTTACTAATGTAAATTATTCTTCAACTGATCATCGTTCAGTCAATTATATCAAAAGAAGCACGTACACAGTAATCTACATCGTTTCATATCACTCCCATTTCCGCTGTTAGATTGTATTAAATTATCGAAAGCAAGGGTGCAGTTAAAAAATAGTCTTTGTGGTATTCTAACTCTCACGCTTTTATTCATATGTTATCGTATATTTTAAAGTGTTATTTATAACATTAGCAGCTTAAACAGTGTTCTGTTGAAACTGGCACAACTCGAGTTGATTGTAGATCTCAACAAAGTTCGTTAGCCATTTTAACTGTATTAGATGAAAATTAGCACTACATGTTTGATATTACGGCTCGTTTGTGCTGTACTATAGTACAGTATAAACTTGTAGTTTGGTATGAGTAGCAACTAATCCAACTTTTTTGGCTGTGATCCTAAGTTCGAGTTAAACAGGAAATAGAGAAACCTCAACATGGCCTAGCTGATTAATTAATTAACCTAAGCAAATGCTCTACTAGACCGTATTTTAATTGTTGTGCTTTTACCGTGTCACAAAGATAGAAATAATCAGCTAGTATTCATAAATCTTACTATAATCAGTTAGCGGCCTATCGTTCAAGTTATCTATAAGAATTTTTATAATAGTATGAAATAGATATGTTTGTATCAGTTTCTTCGATCTTTCGTTCGTAAAAGTTTTAAAGATTTTTAATTATCGAGTAGACATGCAGAATATCTTGCAACTGTATGGAACGCAAAGTAATTAGAAACTTATTGCCATTAGCAAAATGTCTCTGCTACAAATATCTTACTCCTCATCAGATGCACTAATATCCTAAAACAGCTTCTTAGAAGTCTCTATATTATCTTAAAATTTGTTAAGGAGTCATAGCACTGAATAATGCCAGTAATTCTTCAAGCACATTTTATAAATTCGTTTTTTATTTGCTATATTTATTTTGCATTTTTTCATGGCGCCACTTACAAAATCATTAACTCTCAAATATTTAAACCCTGATCATAATCTCTGGTTGAAATACAGATATGCTTATTTATTAAAGCTTACAATGTATCTGCTCTGAATTGATTTATTAAGACATTGTACAGCATTTAATGAATAACTATATCAGTAGAATTCATTTTATGCCTTGTTGTTACTTGATGATAATTAATAGGCTTAAATTATTGGTTGATCTTTTATTTAGATGGATACATCCTTTGAAAGTAATGTTGCTTCTAGGAGCCAAGTTGGAGTACAAGATTTTATCTTGCTTGAAGATTATCGGAGCGAGCCAGCATTCTTGGAAAATTTAAGAAAGCGTTATAACGAAAGCTTGATCTATGTATGTATCGTCGCTAATTGTATTAAATATGTCATATGTTTGATGTCATCTGAGACAAATAACTTTAGCTTAAAATAGCATTAAGTGAATACCATCTTGATAGTTAGGATAATACTACAATAGAAGCATCAATGATAAATTTACTCAGTATTAAAGTAATTTCCTGAAAAAATGTAATAACAAAGGATGATAACACCCCTTTAACTTATTTTACGCCTATAATTAATTTTGAACTCTAATAATTGTAATTGTCTGCTATCGCCACATGGCTTTAAGTTCTAAGGTTGGATATACTATAGCTGTTGCAAGTTACTAATTAATATAATAGACATGGAATCTCCTTACTGCGGCTATTTCCAGCTAGAATAGCTACTAGCATATTCCAATTATCCAATTACTATGTGTAAAACTCTTGTTACATCATCACTATCCTAATGATTTATATTGCAATCAAGGGTAGCTATTGGTAGTATTGGAATGATTAAAATAGAAATTTTAAAACTGTAAGCCCAAGTTAGAGCATAAACTATGGCCAAATTTGCTTCTATTAGACAGTCGAATTCATTTTGATCCTTAAAATTCGAACTCAATTATTTACTTAGAGCTTACTAATGCAAAATAGTCTTATGAAGGTCTATACTACTAACCGATTCAGATGATAATTATATACTACTACACCTTTTAAAACTATTAGTTCTGAAGGTTAAAGCCCGAAAGTTTAGAGCTTACCAATGCGAAATAGTCTGACTAGGGTATAGACTATGAGATCTAGATGATAGTGGTATACTGCTATACTTGTAAAAACCACTAGTTCTAAAGATTAAAACCCAAAAGTTTAGAGCCTATTGATGCAAAATAGTCTGACTTAGGTCTATTCTACTGGATCTCGATGATAATAATTGTATACTAAATACTTATTTAAACCAATAGTTCTGAAAAGACTAAAGCCTAAAAGTCTAATTATGCTATGGCAAAACTTACTTTTATTATACATATTAGACTTTGGAATTTATTACCAAATTTCATGTTTTGCTTGTGATAGTAATAGAGAAGAGTCATGCTATAGATTTCCATCACATATCGAGTCTAGTAGAAAAATTAAAGATTTCGATTTTGTGATTAAAATCAAATTGGAGCTATCCTTAGCAATTAACGCTAATAACCACAAGCTTAGCATTTTATAAGTTATACACGCTTATAAAAGTTTACGTTTTCCATAGTACATCTTATTGAAAAAAAAATCACGCTACTAAAATAATAACAGTTAATTTTAAGGTTCAAGACTAATGTTAAGAAAATCATAAGGTGAATCAATTGGACTAAATTATGTTATTAATGTGTTAATCGACAGACATACATCGGCTCCGTTTTAGTCTCGGTTAATCCGTACAAAGATGTCGGTATATTCACTACCCAACACATGAAGAATTACTACCGGGCCAACCTTTACGAGCAGCCGCCACACATGTAAGATCGATGAGTAGAACTGAATGCTTTAGCTCTATTGAGCTATTGGCCAATTTATTTACTAGTAGATAAAAAGATATTAAGGATTTATTCCTCTAAATAATGATAGACTATTCTTTTGTTTTATCCTTGTTCATGTATAGCTATGCTATTATCGATAATGCCTATCGATTTATGCTCAATGAAGGCCAAGATCAATGTATATTAATTTCAGGTGAAAGTGGAGCGGGTAAAACAGGTAAGCAATAACTGAAATTGAATTTTCTACTGATGTTGGCCAATGATTGTGCAGTGCAACGCAACTTTAGTTTATGAATATCCTGAGATCAAGAATTTTCTATTTCTAAATCTGATAGCTATTAGTAGTGTATTGACATATTGAATATATATTAACAGAGGCATCCAAAAAGATTTTGGAATATATAGCAGAAGTGAGCGCACACACAAGAGGAAAAGATATCCGAGATATGTTGCTTAATTCCAATCCTATATTAGAGGTTTATATCTTCAATAAAGTATCAATTTTATTTTCCTTTCGTTAAACTATAACCTTCAACTTCTACCATCTCTCAATTTAAAAAATATCCGCTCATTGATTAAAGGCATTTGGCAATGCAAGAACTACTCGTAACGATAATTCTAGTCGATTTGGGAAATATATGGATGTCGAATTTGATCACATGGTTGGATTTGATATCGTAATAACTGAATAACTTATCTTTCATTCTATAATATATAGTAATCTTAATATGTATTTGATTGGATAGGGTGCTCCTGTTGGTGGTAAAATTTTAAATTATTTACTGGAAAAATCAAGGGTGGTTCATCAATTATCAGGTTATTAAACAAATTCTATGTCGCTTAATGTATTTCATTAATTTAATTGAAATTAAATATGTGTATAACCTAAAATAATAATTTAAAAGTTTCTATCGATCGCGATACTCAAGAAAAGTTTACTGTAAAGACTTTTATAATTTCAAATTTGAAGATGTCAATGTACAAGATTTATATACCGTATTTTACAAATTGAAGTTCTGCTACCTTAAAATTAGGCAGTACTAGTGTATGGCATCAGAGTTACTTATAGTTTAAATGTAAGCATTACAACTTAAGGAAAGCATATTCAGAAGATATTAGTGATAAGCTCAATTTGTAGTATATTATGATTTAGTTCATAGTTCTAAATTGGAAGGAATAGCGAGAAAGTTAATGGGAAATATTATCAATTCTGAATTTTCGAAACGCTTAAAATTGGCGTTCTAATTGATATTCAACAGAATACTTGTATCTTTCTGTCCTTGATCATTTAACAGCTAACACACATTTAATTTGCATATCATTTTTAACTGAGAATCACAATTACTGTATTTTCTTCCTAGGTGAACGAAATTTTCACATTTTCTATCAAATACTTAGTGGTACCAGTGACGAAAAATTAAAGTCATTACGATTGCAGAGAAATCCTCAAAATTATTACTACACTAAGCAGGTACTATATCTAAATAAGGACAAGATGCATTGAGGATTAGTATAACTACGGAAGTATTGCATAGGGTATCTATAAATGGAAATTAGCTACAATGTAAGTTTCATTATGAGTAAAATTCTTTAATCCGAGGGAGTAAGCTCAGAATAGCCAAAGTGCGAAGTTATTAAAACGAGGTTTAGAAAGCCATTCTAAGGAAATTGCAATACAAAAACATGTTAGCATCACGCAAAAAAAGATTTTGTAATATTTTCGATTGACATCGCTAGCATTTTTTAAAGAAAGTATTACGATATTCCAGTAAAACTTATAAAAAATTAAACTGTAAAATTACTCCAGCATCATTTTTGCTACAGAAATATCTCCATGCCTGAAAGAAAACCTCTATCTTATTCTAGATGGAATGGTTTTCTTAGAAGGGTTGTAATTTACAGTTTTAATTAAACATTTCATAGTCAAATCATAGATTAGAGGCAACTAAAGAGAAAATGAATCCGTTAGTATTTAAATCTATTTTTTAAGAAAATTCTAATACGATTACTGCAGAACATCGGACAAATTAGAATTAGGTAGTCAATATAGGGGATAAAAGATTTATTTTAAATACTGCCAGAAATTTTAAAGTTATTAGATTACAGATATAGTAGATAGATTACAACCTAAACATGTTATTAGTAGAGCTTTGTCGGGAAATTAATTTCACATTTAAATCCCTTTTTGAAGAAACATCAAAATTCTCATTAGATCTTACTGAAATAATATTCGTTTCAGAAAATAGGCAATTAAAAATTGCTATAGAGATTCTATTAGGATTATTCTATATCTTACATTAAGAACAATATTCTTTACGATAAATTTACCTACATTTCCTTGTAAATACTTTTAATGGACTAACCCGTAATCTCTTTTTAATTTTGTCGCCTACAGGGAGATGCGGATGTTATAAAAGGAAAAAGCGATTCTTCCGATTACAGCGAACTTATGAAAGCTTTCCAGATATTAAAATTTTCCGATAAAGATGTTGAGGTAACTTATTTGTGTTTCATTAATGTAAGCTTGTAATTTAATGTAGAGCATACCATAAGCTGTGAAGCTATTATATAATCCATATTGAGCAAATCATACAGGCAATCTATTCTGTCAATAAATTGCTAGGATGGAAGATTAACGATTCCTTACTAACGAAATTATTTTTTCATATTCGATTGATAATTAGAGCGTCATATCAGTTGTAGCGGCTATAATCCATCTGGGAGAAATTAATTTCAAACGCGATGATGAAGAAGAGGACAAAATCATTATCACAAAACAGGATTCGCTTGTTAATGTAGCTGATGTAAGGAGATTCTTACCTCTAGGTCATCGATTATTTGTCCATGAACTAAGTTTGTAAAGTTCACATAAATCAGTTCCTTTATTTCATTTTTAATAGCTTATTCAGTGTACCGAAATAAAACTTACTCAAGCTTTAACACACAGGACAGTGGATGTTAGAAATGATAAAGTAAGCAAGCAGATAGTGAAATTGAGCTTTGTCTTAAAATTGATACATAGATTTTCCGCTTGTAGTATTGATTTCAATCCATTTGTTGCTAACTAATAGGATAGTCTGGATAGATGTTTTTCACACTTTCATACACTGATATCAATTTTTACAGACATTAACTCCTTTGACGATTGATCAAGCTTATTATGCTCGCGATGCCCTTGCCAAAGCTATTTATTCTCGTTTATTCACTTGGTTAGTGGAAAATGTTAATGCAAGCATCGTACGCAAGGTAAGTCGACTGATTTCATTGCTTAGCCCTAATTACAAACCTAATAATAAATTTCTTAGATTAGCGGTAACTAGAATCGATGTTAATAGAGACTAGTTGTGGTTATTTCCAGTTACTACCGTTGTTATACTAAGACAATTTCTTAAGTGTCTCTCACGAAATAGTTCAAACAACCTTTATTATTCAAAGTATTTATACGATACTTCTAATAGCTTATCCACAAGTTGATATTGTAATTTTGCAGTTATATGATCTATCTATTCAGATCCTATAGCTCAAACTTTAATATTCCTGCTTGATCGAATCTTGTAGTCTATATCTTTAGATCTTATAACTTGAAGATGAAGTTTAGCGGTCATGATAGATTTGATGAAATGTATCGAATGAGAATTAGGTCTCATAATCAATACATGTCCATATGTACAAATCAGAAAGAGTAACTCCTTTGTTATTATGATCCCTATTCTTACATAGTTGATATATATCCAATTGACAATCATAAATTTAATATAAGCGGCCGAAATATCGTAAATGGATTGATTTAATCAAGTATTTTAATTCTATTTTCGTTAGGATACGGATAGCAAAAGTGTCCTCGGTTTACTAGATATCTATGGCTTTGAAGTTTTTGAAGTTAACAGGTTAAAATTGACCATTAGGAGGATACGTTTGCGAACTAAGATCTTTTTATTACTACGGGTGCTATTGCTATCATCTGCTCTCGACAATTATACCAGAAAATTCTTTAATATTAAGAATAATAGATCAATCAACTTTTTGACTTTTAGTTTCGAACAATTTTGCATCAATTATTGCAATGAAAAACTTCATCAGCTATTCATTAATCTTATACTAAAATCAGAGCAAGAAGAATATGAAAATGAAGGAATTGAGGTTAAATTTATTATCAAATAGCCTGTTGAATTAATATCGTTAAGTACCATAGGATAATGATTCTAATAAAGACAAAAACATTGATCATTTTCTGAAATAATACGCAATAATACTATCATTCAGTTGTTCATATGATACTTTGCCATCGTTATTTACTTATGCCCTGCATGCATACCGTTCATAATTACCTTTTTAAAAATGGCAAGGAATAATGCTTAATGTTGTGTAATTGCCAGAACTGGCCTGTTTGCAATTATAATTAATAGCTAACAGTTACTACTCTTTTTCATAGCGGTATGTATGCCAGAGCAACTTTTACCCTATAAAATAGAATAAATTTTATTTTATAATCAAATAATACAGTGGGAAACCGTAGACTTCTTCAATAACAAGGAAATTTGCAGTCTTCTTGATGAACGTCATCATGGAATCTACGCAGTTTTGGTAAATAAAATTAAGTTATATAACTTAACTCTGCAAAGTGTTGTTATTTTGATTCAAATTACGTTTTGGGATTGCCTTGTTTAGCTATAATTATTTAATAATTACCCTATAATATTCTATCATTTTAGGATGAACAATGTTTGAGGCCTGGCAATGTTACCGATTCTGACTTTTTAGATGCATTAAAAGACAAACATGGCGATCACAAATACTTTATTAGGTAGCTTTTTCCGATTAAATGGATTACTACATTATAATTCTGACTAAATTCATTCGAATTTACCGATCCCAAGACAACGTTCATAGTAGTCAAATTACGCCTACGGAATAATTATAAATATAATGACATTTGCTTTTAGTCACAGCCAGAAAATTTCTAAAGCAAACTCGAAATTGTTAAAGACATTGAAGCAACAAGTAATAAACGAAACGAATATATTATACATAATATATCATATTTTTATTATACTAATATTATTTTATTATTTAGAAAGCAATTATATTTCGTTTTCTTATATATTTAGAACTTTAGGATCAAACATTATGCTGGCGATGTTGATTATGATGTAAAAGGTTAGTATTATTGTAACCACAACCTATGCTGAGTGTTAATGTTGATCAGTACATCGCAAAATAATTTTTGTAAGGGGTGCTAGTATATTACGTAAGGATTATCCTGCATCAAATGTTATATCTGGTTAAGATTAGATATGACTTAATTGAAAATAGTTACAGTAATGGTTAAGTCATTAATGCCGTACGGTTCTAATAGAGATATATCTAGTAGCAATTTGATATTACTTATTTTTAAAAACCTAACTGATCATTTGATTTATTTTATGTTTTAGGCTTTGTGGACAAAAATAACGATCTCTTATACCGCAACCTAAAGGAGGTAACATTTACTAATATAACTGGTTCCCAAATGTATCCCGATGTAACATTCAATAGAAATAAATGATGGCCTAATATACAGTATCATTTAGTTAAACTGTGACAGTGTAAGTAGGTTAAAGTTTTACCCTAAATGAGCTTTGAAGTACTATATTTTGTTATTTTTCATGAAAGGGTATTAAAATTACAAACAATAAGTATTCACGATGAATATGTATTCCGCAAGACTATGTTAATTCAAGCTCTGTATTTTTTAAAGCGCACCACTACTTGTGTCTACCTATTCCTATAGTGTTTCTTTAAAAATTTAAACTTTTATTTAACTTACATCTATTTAGTTAATTATAAAAATTTAAGTCTTACTTTTTTAAATTTTTAGACTATCATGGAAAGTCCAAATCCTGTTTTGCGAAACGCATACAAGGAATCTGAAATTAACTCTTTAAAGCGGCCAGCTACAGTAAGGAAATGCAAGAGGTGGTTCTATGATTCATATCCGTGTAGGCTTATGTCTTTGTCATTTCTTAAATATCATTAAAGGCTGGTACTCACTTCAAAACTAGCGTTGAAGAGCTACTAAGTATTCTGTGTTCAAAGCTTCCTTCTTATATTCGATGCATTAAACCAAATAATGACAAAAGGCCAAGTAAATCATTTCTTTAGATATTTATTTATGGGATAATTAACAAACAATAATTACTATGGCTTACTAGATATTTCATTTTGTTTCAATAATTCTCTTGCCTATATACAGATAAATTTAATACCCAAGTAGTTAGCCATCAAGTTAAATATTTGGCTTTATTAGAAAATTTGAGAGTTCGTCGCGCAGGATTTGCTTACAGAAGGCAATTTGAATTCTTTTTGACAAGGTAAAATGAAAGTTTAAGATCATAGAATTAATTAGTAGCTTACTAGATGACATTTCACAAATCTGTACAAAAGTGACTATTTCTTAATAATATCAATCTCGATTACATGGATTTAACACGATTCAAGTATTTAACGACTGCTGACCTAAACATATTACACACAATAGTTGCTGTACGTCAATAAGATGTAATTAATAGTTTGGTACTGCAGAGCTACCGTATATTCGTCTTTTATCTTTATTATTGATATCACTGAATTTATTGCAGATATAAATGCTTATGTCCTCAAACTTGGCCGGTTTGGAAAGGTAAGTAGACATTGATTGCCGCCTAATGCCATACTAATACATCGCATTGGATACTTATCAATAATTGCTCAATAGGTTTTATCGGTATATGCCATTGTATTAATCTTGTTATAGCTTAATAGAAGTCTCCTTCAGGATCACCTTCATTTAACGGTGTTTCTTAAATCGATACATATTTTTAGGAGAGGATAAAGATGGTGTTGAAGTTCTTTGCAAGCATTTATACCCAACGGAAGAATATAAATTGGGAAAGTTAGTTACATATTGTCAATCATAGCAAGATTATTGCGTTCATTATCAATTAGCTAATTATTCTTAATATCAGTTAATATACTGCCTATAGTCGGCCGTAATTGGCTCTTATTGAATACATTTGCCTATGTACCTTACGAGCACGTGGGATCAATTTGCGATACTTGCTTTGATTTATATCATCTTATAGTCACATTGAAGCTATATTAATAAGTTACTGAATGTAATCGAAAAAATTAAGATTACTTTTACTCGAGATTCTTACGTTGGCCCAATGCATTTTCCATAATTCTTAAGCTCTGCGATGATGTAAATTTTTTAAAGATTGATACGAGTTGCAAGATCAGCAGATAAAAAATATATCCTCTCATATCGAATAACTGAATTCCATTAACAGGACAAAGGTATTTCTACGAAATCCAAAGATGCTTTTTGATGCAGAAGATAAATTTCAAGTGAAAAAGAATTATATAGGTATTGCGAATACATGATATATCTCATTTTTAATTAAATTCTGATAACATATAATTACAACAATATTATTATATTTAAAGGCGGATAGTTTGAAAATACTTTAAAGAAATCAAGTTTATTCAGTTATAGATTCTTCTATTTTATCATTATAATTTAGCGACCGTAATTCAATCCAAGTACCGTATGTATACCAAACGGAAGGAATATCTCAGAATTATCGCTGCAGGTATGAATTCAAATCAAACGCTGGATTATTGCTGTTATTAATACATTACTCACCGTTTCTCTCATTTAATTATCTGTTTATGAAATAGTAAATATAATAGCTAACAACTGGCGTCGCGTAGCCGCTATCAGGTTAAGAGAAAGAAGAAAGCGAGCAGTTCAAGCTATAAAAAAGTAAGAAAATTCGCAGTCGTAATTGATCGACTGATTGAATTAAATTTATAGTAACTGATGGGTAAGGAGAACTTATACAATAATTCTCTAAAATGCATTTCTTATATGAATTCTTTGTAAAAATCCATATTTCCTCTCAACAATTTAAACAGATTTATTAAAGGCTTTATCACTAGAAATGGTCCTTTATCCGATGATAATAAACAAGTAAGCTGCATTGATAAAGTAAACGAGCTATAGTGGTTCCGGCTAAAATAGAAAATTCTTGACATATTTTTGCTCCACTTAGTTTATACAATATGCAAGGATAAGTTTTTTGGAGACAGCAGCTAGAAATTTACCCAAGACAGTGTTAGATAAATCATGGATTAAAGCGCCAACAGCCTTGGTTGAGGTAATGAAACGTAACGCGTACGATTTACTTATTTTGAAGTATACACATAATTTCGGTATTACATAACCTTATTACCCGATGACTGATTGGTTATCGAATGTAATGCTATTAAATTATATACTGTACCGCATGTATTATATTTATAGTGGTGTATATTATATACTGTACAATATAAGTAATCTAAATATTTGAATTTTAGGCTTCTGAGCTGTTACGGGACATGCACATGCAATATATGGTTCGAAAATACGTTAAGAATATAACACCTCAACGAAAAGATCAGGTAAAGTGATACTGCAAATATATTATGGTTGCGGGCTATTGCTTGATTTTTTTGTTTTAAAAAGAACTATATTGCAGTGCTACAATACCAGTATGCTGTATTGGAAAGTATAGAATCAATTTATGGTATAATAATTGCCATATACGTAGTGATGTACTAGTTGTTCGGTTGTTCAGCTGGGCACTAATAGATTCAATATGAATTGCATAGCAAATACCACCAATCTTACAATAGATTAAGTCGCATTTTTAAAATAGCAGCTTCATAAAGCTAAGTTTATTGGATCCATCGGTTGAGCTTACTCTCAATTTTAGTCATCTTCAATCAAATGTCTTCAGTTTAATGCTAGAATTATGCAAATTACCTACTAACACATCAATTCTCACTTAAATCACAGTTAAACTTGAAACTTAAAGCCAGTGAATTCTTCAAAGGCAAGAAACTAAACTATCCTGAAAGCGTTAGTTGTCCGTTTGTGCCTTCTCGTTTGAGTAAGTTTATAAATTATGGGGTTATCCTATTATGCATACAGTTACATGGACGATAAGAAGCAGACTAAGGAATTCTGACAAAATTGACAACACCGCCCAATTTTGACATAAGAGCTTAATGAATTGATTTTTCAATTTTTATTTAGCTCCGGAACAATCAAATGTTAAGCAAACTGGATTCGATAAAACTTGCAATGAGAAAACAGTAGTAAGTTATAATCAGTCGTAAAGATTTCATACTAATCACCGCTGTAAGCATTTGATATAAGAATATCTTATAATTTTTTTCCATTAGTATGCTTCTTTTGTAACTAAGTATGATCGCCACGGTTACAAGCCAAGGGGAAGAATTTTCGTGGTTACAGACAAGGCACTAAAATGCTCTTAAAATTATTTAATTTTGGAGTACAAGTCATATTAACCCCAATTTAATATTACTTTAGGCCGCTTACTTACTGGATGATAAAAATGGTAAAGTGAAGCAAAATATCCCATTTGTTGGTATTAAAGGTAATGCGTTCTTAAATTCACCTATCTTCATTTATAACAAATTATTCAAATAATTCGTTCTCATATATGAAGTAACGTCATAATGAAGTTCGATTTTCTTGCAATATGAAAGATTATGTTACTATATAATAGCAAATTAGTAATTTTATTAAGGATAGAAAACAGGTAGCAATATTGAAATATAAATACTAGCTATTTAGGGAGTTAAGATTTTATTTCTGCTTAGATATAAAGCTTATAGATTAGATTATATTACAGCTTTATTTTAAAAGCCCCTTCAAGCTTTTTTATGATTTTAAATATTTTACCCAATTTTTGAAATTAAATATATTAAGAATGGCTTGTTAATACGTACATGTATATCTAGGGAGAGAGAATACACGTAGTTACTATAACAGGTCATGACGACAAGTTATTTGGCTATACCATTGTAATATTTATCTATCTGCTATATGATTTCAGATATTACAGTAACCAACAAAGTAGACGGTCTAGTCCTACTTACTCTACCTGTTATTGACAAAAAGGATAAGGTAAAGATAGAATCGGTATAAGAAACTTTTTACTCCAAATGCATCTGATAAAATGTTGTTATTTATGATTGCGATCCAGGGTGATTTAATCTTATCCTCCGAACATGTAATAGAATTTGTTATGATGCTTGCTCGAGCAGCTCAGAAATTCGATGTACTTACAATTTCGGACTCTGCCTCGTAAGTGGATTCAGTGTCTAGTAAATTCTTCAGTTTTATTAAATAAAATATTTCAATGCGATAATTTGCTATAACACGTATAAAGGATAATTTATTAACGAGATATGTCTCTTTGGCCGAAATTTGTTTATTTAATTTTTTCAATATTTTTTATGTTAAGGCTATCTCATACGATGAAAAATGATAAACGAGGGGAAATTCAATTGAAGGAAGGGTTAGTAATACTTAGATAAAGAAAAGCATGTTATCAGAGTTTACTCAGTCTTTGATTTAGTAATGAAATAGGACGAAAATTTACGGAAACAAACAACTTTTAATGAATTATGACTTGTTGATTTAGTTCTACTTTGACGATTGGTAAAAGTAAAGATGGCAAAATGGAAGTGGTTAGTAAACTATTAATGCTAATTCTATAAGTTGTATAACAGAATGAAAAGTCTTGCTTTTATCGTAACTTTATTTGAATGATAGCTTCAAGAGCATATACTAAGGAATTACAACTTAATCTTGGTTGTGATAGGTTGCTCCACACTAGGCCTGGCCATTGCCCACTTGCAGAATTACAAACGCCTTTGAAAAGGAGATTTTAGACTTTGATATCTTCCATATGCTTAAATCCTGTATCACATTTAAAACTACATGGCTGAATATGGTTTGTAAAATTACAGTAATATTGGTTTACCAACAAATACCATATTAAACTTTTGACATAAATGCACGTACGTATTTTATAATCATGCTCCTTTAAATCGAACCAACTTTATGTATGCTTTAAAATCAGTATTGTAGACCTTAAATAGCGATGTTGAATGATCCGTTTTAGAATTTGTTATTCTATATAGATTTTCTGGACCTGAAAGTAATTTATAGGCGTAACATTATTATAGGGCTAATAATAAAGTCTGTAAATCTGCTATAAGAGTAAATGCTACGATTTATCTTATGCTTCAATGACAAACACTGAGGTATAGTTCAGTTACTTTTGCTTCTTTAATTCATTTATTCGGAGGAATGGTAGCGATTTTTGCTACCATTGCACTTTTTCTATCTTACTATAATAATAACAAGTGTTCTATGACCTTTATGACGGCTATCAGACTTCTAAAAACTTTATTTAAAATAAATATTACCATGATTAGAGTAATTTGGTGAGGGTTCTTCATGAATTATGGCACAATATTCAATTTAAATAGGTGCAAATTATTAGATTTTAAGATAGAGATTTATTAGGTATCATCGGTAATTATATGCTCTTCGTCTAAAGTTTTAATAGGTTTTTCTATTATTGAAATAAAGAATTGTTCAAGCTATTATATGAGTGTGTTTGGCTATGATAGAATTTATAGCAAAGATTTTGATTGTATACCGTACAGTATTTTACGGTCTACTTTGCTGAATAATGCACTCTATAAGTTATCAGCACATTAGTTGTGAAGGCACAAAAATGAATTAATCAATTAATCTGTGCAACGATATTTTTATATTTTGTTTTACTATGGTAAATTAATCTCCATATTACTATTACTCTCATGTGGATACAGAAGGTAGTAATCGTATAGTTTTGGTAGACATTGAAGGCTAAATCTTACATAACTGATACAAAGATCGATGGACAGATATATTTTGACTATTATTGTTACATTTTGAAACTTCAATTCGATTAATGGCTGTATTATGTCTTTGGGATGGCTCGTGGCTACAACAACTCGATATTAATAAAATATCCTGCTGATACACAGATCTTGAGCGCGAAGAATATATTTGATAATGTAGACTCTAAATTGTAGGGTATTAATTTGGAATTTCAATTCGTTCATGCTTAATCTGATGAGCATATAAAAGACATGAGCTGATAATTTTCTATTTAAAAATAGATTCTAGGTGTTATGAAGATATTTTCTAGTAATTTAATTATAGAAGCGAGTACTTTCATATAGGACTTGGATAGACTAAATTTTTATTCGGCCAGACGATTCCTTGTTCAATACTAGAATTATAGCTACTCTACACAACTGATCTAAATGTCGTTGAATGCTAGTATTATTGGAGAAGGACTCTAGTAAAAGAAATCTTAGGTTACCATAGAGATTCTTTGTAAATCAATAAGCCATCATGATAGAATTCCATATTTAAATGATCCTGTTACTATTATAAAGTAGCAACAACTTTTACGGATGAAATAACTAGCACTCTTTACAATCTATTGCATCAGTCCAATGCTAAAGTAGATTATAGTTTCCGTGTAACTTGTTTGACTTAAAATCGACTTGAGTGACAGTTGTTAATGACATAAGTAAACTTGACCTTATACTTGATCTTATTCGCTTATTTAGTTCTAGGCTGGTATAACGAATCTGTCTTTTATTGAATGGGATGTGGTCAAGAGTAATTATAATATCTCCTCATCTTACATAAGGTGGTATAGTTAATGGATGCAAAGATCATAGTAATTATCTAGAAACGCTTCCAGATATTGTTATGTTAATTAGGATGATTTATATTTAGCATAACTAAATATAACTCACAATTTATTGTTTTACTCACTTGTATTCACACAAGAAAGGATCAATGTGGCATGCTAATAGTAGCCACAAGTCACTATTTTTAATGAACTAGATTCAATTGTCAAGGAAAGACTATACTATATAAATGTGCAGTCCCAGAATGAGGATTGAAATACTTTCTGCTGTATCATGCATGAACAAGGAATTTGAGAACAAGAAAGAACCTTCGAATAAAAAGCTACACCATTGAAATAGTCAAGCTGAGATTAAATCCATAGTGTTTGGCATACAGTAGTTGTAATCTGGATTTAGGAGATTACTGGATGGTCAAAACCTGGAAAGTTTAGACTATACAATATAGAAATTTCTTAGCATTGGAATAAACGTGAGCAATTTTATTGCTTGTCTTCAATAAGGTAAAATGATGAAAGTCATTATCAGTTGTTTTTAAAAATCATCTTTAGTTATCATCATTAACACCTGATAAACTTTACCAGTTTATTAATTTCGTGAGTTTTGCGATATATGTAAGCTTTTTAATATTGAAATCTTACATCTATATAGCTTTAACTAAGGTAAAATAAATATAGTAATAGTGTGAAAGTAGCCGTAAATTCAATGATAAAATTTTCGCTGATATTATTTCACTTGATGATATTTATACGGCCTGACTACTTAGCTTTGATTTAACATAGATTTAAGAGTATTTTTAGAATTGAGCTAATCAAAGCGATGTCGTTTTGAAGCCAGGCGCGGATTAATTGATAGAAAGATGAAAGCAGTCATTAGTTTATAAAATCATTGTTTGTCGTTATCTTCACAATTTGGCGATTTCAGAGAAAGTAAATGAATTGACTTGTAATGTTGCCAAATTGGAGAATTAGAGAAAAATTTTATGAAATTTTTTCATTTTGATGTCTCCAATTTCAGATAATTGCTTTGTCTTAAGCTTTACTGTTTACGGTATGAGCAAAGAAAACGGTTCTTTGATCAATCGGCAATGGATCATGCAAGCATTTAACAAATCTTCACGCATTTACTGTACAGCCCACATTTCCTTATTAATGTTATAAATATGTCATTTCCACTCATTTTTTATCTTTCTTCTAAGACCTACCAGTAAATAAGTTTCTAATCCTCCTTTTGATATATCAATTCATTTAAGTTTTTTCCTCGGTAATTTTAGTAAACTATAACAACGATATAGTCAAGTTAGACAAATTGATCGTTATTCTATAATGGTTCATGTTAACTCAACACGACTTAATTCACATAATTATATCTCCTAGTAGCGTCAGTTATGCTGTACACAACTACATGATTAGTTCAATCTTATCAAATGAAATTTATCTTATGTTACAGTTTAAACATAATTCTAAGCCTTCTTCTTACTTAATAAAATTATTTTATTTCTACTGTCAGTGGTTAGAGCAATTGGCGCTATAGAATATATAGAACTAGATCAAAGACTGTTTACGTTTAATTTGATAATTAACCATAACTAACAATTACAGTATGGTGTAATTAGAATCCTTTCCTTCAATTATGCTGTAACTTGAGTCTTTCCCGATCTCTCATTTAATAAATTCATACCATATCTTTATAAACCGATGTTCTAATCCATTCTTAACAATTAATTAAAATTTATTATTGCAGTAATTTCTCTGAGATTGAATAGGATCAATTTAAACTGGTCAAATTTACTAAATATTTAATTTAACAACTAAATTTTACTGTCAAGAAGCAATTTTAGCATATACTTATAGTTAGTAACATAAAATCATTTCCATTTATTTTCTTCGCTGTAGTTTCTATGATAGGGTGTACGGGGTCAATTTACATACTAGAACTGTAATTGATTCTCGTGCTTAAATTAGCTATTTAACTTATAGCTATGGTGGAATCTTAGCTTATTCTAATAATATATTCTCGTTTAAATTCCTTTTCTTAGTAGCTATAGTGATACTGAGCAGAATCCGTTCAAACAATTTTCATGTCATATACGCTAAATTTAACGGCTTTATTTCTAGTTAAAGTGTGATTTTAATTTTTCCAAGTGATTCACATAATCTTAACCGATTCTAAATGACATATGTTGGTTTAAATTTCTCTTCATAGTAGTTTTAATAATAATAAGTAGGGTTCATTTAAGTACTGTAACTCTAAGGTCAAGTCAAATCTAGCGAATTAATTTCTAATTTAAGCGCAATTTTACTCTTTCCAAATAACTCTATTGTTTACCTTCTTGTAGCAGTTCTAGGGATTAGATAAAATTAATTTCGTCGTTTCAACATTGTATGCGTTTTATTTAGCAAATTAACTTCTAGTTAATATGTAATTTGAACTCATTCTCAAAAGTCCTTCCATTTATTTTTTTCTCTGTAGTTTTGGTGATCCCGGTTAGAGCTGATTTAAGCCCGGTTGGAATGCTGTTTCATGATCTATCTAATACCAGTTTCTATTCTAAAATCATATTTCTTTGCTATAAAAATAGTAGCGTCCAAGTTTGCAGTTAATCGTTGGAAAAGTTAAGTAAAAATCTACTAGCAAAGAGACCAATATGCTTAACAACGGTTCTAGTGCCTTCATTCCAACGCTTGCTCCAAGCAGCATGGAACGAAATTGGGGCGCCTTCATCGTATTTTGTTTATGTTGTGTTGTCCTTATATTGGGAGATATATTAACGTTAATCACTATGAAGATGAAAGCCAAGAAAGAATTACTTAAACATGACATTATGGTTATTAGTTTAGCAACTAATGATATCATTAGTTGTCTCTTGATTTCTCCCTTTGTTATTGGTACTTTTATATCACCTACAGGTACTTTCGGTAATACGGATACCTGTCGAATGTTGGGTTATTTTCGCACATTCACTTGTGGGTCATCATTATGTATCGTTTTATTAATGTCCTTAGAGCGAAGATTAGCGATATTAACACCATTTTATTATCGTTTAAATGTCACAAGCAAACAAGTGGTGATCTCTATCTTAGTTGGTATGTCCATTTGCTTGGCTTATGCAGCATTACCTTTAGTTGGTGTTGGCCAATATGGACGAAGTAAACCGAGAGGATTGTGTTTCTTACGACTTACAAACCCAATTGATTCTGGTTCACGAGCAATGACAATTTCACTAGCTGTTGTCGTTTCCTTAATCTTACTTGGGATATTGATATGTAATATTCAAGTACTTCATAGCATATTTGAAACCCTTCGTGAAGCCAAAACATTTAAGGAGAAAGCTCGTCAAGCATGTCCGTTATGCAAGTTGACCATTGGAGTTTCAATTGTTTCATGCGTTTGCTACTCTCCTCTAATTGTATGTATTGCTGCTGTTTTTTATGACTTTCTGATATTGAACGTTGAATATGATTGAGCTATGCTAACTTATATTATTGAGCCAAGAGTAATAGTGATAGATATCGGATAGTACAATCTAAATTGCGTTGGCTAAAAGTCTAAAATCCCTTTTTTCCTAATATCCTACGAGCGTAGTTTTTCAATAATCTTTCATATTGTCCGAAAATATTTCCGTATTGCTATAAGAACAATCACGAGTTGCATTTTTAATCGAGTTTCTAATAGTTATACTAGATATTCCATAGGACTATCTATCTCAATAATCTTAGCCTAAATCACTTCTCTATAAAGTCGTACATTTTTGTAGTGCTTGATAGACTTTCACTGATGCGTTCGCGCGCTTTCATATTTCAACATGATGGATCTGTAGTAGTTTATGGTTTTATCAAGTCTTCCGCAGATTAGAATAGATAGTCTGAATTATTTTCGCCTGTTAATACCTTCTACGTTAGTAATCTCTCTATACACTTTTATGGCGTAGTTTTGACAAGAATGAACTGTCGGAGAGTAGGGCTTTACTGAGTATTTGATAGATATTTTAGATTTGGATACGATTGTCGAAGTGCTCTTTCTTTAATATCTCATATTTTAACCCTATTTGCAGGCATAATTCTATATTTTTAACATTAATGAACTGTTATAGCATACAATTTTACATAGTCTTTATTGGTTGCGGTATACACAATTACTTGTATATCGGGTTAGATAGGCTAAATCATTTCATTTTTATGTCTTATATTTTAATGGTCTCTCAATGCTATTTCATATCACATTTCTTTATTTTTCAGCATCAATGAATAATGATAGTTTACAACTTAATAATAGTACTTAATATTGAATTTCATAGTCCAAGTCACATTCGCATTGATTACCCTTTATTTCTTTCCCGCTGCATTCCCATGTTTCCAACATGAGCTAACCTTAGTAGTTATGCTTTTATCAGATAAACGTTAATTAGTTGTCTTGAATGTGGTATTGGAAAAGATAGCCGACTTCATTTTTATCTGCTTTTTTTAGCATCTCTTACTGCTGTTTTATGAGTTTCCGCAATTCAAAGCAGGAAGAAAATTTCATAATTTTGTAGCTTAATCATACTTCGAAGCCATAAATAAGCATTACATACTATGGCTTAGCTTACTTTCATCTCTGATATTATTCACCTATTGTGATTTATTTACGTGATATTTCTTCCATTAGATTTACGACGTCTTACTGAATTTCGACGTAAAAATGTCAGTTACAGTCGAAATTTGGATACAAAATTCTATTTGGATACATATGGCTTTGAATCCAATCATATATGGAGCGGCTAGGGAACACCTACGTCATTACTTTTGCCATATTATGAGGGTTGTATGCTTCGGAATGTGTTTCAAAGATTTTTCTAATGGTACGTAAAAACCAATAGCATAACTTGTTAAAATTAAAAGGTAATGGACTTGATAAAGCTCTAGTCTCAATAGTCTCAGAGTATAAATGGAATTCCAAAGAGTAAATTGTTAAATATAGATCTTGCATATGTGAAATTTTGCTACAGCGTAGTGGAAATGGACTTGTAATAAGAATAGACTATACCGTACATAGAAATATGTACTACATTTTAGTATTGCAGCTACTTATCGGATTGGAAAGAGTCAAAATTTATAAGAATAGATATATGTAATTTTTTCAATTTCACCTATTATTAATGCAAACTTACCAGTAATTCTCTCATTCGCGTAGAAATCTCTCAGGAAGAAACATCTATGTTAAAGAGACTCCAAAGAAAAATTGAGAGTCGTGGCAACTTGCTCGGTTCTGCGAGAACAAGTATAGCAATGATGACCCCTACATTAAGTACTGATAAAATTGATAAAGTTGATGAAATCACTGAGGATACAGACGTGCTCAAAATTGAAATTACACCCACTCAAATGGCGTGTAAGTTATAACTGAGCTATACAGCCAAGAGAAAATAACAGTTTTAAATAGTAAATACGTTGTAAGAGCTTTTAATTCTGTATTATTAAAAGAGAAGATATTGTAATCGTATTAATAAATTAGCGATTTTGATTAGTTTCGATTCTTATTTATATTTACATTATTTTATTCCTATTTGAGTTACCGATAGTGATCTATTCCACGACATTGAAAAAGATTGATAGCATATGGATATCAATCATTTACTTTATTCTCCATCTTTAAAATATTACTATCATCTATCCAACATTAATAGTAATGAACACAGGTAGCAACGTTATTGCATCCAAGAAAATTATTGAGTGCAATAGCCTTTCCATTATAATCTGATCTAAATTCATAACAAGTAAGGTTTAGCTTATATTCCTAATCTGTAACTAAGGGTAGCCCCCTCCCCTGTTAATTACGGTAAATATTCTCATTTTTAGTATCGTGTAGATAAAACTACATACGATATTAGTTATTAGTCATGCTATTAACATAATATTGTATATTGTACAATTTCATTCACAATAAGGTTTATGAAAATATCATAAATCTGTTTCTGATTTCTAATTGATAAATTTCAATAAAAAGTCATTAAAGACTATAAAATGCTCACAACTGATTAGCTGAATTTGCTCATACTTAGAGTATAAAACGAGAAATTTCTGCCGTAAGTGCTTTAAAAATTATTACTTGCGCGTCTTATAACTATTATAAAGTTAAAAGAAATCGTAGTCTTTACCTCGATGAATTATTCGAGCCAATAGATTATCATATTCTTAGTAATTACGAAAGCTTGATCGCAATTACATCTGTCGTTAAAACATTGAATTTGAATGATATTAAAAGATATAATTATTTAATTTTAGAGTAGTCTAGTTTGCGATCACTTGCATGATATGAATCATTCTTTTTATATCTTATTAAGATAGATACTCGATTTAGTAAAGCAATTTGTTATTTTTGTTGCCTTATAACTGAATAATTAGCAGTCTTAGCTCGTGCATTGAGTAGATCAGGAATTCTTACTTATTATCGCTGATAGTCTTAAAAAATCTGAGATTATATAGAAACAGATTTACAGTACCACTGAATATATCCTTGTAGTTAAATTTGAGTTTCAATACAATAAAGTTTAATTAGTTGCAGTTTCCTTTCGATTGGAGTTATCACAAGATTTTAAGTAGGTTTTGTCGTAGTGATGCGTGCTAAATAGACCTGGAAGCTAAAGTAGTTAAAAGCTTATATACCATGTTGATATGAAAATAAAATTTTCGGTTACGCTCGTTAGTAAGTTAATTCATAAAATGACGGTAATTCAGTTATCATGATTATCTGCTAAGTCTCTGCGATAAGAGTAGTTAAGAATCATGCGCCATCATTGATGATAAGTTTATATTTCTGTAAAATTGACACCTATGGTGTAGGCATTAGATCATCTAGCATCAAATCAGAATTCATTTTATGTAGCTATTTACAAATTGCAAGTGCTTAAGTAGCCATGGTGGATACTGTAAAAAATTAATATACTAGAAAGTTGATGAAAAATGGAAGACGTTAGGAAACACACACAAGTGTAATCATCGATTAATCAAGTCCGAGCTAGACTATAATGCCTAAATAGAAATAATTTACTTTCTATAGCTATTTATATGTTGCAACGAACAAAAATAGCTGATACCTACTTTCTAATATTGATGAAAAAACTTCGATTGCTACAAGATTACGAAAGAGATATTTATAATTATAGGATTCCTCAAGTAGTCTACATCTAGTTGCCTTCATTTAGAAGGATAAATAACATCAGCCTTAAAATGGCATATAAAATGAATTTTATTAAGTTGTATAGATTATAAAATGGCGGAATACCGTAATCAATCCAATACTTTGGACTAATAATTTTTTGCTTACATGTATTGCACCAATATGGCAATAATAAAAAAGCATTTAAGAATAGACAGTATATATTAGCCATTGCAATACATGTGAATTTTATAATGAAATGTAATGAGTAACAAAGGATAGCATTTGTTATATCATTGCAGATTTCCTGAAAAGTATTTATATATATATATATACTGCAAAATAGCGGTCTCGTATATGATTGCTTAGTTTTCATGTCTGTTCATAAAAATAGTGCTTCGATTTGAAATGATAACTTTGAATTAAAAAATTAGAATGAGAGCCGATTAGTTAACCAAACAATAAAGATTGGAGAAAATAAGGTAAAGATTCTTATAAATGTTTGATTATTCGATGTATGAAAATGGAGATATCAAAGTTAGATAGAATAATGTTGATGAATGCAAATTTGTTGTAACATAATAGTATCAGATGGCAATTATAAAATTATCTTTATCGATTACAACTTGGTTGAAAGAAATGAGATTAGAAATCATGTTTGTAAATAAAAGAAAAGCGCAGATACTTGCAGGGATAGCATCAAAATAGGTAAATCACAGTTAATACGTTATGATACAATATTCTTTAAGAATCTTATTCAATCAATGTAACGACTACAAGAAGAAAGATATAAATAGAGAGTTATATGGTGCTTGATAGATAGCGTAAAGGAATAAATATCAAGGTTGACTGAATAATTGGTAAGATATGGGGTTAAGTAAGCCGTTATCCTTTGGATTTTTATAACTTTTTGCCCAAATCAGATGGATTGCAATAAATGCAATAAGTCATCTTGAATCTAATAAATGATTGAAAAATGAAGCTTAGCTATAATTCATTACGTAAGACCCTCTCTTTTCATTTTTCAATGTATGCAATATATACTAGCTTACCTTGCATCCTGCTAACTTCCATTTTAAAGCAGAGAAATCGGTAACTTCAATTAATTCTTTTTGACCATAGTCGATATTGGTGTATTTAGTTTTTCTACATTATTTTAGAGTAAAAATTAAATATTGACGCATAGAATTGATCAACTAGTTGATTTATTTTGAGACGGTCTAGCCAAGAAGTAGCAAAAGAATCATAGTGCTACTGTTATTATTTATGGACAAAACAATATTTCTTGCACTTTATGATCCTTAAGTAAGACATAATAAAAACTAATAAAGATCTACTTACGTAAAAGTTGCATACAACATCCTTTCTATTAAAGCGCATATTGCGCAAAATATTGTCTTGCCAAACATCATCGATTCTTCAACTTTAATTAATGTTATGATATCCTTGATTTGCCGCTCCGTGATGTAGTTCAAGTGTAAGTCTCGAATTGCTCTTATAAGCTCCTAAGAGTTATTTTAAATAGATACAACACTTAGAAATCTTGAGTAGATAATTACAAGTTTAAAAGGTACTAGAACCTTAGTGGCATGTACCGCTATCTACAATTTTCAAAAAATTCTTGATAGTTTCCAAAGTGAATACGCTAGTTTTTAGGAATAGCGAAAGGCTTTAATTTCAAATTACTATATTTTCGCAAAGTTCTAAAAGGATCATTCTAGTGTTCATGATATTAAATTATCGAAATGCAATACGATTGCGAATGAACTAGCGGATAAATTATCTTCTACTAAGATAATCTGTAGGCGACTTTGAGCTTAATTCTAAATTTAACTTGGAATTCTAAGAAGATAGGCTTTATCAAGATCATCTTCGTCTATATATTTACCTTGAATGTAATCAATCCATTTGCAGTAGAATTGATCTTTATAAAATACTTGGAGTAGAGATTTTTACGACGTTTACTATTAAGTAAATACGAGAAATTTCAGAAAATTCAAAATTAGATACTCTATAACGCATAGTTAAAATATACGTTTAGCACTATGCCTAGAGAAACAATTTAAATCAGTACTTTAAATGATAATACACTACTCAAAATGACTCTTATATCTCATTTATAAATTACCTGACAACTGCATGTTTTTCTAAATAATCCATTGGTGTCATTTCTATTAAGTTAAAATAATAAGACAATTTTGTAATTCACGTTTAAAATCGAATATGTCATTATGAAAATACTTAGAATTATACCTATAATACCTATAATTATTTTACCTTCTAATAGTTTCATATCGCCTGGTAATTCGAATCGGCATGCTTGCTTAGAGAAAGCAATTCGACTTTGTAACCACGTTGGAAATTTATGCTGCAATAAAGATATGATCAAGAGCGTTAATTCCATGCATGGTTTGCTGTACTACGCGAAAAATGAGCGATTATACACTAACAACTAAACAAGAGATAATGCTACCAATTTAAAGTAATAATTTTATATTCTTTTTCTTAGTTAATTAAATCAGTGATAGAAGAGAGGCACTTTTTGTCCATTTTATCCACTGTATCGCGTTCTATGACTATACCAATAACTAACGAGTGGATAATGCTATCAACTTAAATTACCGTACAACTTTTGTATTTATTCTCTTCAGATAATTTAATTCAGCGATGGAAGAGACATTGACTGCTATTTAACAACTTTTCCATATTCTATTGCTATATCAATGACTAAAGAATAGACAATGTAAGCAATTTATAAAACTGTTTCTGAAATTGAGTGCTAGATGGGAGATTTGGTGCCATTTTTGTTAGAAAGATCTTCTTTCATGTTTTTTTGCTCTACTATGTCCGATTTTCTTATCAAAGAATGGATAACTTAAGTAACTTACACTAGTAGTAGTCAAGGACTGTTTCCTCTCTTGAATTGAAGGCTTTTCTTGGGCAGAAGGTTTTTTTTCTTCCTCTTCCACCTTGTGGATATGTCTTCGTCTGGTTTTCATCTGAATATCAAGTAATTCGCGAATATTGTAGACTTGATTTTTACCTACAGTTTTCCTATTTGAAACTTTCCTATTGATACAATAATCCTATTAGTTATTTTATTGAAAAAATTTAAATTCAACAACATTTACTGGAATACAAGCCAGTCTATTCTTAAAACACATTATTACGGCTATCGTTGGCTTACTTTACTGATTGATCTTGATTAGTGCTAGACTGGATAATAACTTTAACCACATCTTTT